GAAGATCAGCAGCAAGCCTTGAAACATGCTTTGGAGGATATTAACAAGGGAGTGGAATACACTGAACATGCTTTGGGCCGTATGTCAGACATTGAAGTCATAACTAAGAAAAACCAGCTTTCTGGAGTACTGGATTTTAACAACTTTGCTCTGCAGTGGGAACCATGTCGCACAAGCAATTTCTCCATAGAAGTTGACAACTCTTTAGCAGTCAATGCTATTGTTGACAAGATGGCACATATAAGTGATAAGGATATTCAGGAGGGTAGTCAGTATTTTTTGAGCATGCTGGGAGGGAAGGATGGTGAGATTTTTACCTCAAGGTGTCAACAGAGGTCCTACTTTGTTGTGATGACAATGGATAGGCACAGAAAAGCAAACAAAGTTGTTCCAAGCTTAGTGAAAGCACAAGTCACTCTTGCAGGTGAAAAAGAGCCACAAAATGTCATGATGGGCGGTGAGAATGAAAATCACACATTCTCATATCACCCTACCGTGCAAGGTACCCATACTTTACAAGTGTCTGTTGCAGGACATCGGATCTCAGAGAATCCAATACGCTGGAAGGTGAACTCTTCCGTCTATATTCTTGACTCTGACTGTGCTGTTCTTCCAGCAGAGGTCTACAGCCAAGAGCAGGAATCACTAACAGGATGTTGGTTCAAACATGGTTGGCATTCATGGCAGGTTCGAATTTTAGCTCCTGGCAAGCTCAGAAGGTGCTCTGACACAGCAGCATTTGAAGTAGGTGTCACCAATGGTCATCGCACCTGGTGTTGGAGCGATGGCAAGAAATACTATCCTAATTCACCTGCTATGGTCAGCTCAATCAGTAACTGGCAGTGTGGGGACTTGCTTTTGTTTTACCTTGATTTGGATTTCAAACAACTTGTCATCCATAATCAGCGGTCGAGTGAATGGGATGCTTGGGATGGGATTCAGGTCCCTATTCGCCCATACCTCAGCCCCCAGTCTAGTAAATACTTTGGAGTTAACTAGACTTACTGGTCATTACGTGATGAACAATCAGCACTGTTCAATGTTATTGAGTGTCCTGGCAAAGCCATTTTTATAAAATTACTCATGTTATGGTGAACCAGGGGCATATTATTAAGGTACAAGTGCTAATTGTTACAAAGAAGTGGGTGGTGATTACAGTCAACTCTCTCTTAACGTACACCTCTATAAGACGGACACTTAGAGTTGGTCCCTGCCTTTCTTTACTCCCTTTATTTGACTCTCTATAAGGTGGACACCTCTCTAAGATGGACACTTAGTGCCCGTCCCAAGGGTGTCCGTCTTAGAGACAGTTGACTGTATTGCTAAATAGTATCTGGGCTTTGTGGACTGCTAAGACAAGAAATAAAAGTGTGAACATTCTGAGGTGAAATAATAACACAAAAAACTTTGTGACTAATATCACTTGAGATGTTTCTGAGATAATTTTGAGGTTGGGTCAAAAATGTCCAACACCAACAATCTTCAAGGTACAAGTAGTACCACCAGTGAGGTCCTTAAAACCAGCATAGCTGGTTCCATCCTTCACATCATTTGAAGTGAAAAAACTTACATGGTTTATAAAAAGTTAAGTTAACTGAAAAAATTTAGGTTAAATATGTACGAGAAAAAACTTATAGTGAACTTAGAAAGTCATTTTACAGTGCAGCTATATCTAATGACAACAAAAAGATTATATCTGAAAATTATGTTGACTGTATTTGCATCATAATAACAACCTACAAGGTTAGAAAGTTATATTTCACCCTGCCAGTGGAGCCTTTCTTTCCCTTGCTAGAGACAGAGTATGGTGAAATTGAGTAAGGCCGTGTGAATTAGGTAAGATTTAAATTTGCTGCGCATGTGCTGCAGGTTGCTTGGAAGTAGTTTCAAACTCAGGCCTAACAGCCATGCGCTTGCTACAGCAGGCTCGGTTTTGACCATCGTCTTATCAATTCGCTCGAACTCCAAAAACCAATTTCATTAGGGAAAACAAGATTGACTACTCCAGAGCCTGGAGCCGTGGTAACTTGAAAGGCTTGACGTGATTCAGGCAGACCCTCCTTTTCTCATCCATGATCAAGAAGAAGACAAAAAGGAAACCGTGTTGAAGGGTTATTAAATTTAGGGTACTATTGGCAATATAGAGATGATTTATGCGAAGACTTATAAAGATTAGATCATTATAATACAAATGGTATATGGACTGGTGAGTAGAGTCTAGTTATGGCCATGTTAATTCTCAATGTAACAGTTCAGTGTTCAAATGCAGACTGTCAAACTGGATGATTATACAGATCCTGTTACTGATCAATATAATTTGAATACTCAGTATTAATTAAATTGATTTTTTATCATAAATGCTGTGATGGCTGCCATCAATGTTCAAAACATTCCTCTTAATATTTGCAGTCACTATTAGTGGAGTATTACATTTTATAGGCAAGGCCAAAAAGTGCTTATTCAAGTATTTAACGAGGTAGAGAAATTGATAAACTGCTAGTGACATTGTTCATAAAATGTAACGAGGGAGGAATTTATAATTAAAATAGTGTGTGAAGATTTTCATAGTCAACAAAGAAGTTATTCATGATAATTCTTGCTTCTACGGTAGTTCCTTCATTCTGTCCCTAGCCCCATCACCTGATTCATTCCCCGAAATTGGGGCATTGGAAATATTAAAAATGTAAGAATACTCCAAGTTTGAGGATCATCAATAAGTCCTAAAAATCATTTACTATACTCTAAGGACTAAAAAGGAACTGAAGTCATGTTAAAGTTTTCAAAAACGCTAGATAAACCCGCGGGTTATGACCACACAGTAGAAAAGGTGTTTTAACTTCGATAAAACACTGATATTAGAGTGTTCAGTAGAGTGGTTTACCCAGGTGAAAACACCTTGCTGGCGTAGATCGCCGTACCAGGATATTCGAGGACCAAACATTACTGAGTTCCTGTTACCTTCTTTTCCAGCGTTCCGTCCAAAATCAAGCGGCATTTTGTACTTTCTTTCAAGGTTTGTACAAATTCCTTATTATTCACGCTGCAAGTACTTTGTTATCCTCTGTACGTCTTTTTTCATACACGGGCAGAACTTGGAGTCCGAGAAATCACTTAGTCGTAGGTCACATTGGGTCCAGACTCCCAAGCGGGATTCAATATGCATGCTTTGCGTGCCTATAGTCATTATACACTGCGGGATCATTTGCAGAATCATTCAAAATATTTATAGCAATACTGCTTAAAAACATGTCTGCAGGAAAAAAAGGATTATACAATAAGATAAATCAATCTAACAAATAAATCTAACTATATATGAGACATTTACAGCAGGTACAGCGTGCAAAGAAAGTGGTGTCCGATAGCCCTGGGCTAGTGGATTTTGCTACCAGGATAGTGATTTCTATTCAGTTAACTTGCTCGATGGGCAACTGAGGTTTCTGGGGGGCAATTCAAATTACAGAAGGACTGTAACCAATGCCCATCAAAAATTTTTTTCGGGCTAGTTGAAAGGACTTTTGGGCTAGTACTTGCTAGCTACAGCTTGCCTGAACGGTAAGCTGTAGAACTGACTTTCTTTGCACCCTGAGGTACGTATATTAATTTGCATGTAAATTTAGCTAGAGCAATGATAGACCATAAAGAATAAATGGTAACACACTATCAGATCGGAGCTAATAGGAAGAAAACGGGGAAGCTGATCGAGGGGAGTGTTTCATTCTTCCTCTCTGACAGATCTCCATAACCATAAGCCACGCCTACAGTCACTTGTTTGGGCGCCTTCCATTTGTCAGAACTAACGGGCCAGACCATTTCCGTGGTAACGAGAATTTCACTATTAATCGAGACTATCCAACCAGATCAGTAAAATCCTAAATACTATGCACGAAGGAGATGGTTTCTTAGCAAAAACCGTTTGGGAAAAGCCTCCCGCGTCAAAATGACTGCTCCAGCCATGGCCTGGCCGGTCACTTCTGACACTGGGAAAACGCCGGCTGAGTATCATGTGTTTCTTCCCCCCTCCCACTCTAAATTCTCCTCTACCCCAACCCCTAGTTTATAAGCAAGGCCTAATACTCAGAGTATTCTTTTCCACGGGGGGTCTTGCAACAGGAAATCCGATGTCGCTTCCCCTCCTTGAAGCGACCTCTGGCCGTGCTAGCATTCGGAGTTTGTTCTATGTTTAGATCTTTAGTTGTTATCACTACGAAGAAACCTAAGGGGCATCATGACCGTCATATGCCCATTGTTCGACATTGTTCTGTGCATTACGCTCATGCTTTGATCGATTAAACTATGAGTTGTGTGCTTTGCGCTCCTAATTATAAAGCAAAATCTCCCTTTACTTGTCCTTCCTGTAATCTCCTCCTGTCTCCTAGGTTGGGCCACTGCATATATGAAAATCGTCAGAGCGTCGCGAAATACTTCTCTGACTTCTTGGACCCTAATTTACATGGGAAAGAACTGCAGTCGGTGATTCCCATTTAAAAAGTAAATTTAAATTCTTAAAGTCGGGGTTTAGCACTCAAATTCTCTAACGCGTCATACTGTACACTACGCTGGCTCGTATTTATAAGGTTAATTAACTCACTGATACACAAAGCTGTCCCTGGTTGAACAACACCCTGAATGACATCAGTTCAGTCCGGCCATCAAACAAAATTTGACCAAATTTTCCGGCATGTTACACAATCAAACATAAAAATGATAAAGAGTACATCATTATAGACCGCCCGCTTCACTTTTACGGGAAAATAGCTGTTGAACCATGCTTTAATTTACTTGAGAAACGTCAGGCCAAGCTCACTTCAGCCTATTCGTCCTTAGCCAAGGACGCTTTTCAAACTCTAACAATTTGTCCATTTACTGGTGTAATAACGGCTTTTCCATGATTAATTCACTATAAGTTGTTCTGTACTGTTAAGAACTACTATTTTCCGCCGTTATATGTAGTACGAAATCATAATGACATTCCCTTTGACTACTAACTTTATGATCCAGCTTCACGCTTGAACGTAGCCAGGTTTGTAAAATGGTGTTAGTTCGTTTGCGCCCTCATCTAGTTCTCCATCACTAGACATCAGTCCTTTCTTTCTTAACGTTGGTTTTCTTTCTCCCATCTCCGTGTTTGTGGTATTGAATTCGCTTAGTGGATAAACCTCCCCGGTATTTACAAAGCCTTCACTCCTCTGTCGTCTCTTTTTTCTGATAGCCTATGTAAGAGGAGAATAAATATTTCAAAATGCAAGAAAACCGCTGAGATAACCTGATTGATCCAAAAATTTCAACTCGTCACGTTGTTGAAAACCCCGCCTACGCATATAGGTTGCCAGCCAACTAAAATATTTCCCAATCGGTATAACTATGCCTCACCCATTTTTCAGAAACCGTTAAAGGACGAAAACGATTGGAGGTTCTCATAGTGATGTGGTTTGCTTGAAGGATTCTGACTCGTACCCCTCATGTCAAGGGCATAGCATATTTCGTACGCTGCAAAAGAGTACAGTAGTCAAGAGCCCTATAGATTGGCTCCTGGCATAGTCGGACACGAATGAGTGCTGGCCATTATCCCCTGTTTTTCTCATAAGCGAGCGAAGAGTACACAGATAAGTCAAACTGACATCAAAAGAGAATGAGCTACATTCTCTCTTGACGGACATGGAATGTTTATTGTGATGTCACGCAAAGAGTTGGTTAGCCTGCGTAGCAAGCGTTTCCTCGCGAGGTTCGTCAAGAAAGCTGGGACAAGAGCAAAAAAAATTCGCGCAATAACTCGATTGGAAACGCTTGCTACGCAGGCTAAGAGTTGGTGGGATTATTACGCATATGCATGACAGCCAATCTAATTCATTTAACCCTGCCAAGTTATTTCAGGATCGATCCGGTTCATAATTCCATAAACCGATCATGAAAATGCAAAGCTTAACCTCGTGAGGGAAACTATATACTCAGTTTATTTTAAAAGACAAGGTGTGCGTTATCTTTTGACTTTCTGGACCTTACCTTAACAGTAAAGAGTACGATTAGCACAGCCACTCCTACGGCAAATATGATCACTGCAATCACCCTAAGAAGAAAAGAGCGCTGCCCTTGAGGCGTCTCCTCTTTCATTACAGCTTCTACATTGTCTTTAACTTGGATGTTAGTTATATGATAGTTCCCGATTTTCCTGTTGTTTGCTGCATCGATTAAGGCCTTTTCAAAATCTTCGGCTGTTGCTGAGGATTCTAGGTTCGCATGGATGTCGAACATGCATACGATGCTTCCCCTCTCGAAACTCTTAACGTGCACAGAAAGGAATCCAGAAATCTGCTTCAAAACGTTGCTTAGTAATACCGTCAAGGTACCCGACAGTTTTCCGAATGTTTGAGAGGATGGATTGGCTAAGTCTCGAGTGAATTCCATGTTTTCAATTGTAAGAATTGCTGCCCATATCGGAAGAGCTTTAGCAGGTTCATGACTAGTGGGTTCTTCAGGCTTTTCCTCGGCTGGCACGGTGGTAGAATTTTCTTCTATTGCTTTCCTTGAGTAAATAGAGGAACTTACAGTAGATGATATTTTGAGGTGGCCAATGGAGGAAGTAAAAGGCAACGATAACGTTACAGCAGGTGAAAAAGGTAATGACAAGATTGATAGTGATGACGATATTGATAAAGCTGGCGATGACGGTGATGCTGAAATCGATTTTGATAGTGATGATGACGGCAATGATGTCGTTGATGATGTTGATGAAAATGATGGCGATGGTGATGATGATGGCGATGGTGGTGATGATGGTGATGGTGATGGTGATGGTGATGGTGATGATGATGGTGATGATGATGGTGATGATGATGGCGATGATGATGGTGATGGTGATAGTGATAATGGTGATAGTGGTGTCGAGGACGATGAGAACAACATTAATGGAATTGGCGCAGCTGATGATGTCTGCGATGATGAAGATGGTGATAGAGACAATGATGGTGGGGATTTAAACGACCTTGGTGACGATGATGATGATTGTACCAACCGTGGTAAGAATGACAATGGCAATGATGACGAACCAAATTCTGATGTCAATTGTGACGGTGGTGATAATGACTTTGACTGTGACAGTAATGTTGATGTGTGAGGAGGATGAGACTCTTCAAAGTGACGTTCTGTTGATCCCGCGGACGATTCCACTTGATGTAAAGCAGATATTGAGATCGATACCGGATTCCATCTGAACGACGCCTGATGAGAGGAGGTTTGTGAATGGAACGAAGTGGTCACCGAGCTGGAAGAAGATGACGCCATCCTGGAATTCCTGGTCTTCGTCATCGAATTTGACAAAATAGTCAACGTAGATGACGTAGTGGAGGATAAAAGGTAATCTTTGCTGTAAATTAGTTGGACTGACGTAAATAGATTTGAGGAGATAAAGTTTTTGGGAGAATCTGTGAAGAGTTTTGTGGCAGATGGTACTTGAAAACTTGCATTTGCTTTTGAGGTTTGGAGTAAGGCGTTTTGCCACAGATTTGAAACAGACATTTGGCTTCGGATCCTCTGCGCCTTATTAGCAGGGTAAGCTGCATAAACCGAAGATGTTACGAAACCGACAAATGCTGTTGGTATGACATCAACCGCAGTAGCTAGGGTAGCTGAGGACAAAGGCTTTTCTTGAAGTCTTTGTTTTGCGGGAGAGATCGAAGCTATTGAAGTCAGTTCCTTACCTGCAAAAATGCCACGGTTAGTTTAGATGAGAACAGCTTTTGCTCGATGGCCGTTTATGTGTATATGTCCCTTATAGCGCGGTGCTAATAGAGAGGAGAAGTCGTTACGTCACGTTGCCATGGTAGCAACATTTCTGGATGACAACAAACCAAAAACGTCACTTAAAAAGTGAATTCGCACTGTTTCAACCTTCATCGATCTTATTCAGTTTCATTTAATTTGTTAAATGTTGGCAAAATTCTCTGGGGTTGTTTCCCAAAGGACCGTATCTGAGTTTAGAAAAAGAAAAAGAAAATTTTTGTACTGTGTTCACAAACTACAGCTCCATAGAGCGGGCGCTGCAACGACGTGCAAAGTTGTTGTTTTGTTCTCGTTGTTGTCGCCGTTGTCCTTGATTAAGCTCTCCATTGTTGTGATCCAGAATTTTTTCTAGCATGGCAACCTGACGTCACACTTCTCCCCTCTATTGCGTGCACAGTTACCAGTGGAAATATTGGGCTTTAAAGAAACCGCACCCACCTTAATGCCGGCTATATATTGTACTAAAGGATTTATCGTATGTACTAACTTCCCTAAGTTTAACATTGAAGGGAACTCTTCCACATCAGCTTTCTCCAAGAGATGTCCGAGACAAAATGTCGTTTATTTCGTGGACATCCGCTCTCCACAGAAGTACGGGTAGAATTTTCGTTAAAACTATGGAAGTTTTCACTCCAACCGGCATGAAGAAAATACCTTGGTAGGGCGACGAACCCCTGACTGAGGAATTCGTGCGCTGTTTGCTGTGCACGCATTTGTTCGGGTAATTTGCCCTTGCCTGAATTTTTTTTTGTACTCAGCCCTCTCGATTTAGTTTTTTTTTCAACGGTCCGTCACCTTTAAATGTCATGATGAGAGTGATTCCACCAAGTTAGAAAACACCACCTGTATCTGTGATCGTATTAGAGAGGTTAAGCAAAAACGGCAAACGCGAATTTGTACCACGTGACCAAGTTTTCCGTTTACATGTCGTTTACTGTTCATTATTTCTACGCATAAATTAGTACTAGTTTCACGCAATTTTTATCCATAAGAGTTGTTTTGTTTTGAGTTGTTTTTATCTGCTCATTTTCTATTTTGAGTAATTCTTACTGACTTGAATCTAACGTTTGCCGTTTGCCGTATATGTGAAGCTTTATAAACTCTCTAATAATAAACAGTTAAAAAAGGGAAAACTGTGGTATGCAGCACGATTATCTATGTCAGCCACTTTAACCTCAGTGGAATCTCGTAGCGTCCATAGCTCTCAGGCAGCCAGTCAATTTACAATTTACACGTTTTATAAGGATCCCAACTGATTTCAACCAACACTGATAAAAATCATCCTAATCGGCTTAAGTGGGTAGTTTTTTAATTTAATCATCAAAATAATCGTACTTACGTATTTTCATAATACAGCCTAGTTGGGGACGCCGAATTTTTCAAAATTTCCCTCTACAGTCGATCATACGCCATTTTTGTCACTTGACTCCTCAATATATTTATCGGCTTTAGTAAAAGTGCAAACAAATCTACATCACTCGGTGCTGTTTGAAAAGAATCATTATGTGTTTGTTTTTCTAGATTAATGTGGGGAGTTTAACCCCACTGATGCACTTAAAGTCCATATTTTGGATAATTTAACATTAAGCAAATGAATCTCGAGTACAAAAACTATTAATAATTAAGTTTCATATGAATGACCACACCATTTGATTTTTTAGGTGGCACTGCCGGGGCATCTGATTAAGGTGTTTGTTACGTTTGTTCGCCTTCAAAATCGCCCAGGGTTTTACGTTTTGACCCTTTAGATCTCTTGTATATAAATTGAAATTGTCACTTTTTGCCCCTTTTCATCTCCCATGGAACTAGTGGGGTGAAGTTAATAAAAGATGAACTATATGTAGCTGAATTTTACTTAGTTGCACCTGTTTTTCTTGACAATAAATTTAGTATCTAGGAACTGAAAATATTTTCGATCAGTGTCTGCAGTGTTATTTCGCTAAATTCACCAATTAACCGTCTGTGAACAACAACCGTGCCAATAAAGTTAAGTAGATACACTATAGCTCCTTAATAATAACTTTTGGCCTCACCTTCGATTTCCAGTAGTAATTGTAGGGCGACACTCAAAAACAAACTCAATTTCATTTTGCCGGGAAAATCGACTTGTCAGTTTGATTTTTGGGCTCTTGGGTTAATCTCCGAATAGTTCACACTCGAGTTATTTCAAAGCCTGAACCTTTCCCACGGCACGACAACAAAGTTCCCACTGCGAGTCTGAGAACATTTTAATTCAGTTTGTTATTTAACCCAGCAGGAGATAACTGAAGTTTAGTTCAACTCGACTTAGTCTGGTGGGTTTGCCAAAGATTGCATCTTTTGTATCCGATATCAGAAAGGGATAAAGTAAGAGAATTATTGCGAAGTATAGGATTAATGAGACCTATCCCAAACCTTAAAGTAAGGTGAGTGCTAGAAAAGAAATATGCCCAGCCTGTTTAAAAAATCAGCAATGTCAACACTGTAATTTTCAGGGAGTTATAATAACTCTTCTAGTGGGGCTAATTTAACTCCTTACAGTGGAGTTATTTTTCGTGGAGTTATTTTAACTCCAAAAAGGAGTTTAAAGAACTCTTTTTCAGGAGTAAAAGTGAGCCCAGATATTGAGGAGTTAAAATAACCCCAAAAAAGGAGTTATCCTGTACCTAAAATTTTTACTCTACTTTCAGAGTTAAATTAACTCCAAAAATAGTAAAACAACCCATGTAAGGAGTACAAGTAACCCCAGTTAAATTGTACGCGGTGAGCACAAAAAGAAACACGAAAGGAAAAAAACGAGAGGTGAACTGGGGCGGGAGCGAGAAATGTTCCCTCCCTTTTCCCGCCCTATTTCTTCCCTCGTCAATTTTTCACACGCGCCCTAATTTTTCGCCCGCTCCCCACCATCTGAACGCCTAGAACAGTCTTAAAAAGTGACCCGCTTCGCCGCTCGTTTCTTCGGCCGAAGACGTGTCGGCCAGACGAAGCTCCTCGTCACACGTGAGAAAAAATCTCTGGTACCCAGGGTACCAGCGCCAGCGATCGATGACTACAAAACTGAGGCGCACGCATGATATTTCATAGGAAACCGCTAGACGAGAACCAGAGTTGAGAGAACAGACTAGCGAACAGTGTTTGGAAAAAGCAGTGGTATATTTTTCACCTAGCTTTAAAAGTAAATTTTATTACTCTTCTTCTAACACTATTTGGGTTTAAACCACGCATATGACAAGAATCTTACAAGTATAATAAAACGTATGGCAAGAAGTCGGAGTCGTTCGCCTCGAGGAAGAGGTAATGGCGCTATAAACGTTCAACAAACGTCTTTACACATCTGTATTTGAGCCATGCATGGTTATGTTATCGGTTATTTCACAAGCATTGGGTTATATGCTTCTGGTTATTTCTTGCTTCTGGTTGTTTTGCTTTATTTTTTATGTTTCTAGTTTTTACGGAGCGTCGCCGTAGCCGATCAAGATCTAGGGAAAGAAAGAAAGGCGGAGGTCAGTCAAAATACAATTCCAAGTTGAAAAAAATAATAGTTTTAAAAGTAAATAAGTTTAAGATAAGACATTTTTAAGCTGTGCTAAGGCACCAATGAATGAAAACAGTGAAACCCGCTTTAAAAGTCACCAAATGGACTTTCCATAGTGTCCATTTAACAGAGAACAAAGACTTCAGGTTTGTCTGTCCCTCACTAGTCAGAATTTTATGATAATGTCATCAAGGACTGAGGAGCAGAAAGCAAAAAGTAAATTACCAGCAAATGTAATGATGAATATTTTTTTATTCTTTGTGTTTATGATAATTAAAAAACAGGCTGGTTCATTAATATTCAGTTTGGAGGACATGGGAAGCATGATAGTATGATGGTGATTCAATTACTGAAGTTTGGTTCAGCTAAGGCTTAACAAAATGTTATCAACATTTCTGTAAAGTGCCTATTAAGTTATTAGTAAAATCCAACTAGTGGTTTCTTTTTTACTTTGATTGTTATGTTCTCAGATCGCAGACGAAGTAGATCCAGATCACCAAAGCGCCGAAGGCATAGATCATATTCAAGGTAAATATCTGCAAAATACTGCATTGCTTCACATTGATTATTCCTTGCCATAGTTTTTATCTCTTTTACCAAAATTATCTTAAACAACATGAAGATTGATGTTATTAATTTGGGAGTACAGCTTTTCCAGTAGATGAGACTTTTTGTGTTTTTTTTTAAGTTTGTCTGCTACTCTAAGGTTGGGACTTTAAGTTATCCTTTACTTTCATCTTTAAGGATAGGAATTTCTACTTTACACTATACATGATAACTGAGTAGCCGTAAAGAGCTTTAGGTAATGTTCCATATGATGGTTTATGTTTCCTTTTTCCTAGATCTCCTTCCCCAAGAAGACAGAGAAGGTAAAAAAAATTACTTTTATTCCCTTGTCTTGTATTTATCAACTCAAGAGCTAGTAGATCTGCAGACTAAAGACATCGTAACTGAGATACGGCAATGCAAAATGTTCTTACCGTAATCTCTCTAATAACCTTCCTGCTTCCCCCTCACCCTCATATTGAACAGTCAAAATTTATTAAGCACCCCCCTCTCTACTCTCCTCTCTCTGGAACTGTCTCTCCAGTTTTAAATGAGTCTATAGCCACAACATTGAATTTCCTTGCATATATAATGAGGTTTAAAAAATTTTCATTATTACTACTTTTTTAAAGTCGATATTTGTTCTTCACAGTTTGTGACCATTTTCTGACTGTTATTGTTAAATTTTGGCTCTTTTACATAAGATCTTATGTAGTTAAAGTTTTCACTTAGGTTTTTACTGAACCTCAGCCGTTCTTCACGCCTAGCCCGGCTGGGAATTTTGACCATGGAACGACTTTGCAATGGCTTTGATTCAGACGCCAAACTTTTCATGTACATTTGTACTGAACCTAATAAATGCAAAAATTATAAATAACGTATTTTGCGAGCAGTTTAACCAAAATGAGCATTTTTCTTCTTTTGAATTTATTCGTCTGAAATTAAGATTGGCATCTAAATCAATTCAGGCAGTCTAAATAATTTGGGTCGGCCTTAATTCGAATTAGGTTCGGCTCGTGAAAAGTTCAGCCTCTGAACCGGGCCTTAGGTGTTAAAATAAGCTACTACTTAGGGGGTGTTTACATGACACCAGGGCGACTTTCGTTCCAGTGCGAATTCACTCTGGTTTCCTCTCATATCTCTACATTTGTTTACATGATACCGCCACAAAGTGTCATGCTGGCGCGAGTCACTCCGCCGTGAGTTCACCCTGGTTGTTCTACCAGGGCCAAAAATTTCACTCTGGTATGAAATCTCACAACGGTATCATGTAGACGTGAGACAACCACATGTTTCGGTGTGAAATCAGTCTGCCGGTAGACTGAAATGGGTAGCACATGCGTAATGTTTGCGGTTTTGAATCTTACATGTATTTTATCAACATGAAGTGTACCTTCAAATAACGAGATATGAAATGACCCAGTCATAATGTAAACGCGATACGAAGTAAAAAAAGTCATCCCGGTATGAAACTCGCGCCGGTGCGAGTTTTCTCATGTAAACACCCCCCTTACTTACTACCTTGTGGAATCAGTTTGGGCAGTCCTGAGTGACATGCAAAGTAGGCCCATTTTACCTGTCTGGATAGCCTCTAATAGTTCTTGTGCACAGCCTCAAGGATTATATTATTAATTTACTTAGTATCAGGCTTTTAGCTAGACATTGAAAACTGTGCATCCTGTACAGGAGGCATCTTTTGCCTTTATAATATTAGCAGAGATCATGTCATTCTTCCTTGAATTTCTTCTGAAAGTGGTTGTTTACAGGATCCCTGGACACCCCTCTAGCTAAATCCTTGGTTTGTATCATTGCAGGTCACAGTCTCCAAGAAGACGGAGGTCCAGGTGAGTTCTGATTTCATTTAGATACATATAACACTTTATGAAAAGTACCTATGTATTTAAAAGTTTTTCCTCTCCTCCTTTTTTCTGGCAGGTCATCATCACCGAGACGCTCCCGAAGATCACATTCAAAGTGAGTACATTTTTACACAAACTGTTTGATCTATTTAATGCTACTGTGATGTTAATTTGTTAAATATTACATCAAACATTGTTTATTTGTTAAATCTTTGTTATAAAGTTGACCTAATCCATTTTGCTATTTTGTATAAAATATTACATAATTTTAATTTAATTTTTTCTTTCAACAAAAACATTTTTATCTTGTCAACTGCTAGAATGAAGTTCCTCTATTTTCTTTTTTCCATAGGTCTCCAGACAGGGAGAAATCACATGATGAATCAGCCAAAAAAACTGAAAATGGCTCAGAAGGTGGTGCAGGTAGGAATGTCATCTGTCTTTGATAGTTTTACTTTCCTATCCTATGATCAAAGTAATAAATGCACAGTCTGAAAGAAAAAAGTAGCTCATACTGGTAACTGGCCATTGTAGCATAGGTAGCCCTTATCTGGGTTTGTTGAGGTAGCTTACAAGTTCATGATATTAATTTGAGGAGGACTCGGAAAAAAAATCTGAGTCCCAGATGGGATTTGAACCCACAACCCTCCGTGATCTAGTCGGATGCTCTAACCACTTGAGCTACTGGAGACTCTATGGTGAGCAAGGGCCAATTTGTGGGTCTCAACTGGAACCGCATCACGCAGCTACACAGCCAAGTAATGATAGGCACACAAGAAGTGAAGAACTCACTAACAGCATCGCGCTGTCACCTTAAAGCATATCCAAGATGCGGCCAACCAACCTCCAAAGTGAGTATATTAAAGATGAAACAACAACAACATGATATTAATTTGAGGAGGACTCAGAAAAAAAATCCGAGTCCCACAAATTGGCCCTTGCTCACCATAGAGTCTCCAGTAGCTCAAGTGGTTAGAGCATCCGACTAGATCACGGAGGGTCGTGGGTTCAAATCCCATCTGGGACTCGGATTTTTTTTTCCGAGTCCTCCTCAAATTAATATCATGTTGTTGTTGTTTCATCTTTAATATACTAAGCTTACAAGTTCTCTGTATTTTTAATTCTAATCGGTGAATGAATAGTACTACTCTTTTCTATCTAATGCTGCAATAGTGATTTGAAACAAATACCCAATAATATTATTACATTTCCTAAACCTAATCCTAACTTTCTCCCTAGTGTAGTTGTGGCCCTGGTCATTCAAATGTTGGATAGCACTATCCATCAGATAAATCATTATCCAGCAGATAAGTATTAGAGAAACCAATGCAGTTTATTGCATTATCCTGAGCACTGCATATAGAGAATTGTCCCGTGGGTAGCAGCACCCACCTTTATATCAACTAGTCCCTATACTGCTTTAGGGGTACATCATTAGAGGTCATTTCCTTGTTACAACAGCTTCCCATAGCAACAGTTTGTATTCAAATATCAGTATAGAAATAGTTAGAATATTCATTTAATCAAATTCAGTAGTACAAGCATGCTTCTTGTTTCCATTGTGTGTGCTGTTGACCACATGGGGAAATGGTGACGAAAGCGCATGCTGAAAGCAGCACATGTTAATTTCCGTACCAGTATTATCACAATTATCGTTAGTTCATGCTTCAGCTGTTTGTATGTCAAGATTTGATGTATTTCAAAAGTTTGGTGAGCACCCAAGAGGCTAGAGTTGCTCTCGTCTACGCCTCTAGGAACTTATGCTTCTTTCTTGCTTTCCAAATTTCCCCACATGCTTCAAATCTCGATATAATTATGCATGCATACTAACGTGCAATTGAATTTACAAAATTTGTTATCAGTTGAATCGACATGAAACACTGCAAACCAACAGCACAGGCATGGCGTCATTGGTTTGAATGTCAAAAGTACCTGTAATTTTAGCCCTAAGTGCTTATACTCAAAGACGAAGTCATAAGTATTAATTTGAGGCAAAATTATTGTAGATGGGGACCAGGTTCCAGATGAAGATGAGGAAGCAATGATGAAGCTGATGGGGTTCTCTAAATTTGATACGACCAAGGTTTGATTCTCTATAGGCTTTGGTATAGTATGTATTATGATGATGATGATTTTAAATGATAATTTTGCTGGTAACAGTAATCAAATGGTAACATGAAATGAAGATAATGTGAACAAAAAATATGGGTTCTAAGTTGTGGCCTCTGTGTTAGCACTGCTTTGTTCTGACAATGGAGGGTATGGGTTGTTATAGCCCAGTTGGTAGAGCACTGCAGCACTGACGGAGAGGTCATGGGTTGGAATCACATTAAAACCCCCAGTTTCAGGGGAGCAGGGCATGAGGGCTAATTTGCAATGACTCAAACTGCTATTACAGCTGTGAAGACAACCCTCACATAATTTTATAATAATCACCCTTGATGAGTGAAATTCATGTCTGACATTTCGACAACTTAAAAACCGAGAGAAAAACCTGGCCAAATATGTGTTAGGTATACATCCCCCCAAAACTATAATTTATTTTTGAGTATCCTTAGGCATGTCAGGGTATCTAAAATCCATTAAATTAAAAAAAAAATTGCATGATTGCTTAACCATATCTTGTGCAGGGGTCCGAGGGGTTACAATATGTTTCCCTTTGTCATAATATTGCCTATAGCAGTGTTATTCTGACAATGATGTGACTTGAAGGTGGAAAGGCTGTTAAACTAATATTCTATTATTTTTTTATTTATAAACTCTACAGGGTAAGCATGTTCATGGTCCTTGTAATTCAAGCTACACCAGTGTAAAGAAGCCCAACAAGTATAGGTAAGAAGACCCTTTTTTTCAACCAACATGATTTTCTTATTTTTGTTATACATTGTACTCACTATCTGTCTTTGCAATGGCTAGGAGCCTATGGTTAATTTTGGAAATCACCACCACCTACAGATTAGTTACATATAATTATGTGATAGCAGATAAGTGATTAATCTGTAGGTTGCGTGCGCAATGCATGATTTCCATGAGCAATATCATTGTTCCATGCAATGCTGCGTTTGTCCTTATTTTCTTAAAAACAATGTATAATAGAACAATAATTATTATTAGATTTGGTTTTTGTGATATCCGGAATAATCATGGTCAAGGGCTTAATTTCCCAAGTTATCTTTCTATGGTCTTTGTAAATAAAACATACCCCCTATTAACACTCTTTTTTTTCTTCTCTTATTGTGTTCTTATCTTTTTTTTTTTTAAAACTGGCTTGACAGCTAAGGTTGCTAAATAATAGTAATTCTAATGCTTTTATTAACATCAAATTTTATTGCGTGAAAATTTAAGTCCTCTGTTAGATTCAAAATTGTTTTTTATATATAAACTACCCCCTTCTACCTACACCTACATTTTGTAAATTTTACTTAAATAAGTTGCACTTTCTTTCGTGTTTATTAGTTTGGATTGTACTTTATCTGCCTTTTTTGACATCAAACCTGCATTCCTTTGTCTGGAGTGTCTTGATTGCCTGAGGCGACCCTGGAAATCACATAGAAATACCTCTAGCCTGCGTAGCTGGCGTTTTTTTGCTGTGTTTTTTCTTCTGTGGTTCGTAAAGTAAGAGATTCAGCAGCGTGAACAAAGGAAATAGGAGACGTCTGCACGCACGCAATGCGAAAGCTGAACTGAGGACAAAAAGGAAACAATGGGGGAGGAGGTAAGGGGAGAAGGCAGTGCTCCCCTCACCTTCTCTTCTATCATTTTCTTTTTGATTCCCGATTCAGCTTTCGCACTGCTGAATCTCTTTCTTCGTGAACCATAAAAGAAAAAACACACCCCCCAAAAATGACAGTTATGCAGGCTAAAACACCTCTGATGCAATGTGGGATGATCTATGTGATTTGGGCGATGGCAATCCCCTAGATAGTACTGAAGTCTATGGTTGTTTTCCATTTACAAAACATTTCTGAAACATCCAGTTGGAAAGTGACTTTGCAAACCGAAATTTGGTTTCATTTCTTCAAGGTTATCTTTGGTACCAGTTTCAGGCTAAACGGAATTGATTTGTGCAAATGGTAAACGTGAGTCGGGCAAAATTTACCAGTCCTGATATGTGCTTACCATTTGCCTTTTGGCATTCCATGAACCGACCGGTTTGTCCACTCCATGTAAATGGTAAACGACCTTACATATCTTTGTAGCCGGCTTGTTTCCATAATAATCTTGTAGGTGATCTTGAATCATCACAGTTATCCCCCCCCCCCCCCAAAAAAAAAAAAAAATCAAGGTAATGGAGACAAACCAGATGACATTACATGTAAAATAATCTAAGACAGTCTTGGATTCTGGATTCCACACGGTGAATTCCTGATTCCAGTTACTGGATGCCAGATTCCTAGTTTGTGAAACTTGGATTCCTGATTCCAATTGTTTGCGGGATTCCGGAATTCAAAGCCCAGGATTCTGTATCTCAGAATCCAAAATTTCCTGGATTACCTTAAATGGAGTGAAAGATGATTAGATTATAGTAACCAGGCTACGTAAAAGTTTATAATACTGTTACAGTACCATACACAAACACCATTGAGTTTGTTGTATTTTTATAGGCAATACATGAACAGAAGAGGAGGCTTCAATAGACCGTTGGATTATGTTAATTAGGAGCTTTAGATGCTCTTTAGCATTACACAGTTTGCAGACGCCTCAAGAGTTTCTTTGTCAGGTGGAACCTACAGCAATCCTACATCTACCGATACATCTCTACTTACTCCTGAGTCGATACTGCTGTAATCCTTTAACCAGCCAAATACGACAGTTTTTATTTTTTCTGGTTACAGTCCAGCCGGGTCACACGATATCCCCATAGACTCTATTAATGAATTCTTTATGTGAAAATTGAATCCGTTAGTCTTTGCCAGTGTCATATTTACTTCTTCATTCTTTCATAGGTAACAATGCCATCAGTTAAACTGAATGTTCATTTTGAAATAAACTCGCTTTGAATGTCCTGAGTTCATCTAATTTTAAGTATTTTACCCATTCAAAGTGTGAAAGATCCTTCAATGCATACAGGAATTGGATTTTATACTCGAGTAACGGCACCGACTAAAGGATTTAATTTTCGAATCTATTCATTACTAGAATCTATGGGGTTACGCTTAACCTGGCTTGACTGTAACGTACTTTCTTTTTAATACAATGAAAACTTTCCTTCAAGCCATTTCAGGCCTTCCTCAGGGGCACCCAACGAGAATATAGTTCAAAACCACTAAAACATAGCATTGTTAAACGTATTTTGTTATTTAAACGGTAGATATAGGCATATTTTTATCCCCTAAAAATTTTTCATCTGTTCGGATTTCCTAGCTGAAAGTCTAGTGATCCGAAAATTATAGGGATCGAAGCTTACCTTTTCGAAAATTTCAGCCAGAAAAAAGGCTCCTGAAAATTCTAGATGACCTTTTTAGGGTAAAAATCCGTTAAAAATAGGCAATTATACCATATTTTAGATGTTCGAAAATCCTAGGAGAAGCAGGCAACCAAGAAATTTTACAACAAATGTTCCGAAAATTCTAGATCTCAAATCGTCTTCCGAACAGATATTTTGCCGAAAATTGTCGTTGGGTGCCCCTGCTTCCTCAAGTCACCAGTGAGGAGCGCGGGAAACTGAAACTCACGGTATGGTATGGCGCCAAACCAGTATCCCCGGTCGTTTTCTCCCCTCTGGGCTAGAGTGAGGCTACACGTAGATCTCGAAACGAAAAGCAATCAGTTATGTGGTCATTACGTGACTAACGTTGCAGCCGTTTTGTTATTGTTTATCGTTATTTTTGGTTTATAAATAACTCCATATGATCTCATAAACGGTCCTCTGTACATATTTGGTATAATTTGCTTTACTTTCATAGTCAAAAAGTACAAAGAAAACAGTCACATTTGTATTTCAACCAGGAGCCGATTTCCGCTCCTAGTTTCAACTCTAAAACCCACACACAGGAAAATTCTCCTTTGTAATTTTCGAATGAATTAGTGACAGTCTTCGCAATAGTATTAGTGATTTTTGTTATACTCCAGCCTTTTAAGACTTGAAATTAAAAATTTGATTGTGGACTGCTGTCACTATATATTATTTCGTTGGCTACATGGAAACTGCTAATTACAGCCGACGCAAATTTAGTAGCTTGCGGGATTGTTATGCGCGCTTGCTCGCATCGCTCCGCATCAAAAAACAACAGATCTGGCACGCTAATTCCGCCAGCTACACAGGGCACAATTAGCATTCTTTCTTACCGACAACCAATATTCACTTAGAAGATTTTTCCGTTTCTGGCCGGCTTGCGGCTTAGATCCGGAATCCCCCGCCGAATTTTTCATAACCAGTTGGCATTGGCCAAATTTGGAAAATGTTTTTCCAATATCCATGAAGGTGACTCATTTTTACGGAAAAAGGGATTGCAGAAGGCGTTATGCAAAGTTCAAAGGAATGGCTGAACTACTGCCTAAAACGTGTCAAGACAGCCTCCTCCTCGGAAGCTACGTTTTTCGCATGGTTTCGGAAAGAGGCGAGTGACTGGCGACGACACGCAAGGGACCATGGAAGGGTAAAGAAGGGAGGTTTACGCCCGTTTTCTCCTTCCCGCCTTCCTGTGCGCGCCAATTTTCATTGAGAGAGAGACGTCTGGGTACAAGACAAGACGTAGCAAAATACCATCCCACCGGTGACAAGTGCTATTTGAAGAATATCTGCTAGAATAATTATCCCTTCTTATCCTGAAACTACCGAAAAACAGGCAAATGTTATCCAGTTATTGCTAATTGTTGTTTTTTATGCAAGTAGTAGTGTTGTACACTCGCTGACAACAGTTTCTGCAAACGCACAGTTTCATTTACATGGGCAAGTTTCGTAAATAGCAAAACTTTACCAGGAACAATTAGTCAGTTTTTTCCCTTTTTTCGTGATCAACGTTTCAGTGCGACTACTCTAACCGGGGCACTTGGAAGCATGGTTCCATCAAAACGATGTCTGAAAACGAAAGATTCTCAAGTTTTTTTGCAAACGTACCAATAAAATTCAAGATTCAACTATGAAACCGTTCAAGTTACTTACCTGAGTGACCTGACCTCTCATGAAACAGCCGTGAAGTTTATGAATGTTGTTGGACCGTTTGCAAGAAAACTTGAGATTCTTTTGTTTTTAGAAATCGTTGTGATTGGACAATCTTCTTCCTAGTGCCCCGGTTCGAGTAGTCACATTGTAAAACGTCAACGAGAATCCGAAAAGCAAAGAGCTTGCAACTCTGCACGCGCAACTATTATTTTCTCTTGTTTGCTACAATATTCTACCCCAGCAAACCTGACGAAAAGTTCACCTTTCTACAGACAAATTGAGCAAGGCTAAATCTTATGAATAATGGTTTCCCCTGCTCAGCGATTTTCGTCATTTTCAAGCCTTCAAGAAACCTTTCTGAGACCGAAAGCGATTTATCTTGTAAGGTTAGTTTCAAGTACCAGTGTTTGATACTGCATGGTCAAACTTGAAAAACAATCAACTTGAGGAACGTTTATTGATTGTGTCTGCTCCCTCAAAAATCGTGAGCATCATAGTAAAACAATTTTTGCATGACAGATTGTGATAATTATGAAGGCTTCAGTTTTTTCTAACTTGCTGACTAAGGAACGAAGGAGCGTCGCCCCTGCCTTCGGCTTCACCATGATTTAACCTCGACTATGTAAATTTTCGACGCCACACCCAACATTCATTCTACAAACGTTTATCATGAGCATGAAATGGAAATTAATCTTACAGGCCCAGTAATGAGGTCAAATTCCGAGCCTATTACACTAGGCAAGAGAGGATTTATCCTGTCTTGACTAGACATGACTATACTACTGGAAAATGAGCATTTACAGTCTGTGTAGTGTGTAAGACGGATTTAATTGATTTATGAGTGCCTTTGTTTCCAATCCTTCTGAGGAAATCTAAGGCTGGGAGTCCTGTGGCATGTCCTAACGTATTTTATGAAGATAAATTTTGAAAAAGCAAAACACACGAAAAACAAAAAATAACTACGATGATTTCACACAAAAACCACAGACAAACATCTCACATAGATAACTCAAGGACTCCCTCGTTTTTGGATGTTTTTATTTGGTACCAGTCCTCTCTCACAACTCAGTGCTTGTCAATCAATTATTCATGACTTGATCGAAGAAACTGTGAAAATGGCGATGGAGGCTCCTCCAACTTCACCGCAGTTAACAACTTATGCTGCGCAAAATACTGCCACGGTTACTCATACAGTTCCTGCATCGCATACGACAGTAAATCTTATACAACCTGATCAAGGAAAAGGTCTTTACATAGTCGATCCTTCTCAACAGCATGCTTTACAAATGTTCGGAAGTCCCGATCAGAGGACCTTCATGGCGAACCCCGTCGAATTTAACCCTGCAGCTGGAACAATAACAACCACCGCTGTTTCTAATGGAAATGGACAGATAACTATGGTAAGCGTTATTAAATAGTTTGTTAGACACATCTTAAACAATGTAGTCCAATAGCATTCGAGTACAGAATTGGAGTTGGCCGTAAAATAAGATCTCGTGCGTTCGATCTTTCTAAAGGACGCGGTTCCCTTTCACTATTGTTGTGCCTTGAATTCAAACGTCAAGTGGGTTGAAAATCTCCCCGAAACAAGAATAAACCATCGCAGTCATGGTCTCTCGTGATCTTTTAACGTTTACTTAAGTCTCAGGAAATTCAACCTGCCGGGCTAGCCGTGAATTTAAAACCGTCCAATCGAGAAATATCGCTCGAACTGCGTCGCTATTGGTCTAAGCGTTCGCAGTACTTTTGTTTGTATTGAAATGAGTGAACACGTACCCAACAATCAAGCAAACAGGCAGGATTTTCAATTGCCAATCACATCTAAGGTTAATATTGTTGTATTGAAAGTCGAGCATTCACCTAAACTTATGCTTTTTACAAGAAAGTCTGACGTTCAGTTTCCTTGTATCATAGTGCCGCCTTGCATTTTAATAAAGACGAACAGATGTTTTGATGCTTTTTTTTTTGGCGTCAGTCGCTTTGAAAGTTACCCTTTGCGTGTGAAATTTATTCAGTCTCCGTGTTTTTTTCTGAGCGAACTTTCCAAGTTAATTCCGAAAGGTTTGGACCGTCTTGCTATACGGAAATAAACTGAAGTTGAAATCTACAAGAAGTTTATTTAAGGCTAATTACTTTGGCAGTGATCTCCCAAAAGTATTATTTTTCCCAATATTGTCGTCTCAGGTCACTCATTCTGTATTGCCTCAATTTCAAAAATTCATTTTGAGCTGACTTGTTTGCTGTTTTAAGAATGAAATCAACACAGAATTTCTATGTGTAAATTAATTTTTTTGGCTGGGAGGCTTTTTTAATGAATATTCATATCCATCACAATTATCTCTCGCATTATTATTGGAAAAGAGAGATCCAATGAAACATGCCCTTGAAAATCACATGGGAAAGTAACGAAATGCTAATGTGGGTCAGCTGCTGTACTTCAAAACATTATACTAGACAACTAATAGTCTTGAATGTTCCCTAATAAGCGGAACAAAAAAAAAAGAAAATCAACACTGTAACTGCACCTTAGCTGGGAACCAGTCTCATTGGTGGCAGAATTAATCAACAAAAATACAAGTGCCCATTGGAAAATAACCTTCGCTGTGTGGATGCTAATGGGCTGTACTTCAAGATGGGATTTCTCCCTCGAAAAAACCTGAGCTATTATTAAAGAAAAATCTTATACTTTAGTTCCCTCTTTTCTCTACATTTATTGTTTTATAATATAAAACACCTCATTTGGATGCAAAAGATGGATCTATTAATGACTCAGCAATTGCATAGACTTGGCTTATGCTCGTTGTTTTTATTATAAACATTCTCACTGTCCATAATGTCTTTGTTTGTAGCAAAAATCGCATTTAATCCCAGAAGTCATGAATTTGCCTTTGTAAGGGCAATGGGGTAATTTGTGAGTTGCTAGGCAGTTCTCTCAATCTGTGAAGTGGTCAATTTATGTGGTAGTCATCGGAGTTAACAGAATCCATTTCTAGACGCACAGAAAAAAAAGCAAAAATAAAAGAAGGTCATAGTATTTTACGACGAAAGATAAATAAACTTGTCACTTTACCTTAGGCCATCCCCCTTTTTTTCTTTCTTACCAAATCTGTGATATTGGGTCATTTTATCTGGTAAAAATCAGAAGTTAATAGTAGGTCCTGGTTTGACTAGAACATTCACATATTTGGATTACCAAAAAAACAAAAATTCTGTGAAAAATGTTCATGTTTTTGTTCTTGTTTTCTATAGTACTATTCATTTTTCAGATTAAAAGAATTAATTCAAGTGAAAAATGGTGTAAACTTGTCACAAAAATTTGGGTTAGTAAACGGAGAAAAAAAAGATGATGGCCTTAGTCTAATTGAACAGAGAGAATCAACACTATTGACACTATGGCCTGTTGAAGACCTACAGTACACCGTTGAAACGTGGTGATGAATATCTTAGTGACAATTGTGAGACAAATGATAAACAAAATTTATACAGAGAGAAATTTATTTTATATATGTACTGTTATGAGAGATTACTTGCCTGTTTACTACTTTTTTCAGCACAGTGAACAATAATTAGTAATAATAATTAGTAATGAGTAATGAATTTTCTGTATTTGTGACTGCGTCAGCATGTGTTGCATTTATTGACCAACAGATGAATGGACAGCCCATAGCAACTCAGAGACTTCCAGTTGCTATGGAAACCTTGGATGAGCCTCTTTATGTCAATGCAAAACAGTACCACAGAATAATAAAAAGGCGGCAAGCAAGAGCAAAGCTTGAAGCAGAGGGGAAAATACCCAAAGCCCGAAAGGTAAGTTTTTGTGGGCTATTTATTGTTAAAGCAAAGAAATTCTTTCAGTGGTCAAAAAGGCTACTGGATGCTGCGTTATTAAACTTCTATGAGAGAGACATAAGTTATATAATGTTACTGTTTTTAAAGGGACTTGTCATTTATGTAATAAACTAATTTCAGTTGAGGGGTTATTTATGGGTATTTTAACCTGAGAGAGGCACTTTATTTATAACAAGCCAACAATGATCTTATCTCCTTACTTTTGCAGAAATATCTCCATGAGTCTAGACATCAGCATGCTTGCCGAAGAAGACGCAGCAATGGAGGAAGATTTGTAACAAAACCTGGTGAATCTGAGGTACAGGAGGGTGGCGGAAGTGCAGCTAATAACCAGGTATTTCAAGAAGGCTTGATCGCAACACAGGAACATGATCCTCCAGAGCATGCCTACAGTAGCATTGTACAGGATACTGAAGCTGACAGGGTGCAAATAGCAAGTCAGGGTGCTGAGCAAACAGAATAAGGTAATAAAACGTTACAGCAAAATTTGTTGTATCACGCTGCACGTATTGCAAACTTCTGGGTTTTTCTGTTCCATCTGTTCCACTAACCACCTACCTTTCCTTTCATCTAATTCTAAGATTCTAAGAGCTTTTTTTTTTTTTTTTTTTAAACATTTATTTGATTACAACACTTCTAATGACAATACTTGCATTTACATGGAGGAAAAATAAAAATAACTTTTCCCACCAAAAAGGAAGATTCTAAAAGCCTTCCAAATGCTTAGCCCAAAAACGAAACAAATGAGGCAAAAGAAAACAAATGAGGCAAGAAAAGGAAAAAAAAAAAAGAGCGGAGGAGAGAAAGCGAAAAGTAAAAGTCAAGACTGTGCACTGTGTCACTTTTAAACCCAAAAGTTATCTCAAAATTTTGCTATCTGCATAATTATGCCCGAACTTCGCAGGTTAATATTTTGAATCTGGATCAGAAGGCCGCAAACTGTACATTCTGTAACTGGGTTTATGGTAACTTTTAGCTCTTTATAGCACAGCAGTGACCAGAAAACCACTCAACTAGCTTCAAAATGCATTTTTTGGCAAAATTTCTAGGGGCAAATGGCTTAAATGCTTAAAATTAATCAGAATTTGGTTCCCAGAGAGGTTCGCAAACTTTTATTCAGTATTGTCAAGAATAGACTAGAAAGAAAAATGGAGCATTATGCTCTATTGGTGCATCACCATTACAATAGTATTCTGCATTTTTTGCTTTGTGACAGTCGCATCTGGACTTGATGACAATTCAAAAAATCGATTAAAATGTGCAGATGTACCGGAAATTAGTCTTCTGTTTAAATATATTACAACCTTTTAAAAAACTTGAGTAAAATTCAAGTATCCCCACCAATGCCCTAAGATTATTCTCTCCTTGTGTGGGCTCAAGAGTCCCCAAATGCAGTTTTGAGGTAAAGTGTCACTTTGTTCTGACAAATACTTAATCATAGTGGCAAAGAGCCAAGGCTGAACTTGTTAAGTGATATAAACCAGGATCTGCACAGTCTTCAAAAGTCCTTGAATTTTCTTCAACTTTGAATGTACAGCTGTAGTGGCTTGGAAAGTGATTTTGATGCTTTTTGGTTGTCTAAGACAGAATATAAATCATAGCTCAGAGAACGTAAAGGTTATTTACATCAAGTGCTTAATGTTTTATGCAATAATTTAAATTGTCAATTTGAGACAAGTGAACTGAAAAATGCAGAAAAGTATGTGAAGCAAACATTTCAGTCCTTAAAGTCTTGGGAATGTGCATTTTTGTACAATCTGTGAAATAATATTCCTTGTAGGTGGTCCTTGAAAATCTAATGTGGTCCTTGAAAAGTCCTTGAAAAATGGTTGCATTTTTTGTATGAACCCTATAAACAGTGCAAAAGTGGTCCCGTTTTTAGTGTATTTATGGAGTATCTATGATTCTTACAGTGATTTTGTTACCTCTGCGTCAGGCGTCCTTGATGAATAAAAATCCCCAAAGAAGTAAAATAAATCATGGCATGCATCCCGTAAGATGCAAAGATCGATCAATCAATCTGAACATGTATATTTGTAGTAATATTCCCTTTGTGTAATTCCTGTGGCCGTTTTTTTGCTGTTGTGTAACAATAACTAATATTTCTTTTAGCCTTTGTTGTGCTTTAAAATAAAAGGACTATATTTTAACTTCAGCGTATGGAATACAGAGTTTTGGTGTCTGTCTTCACAGGGTTGTCATTAAGAGCCGGGGGCCGGGGATTCTCCCCGCCTACTAAGAGAGTGGCCCCCGGCTACTTTTATTGGAAAATAGAAGAAAAATAGAACCAAAAGAAATCCCTAGCCGTTTGATTCCCCGCCTACTTGTTGTATTTACCCGCAACTTGAAATCTTAGTGACAACCCTGGTCTTCAGATTAACTGTCTGGTTACATAAAGGCCAAAGCATTTTCAATTTCGGACTCTAAACTCTTTTTTTAACTGGGACTCATGACTTTTCACAAGATGAGTCCCAGGACTCACCATAACTATTTGTAACAAAATCACTGTACTTATACGTGATGTTGTCAAAGTAATGAGTTTCTGGTGTTGTGAACTTAGGTTTGTGCGTGTGAAGCATGAACCATTAAACTATCCCTCAAAACAAAGCCTTATGATTTTAGTCAAAAATTATACATAGCCTTGCTAATTTGTGTATACCAGTGATTTTGTTACAAATAGTTATGGTGAGTCCTGGGAATCATCTTGTGAAAAATCATTAGTCCCAGTTCAGAAACAACAAAAAAAATCAGTGAGTCCTAAATTAAATATGTTTTGTAACCTGACAGTTAATCTGAAGACAGATTCCAACGATCTGTATTATCTTTCATTGAAATTAAAATATACCACAATAAAAGCTCTTTTTAAAGCTTGTGCTTATATTTTTTCCTATTATGTTTTAGGTACATGCACCAGGATGTTCAAGGGAACAGACTATAGTTATAAAGAACTTCAGAGTTGTATAGTGTTCAGTCAAAACTGACTTTACTTTCAGTTTATTTAAATCTTCTAATAAATTATCATACTCACGCCTTTGAGGAGTGTGTATGGGAATAAAAGAAAAGTCATGTTCAAGGCCGAACTGATATGAAAGCATTTTTCTCATCTAAGCTTAAAGTGGAAAGAAGAGTGTGTTTTCAGAAAAACACTATTTATTTTGGGCAATGCATGGAGATGAATGAATACTGTCACTTTATGAATACAACCTCTTTCAGACATCCCAGAAAGTAGTTAAGTCTTGCTCTAGATTAATTCTTATACATTTGTAAAGAATATCGGTACTCTGTTATCTTTATTCTAATAACATAGCAAATCATTGGCCAAAACTGCAGTTTATTGTACATGAATGGAACTCACATTTTTAACCTTAAAAGTTTAATTACTATCAATAAGACAGCATTTTTTCTGCACTGCTTTCTGAATAATTCTTATGGTACAAATGAGAAGAATTTGTTTTGAACATCAAGAATTGTGTTAACGTCCTTTGTAAAATAACAATTATTTTTGATTAATCAGTGAAAGTAAAAGAAAAATCAGGGTGTTCATTAAGCATCGGAGATCAGAGAATTCTCCGTTTACTACACAGAATTCTCTGGCTAACGTGCGATAGCCTATTTCACAGTATTCTCCAGTAAAGTTACACCTTTCTCCTGTGACTAGAATTCTTAGTGAAAACCCTGAAAAGTAGGATGCATGCAAAAGGTTTTTAAATGAGTGCCTTGTGTATGGCCCTTGAACCTCTTGTCCACTATTAACTATAAAATATGGAAGCCAGTATTACTGTAGCAAAGTAGTTTTGCCTGATAGGTTCACAGTCGCAGCTCCTTTATATTGCAGAGGAAGCTCTAGTGTCTGTATTACAGAGGTGTATGCATAACTGCATTACTGAAGGGTCATTATTATATTGGCAGGGAGTGTGCAATGTATGAAGTTTGGTGTCTTTAGGACTACCGTTAAAACCCGTAAGTAAGAACCTGGTTTTTAACAATCTGTTAGGCTAAAATTTGCCCATTAGGCCCCCTTTTTACAAGAACCTGTTAGCCGAAAATTTTGAGTTAAGTTCTTATTTGCAAAATTTATAAAACACTCTGACTTGGTGTACATGTGGGCAAATAAGAACAGTCCATGCACTGCATAATTTATGTGGTAGAAAGAAAGGAGGGAAACCTCTGTTATTCAAGCAAACTCTAAGGTCATGTTTCACACTATCACAAGCTTAAGAGTTGTGTTTGGCCTGTGAACACTTTATTTCAAAGCTGAATACGGCTAAATACTTTTAGCTATGATGTATTTTTTTCTTCAGAAAATAAGAACCCATTTAAGAATCTAAATAGCCTAAATTTGTGTTTAGGCTAAATTGGGGAAATTTAGGTTCTTACTCACTGGTTTTTACTGCAGGTCAACTGTCCATATAGAGAGGTGTCTGTATTATTGAGGTATATGTTACAGGTCAAAATCAAATTTAGGTGAAAATTTTTTACCTGAGGTTGATTCTCAATTTTCTATGTCTCCTAGCCCTAACTCATAATTAATTAGGGCTAGGAGACGAAGAAAATAGAGGATCAAGCAAGGTTCAAAACTTTTAACCTGAATTTAATACATATGGAGGTTTGGTTATGACTAGTTAGTGGTATGCTGCTTATCCAGGGCTGTAGCTAGCAGTGGGCAAGACAAGATACTTTCCTTACCCCAAAAATCATTCATGCATTTGATGCTTGTAATCCTTACCCGATATGTTTTCACAGCCTAGCCACAGCCCTCGTATCTTCCACTCCAGCATACAGAGTGGTTCCCATCAAAGTTAACTTACTGTGACCATATCATTTATTGTTATTTTTTGCATTTGTACAGGCTTGAGCATTCACTTTTTAGATTAGTTTAAGGTATATAATAATATGACATTCAGGGTTCTTGTATCACCAAAGAGTACCTTAATAAGAATTAAGTATTAAGATGGAATTAAAATGTACATAACTTTAATTGAAATCTTTAAAACACGGACCTTTAAGTAGTTCGCCACAGACTTAAATTATTCATCTTTATTTTCATATCGTGTTGAGAACGTGTGTCTGTTTTGGGGCAACAAAGGAAAAAAGGATCTTGGGAAATTTAATATGTTATCCCCATTAATTTGGCAGTATGCTTTTTTCAGTTTTGGCAAGTTGGGTGGTGAAGTGCATAAAGGAATAACTTTCTCAAATTGCTGTTTTCTATAAAAGCAGCTCCTTCCATTTTGTCAATTTTCTGAAAAGAGATTTTTATTTCAACATGTTTGCAACTTATGGACAGGTATGTGTTTTTATATCATATTTCAAAATGAATGTACTTTTGGTTGGTTGAAAACCATTCACTGTTAAGGCCTGAATAACAGAGTGCTTGTTCGCAGGCCATACTGGTACGTGTTTAAATGCCTTGATTGTTTTCTATTCGCTGTTCCATAGATTATCTTGTAAACTTGCACTCAAGAATGCATGCAGCATAATCCATTTAGCATTTGAACCGGCTCTCTGGTAGGGGAAAAAAGGGTGGTGGGGTGGGGGGGGAAGATTTTGGGATTCTCCTATTCTCCCCACTCTCCTGACCGCTCATTTCTCTGGTCTCGTGTTTGCAGTCTACAAACTTTTATCTCATAAGGTGTGTCCCAATTAGTGAAGCACTTATGCCTCAGGCTAGAAGAGTTCAGCACTTGAATAAAGTTCTTATTGTTGTATAAGGACAAACCATCATGGCCCACAAGTTTGTTGTGCTGCACCGAGAACTGCCTTACATTGGTCTTTTTCAGTGATTCCAAGTTTAATAACTTTAAAGCTCCGGCCTTCAAGTAGTTGATATACTTAACTTTAGAAATTATGACAGGCTGATGTTCAAACAAGTTGCAGACATATTGTATGTGTGTTGTATCATATTAAACTGATGAAATACATGGAAACTGAATTATTTACAGTAATCCTTCTTGCACTTTGATTTTCTTTCATCTTGTAGACATTCTTCTACTCACTCTCTCATCCCAGCTAGTCCATTATTAGGGCTCCAATGGACCTCCTTGGAATATTTGACAGGGGTGTTTGGCTTTTCCATAGTATAAACACTCAACCATTTCTACAGTTACTGATCCTTGCTACACCTGTCTTGCCAAAAAAAAACGTTTTGGAAGTCCATTTTCTTCTTTCCGGCCTCTGGCCTAACCCTAAAGATTAACGATAACCAACAACGCGAAAAGGTTAAACTTACCGTAAATGCACGTAAATGCTCCCTCCTTCCAATAAGAGCCCCCCTTTCGAATTAGAATCCCCCCCTCCTCCCCTCCCCCCACCTTGAGTCTAATGATATTTTTAAAATAGCGTATTTCCTTGAATGAACGCCCAGGCGTTTATTTCAAATTTAGGCTAAAAGGAGGGGTTCTTACTGGAAGTAGAGACCTAAATCTAGGGGAGCACCGGAGCACTTAAGATTTTCTTCCAGCGAAGTGCAACTTTGTTACGTAAAGTTATAATATTAATAGTTTTCGTTTGTTGAAACAGTAGTTGTAATCAAACACTAAAACAGCAGGTGCATTGGTGTGCATGTTTATAAAATCATCCTCGTCAATGATATGCACATCTAGGGGTACCTTTTTCGCGAAAAATGGTATATAAAAGGGTAAGGGGATGGACCTCGGGGCGGAGCCTCCCCGTAACATTAGTTGAGTACCCCGCTTCTCCCCGGTTTCGCTCGCCGATGTTTGTTTGCTGTTTCATGTGCACCCCGTTTTTGCCCTTTTCCTCCACTGTGGAAACTGCTCCCAGGCTACATTTTCATTAGAGTCACTACATGTACAATGGGGTCGCTCATTTTCCAGATTTTAGAGGTAAGAATGTTCCGAAAATTAGGGGTTTAAAATTGGAAGGATTTTTACTTCTATATTTTATAGACTTTATACGTTCATCAAGTTTGCCAATTCATTTCAGAATGACCAGGTTAAACGGCTTTACAAGTAGATGCATAAACAGAAAGTGACTACATTGGGATGACGAAAATTACACTTAACCAAAAGTGACTGAGATGGGGCCGATTATTGACCACGGAAAAGACTGTGATGGGGTAGGGATTGTGAGAAACTGACCCAAGCCAACCCTCCACCACCACCACCCCGGTCGGGAGAAGCCGTGTCGAACGGGGTACACTACATGATATCATACCTGAAGTAAATACCGATTAAGAGCAATAATCAATATGGCGACTTCTATTATGGCGGTTGGTGTCGTCAGTTTTCGTGCGAGTAGTGAGCCCTTTTGAATGACTGATTTACGTGTTGACCATTTCCATGAGGTAAGTAAACTTTAATGCAATACAATACGCTATCGTTAGCGAATAGTCCGTCTTTGGCAATTTACACGTTGAGCATGCATGTTTCCCTTGACAATTCTTTTCACTTTTCAAGGAAAACTTAATAAACAGGATGAGCCATCCTCGATGTAAGAACCAAGCGGCTAACTGAGTTCTCTTTTTTAGAACCAAGGAACTGAATTTACTGTCAAATGGTATTACATTTTAATGGGAGATACAGAAAAGTTAAGGAGTGTGACTTCCTGGAACAAGCAGAAGACGAGTTAGCGAAGTTCCACCAAAACAGCTGTAAACCCAACAGTGTTCTTGTCTTTCCTCCTCTAAAAGCACATTATCGCTTTCTCATTCATCAGCTTGTTGGAGAAGATTCCAGGCTTCATTCAGTGTCCATAGGTGAAGGACAACAAAGAAGGACTGTGGTTTATTTTGCCTGTGCCAGGTATATGTTGTAGGTAATTTTTTTTAGGTAAATTTAATTTTTACTAGGTACAATTTTTTAACCTAGGTAATTTTGCACCACAACATTTTTTTCCATTTGCTATGGGGCAAATTCGTGACTCTTTTTTAACTGATATCAATGATAGAGATATTGGGTTTTGCCAAGATAAGGATATAACAATCTGAGAGTTCAAGATTTCACTCCAATTAGCCTGACACTGTCAGTCAGTCAATGTCATTTAGGGGATTAGGTCAAGGGTTGGGGCTGAGGGTTAGGGTTAAGGGTTAGGTTTGGGGTTAAAGGTGAGGGTTAGGATTAACTGATAGGGTTCAGGCTAAGGGTCAGGATTAGGGTTAGGGTTAGGGTTCAGATGTACTAGCAGATTGAAGTGGAGAAAAAAAGGGGGATAGATTTTGAAAATAATGGATGGTTTGCTGGTACTATTAAAATGCAACAAAGATATGCAGTGGGGATAAATTACCATGGCCAGTGTTTGAAAAACCACTCTAGTAGGGTAAAAATGAGGGAAAGAGATTGTCAACAACATGTAGCATAAAGAAGTGGTCTAAACCTCTCACACAAACATTCTTTTGGCTTATCACACAAGCTTCTTTTGAAGGAAAGCGTTATGAAGCCCTTAGCCTGGATGGGCAAGGAAGCTCATGACACTACTTAAGGATTCTGAAAATGAAACTCTGAATTTGATAAGAATAGTACTTTAGTAAAAGCCAGAATTCAACTTACAGTGGAGCTCTGCTACTAATCTCACTACTGATTAATTTTCATATAAATTTCTATTTCAAAATATCTATTCCAGATCAGTAACTGAGATGGCACAATCTCCTTCAACTTCACAAAGGACATTTTTTGGAAGAGGAAGAGGGAGGTAATTACATTCCATGCCATTACCTGACTAGGTTAATACCCATCAATAGAGTCCCTATGAGCAAATAAACTACTTGTTGTTTAGGTAGCATTTGACAGTTTCTTGGTCGCCTTTTAAAGTGAAATTTTATGGGAGAATTCAAATTACCAGTACTGGAAGACAGTTTTTTAAAATTCTGAATAAATTCATATGGGCCAAAGTTATTATCTGATATGTGAAATCTGCAAAACATGTATCACATTACATTATTTTTCTGTCAATTTAGAAACTGGATGGATTCATTTGCAACACAGGTGTGTAGCCACCGTGTTTGCCCATTAGCACTTGTCACTGCATTTAAGTTTAAAAACAAAACAATTCACTAAGCAAGTGAGACAACTATATATACTGTAAAGGAATCCACAAATTCCAGCTTGTCCTTTGGGCAAGCAACTCTCACAATTTGCTTACCTAGGGCCACTTCTTACTCATCTTAGTTAATGATTTTGTTAGTGAATAGCTTCCCATGTAGATGTACTTAGGCATTCGTCATTGCATGATGAATGTCTGAATAGGAGGCTAGTTAGTGAATGACCTACCTGGACCCTTGCTCATAGCAAGTAAACTTTAAAGAAGTTACTTGCCTGGCAAGAAAATCTACTTGTCCCAAACTCCTGGATGGGATTTGTTTGAGTCCTGCTTCAAGTAAACATAGTTTAAGGTACTGCAGAAGTCATAAGTGTTGTATGTGACTAATTCTTGCTAATCACCTTTCTCCCAGTCCCTTGCACCCCATTATTCACTGTTTTTCCACCAAGGTACCTGGTTTAGGCTAGATCACTGTCAGCTACTTAACTTACGTCTTTTGTGACATTCAAATCTGTAATTATTATTTTTGCCATGAAATCCTGCTATGAGCTAAGATCCCATTTGCAGCCATTTCTTGTAGATGGCAGCCCCTGGGGAATACATTGACTACTTCTTTTTGAATGTTCTTTGCTATAAATAGGAAAACAAGACGACCTGACCAGCAGCTGTATGCTCCAGGAGCATTAAGACAGGCAAGATGGGAACAGCAAGAGCAAAAGTTAAGTAAGGAAGGAGCAGTTAAAAGAGAGGAAAATGAGATTATTTCTACAGACAATGCTGCTGGTGCAGACGCATTATCCAGATCCACAGTAGAAGAATTCAGTGATAAATGTTTTGGACAGGAGTGTGACAGTCAAGTAGATGAATCTAAAAATGTGGTTGATGGTACAAAGGGATCTGGTAATATACAAGATCAACAGAGAAATATTAACTGCACCTCAATTCAAGGAATATCAAGTGGGAGTTTAGGAAGAGATGATATAAATCAAATTGATGGAAAGGAGTTGAAAAATGAGGGGTAACTACAATTGCAAGGGATTCTACAATGGCCACTTCTGAGAGTGCTCCTTGTTTAACTTACATCACAGCAAATAATGGAAGTGGTTCTTTTGACAGTCAGTTTTTAAACACAGAATCTAATGGTGACAAATTTGATGAAATCAATTACAAAGGGGTCATCGATGGCACTGGAAGCTTACAGATTTCTTCAACATGTGCTGATAGAGATAACGGGGCTGCCGAAAATTCGTCAGCAGATGCTAGTGAGGACTTTAAGATGTTAAAGAACAAAACTTGCAATGGCACTGATCGTATGACACTGCATAACCAATGTGAAAGAGCATCCAATGAAAATCTTGTAAATGAATTGAACCAAAGACAGGATGACCCCTTGCTTGAAGCAAGCAAAGGTTTGCTTGTGAAGGAAAAGACAAACCATCGTAATGGAATTAAATCCAAGGTGCCAGAGGATGGAGAAGTGAAATCTGATCGTTTATCTGAGGTTGTTGCTGGTGTTGATGCAAATCATGATGGTATAGCAAAGGTTGGGAATGATGAAATTCGCACTGTCATGAAATCAGTCTCCTACAGTGACGTACCAATGACATATGGCAGTTATGCTGTTGATTGCATCATGGAAAAAATCCAAAACAAAATCATTGGTCCTGAAAGTGTGCAGCAATCTGCATTATCAAGCTCTGCGACTCAAGAATACACAGAGTCTAATTTTGGTACCAATGTACTAACACTGTGTGAACAAATGCCAGCTGCTGCTCTAACAGACAGTCTGCAAGAAACATCTGGTGGTAGAACAGTAAGTAAAGATTATTATCCAAGAGATCAACATATAACTGTTAATAGGCATCCACAGGATGTGTCAGAAAATGCTAACAGGAAATTTGATAAGACTGCCTTGACTGCCTTAGCATTATCAGATTTAACTGGAAGTTACTCATTAAGAACACGTACAGAGGAAGTGACAGACAAAGTAGAGGTTGGGACATCTCAAGTAGATTATAACTCTGAAGGCAAAGATACAGTTAATTCTGCAAATGACAGAGATACTTCTTCAGAAAATACTAACACAAATTGCTTGGTTGAGATAAATAGAGAAGTAGAGACAGTAAGCTGTGATTTTGGTGGGAGAAATTTGGACAAGACGAGTGATGGTTTAGAAGGTAACTCGGAAGTAATGAGAGAAAACATTGAAGCGAGTTCAGGCAAAGTAGAAGACGGTTCAGACCCAATCTCTGTGATTTATGTGAGCAAAACTAACAATGAACAAAAACCTGAGACATCCAAGAAAAAGAAATCAAAGAAAGATAAAAGTATAAAAGAAAAAACAGATGAGAAAACAAAAAGCAAGGAAAAGGGTGAGAAAAAGAAAAAGAAAGAGAAGAAAGGTGAAAAAACTGAGAAAAGTGACAAAAATATAGAAGAGAGTGTTAATAAGGGAAAGAAGTTGAAGGCAAAAGTTTTGTCTGATAAGCATGATGAGAGAGATTTGAACACATGTGACACAGACGTGAGGGAAGAATTAAGCACAAGCACCAAAGCTGGTGAAAAAAAATCTCAAAGTAATTCAAATGACGATGGTGGTGATGACAGCGATAACTGGGAGTCATTTTATGATGAGAGTGGAGATTGTCTCAATCCAGAACAACTGGAAGAGGTCTGTTAATACTTAAATTTATATTTAAGGGAGAAAGGTCTTTGTTTTTATCTTGAAGTTCCTTAATTCATACTTTATAATTTCAGGATAATTTTTGATACTAAGCCAAGATTTTGTCACATTCCTAAAACTGCTGGGCAGTTTTGCCTACTGGTAGCCTGTGTACAGCCACCCCCTCCCTTCAGGGACATCTGTGATTCACCGTTGCTAATCGTGTACAGGAATAATTTTGGCTCATGCCTCATGTCATTCCAGTTTTCAAAATGGTGATTATTTCCATTGACTAATTGAGAGAGTTTGTGACGTTTTTAAAATCACTTCACTCTATACTGAGCAAGAAAAATGTTCACAAGCCCTTTTTGAACAAAAAGATGTATGCAAGCCTTCCCACTGGTAGCCTGCAACCAGGACGTATTTCCAGTCGTGTTGACAGGCTAGACACAACTCACAAGCTCGCCATAGCGTGAAATGTGACCTTTATATTTAAGAGTTTGCTTGAACAACGGAGGGATTCCTTCTTTTCTTTCTAGCATGTCCACTAGACAATGCTGAGGGGAGGGAGCAGCTGTACACAGGTTACCTAATGGTGCAGTATAAACGTCAGTTCTTCTAAAATGTTGTAATTGATTTTCATAGGAGGTAAATGGAAATGAATCTTGAGATTGTGGATGGGGACCTTTGAGCCTGATTTAAAGAAGTGTCCATTAAAAATAAAAAAAAGGTCTCAACTCCTCCACTGACAGATACTTAACCAGTCAGATACTTAATCAACCAAAGATGTCATATGATAATGTTATAGACATTATCATCACATGAAAGAAAATTTTGTCTCTCTGCTACTTTCTACAAGAGACATAAGTACAGGAAAGAGAAAGGCTTAGGACACTACACTGAACAGAAAATCACACTCTTTATCCTCAGTCCTCTCAACAATTTAAGTGAAACGTTTGAACCCAGGAGTCATTTCATAAGTAGAGGGAATATGATCGTCCAGGTGAGTTTAAAAGTCCTGAATAGGACTGTTGTCGACAGTGACTGAGACGTTTTGACAACCAGTACAGTAGTCATCTTGAGAGTCAAAGTGAGTTGTATCACATCAGTTGATGGTATTAAAGTCTTGTTATTGATGTGATTGGTCTATTAAGTCGCAACATTATTACAGTAGTCATGTTTCAAAGATGCTAAATGTCATTGGTGCATTTAGATCTGTCTTTTGTCACAGTTTAACGGTCATTTATTGTTAGTCAAATAATTATTAGCCGGTTTTCCAGTCATTACATCCTTGTCAGTTTTGCTTGAGGCCGTCAATAAGTTTTGTATGGTGCCACTAACTGTTAACTGTGATTGACAGGTTGTCAAAATGTCATATTACTGTCAACAACAGCTCCTGTTCAAGACTACACCCACCCGGACGATCATATTGCACCTTCTCAGCAATGTTACCAGTAGTGTTGTTTTGATATCTTGTCTTATATTTCAGTTGTCAAGGCTGACAGGAATAGACAACCCTGAGGTTCAGAAGACTCAGTATGATTTCTACTCTTTCCCTCCAAGGGATGTTGAACTGGATGATGAAGGTTTGGTTTTTGAACAGCAACCAGGGTTCTCAATAGATTTTTAAATAGGAGGTGATCACTGATAAAGTAGGAGGCTCTTCAGCAAAGCCAGAGGCGTCAAAACAAAGCAAAGAAAAGCGACTTAAACACAAAGTAAGCGGCTATAAATCCCAAAGTAAGCGGCGATCAATCGCCGGGTGCCGCCTTCTATTGAGAACCCTGCAGCAACACTAAAATTTTTCTCAGTATTTAAATCCCTTTCATGTGGCAAGTTAGAAACTAATCAAAGCCAGGGTGAATGCATTATAGAAAATAATGTAATTGATAGACAATTTAATATAATTATAGCAATTCAGACGACTCTCTCTCAATGGAAACCTCTATAAGACCAACAACTCAGTAAAAAGGACACCTAGAGTTGGTCCCTGCCTTTTTTGATTCTCTTAGTCTGTAAGATGGTGTCACTCTTACAGTACTTGGACACTAGTGCCTGTCCCAAAATTGTCCGTCTTAAAGAGAGTTGATAAGCTTTTAGAACAAGGAGAAGAGAGAGAAACAGGAGAGCAAGCCCGACAAAATGATTGTCAAATTTCACAAAATTACATTTTACACATGAAATTTTCAGAATTTTTCCTGTGCTTTCACAATTCTTGTGAAATTTGACATTCATTTTCTTTGGTGTTATTATGGATGACTAATAATTACATCTTTAGCCCTTGAAAAATGTAAAAAAGAATGCAATATTCTTTAAATTGTTCTGGTACAAGGTTTTGTGTCCACTGAAACTTAAAATTACTCAATTTCCTGGTGGATTCTGTCTTAATTTCTTGCACAATGAGGACCAAAATGATGCCAGACTGCCATCATCTTGTTACCCCAAATTTAAAGCAATGAAAGACCGCACCTGATGTTTCTAATAGATACTGGTAAATATAATGCAGTTAAGCATTTTCTGACCAATATAATTGTATGGTGGTCCTCATTTGTAAGTCAATCGTTTATCTAATGCACTGACTAGAGGGTCCAATGAGGCATTTTCAAATCATAAAACCTTTGATTCTCTTCTAAGTGGAAGCTAGCGAAAAAAATCTTAGTGCTTACTCTAACTTTAAAAAGAGTATTAATGCATCTTAAGAATTTTCCTTGTGATAAGTAGTATTCTTATGATAAACATCGTCATTGTATCTTCCTCAGAGTTTGGACACATTGTGGAAATCTATAACTTTTCCCCTGACTTAAAGACACAAGACTTAATGCAAGCCTTGAGTATGTTCAGGTACATCTGCTTTGTATTTATCATAAGTAGCTTAAATTACTAGTTAATTGTTAACAGTTGGTGACAAAATTGTTCTTACAGTGTGGTCATTGAGTCATTGCAGAAAAGGAGACAGTCTGTTCCCCTTTTCCCTTGCTTGAACTGCCTAGACAATTTCAATGATGGGCTTTGGTTCACAGACTAGTGGGGCTGAGGAAACCACAGGCTCCATTCCGTCAAAGAAGTGACGAGCTAAGAGAAAATTCTGTTCATTGTTTTTGGGATTCTAATGAATGAATGACATCACAAACTGGCCTGAAATTGCCACCTCAGCATAAGATTACTTTCACAAGTCTTGTGAAAGTCATAGGAAATTCATCAAAGTACTAACATTTCAAAGGAAATCTAACCCACATCCAAGGATGCCCAGAAGCATCCAAGGATTTCTAAGGATTGTTATTTATTAATATATTAGCATCAATTGTGAACAGCAGTCATTAGAAGGCAAAAGTTGAGTTCAATTTGTAAACATGGTAAAGTATGAAAAATATCAATTTTTTTCTAGGAGCAAAGGATTTGACATAAAATGGGTGGATGATACTCATGCTCTTGGCATCTTTTCAAGCCGCATTTCAGGTGAGTTGGTTATTAAATGGGCTCACAGCATTTGAAAATGGTGTTTTTGAGCCAAGAAAGCACAAGAATTCCCCAGCCTTTCCAGCTCTTACTTGTTTATCCCTGCCTCCTACTCAGGCACTTGGTAACAACTTTGCATAGAGGTGAGCGCAAAACTTAAGTGACTGGTGATCAAGCGTAATGGACCATACATGTACCATTTTGCAGTCTGCAAATTTTCATAGAGAGAGATGTATGGGTACAAGGCAGGTATTTGCAAGGAATTTACATTGTGCTGCTGAAAAAAAAAAGAAAGACTGGGTGCTGCACCTGGCCAAACAAGTGTGGTCCTATGACCACTTTTTTACACTTTGAAATCTTTGAACTGTTTTCTGAAACTTGCTAACTTTTCTTTTCCATTTGAAATGTTTAAACAGCTCAGGAAGCCATAAAGTTTTGCTCAAGTCCTTTAATGAAACTCAGACCTGTAAGTCAAGGGACACCAGAATCCAGGAAGAAAGCAACAAACTGTTTTGGTAAGATTATGTTTAATGTGTGACTTACAATGATTAGGATCTCATTCTTAAATGAAAACAGAGTGAAATTACAATTAAAGCTGTTCTAAAGCTGTGGAGTATGCCAGGTGTTTCTTGGTGTTGTGGAGTTTTGTGGTGTGGTTATTGTTCATTGTCTATTCACCAATCTTTTCTATGACGTCATCTGGTGATGGCACCCATGCACAACACCAAGAAACTACCTGTATGGCAGACCAACATTCTGATGAGTGTGTTCAGACTGGTAATTTTTTTTCTTTTCAACTTATCAACAATACAAAGTCATCGGAGATAAGTTTGCAAAAGGTGTAGGTAAGGCTGTACTGCAGGTGAGTGGTGAGCCGGTAGCTGTGAAACCCTGTCAACAGTAACAACCCACTCACCGGCAAAGCAGTATTTTACAGAGTCCCTGTAAACCAACTAACCCAACATTTCAAGCAGGAATTCACAGACCAGTATCTTTTCAATTTTAGAGTTAGCCACATTACAATGTGTACAATAATATTACCTTACATTATTTCCAGTGGTGGAATTCAACTGCACTGCTCATAAAATGCCAACTATTTACTAATCTACTGTTGTTTCAGAGTTCCTCCAACCATACAAGGAAAGACCACAGACCAGCAAGTTATTAGCTGACAGGCTGGTGACAGGTGCTCTTGGGATGAGGTCTAAACTGACCAGGGAGGACAGAGTCAAGGAGAGGGAAAAACTCAAGGAGGCCAAAAGTAAGATTATGTCACAAAGCAGTACTTGTCTGGTAACTGGCTATTTTAATTTAGTGTTCAGACTTGGATTTCCTAGCTCTAATTTCAACATCACTGGTTTGCCCAGGATGTGTGTCAATGAACAGGATCGCTACTTTAGGGTCACCAGACAAAAGAACAGAATATAATGGGCAAGTCAGGGAACACTGTTCATTGCAGATGAATCAGCACTAAGATCTTGGTCTTCACAGATCTGTAGACCTCGGGAAATCATTGCATTTCTATGCGAACTCGGTTTGTGTATATTTGATTTACAAAGGTTTGATCTTGAAGGGTCTTGCTAAAATCATTCACTAGGTCTGCCCACTGCAGTGACAACAGCAGTAAAATTTATTTTTTAGCTTTAATTTCTCAGTTTACAGTGTGAAATTGAGTGCCCCACCAGTGAGAATTATTTCTGTGTTGGTTTAATTTCTTTGCAGATAAAAAGCAGCAGGAGAAAATACAGAAAGCCCAGATGTGGGGAGATTAAAATCTCTTCTCTCACCAATGGATTGTGTTAATTTATTATTTTAAGGAAGTTTTATTCAGTGTACAGTTTTTTATACACATTTTATCATCATGATGTAAAAACGCTTAAGTCAACATTAAATATTATTTTCTCAGGCCTTGTATAAATAATGGTTACTAAAGCTGTAAAGAAATTAAAATGTCACATATTCAACTTTTTATTTACGGGGATGTATTTAGAAGGTTAAGCATAAATTAAAGTGGCGTCCTTGATAAAAAACAAATTTGCTCCTTTTAAGTCACAGAAAGTTCAGTTACTAAAGGAAACTCAATTGCAGTACAATCAAACTTCTACTGACTTTCACCTATTCACAACCACCACTCCTTTTCATCCCAGCAGACACATTCTCTTTTGTTTGAACCTTTCTGTGACAGTCCCCTCTATTCAACAGGCACTCTACCTCTGTCCCTGAAGATTACATTGTGAAGAGGGTCATCTGTGTTTGAAACTCCTCATCGAACATATAACAAATATTATTGTAACCTGAAGAGCAAGCATATTTGGCTGGGCAAGAGATGAATAACCCTTTGATTGCTCTCCTGCCATCTTGAATGATAAATCTGACAGGAGGGATGTCGAAAAAGAGGGGAAAAAATGCCTCCACTACTAGCTATGTTAATTTTAGACAGTTCACATAAGGCACAAAACTTCATCATAGCTCTAAAATACAGGTGGCTCTAAACACTTGAGTTTTTTGCGTGGGAGTAAGCGTAATAGGAGAATTATGTGCCTTGTAAGATATCAATTCCCTTAACTTTTCACAATTCACTTTACTTTTCACATTGCTAGTGTTACCCATGCCACCTAACACCACCCATGTGGACTAAACCACTTACAAAGTCATCAGTTAAATGCCTAATGATCAAAGGATGATCATAGTGGTTTTGTAATGCATGGGTAGCCTCACTCACTGGTACTTTTAGCACATTCCCATTTGTAATCATTTTCAAAATGAAGCTTGCTGAAAGTTAGGTGAAAGGGAAAATGAACAAGGGAATCTGGACCGTATTGATTGTTTCAAAAGGTTTTGATACAATAAATAGATGACTGAGACTTTCCAGATGATTATATGACGAGCAGGCTTTACAAATCAGTGTTAGCAAGGAGGTAGCCTGCCTCACAGATGTAATCCAACCCCAGCTAGTAATGACTGCAGAGCAGTGCCGAGATCCATGTTCTGGGCTTCAACAGACTCAACAAATTAATTACCGCATATAGGTTTGGATTTTACGTTCAACCTGATTGGTAATCGGACAATGCGTCATGAAGCAGGGGGCCAGGACAAGGATTTTGGCACTGGCTTGCAGATGGTCTTAACCAGAGGTTTAGTTTCATCTGCGGCACAGGCGAAAGAGAATATAGGAACTATAGTCATTCAGAAGACTCCCACCACATTTATTTTTATTTCTTTATCACAGTTTTAGGGAATGTATGCAAAGCAAATTAGTGCTATTCACAAAGTTTCAAATACAACATTCTCAATGAATGAGGCTTTCAGTAGCATTCTAATGAGCAGAGGACCAATGGAACAAGTATGAAAAAATTACATGACACTTGCATTTAAAAATAAATGCACAAAAAGATATTTACAAGGACTTGAAGGTCCACAATGATTGAAAGAAAAACTACAGGCTATAATTTTATTAATATAACAAGAAAAACTAAGCACCATGTTTTATCATCATATTCTGTCCAATGCTTCCATTGTTACAATGCTATTTCCTCTGATCACCTAAAAAGAATAAAAAATTTGCTGAGCCTAAGGGCAACATTTTGAGTTTAGCTAGGCAACTTACGAGACATGGAAGAATGTTAACACACAAAAAAGGAAATTTATAGAGAATTTCACTGCCAGCTAATGATAACTTTGCTGAATGAAAATGAAACAGTTTTTTAAAGTTTCTTTCTCCAACAAAGTTTATTAAGGAAGGTCAGTCCACACAGTCCGATGCATTTTTTAAAACCCTCTCTTTTCAAATTAACAAAGAAACTTCAAAACCTCTGTGTCAATAACAGTATTTTGGCATTGTTTCCAATCACCCATTACTAAGCTCCTGACCTTACAAATGTACATATTCTGAAGATATGTACTCAGAAGTGTATGCAATACTCTTATATCTCAAGGAAAAATGGGTTATCTTCAGGGGGTTCTAAAGGTCAAGTCTGTAGGTTGTACATGTAATAATACTGGTAGATTTCGATCCATTTTGTTTGCTTTATTTCACCTTCATTATGAATGACCAAGCTAAAGAATGCAACTGTTCATTCAATCTTTTGACTTGATGTTGCATTTTAATGAAAACAGAAATGAGAAGTAAGACAAAGGTCTGAGTATCACAAAAGGTGTCACTGAGATGAGAGGAGTTATGATAACAAGACTAAATCAGGGCGACTTTGACTTACCACCATTCCAATGTTATGTTTCTCTTGTGCTGAAACTTCTTCCACTGCTTCATCCAGCACAAGATTCATGAATGGATCAAAACCTCTGAGTACACCGGTCACATGTCGACTGCCATTTAGCTTTACTGAAAGAAATCAAGGTTATTGTTACATTTTACACTATCTTGATCCACACTTCAATGACTATATTTTGCAAGGACTGCCTAGACAAGGTCATTTTCATCCCAAGCTGGCAAAACAGCTCCATCTTGCACATGTAAGTATCCTGTTAGGTATAGTATTGGGTTTTTTCTCTATTTCATTTGTACTAAAAGAAGTAGCCATGAAATGAAAAATGGTTCTGGGCCATTTGAAAGTGAAATCATTAGACACCCTTCTGATTTCTCTCAACTTTAAGGTTGTGCTAGGGACTGGGTTGGTGTTTAATTGCAGTGCACTAAGGGACTATTGCAGTGGTGAACTATTACTCAGTTTCTGAAATAGCCAACAGACAGTGCAGTCAACTCTCCTGAATAATCTAGGAAACTCCAGATTTTGGACCATATCTCTCGGTCTCCAGGTTAAATCCTGAAATCTCCCGGAAAATCATTGAAGACTCGACTTTCCGACAATAATATTTCAACTATTCTGAAATGTTTAAGCTATTTTAATATTAACAGCGAATGTTTCCTCATAAAACTTCAATAGACCATTGTAATTTAAGCAATTTTGTTGCTTAACCCTTTTGTGCGCAATCGTACGAATTCGTACGATCGGAAGGGATCTGCAGAAAAATGGTCAGCGTACATTTGCATGAGTCTTGGGTAGCCTGTGGTGACTTGATCAAGAAAGAGAACAACATGGGCGACATTTTGTGTCTGTATGATCAATTTTGGTCAAATTTTCGATATTTTATCGACCTCAGCGGCACGCGAACTCAAATAATGGCGACGGAAGACGAAGATCTTTCAGCTTCGGTTATATTTTTGGGGATTTTTCGCGGTAATGGTCGTGTTTTTCGATGAGTTCTTCAGCGAACTACGAGGCTTAAGATTCAAACAGTTGAACTTTTAAGTGTGTGGTGCTGTCGAGGAAAGGTGCTGGATTTATAGGCTTGAAAGGTAACTCGAAGCAAAATTTGTCATTTTACAAAGAAACATATGCAAATAGCGCCATTTTGTATCGACCAGTCAAAGATTTTAGCCATTCTTTCATAGTTTTAACACCGTTTATTTTGCTTTCTTGGTTTCAAAATAAAGCTTGTGTGACATTGGATCGATTTTTCTCACTGGCTTTGATGTATGTTGCTGTGTGGAGTAATCATGCGGTGATAAACTTTATAGGCAACTATTTTGAGACACACTTTTGTCAAGTTTTTAATTTTTAAAAAATTCTCAAAAATAGGTTATTTGGTTTTCTGTTACCGAATGCGGGCTAGCTTCAATTTAATGTATCCCGAAACAGTCTAGGTCAATTTTTGACATCATACTATCAAGATCGATGCCAAGGAATAAATTTTTTGTTGGTAGTATTTTTAGCGGCCTTTGCCTTCCCAGGAAATTGCGCACGAAAGGGTTAATATGAACTGTTTTATGGGGTATGTACGTCGATCAGCTCAAAGAGTATTTTTTGCACAAATGACGTCAAGTGCTGTGTGATATGATGTATCTGTCATCCCTTCCCTATCAATTCTCAACATTTAATGAAGATGTGGGGGGTTGACAGCCCTGCTCACAGACAAGAAATTGTTAATTTAGTCCCTGCTCCTTTAGCCACAGTGACAAGATTTCCTTATAACACCATACATTTATTATGCAGGCAGTAATTTCACACTTTTTCTCACAAATAGTTAACATGAGTAGAGTTGAAACATGTATGCATAATAACTGTATCGGATAATACGGAAATCTTACCACCACAGTTACTCAGTCCCTATTTTCAAGTCTTTTCCTTTAAAGATAAAGATACTGGGTGATGCTCAATATACCAAGTGAATATATGGACTATTGTCTCCTTCTCCTGTGTGAATTTTTGTGTTATTGTGTAAGGGCTAGGGATCATTGTTGTGCTCTTTGTGACTTAACTCGAGACTTGCTATTCACTTGGTATATCGTGCACCAACCAAGATATTTAGGTCCATAAATAAAAGAAAGCCAAAACAGAAGTAAGGCCAGAATCAAATACAACACTTAATCATAAAACATGCAGTTGAGTTCACTTACAAGAAAGTCTTTTATCCATGTACCTGAAAAGAGGAAAAAAAGATATGCCGCAATCAGCTTTTGTCTTGTGCTATGAGATCTTCAAGCGCACATAAAGAGCTACGAGACATGCAGGTGTTGACACACCACTTACAATGTAGTAATAAGTTACTAAAGGAAAATGAATTAAGGCAAACGATGGAGCCAATATTTTGTCAAAAATGAAGCAAAAATGTTGCTAATAAGTTATGATATTATCTTCTACCAAAAAGCCCCAAGATAAATTAAACAAGGGAGCGTTCATTGTCACACGAGCTTGCTGTTTACCAGTGTTCACTTTGCACATGACAACTAAGTTCAGGTGGGGAAAACATCATTAATCGACGTTCGCGCAAAAAAATTAACATCTTCAACTTTCGAAGAAATTTCCAAAGGACAAACTTACTTTTTTAACTCTGGCGGATGTGTTTTACTCATGGCTGATTTGGCCGATTTTGATATCTAACAAACCTCTCTCCCCAGAATGCTTCAAGTACCTTCGCTTCGTGGACGTTGCTTTACCGCTTGAGCCGACAGTCTAATGTTTTGCGGCATGCCTAGTACGTCATGTAATTTTGAAATCATTTTGCGCGCCTCTATGAATTCTCAACAGTTGACTGTTTAAAATTATTTATTTTCAAATGAATACAACATTTTGCGCATATCAAAATCTTCCTTTTCACCGCAAAAACGGAAAAAGGGACAACATTTATTACCAGGTCATTCGGAGGCCGACGAACGGCACCAGTCTTCGTAGAGATCTGAAAATAATTCGATCTCTGGTTCAGAGGGAAGGTTCAAGCTTCCTTGAAGTTTGGCGTAAAAATACCAAAAACCCTGTTGGATTTGACAGTCAGCACTTGTTCTTCGACAGATTCAGAACTTGCTACACTAGTTATGGCTTTGAGGGCAAGCCAGAACTTTTATACCAACAGAATTCGAGAAAGATTGAATCTGCTCTGGTTTTCGAGAGCCCCGTGGATCAGACCTCATTTCTTGACTGCAGTGAATCAAGAGGGTACAAACCTTGCTTGCTTGCCGTCACGAAAGATGGCTGGTTGGTCCGCCATGACTTAAAGACAGGAGACCTATTGGAGAGGGTCTACTTGTCAGTACATTACAGATTTAAACATGTGCAATGGGAGTCTGATTTGCAAAGAGTAGTGCTAAAGACCGTTCACTTCTCTAGTCAAAACAGACCTTTGATGTTTCTCTCATTTTTAATGGTAGCTCCTTTACAGTTCCTAGGTTTGATGCCTATAGAGAAAGCTATATTTGGTCAGGACACTGTTGATGCTACTGCAAGCAATGGCTTTTTGGTTATTCTGCATCAATCCTATAGAATCAGATTTTACAGCCTGTTAGAAACTTTTAAAAAATACAGTTTTGATGTACAATTGGGAAAAAACTTAGGAACCTCATCATCTGATAACAGCATACGGGAACTGACTTCACAATTTGGTAATACTTGTTGTGATCCATTCATTGTTGGAGCAGAACCAAATGGAATGCCTGTCAATATTTCATTTTCATCAAAACCTGTTGTATTGTTTGAGGTTACAAGTAATCAACATTTGATCTCCTTTGGAGGGTATCCATGGCATTACATTGCTTGTCCTCAGTCATTTCAGGGTGTTTTTCATGTTCGTTCAGTAAAAGACTCAAATCTTGTAAAGGATGGACTGCTGCAAATGGATTCAATGTCTGTTGAACCGGATCAGGCTTATTTCCATGCTGACAACAGTGGCCGCATCATTCACATTGGTCCCCACACAATCAGGTACGTTTGGCAACTAATCAATGTTCAGATGTGCAAATAACAGTCGGCCATCTTTCCAACTAAAATTTCGCATACGAAACAAAATCCTCAACTGGACAGTTAAAATATGACAGAGTATCATTTTAACGCTGAGGATTTACAGTCAAACCAGGTCAAGCGTTCCCGTCGCTAACAAACTAATGAATTCATTAATGGAAAAATGATTTCGTTTGTTGATTCAATAATCCATTCATAAAATGAATAATCCAACGGTCAAATTGTACCTCGATTCAATAATCAAATGTTGATTTGGTTTATGAACAAAATCTACCTGTTCTTTATTCTTGTCTGTTGTGTTCAATCGTATTTGCTTCCCTTTTCCTGCCGTTTTACGATTGCGTTTTCATTGCCTTTAATCAAAATAACAGCTAGAATAGACAGACCGCAAAACGCAAAGAAACTGACAAAGGCCCAGGATCGAAATCCACCAATCACCGCACATACACTGACCTCAGTTTGACCGTCGTCTAAGAGGTCAGGCCTAGGTCTGTTGCACTGATTAACAGCAGCAAACTGGCCATCTGTAACAGTTTGTTTGGGTTTGAACTTCAAACTTTCTCAGCAAAAAAAGAGAAAAACAAAATTCTGAGGTTAACTTGTGGAACAGTAATCGAATCAACATTCAAATGGAATCGAGGCTAAATATGACTATTGATTATTCATTTTATGAATGGATTATTGAATCAACAAACGAAATTTTTTGTGACTGAATTTTAGTTAGATTAATGAAATTGACTTGGTTTGACTGTAATTGTGTTTTGTCCAATGAAATTAAAAGCCAACATACTTTACACCATGCTCGCCGATCCTGTTTTTGTCTTCTTGAGTGTGGAGGAGAAAAGGAGGCTTTACCTGACATCTGGGAGGGTGGGGGGGGCTACTTTAGGACTTTTTGGGTGGGGGTGTGCTGTAGGGACCCTGGAATCCTTAGCCTCTACTAGAGCTAGTTCAAGTGAATTTTTCTACCCTATACTAGACTAAACTCCCCAAATCCCCCCTATCCTAGAGTAGCTGTTTTCCAGAAACAACTGAGGTCACTTGCACAGTCCAGCCAAAACAAAACTGATTTGATTTTTTTGTATTCTTGAGTGGTAATTCCCTGTTTCCCTAGTCTAGACTAAAATCTTCAGCCATCCCAGTTGATAAGTTTCAGTGGAAAATGATACCCTCTTCTAGACCCAAATTCTATGATTTATATACCCTTCACAACGGCACATACCTGTATAGCCCATATATGGCCTGACATGCATCAAGCATTAATTTTTTGAAGTCCTTGAAGGTTAAACTTTGAGACTAGTCAATCTTGTTCTTACTCATCAAATTCGTTTCCCGAGAGCAAGCATGCATTTATTGACACACCAATGGAAAGAAAGGTTCTTCTAGAAAGGTGAATGTATACCTGCACCAAAATAAAATGCCTACAAAATCTCATGCTTAATTTCAATAAAAGATTTAGCAATGCAATGCAAGTCTGTCTGGAATATCAAAACAGCCACTTCCAAACTCCCTCTTGGTGAAAACGTTTATTAATAGATTTATAACATTTCAGGTGTTTCAAGTTGTGCCCAGTGGAATCAAAACGGTCAGCGTTTGAACTCAAAAGTTGTTTTTCGCTAAATCTGCACAACAAAAACAGCTGCTGCCCTAAAACAGTCAGGTACACTTCCTCAGGGCGAGAAATTAAAGCCAGAAGTGATGACCAAATATGTAACATTCCAGATGAAACGGTGTTAGATATAGACTATGAAGATGAACTTGACCTCTTAGTGGTTCTTCACTCAAATGACTCTGGAGACATGCCCTGTGGAGTAATAGGACTGTATGATAATCAAACAGGATCTCTTGTGCAGGAAACTGTAATTGAAAATTGGACTCAAGATGCTGATCATTCTATTATGATGGAGAAAGACACAATTGTTCACATAATGAAAGATCCCTTCAGGAAATTTTTCTGCACTGTTTATCGTCTCACTCCCTAAAAAATGTACAAAACACATAGTGGCTAGTCAGAAGACGTTTCATTTTTTTCCATGTGTGATACAGATTATTTGCTAAAATGGCAAATAAATTCAATTCTCAAGGGACAGAGTAGAAGTTAGCCTGTGCCACAGACAAAAACTAAACTCTGTTTAAGTCCATCTGCAAGACAGCGCTAATACCCTTGTTCTGGGGCCCCACCTATGTACCAGGTATTTGAGTACACATCATGATTGGTCTGTTAAAAAACCATTGTCAATTTGCCAATCAAGTTTAAAGGAAATTTGAAAGGCACTCCAAGCAGCCTCGTACTTAGGCCGGTTCACACTATCTGAGTTACCAGAGGAGGCTTGGAATCGAGTGCGATAGCAAATTTTCACGACAAGCTTGACAGGTGATGTCACATCCAAAATCGCCGAGGACGACTGGGAAAGAGGCTGCACTCCAAGTAGTTTGCTGAGTCCGTTGGGGGGCCCAGAACAAAAATCTTGACTTTGCTTTACTGACGTTTCTATCAGGGTTTAGATTACATCTGTGATGCACACTGTACAGAGGTACTCCGTAGGAATGTTGTAAGAAGCTTGATGTCTTTGGGGACTAAATAAACTGTCCATAATAGAGACATGTACTTATTGGGAAGGTTTCTGGGGAGAAATTACACTGTACGTGTATATGCTTAGAGTCTTACATTTTGATTAAAAACTTTCTGTGTTTTCATTTGTCGTCCTGTATTTCTTATGTATTATTATCTTCTGATTTGCTGTCAAACTCACAAAACTGCTAACACTGTCTTGAAATCTTTCATGAATGTTTTGTTTTAAATCAGGACAGTCAAGCAAACCCCAAACCACAATCTGAAACACCTGATTGACTTATCCTTATAAATATAATGTCAACCTCTCAATTTCCCTTTTTAAGAGGTATTTTTAATCTTTTCATATTTCTTCAATGAAGTTTGCGATTGTGATTGAAATTCAATAATATTGCTGAAATATTTCTTATGTTCACAGTTTTCTTAGCTTCACAGTGAAAGACAGTTGGCCGTCTTACATGCGAGTAGGGCACCTGAGAAGGAAATGATAACTCAGGTATTACTATTATCCTGTTCATCATCAATAAAAAAAGATTCTTGTTGGTCCATTTAAAACTCGGAACATACTTGCAGTAACAAAATAAAAGGGTAACATAAATAGTTTTAAGGTGTAACTATGTGACTTAATCTAAGGTTAAAAAAAAATAAACAAAAGCAAAGAAAGAGAAAACTGTTTAAAGTCTCTTTTTAATAAATGGCTACATTTTCATCAAGCTATGTCGACCCCACTGGAGTATAAAATCTGGGGGGGGGGGGGGGACTTAACAAAATTTTGGATTGGGAGGCTTTGGCCTGAGGTCCAAACCCTTAATCTTCTTAAATATACCATTTTTCACACAAAAGGTACCCTTTCATATATCTTCTATTGACAACCGGTACCCCTTTCACTTACAAGTTTAAAATGCTGCATCCCTTTTAACCGCTGTAAATGAACCGTCTTCTAAATACGCATAAATCGCTAAATCAGAATGTTTTCCTATCTTTTTTACTGCCATAAAATGCACCTGTTATTAATTTTAGGTCCTTGCACAGATCACAATGAGTAATTTCCCTACCCTTTCATATACTTCAAAAAATAGTGAAACCATTAACCTTTTATACACCTTAAGCCTAAAAAAGGTACCCCTTCTGGGTGGAGCCTCCCTGTATGGGCCACTATAGGGAGTACCCCCTCCCCATAATCCATTGTCAGCTTTATATGACATAGACGTTAACTCTGGCGGAGAACGTTCTTCAAATATGCATTGTATGAAGAAAGAAAACTTACGATATAACTTTTTGGTGAGTATTTCTCGGTATGTGTATAATAAAGGTCGATATCGAGTATGTTGATGTCATGTCTATATCTAGTTAGAACCTCTATTTAGGGACACCCTCTGTTTAGCGGCCAGTCATCAAAGTTCATACAATGCCATGGGCAGATAGTGTGGGCGAGGGAAGGTCTAAACGGGCGGAAAAATTGGCGCGAAGAAAAGAAAAAACGGGGAGGAGAGCTGAAACCCCGCCGTTTAAGGCTTAATTTTTCTTCGCGTCATGTTTAGACTTCCTCGCCCACACTATCTGCCCATGGGTCTCCGAGGATGATACAATGCATATTTGAAGAAAGTTCTCCGTATATGGCCATGTCCTAAGCTGACAATGGATTTTATTTGTTCGACAAGAATGGAGATTTATGACATATAATTTTCTTTATCTTATTTCAATGTTACCTGCCTCTTTACCAGTCTCTTGGTGGTGTGAACAGCAAAAAACATAAAATAGTACTGCATATTCAAGATTGACAAAAACTGAACAAGTACAAATGACACAATGTCTAACCAGCACTGGTTTCTATAGACTTGCCTACAAGTCGAGCTCAAATTTTTTCCCGAGAGCGAAGCGCGAGCGGTAGATTTTACTACCGGAACCGGAAATGAGAAACGAAGGACTTTGAGAAAGTCTACGGTTTCTACAAAACCGCTGAACAAGGCCGATCGCTACAGTTTTAATTTAGCAGCAGAGCTGAGGGAATAACCCCGGAGGACTCTTGTATAAAATAACTAAACCGCTTGCATTCTCTCTTTATGTTCAGATTTAGTGAGAGGAGTGCAAGCGCAGCGCGCGCAAGCGTAGTGTGGCCGGAAGCGCCGCGCGAGGTGATTTGAGGCCCGCGCGTTTCGCTCAAAGGGCTACGAAAAAAGAGACTGCTCATGCATGTAGTCTAAAAAATATTAAGCAGGTGTGTTCGTTAGAAAAGAGAAATACTTAAACTCTTAAAGGAGACTAATCTGGGCGTAGATCAGACTTATTTGTCTTTACAGACCCCTTAACCATGGGTAAGGAGACCTGACTCCAATTGCATTTGCTATTCTTATTTAAGGTGGGTATTTTCCCTAAGGAACGGACCATTACAAAAAGTGATGGGGGTGGGGAATTTTCGAGCGGCAGGAATTTTTTTCTCGCTAATTAAAATTTCCCATGTATGAATTTTTCAGGCCAGTGCATGAATATTTACATTTTTTCAGGGTTAATCGTCGTGCTTGAATTTCTTTCGTTTAACTTCACGCCCTTTTGCACTTCTCCGGCGAGGGGGGATCTGCACACAGGCTAGAACAGCGTCAGTGAAGCCGAAATCTGCATTTTCTACCCCTTAGCAAGACGACGAACATCCGGGTCATTTTTGCCTTGTCAATCCCCACCCCACCCTCCCCCCGTCTCACATTGGTGGAAGAAGACCATTATCACGCAGCCTCGATTTTGCACCAACCGTTTGCGCGTCAAGCCTTGGATCGATTTCCGCCGCTCTCTCGGGTCGGGCGTCCGAACTTTTTCTTCTCCGAGACGAAGAGGGAAGAAGGAAAGCGGCAAGGGAAGAAGGACCGTCTGATCGCAGGTTATCGCTGTTTGAGATCCTCCCCCCGCAAAAAGACCAACACCGCACCCGAGGGAGCGGTGGAAATCGAGGGTTGAATTAACCTCCCACGCAGGCGTTTTGGATCAACATTTTTGTCTCGTTTTTATTTGTAATGAATTTTGCTTGATTTTATGCGAACAAACAAACTGCACCTTGCATGAGTCTAGATGGCGTTCACGGGTTAATGTTGGAGAAAAAAAGATATTTAGAATGACTATAAAGATGTTACTACGAAAGAAGGACTCGAAACAGCAAACAACGATCTTACTTTTATTCCTTATTGTGAGTTTCAACGGGAAGGCTTTGCTAGAGAATGGCTACTCTTAGGCCTCTTTCAATTAATTCTGTTGCGAACTCTACATCCTTGCAGAGCAAAAAGTTTGCCGGGGAGGGAGAGAGATTATCTCCTGCAGGAAATTTTTTTTTCACTCCAATTAGAAAAAAACAGCATCCTGGATTTCACAGTGGTTTAATTCTTTGGTCCACAGAGCGGATATCTGCCTTTGTAGATCGACTTATTCAGTCAATAGCGTAGAAAAAAAGACTCGTATCTACAAGATACGACAGACTTCTTGAATGTTATTGAGAGTAAGGGAGCTGGTATTCCGTCCCTCCCCACAAATGAAAAATCGACGAGAGCCCCTCGTATCGAGCTCGGTTGCCCAAAAACTAAACGCCTTTTTAGCGTGAAATGAAACGAGGCCAGGGTTGAATGGTCTCGACGCCAACACTCGTCCACTCATCTTTCATCAAACTAATTAAATGAAACTGAATTTGTTGCAGATTAGTTACCTGACAAAAAAAGCGGTCAATTCATTTTATAAATGTGATGGTATCCGCTTAGTCTAAGGATTACGTTTACTTCGGGTTCTGCTGAAGTTCAGTCATTGCCTATGGACTGTTTACGCTCCCGAGTCAAAAATGTTTCGCAACACTTGCACACCACGAGCCACTCCAAAAATAGTTAATCACTTTTGAAATAGATTAGAAGTCTTGCAACATGCTTCTCAGTCTTACTTAGTCACCAACATTTTAGCCCAAGTAAAAAATGGATTGCTTTCGACATGGGAGCAAGTCAAATTGAAATCGGCTCCTTCGCCACCAAGAAAGTACCCTGGGCTACACAGGCGATCGGTAAACATAAACTCGAACTACAGGTACGAGCCTTATAAACCAGCTTAATTTTAGTTGAAGGGGATTATAGGTGTTCGAGGTGGGTAATCTGTAAGGGAATAAACGAATTAAAAATGCAATATTTAGGAAGTGTAACCCCGGGAGTGTAACTAAAGATTTTAGATGAATAGTGCAAGTGGCAGTCTCGATTGATCTGGAACTTTGGGCGATCACAATTTTTACTTCCGGTATGTAGTCAGTGCAGCCCGGGTAAATAACTTGGAATTTAACGCAAGTTTGTAAAATGGAAAAAAAAATGAATGTAGGGAATCACCCTCTGTGGCATATATTCAATTGCTGATGGCTGGCCATCTTGAACTAAAAGCTTCTGCAAACCAGACAACTTCCGTCACGGCTTCTGAAAAAATATTATTTGACGCCTAGATTCCACTCGACGTACGTCACCACAGCCTCATTTACATATGATGAAGTCACAGTTTTCGTAATTCAATAGGTTTTGATGGTGGCGCGGTGACTGTTTTTTTTTACGGTGTTCTGTCTCCGTTCGAATTATCAACCGCTGTAAAAGTGTTTACTCGCAAAAGCATTCATACAAATTATGGCGGTCTAGGAATTTCTTCTTCACGGTGAGTTCAACTTCATATAAATACGTGCCATTTTATATGTGTATAACATCGATGTTGAAGTGATGTCATTTCCCTCGCCAGATCGTTGACCTCCGGTAGGTACGAGACAGTATTCCACATTCGCTATATTTTACCTTCAAATTTTCTTACAAAAGAAACACTGAGTTGTTTTTTATAATTCACAGTCAAGCCCGCCCCGTTGAGATTTTCTCTTTTTGTTTCTAAGTGTAAAAATCCTTCACAAGCCGTTTGGTTATCGACTGCGTCGACCTGCATAGAACTCAAAGAGCTTAGTAAAAATATTTCTGCCTCATAGTTAAAGATATTCCTGTTTTTTTTTTTGCACGAGTCCTTGAAAAAGAAAATCTTTTTCGGGATCACAGAAAGGTCTATAATCAGTTCAATGCTGGTTGGTAAACTTTTAGATTATAACAGCGAAAATTTTTATTTCTTTCTCGACCTTTGATATTTCCGACACGCGCTTCGTTGTCGAGATCGAAGTATTTTTTTAGATGCTTGATTTTAACGTAACCGTATCTTTGAAGCGAACTGGTCTCTCAAATACGTATTCACTAAACCTTCCTAATTTTTATAATGCTAAGGTGAAGATATGCAGAGGTTTTTAATGTGATATCTTTCATAATTTTATGGTTTACTCAAGCATTTTATCATAACTCTACGTCAGCCTTAGTTATTGTCATCGAAGTACAAAGCATGTATAAGCTGTGACTCGTGTCTTGCCAATTATATGTTCAGCGTAATTAATCTGACTGTATATTCTCGTGATTTTGTATTGAGAACTAAGAAAAGGTTTTCTTGGTGTCGACTTCATGATACAGGATTTTGTAATATTTTTCTCTCACTGTGGTTTTTACTTAAAGTAAAATTTTTGACACGTTTTAATATTGCCTTACAACATGACGAATATCACAAATCCACAGAACTGTTGCTAAACAAGATTAGCTCAGAGTTGTATGTAATGATTTCAAAAACTCTGATTATGCCACCGCGACTATAAACTGTTATAGCGTTGCTTACAATGTTGCATTGTAAAATTTAAAAAAGTTGAACATTAAACAGCTATTTTTAGCCAAGGGTTGATATTTTAATCTCAAGTGTTGTTAAAAATGTTATGTCACTTATAACTTATGTTTTTTAATATTCAAATTCTCAAAATGAATGTCCATGAGATTTTATTTCAACCAGGGATTGTTCTCATGAGTGTCTTCGTCTGAAAAGTAAAAATTGTTTTCTGGTCAAAAAGTGCTCCTTTGAGAATTTTTCTCAGGCTATATTTTTTTTACAGTAACCACAGGTGCAAGGTTCCTATCAAAGTAATATTTTTGTGGATATTGTCTCAAATAATAAAATGATATCTGCTTTGCTGTTTGATTAAAATTTTTATTGGCATGGGTACCATTAATAATTATTCAGTGGTAAATATAAATTAATATTTTGGGATATTTCAGTTATGCATTGGAACTTGCCTGTAGCCAGCATCCTTAGTGCCAAGATGATGGTCACTGGAGGGAGTTGGTTGGTTACAAAAGGCTCAGCTATAACACACCCCAGCACTTTGACTCGGAAATTTTGTATATACATGTAGCTGGTCTTTTATACATGTAAGAGGTGGTGCACATGGAAGGAGATTCAACTGTAGTCTCGTTGAATTAAAATTTAGTTACTTAATATAGCAAACAAGTAATTGTATTGATATAGATATGAATGAAGTATTTTGATCTCTCATAACATTTTGTAAATTTAACTGATGTGAATTGTACCATAAAATTGAAGAGCAATAAAACCATAGTGGTAACACTTTTTATTTTCTTACTGAAGTTATCAAATTCTTTGCTAGAGGAGAAAAAAATTTGATAATGTTTAAGTTGATGGACAGTATTTGTGAATAATATAGTAATATGGTAACTGTTCCTCACCAATGTAACCAAAAACGTTGTGTGCAATTAGAAAAGGAACTATTTTTAGATCACATTTTGACTGTCATTGCTTTAAAGAAAGATATTTTTGTATTGCATATGTAATTAATCTTGAAAAATAACAGTTTTTTTCAACAAAGTTCAGCTACTTCTTACAGTTCAAGTATCCTCCAATGCAGTGTATTGATTGAACATTGGTAGTCACTATTGTTAACTGAAGATTGTAACTTGAATGTACAACAATTTCACATGACATACTGTCTGTCATAAGATAAAAACGAACTTGTTCTGAGTTCATCAAATTTATGTCATCAGGTAGGGACATGATTGTGTTTACAAGCATATTTTCTTAGGTTTTAGACATCCATTTAAACACCTCTTAAAAGATGTAGTGAAAATTGCAATTAGGACAATATACGAAGGGCTTCTAAAATCCAATTTCTGTTTTGTAGTATGTCACATTACTGAGCTCTGATAGTCACACTTCCAGCATAGTAAACTAACAATCATATGAGTATCAAATTAATAATAGTCAGTTAGTCTGTACACATGCTCAAAGCTTCCAGACATTGCATGAACAGTAAATTAGCATTTAATGAGAAATGCCACTGAGATGCAATACTTCCAATATTTATAACAGCAATGCATAATATCACATACCCAGCATAAGCTCTTTGAGTTAACAAAGGACAATAAAGACCATCTTGATTCTTGTTAGATGAGAGTTATTTTTACTAAAAACATTAGAATTTATTAACTGTAATGATAAAAAAAGTGATTAAAATGGAATGTTCATACATTGTGTTATTTTAATGTCATAAATTTCCTGGACAGCAAATTTTTTATTGCATAAACTCTTTTTGGTAGAATTTATTGGAGCTTATTAATTAAAATTTTTACAGTAACTTTCAAACTCTTTTATCGTATATTTTGCTTTTATTTTGATAGTTCTATATTTTGGACAATATAAGCCAGTGCTAGTGAACCTTTAGGAAAATTATAATTTTGGGCTTAAATTCTAGGTCAGCTTTAACAAGCTCATTCTTGCACTTAATTATTGTTAATTAACTAGTTAAATGTCATGTTTTTTTGTTATCAAATTTTAAGTAGAGGGTTATAATTCAGAATGTTTATGTATCTCCATAAATCACAATGCTTCTTTGTATTGCAGAAGAAGACCTCATATGAGAACCACTTCCATATAGTTACTCTTCAGAGGCTCCAAGATTGGTGCATTTAACTGAGTTCAACATTAAACAGTTAACTGAACACATCAAGTTATGCGGGAAAATACTCCTGAGAAAGCTACAGTAACTGCTCCCAAAACACTAATCATGACTCACAATGACAACAACATACAAGAGAAATCTATTGACAATCATTCCATAGAAGCAAATGACACTGAGATTTCTACTAAAGTGAAGCACAAGGAAACCATGAGTGATGATGTGAAAATGCATAATTTTACTGAATGTTGCAGGTGAGATTAATTTGTCTATTCTTGGCCAGATAATTACTTATGAGTATTTCCCTTAACTGAAAAGCTCTTTCCTTTTTACCAGATTTTCTTATACTCAGAGAGTTACTGCTTTAATCTTTAATTTTCAGGCTAGAGTGGCAATAATATTCTGGATCGTTCAAAGTCTAATACTAGTAGCTTTGTTTAATTAACCATGATTGCTACATTGTATTTTGAGCTAAGAAACAAAGGAAGTGAGAAAGTTTTTCCTTTTTTAAATGCCTTGACACCAACAAAGTTGTATAGCTAAGTTTCTTAACTGTCATAGAAACAGTTTGCCCAGAAACGTTTAAAATAACTTTTACATGGTGGTAACTTACTTAGCCAGGTTAATCATGTTGAAAAAGATCACATGATAGCATGCACAAAAGTATTAAACTCATGACTTCCTTTGCTGCGGTTCTGAGAGATCTTTGATCAACTATATTATTCAAACATGTGCAGATTAACTCCTGATCTAAATTCAAATCCCTCCTTTGTTTCAGAAGCATGTCCAAGACATATCCCCCATAAACTGTAAAGAGAATCAAACAGAAGTCGATTATCCGGCCAGGCACTCTTTTATTCATTCAATGTCCATGTTCATTCAGTGTTTCCTGTTGATGTTTTTGAGTACTTTTTCCAGCCACTTAAAACTGTGTTAGTTATGTTATGAGCAACTGAAATTAGTTTTTGTTAGATATGGACAAACTACCTCTGAATTAAACGGATGGCCCCAGGGTTTCAACGATATAAACATATTTGCGGTCCCAATATCCGAAACCTTTTTGGAAAACAATAATTAATTTTTCCAGACTCAAGGCTATCAAATACCATGTAGGTGAGCAATAGAGACTTTAGAAATCGCAGGAACCAAGATGTTCTCATGATGTAACTGTGCAATGTAGACAAAATGAGAATTCTAAAACTTTTCATTCTGTGATTGAGTGTCTTTGTTACTGCCGAGATTGAATAATATTTGACCACGGGAAAAAAATTACTAATTTTGAAGCACTTTTTGTAGCTTTAAACAAAAAAATCCAGACTTTTTACCATTGATCTAGCCTTAATCTGTGTTTTCCAGACTTTTTCCAGGTCTGGAATTAAACTTTCTCATAAACAGCTATTTGATTGCTTCGCAAATTTCAAGACCTTTTCAATGATTCAAGACTCTGTGCGAATCCTGTTTCTGTTTCTCGTAAAACACAGTTTTTATCTTATTCAATATTCATTGCATTTACCTTCCGTTTTCGGTTTGCCCACAGAATGTGGATGTGCTCCCACTGCAGCAAGAGCTTTGCATCCTCACGTGCTCTCAAGATCCACGAGGTAAAACAGCACGAGAACGCCACTCGTCACGTTCTTAAATGCGGCACGTGCGATGAGGAGTTCGAACACGCGAATCTACTGCATATCCACATGCGAGTCCACCACAACGTGAAAGTGCGCTGTCCGCGTTGTAAGGACATTTTTGAACACCCGAACGTCTTGAAACTGCACTACAAGACGCACCATTCAGAGCCAGTTTGCGTCGCCTGTGGTTTAAAATTTGACCACGACAAACTCTTGCGACTACATTTGGAGCACTACCACAAGATTGACAGCAAAGGGGGTAAAAAGTGTGTTACAGCATCCGGCGGCAGAAAATCCAAAGGGAGTGCAGAAGAGGAGATGGCTGTAGGTGTGTGCGGAGAAAGCATGGCCGCTGTAGATCAGGGAAATGTGGACAGTGAAGTTCACGAGGAAATGCGACAAGTGAAGGAGGACGAAAGCCGCGACGAGGCAAACGGAGTTGTTACCAACCAATGGAATTACGATGATGATGCGATGTCGCATGATAGCAGTGATTCCAGGGATGAAGGTAGCAGTGATGTTGAGATAGAAGACATTGATAAAGGATTTGAGCCCGGGTTTAGGGAGGCAGAGAGCCCTGTGGCACCAGAAAAACAAGACCAAACAGAGAGCCACGTGAATTGTCGAGGCCAACCGCAATGTTCCAGGTCACCTCACCAATGTAAGGGAGAAACAGAAAGCTTTTTGTCAAATACAGATAGCGGAAGCAATGAGGGAGATGTTAAGAAGGAAAGAGCCTGTGTTTCCTCAGTAGCCGTTGAGTGGCAAAACCCAACTCGGCCAAGGAGATCCTCTGTTATTGTTACCACTGGCAGCGCCTCACCACCCCTTACACATAGCAAACATAAAGTGAAGGAACTCCGAGAATGTACACAAGAGACACCCAAATTTACCCTTATTGTTACTGACTGGGATGCTAGTTCCAAAGGAAGCCCACGGTCTCCGTCAGGATCTTACGCGGACTCGCCCGCTTCAACGATGTCGGGAGACGAGAGCGGTGACTCCGAGTCGACCAGTCCCAGGGCACGCTCGGCAAAGCGTGTTACCACACTGCGCTGTAATCGTTGTCAAGAGGAATTTTTGTCTAAGATGGAATACCTTCATCACCTGATATCGCATCAAAAGGGAGATGAGCTGAACAAGACGCAAAATAATATGAGTCCAGAAAGTAAAGCCTTCGAAAAGCTCAAGTCAAGTCTGCGAATCAAAATGGAGGTAAGACGAGAAGACAGGTCAACTGATGACGAAACCCATGAATTCGAACGTGAAGTTCAGAAAGGAGCAAGTCCTGGTAGAGATACTGATGATCCGATGTTCTCACATATATCTCGTACAAGCCCACCTTCTTACAAGGAAGCCCCGTCCCGAAATTTGTCCGTTCCTTGCACGCTATGTAGCGAACAATTTTCCGATTGGCGAGAGCTCAAGGCTCACGTGGAAAGTCGCCATAAAAGACCTCACTGCTCCGAGTGCGGACTGCAGTTCGATCACAAGAACTTGTTAAAGATTCACATGAACTCGTATCACAGCTCTTTGGACGTTCTGCAGTGTTACCAGTGTGGAAAATCGTTTGGTAACCGCTCGGAGTTTGTCAGTCACGTGACTTCTCACGAAACTTCGTTAAAAGGAACCAAAGACATAAGAAAGGAGCATAAACCTCTCCGACGAATGTCGAGCGCGCCGGTGCCTGGTGAAAACTTGAGTCGATTTCGCTCGCAGGGCCCTATGTTATTGGCAAGGGATCGTAGTGGAATCAGCTGTGATTTGGGCGACAACGGTGAAGTCAAGGAGCGAGGCGATCAGGTTTTACATCCAGTGAAAAGCCAAATTGACGACTCAAGACCTTTCGTTAATCGATTGTTTCCAAGTTATGGGGTGTTCCGCCATCATAAACAAGAAACTATTACGTCTCAAGAACAAGGTGATTGGCATCGTAAAGTAAAAGGGAACCTTTTTACAGTTCCAGAGTCCAAAACGAGGATATTTCTACCAAAATGTCACGAGGATGTAGGACATGACCGCGAACATTTGGGCGTCAAAAGACGGCTACAGGACGAGAGAGAGGAATTCTCGCCAGGAAATGCAAAAGGTGATTACGTCTCGAAGAAGCCAGCTTCTTCGGAGGAGGCTACAACAGCTCGGATTTCAGCCTTTTCTGCATACGAAAGAACTAGCCGATCCGACGAGGTCACGAGGCATCCCATATTAGGTAGAGCGAAGAGGGACCGGGATGGCTTACCAATTGGTGGGCCCCCTCCTTTGATCCCTGTAGTTCATCCTGGAATATCCCATAGCTTCGCGCAAACGTCGGACGCACGTTTACTGAGAGTACATCGTCCCGTAACCCGCACCGCGTCAGCAAATTCAGCTCTTAGATACCCGAGGATGTTACCATTCCCTACCCAGAACCCTACCTTGCAGTCCTCAAGATGGGGACCAGACTTAGAGCCAGCAGTGCCTTCAAGCCCTGTTCGGGATAGCCCGAGGGATCCGCCAGAATTACCATCTCGAGAGAGTATCAACAACATCACAAAAGAGGCTCTTCTACATTCTTTGTCCCTCAGGAGAAGAGCTAGTGCTCCCGAACTCGGAGCTCTAGTAAAACCCCTTGCCGAGCCTCGGAGTCGTGCGGCCCCGGAACCAATTAAAAATCCTCCTGGAAATAGCCTAAACAATTCCGAGAAGACTGAGAGCGCCCTCGCTACGTCATCGGGGCGACTCCGCCAGCTCAACGAAGGGTACCAGCCGAGACGAAAACACCCGCGGGATTTTACTTGCCACCACTGCGGGATTTACTTTGGGCATAAGAAACTCCTTAAGATTCATTTGGACTGCTATCACGGCTCTGCACAAGAGCTTCAGTGTCTTCGCTGCGAAAAGAATTTCTCCAGTCGCTCGGAGTTCCTGGAGCACTTGATGTCGCACGAAGGTGGTGATGAACTCCTGGCTATTCAGAGAAAGCGTTTAAGATTAGATCGTCGTTCGTCTCTTCCTCACGAAGGGGAAACCGTCATTAGACACGAACTCAACTCCACTGTCGCAAAGGAAACTACACCGAAGAAGGAAACAGTCTTACGGGACGAACCTAAACTGGCAGATACCCCAGGGGAGCTTCGAAAACCCCTCCTGAATGAGTTAAAAACGCGGACTTTCGAAGACCCCGTGGAGAATCTGAAACCAAATGGCGTGGATGTGAAACGAGAAAGCCGTGTCAACAACTTGAAACTCGGCAACGAGAGACGCGAAAATGACAGTGACGGTGGTTCGAATTTCTGCTTCGTTTGCGGGCAGTCGTTTACCAGTGGCAAGAAACTGGAGCATCACATCTCGTCGCACGCGGTGGTTGACCAAAATGGCCGATACTGCTGTTCGTTGTGCCAGAAGTCGTTTGACCATCATCGCAAGCTGGAAATCCACACACGCAGCCATACGGGCTTTAAGCCTCACAAATGTGAGTTGTGCGGACGGTCCTTTCCGTATTACAGCTCTTACTATTATCATAAAATGACTCACACTGAAGACCGGCCTCATAAATGTGGAGTTTGTGGTAAGGGCTTCATACAAACGAGGTATCTGCGGTCGCATATGAAGACACACAAGGAGCAGAATGGGTGGGCAAGCGACGAGGAACTTGATGTTGATACCGTCGCCGAGCAAGTAAAGAAAAACGATGGCGCGAACAGAACTAAGAACTCTCCTTTTCGCGAGACTGAGGCACAGATTGAAACAGAACCGACAGATCAGGAGGGTTATTCTTCCCAGGGAGAATTAGAGGAGCATGATACAGCGAGAATATTGTGCAGTTTCAAGCAAAGTAGCAACGTAGGAATGCAGACGCAGAGTCTGTCTAAAGATGATCAGAGAGACAGTGAACTGCGCGATGACTTGGTATTGGCAAACGGTTCTCACAGTGAGGACACTCCAAGCGTGAATCAAACCGAAGAGGCGAACTTTGGCGCTCTTGAGGATAGTCAACTTAAAGGCACTCAGGGTCTTAGTAACGCTGCTGACGCTGCGACGAACGTCAACAAAGAACCTACTCAGGGTACAAACGATGAATCTCCTAAAAAGACCAAGAAAAAGAAGTACAAATGTAAACACTGCGAGAAAAACTTCAGTTCTTATAGCAGCCTGCACGTTCACGTGCGCATCCATACCGGTCATCGGCCGTACTCGTGTAACCACTGCTTCAAGAAGTTCACCCATTCCAGTGGGTTAAAGCGTCACGTAAGGTGTCATACGGGAGAGAAGCCGTATCCATGCCCGGCTTGTCCTTCGGCTTTTGCAGACCGTGGTGCTCTCAAGTCACATATAAGGACTCACACAGGGGAACGGCCCTTTGTCTGTGATTTCTGCAATAAGTCTTTCACTCAACCGAGTTCACTTCGAGTGCACAAAAAGACAGTGCATGCTCACGAGTTTTTCGATGAAAAATGACTTCAAATTGTCCATTTCTTACGCTATCTAGATGTTTTTTTCTCGTCAAATTTTAGATTTCTTGTAGACTTATCTCGCATTCAGTGATGTAACGTTACGAAAAAGAAAACGAAAACAAGTTCAATAGACTGCTCCTAGTCTAGGCAGTGTTGGGCTTATTTCTATCTCCTACTAACGATTGTAAATGGTATTTAATTGCCAAATTCTAATAGTTATTGGCTTTTTAAAAAATGAATTAACATTAATTCACAGAGAAGGAATTTAGATTCAGGAAAAATCTCGATTAATTTTCGCTAAAGTTGGTGAAGTTCCAGGTGAAACAAGTGATGTCCCTAACATTTGGTTCCGACTTGATCAATAGTAGAGTTCGATTTTAAGTTAATTCTGAGTAATAACAACGAAGAAAAGAATAGGTGGATATTAACTTGACTTATAATGATATCAGGTGTCATGACTTGCTATGTATAATATTTAACCACATGTAATAAATTATTTAAAGTTTTTTGCCTTGCCCGATCAAGTTGAACAATTTACTGTTTAACCTCTGAAACGGCCACCTTGGGGACAGAGTAAGGTGGCCGTTGTAGAGAGGTTGAAACAAGAGTGAATGTATGGAAACTCCAGGGAGAATGGGTACAAGCTTTGGTTGCACTAATTTATGGGATCCCAGAAATCATTGCGCCGAAGGTTTTTACCCATTCTTCTTATAGTTTCTGCTTATTAACCAAGCCAAAAGTGGAGAATAGGATTGACACCTTCGAAAGCAACAAAATTCGGTCCCCTCCCAGTTAAAAAACCAATGATTAGCATCAGAAACAGTTGAGTTCCATACTCACAAAATAACGTATTTTGCCGAAAATGCTAGTAGGTATTTGGAAAAACGGACCCAAAACTCATGCAAAACGAGCAAAGTGGAAGCTTTAGTTACATTCTGTTGTTAGAGCCACTGACTTTTGTTTTGCATGGTCGGGTATGTTTAGAAGGCAAAATTTCTCGATTTTCTCTCCTCCAGCTACGTTTGCCCTTCAACTCTTAATCCTTTGCGGGGCATTTAATAGGCTTAGTTTTAGTGCAAAACGTTTTCGAAAAATTACCCTTATGGAAAGACGGTGGATAGTGGGAGATTTCATTAAAAAGCTGACCAACAATGGATTCCGCAACACAAAGAAACACCCAAGAAAACGGTCACCAACTCAGAAAAGATCAGCGAGCTAAACGTTTGACTCTTTTATTTCAGTTTGATCACAGGTTGTCGAAAACTTTTGCCGAAGTCATTGTTTTACTTACTACAACCAAAGTTTACAATTATCGAAACTTGTGGTACATTTGACACACCCTGAAATGATTAAATTGTTTTTCCAGGCTTCTTTCTCGAGTCTAATAGCATTTGTTAAAAACGGAAAATAAGATTAATATTGTATTGCTTGTATGAAAAATTATACATCCTGTGAAATGAAAAAGTCGGACATTCCTGGATCTCCAGTCATCTTTAGACACTAGGAAAGAAAAGAATACAGAAATGATAAGAGGAGAATTATTTAGAAAACTCATGGAGAGGGGAAAAAACAACCGTGCTACTAGCGAAAGGGAAGTCAATACTTTAGATACAAGAGTGGTTGAGAAGCGGAGGAAGTTGTGGTCCTTCCCATGACTCCCTGCGTGATTTAAAATGAAAACCACTTGTCGCCCGCCCAAAAAGGCCGACTCGGAATCAGAATCATAATCCATTGTTCTTCTGTATCTTTTTGTATGCGTTGGTCAGAGAAATACGACAGAAAACGAACCAAAACAGCATTAAACCCCGAAGCGACGTGTTAATGACATCCAACTCCTTTGCTCTCCCCGTGAGAATCCACAAAGTTTTGTACGGGGGAATGGGGGCGAGGGAAGGCTCCACCCCAAGGTCCAACCCCTTACCCTTTTATATACCATTTTTGACACAAAAGGGTAACCAAATTCGAATTTTGCATCCTTTTTTCTGCTGTATTAAATATGAATGAATCACAAACTAGAACGTTTTCTCGACTTTTTCACAGCCACAAAATGCATCTTTTAGCCCTTGAAAAAAGGTACCCCTTTCGAGAGAAGCCTACCCGTATAGGCCATTCTAGGAAGTACCAAACCCGGATTTGCTACGCCCTTGTAGAGCTACCTATAGTTATCATCTGCCTGAGTGGTACACCTAGAAGAACAAAGCTTACCTTCTCATTTGCCAGATGCAAAATGCAAACAAAAGCGATGGATACTGACAAGTTCTTGGACATGTTCTTAGAAAGTTTGCCAGGCAGTTTATCGTACAGTTCTTTGAACGAGCAAATTTGTGAGACTCCACTTTCTTCCTTTTCGTTCCTTTGCTGGTCTACAGGAACATTTTCCTGCAAGAAGAGAAAAGCGTTTTCGGGTAAACGAGGATGCATGCATCGCAACTGCTGCACAGTTTGTTTGGGTGTTTAACTACATTCCCGGGGAGAGTAATATTCCACGAAGAGGGCTCAAGCGGAACAAAGAGGTCCACCACATTAAAGATCAAAGTAACATTTTTAATCCGTTTGGTCTTTAAACCCTTGCTCTTCAATTTAGCGAAAACACACGTCTTTATTATTCCTTTACAATGGATTCACGTGAAAAAAAAATTGAAAGGTTAACCGAGATTTCAGTCCTCACCCGAGTCCTGGAGATTGCTCCGTGGATGTAGAAGTGGGCCTCTACCGAGGGGGGAAGGAAAGGGGGCAATGCTTGGGGACGGGATGCACCGCCAAGGCCTTCAAACCCTGATCCTGGTTGGGACAAAATCCGTTCATCTTACTTCCCTGTTAACGATTAGAGATTAGGCCTATTTATAACATCTTCTCTGTTTCGTTAATTTGGAGAGTCAACAGATTTTTTCAATTGTAAACACAGACCTCACTACACATAAGGCCGCGCATTACCAAGGATCACTACCTTTTCAGAATCTGGTCCAGAAAGATGTATATCCTGCTTAAGGCGTCACACCATGAACACTATAACCTCTTTTGGCGGCAAATACCCGTTTAGGATAAGCAAGGAAGTGTCCACCCCACCCCACCCCCTCGCGCGCTTTTTTCGCTCGTCTACACTGACTGAGAGCGTGACACAGGCTAGGGCTCTTAATGACTGTTTACTTATGGTAGAGTTACAAGATTTTCAAGCTTGAATTCGGTACTCATCACTAGCATCTGCATCTTGGGCTAAAAGATAGGTCTAAGCTACCTCCAACGACTTTTAAAAAGATCATCTCAAACAGAAAAAGGAGTTAACGTTATTTAGAGTAAGGCTGTAATAGGCCATTTGCACGATGACATCATTTTACTACTACGACCAGAATCCTTCAGGGTTTTGCTTTCTTGTGCTAATTAGGGCTTTTTATTTGTTATTCCAACCTCACTGGGATTACAAAATTTAAATATGAAAGGAAAAATGAAAAGGATTTTGGTCGTAGTAGTAAAATGATGCCATCGTGCAAATGGCTTATAGGGACTCAAAAGAAGAAACCTTCACAAACCTTGTTTTCCTGATTATTATCAGTGAGAAGACCCCACATAACGCTCTTTAGCCTTTTCACGTCCATCTTTTTCGCGGTTTTAGCATATCCAATATCGATTTTCTGAACCTGGGAGAATAAAGCGATAGAATTAATAACTAAAAAAGGTACTATTTAGGAATTTTCCAGAAAACAACTACGAAAGCAACAAAAAACAAAATAAAATTCGTTTCCCTTCATCTCTTCTAACCTATTGTGGTAATACAAGAGGCTATGATCATGTTGTAATAAGTCGGGGAGGAAAGGACAACAGTGCGTGTCCTATTTGCATTATGTAATAATATAAACAGAAAGCTCAGACGTCAGCATACGCCGCAAGAAAGAAACTGGCTGCCGCTATCGGTCAATTTAAGAGCTTACTGTAAGACATGTGTGATAAAGTAATAACAGAGGTATTTAGACCACACCACCGGGGAAACTTTCCCGCTCTTTCCGAACAATTAACAATTAACCTAAAGTAATGAAAGAAGGATTAAACAGACAAGGCGAAGCCCTTGACAAAACCATTGTCACTTTTCCATCCATGAAGTACCTAACCCTAAGCTTTAGGCTTTAAATACGTGTCATGAATGAAAAAGTAATAGTTGCCTCGAGCTTCTGTTTCAAAGCGACGCTGAGTGCGAAGCCATTGATATAAAAATGATTTTAATTAATTATTTTATAGTACTACTTGAGAAATTTCTGCAATTTGATTGGCTTAGAGCAGTGGTATTTCAGCTTAATTTGAAATACCTACATGTGAAAATTACAAACCTTGTGTGGGTAATAGTATAAACAAATAATAGCATGATTTGTACGCGATATTTGGCATAAATACCACTCTTGTGATATTTCAAAATTGTCTCAAATTTCACTCGCCTAACGGCTCGTGAAATTACGTATAACAATTTCGAAATATCACTACAAATCATGCTATTACCTATACTAATCTCATGCAAAAATCATTTTTACAAGAAAGGTTTGCACTTTGCCTCGTTTTGAAGTGGGAGTCTTTGGAACTGGGAAATGGCCTATTCATTGATTGGTCCACAAGTTGATGTACGACAGTACCTTATTAGGCTGCGCAACCAGGCCATCCCCTGTAAAGAGCGTTTGATCCACTACGCTCTCGTTCGTGAAGCTAAGAGCCTGGGACGAGGAGTCACCAAAGGTGGTATCCTGAGACATGGGAAACTCTGCTTGGGTGAAATCTCCACCCGGTACATCTCCTGATCGATCACCACCATCGAACACATCATCATCATCGCCGTCATCACCCTCCTGAAAGAACAAAAGAATTCAATTGGCGTGGCTATCGCTAAAAGATAATTTTAGTCAAGGTGTTTAATATGAATACATTCGTTACCGTTAACTACAAAATTGGTATGCCTGTCACTCCTGAGTAGGGACCTAACGAAACTACAACGGCGACGGGAACGTTAAAAATCAATAGGTGCAATGAGTTCTTCAACAACTCCGCACGCGCAACACGCTTTTCTCTACATTTCTTTGTCGTCCCTGCACGACTACGACGTGAAATGACCAAGTTAACTTGAGAACGGGAACGGAAAAGGGATAAATTCTACCATCTCGGGGTGCGGTTCCACTCTCGTGAGCTCCAACCTAAATGCCCTTCTTTTAAGTAACAGAACGACTTGGGATAATCTCAAAAAGTTTAAAGTGATGAGAAGTCTATTTTTCAGCGACGTTTTCATGGACGTCAACGTTGTCGGATCGTAAGGTCCCTAGTCCATGATTTATCACGCAAGAAAGAGTAATGCACTATACGGGGTGCTAAAATTATACTTATTTTTTAAAAGATATTAATTTTATTACAAAGCTTTTTTTTCAGTACAACAAGAAATATGCGCCTGATTGTATTATTATTATTATTATTAATGGAGCAAACAGACCAAAGCGCCTTATTAATTACAATTACACTTCACTTGATGGCTTTTTCTGTCGAGATCGACTTGTTAGTTGCAGCAGCAGAATTAAAGGAGGAGGAAGATAAGTTCCCTTTGAACTTCGGTTCATACATTACGCCACGGACCAAAAATTGACCGATCATGGAGCGAGAAATCACTAAGATTTAGCTAAGACATAGAACAAACTGATTATATCGTTCATTGATCAGAGGGTTACAGTTAACCGTTTGTTGATAAGCAATACGTCAGGTAAAAGCTGCCTACATCGTTAAGTTACATCATAAGTAACAAGTTCGTTCCCAGGAGCGGTAACCTTGTTACCAGCTTCCGTCCACAACTAACTGCTCACCGAGTACTTACTTGGAGATCTGGGCAGTAATTGGCACAGTCGTTGGCATTGTCGTAGTTGTACCATGCTGTACCTACGAGCAAATCCAAAAAATCAACAATTAATTACCATAGGCAGTGAGGCTGACAAGAGAAAACAACGACTGACAGAAGCAACAAAGTGGAGGGTCCCTAAAAGGTTTTTCGAGATCCGGGATTTTAAAGCAAAATCGTGGCGAGATTCGGGATTGGAGGACACACCTTGCGAACGGCTCCTACATTACCGTTGAAGGTATGCGTGCGAGGTGGGATGCTAATAATAACTATCGCGATTACGGGATTGAAGAGCCCGATGGACCCCAAAAAATGGCTGCTGGATTAATATTCTTTTGTTTAAATTAAAATTACATGTAAGTTGACTAGCCTCGCTTGAGATAATATATTCTTCTGAATTTTGTACTGAAGAACGAGGCTGGTCAGGCTAATTTAAATTTAAATGCATTTATATGCAATTTAAAGGAGTTAACAACTAAGAGCGCCTTACGTGCCAGAGGTCAGCGGTCTTTGGCAAGCGCATGCCCAGTAGCTGACTACATAGATCACGCGATTTATTGGCGCGTTCAGTTTCCTTCGTGGTGGGGTTCTGACAGCCGTTTTCTCTCCCCCGCCTCCCTCTCCTTCCCCTAGGCTTTGTTGTTTTTTCTCCACTGATGTTTTCAGTGTGACGGGTGCCTGTTCCTTTCCTTTCGTGTAGGGGCTAATGGCTGGGTTGCGCTGTTGTGCCAGTCATGGGGGCATTATTTCAATCTAGGGGCTGGCTGCTAATAGTGGAACCCCTGGATACTCCAGGCACCCAACCTCTATTTTAGCGATGCAGTTGTTAAACAATAGAATATTAATCAGGCAGCCATTTTTGCATTGGGTCTATTGGGGACCAACAAAATGATACATCCATAATAAGACTCGAAAGGTGCAATATTTTCTACGCAAGGCGGTTTCCAAGCACGTATTGAGCGCCAAAAAGTAACAAATCAAATCTAAGGTGCCGTAGTTTCATTTGTGCTGTTTGCTTACCACCAAGTCATAATTTGTAACACAATTTTTTTTTTTGTGGTAACTTTCTTAAGAGCTTTTGCAAGTGAAATAGCTAGCCCTGTTATTTCCACAGTCAACTATGGAGACATGTCTCGTATATTTAACTTTTGAGAATGTGGACGAAATCCTATGGTGTAACCATTCAAAAGAACCTCTCTAGCAGTACTTTCACATGGTACTATGTGTTTTTCTATGTTTTGCAACGTGAAATTTAGTATTTTTCAAGTGAACAGGTCATAAAGTAAGCTCATCCTCTCCTTTGGCGCACTTACCTTCGTCTCTGAGTTCTGTTTGTGCTTGTACTTGTCGCTTTACCTGAGAAATGAGTGTGTCATAGAATAATTAAAAAACAAATACTAAACCAGTAAGCTAAGTATTTCTTGAAACACTACAGGAAAGTACAGCACTTCGGAATTTACGTCATGTTTGACTCAAAGAATAGCTGTGAAGGTGAATGAGTAGGTCTTTTAGCAGCAGATTAGTACAATGAACAAGGCATTATTGTCAAATGAAGACAAATGATTTCAATAACATAACTAATTCTTGAGAACTGAATACCAACATTATTTCAGTCAAGATTAACCCACTACTGAAAAAGAAAGTCACGTTCGGTAGCCCGGGACAAGCAGATCAGTTTTGTTGTTGGGCAAGTACCTTTCAAATCTTACTTGTCTAATCAAATGGGAAAATGTCCAGGTAAGACATTCTACAAGAAAATAATTAACTAAAACGAGTAAACAGTGGCCCCGGGAAAGCAAAATGCATGTGAGCGTTGGAACATTCTGGTTTAAAATGTACTACATGGAGCAGACTTGACGTGCATTGATACCACTCGGAGACTGAGGAGAGGGGAAACGCCGCTAATTCTTTATAATTAGTTTACTAGTGGAAGGAGAGAATGAGATTCACATGAAGGCTAAAGAAAAGATCTACTTGCGTTTCGAGCCACCCTTCCCTCCTGCTATAGCCATCTTGCCAAACATCTGTTCAAAGACGTAGGCCATGTTCATCTTTCTCTGGCTAATTAACATACAGAACCCATGAGAAAAGAAAATCTTACGGCCTGTACTATACAGCTAGCCAGTACATTATAGAGGCACCTATTTTTTCAATAAAACCTGTGTCTATCCTGCAGAGACTTTTGCAAAGACGAATTTCTGTGTTTAGCAGATAGTAGCTTCATTTCTGCCAACAAGACAAACTAACACTCAAGTTTATTTCTGTCTTTATCACATAATACGAGAGGTGTTATTCCAATGTGCGACAAATACAGCAAAGAGCGACAAGACAAGTGTTCTGTACAAATGCGACAATTTTCTAACAAAGTTCGACAATTATAACAGTGACAGAGTGCGATAGAAAAAGTTTAACAATGGCTGTGTGATCTTACTAAAATACACCGCACATTCAGGAAAGTTACCTAGTGAACTACAATAGCTTCACAAAATCTTCCGTAATATGTCTACGGCAGCGAGTCGAACAGGTCTCATCTTCCAACAGTAAATCACGGGATTCAAAGACGAGTTAAGAAACCACAAAGTCAAAGTGTATAGACGTAAAATCTCTTTAGAGGTACTGGTTTTCGAGACTGCAAATATAAATAACCTACAACAGTCTGGCAAATAACAAATCACAAAAGCTAGATACACGAGCAATGTTCCGACAGCAAATTTTCTTAGACTTGCTGTATTTGCCATTTCGCCATCTTGTGGTGCTTGCTGGGCTTGCATAGCTCGAATCTGGTTTGCGTGGCGTCGTAACGTTACATATATCCTGTAGTTAATAGCCGTTGTAGCTAAGAAACAGCAAACGTAAATCGCGTAAAAAATCAGGTAGCAAATATTTTTTGGAATACACAGTCTCAATGTTGCGAGACTGGTGCTAACAGCCCACATCGTAAACACCACCATAACAACTCGCTTGTATGTCACAAGTTCCTGGTATCTAAGATGAAGATGGATCGCCAAGAATCGATCTGCGCTTAGAGCCATCACTCCAAAGAATGAAGCAAAAGTAAGTAAATTAACTACGAACAAGTACACTTTGTAAGTGACATCAAAATACCGATTGCTTTGGGAGTTTTCCTCGAACTCAGTGACAGTAACAGCGATGTACAACGGTTGTGCCAGTAAGCCAACAGCTAAATCAGAAACAGCTAGACTCATAAGCAGTGGTTTTAAAGATTTGGGCAGCGACGAAGTTTTTCTTAGAGCATAAATTGTTAAACTGTTCAGCATGATGGCTGCATATGATGAGCAGGCGTTGAAGACGCAGTTGGCAATGTACGACGAGTAAAGATCTTTATCTTCTTTCATTGTCAAGCTCGGTAAAAGAAATGGGCTGCGCTATCTAAAATCACCAAATTAAAAAAAAATGATACTGAGAGAAAATATGGACCGATCTTCAAAAAGTCATTAAAAATTCATTGAGAAAAAAACAAGAGAAATTAAGACGGAATCCATCAGAAAATTGAGTAATTTTAAACCTTGTACCAGAATAATTTAAAGCATATTGCGTTCTTTTTTACATTTTTCAAAGGCTATATATGTAATTAGTTATCTGCAATAACACCAAAGAAAACTTCTTATGGGCCCGAGAAAATAAATGTCAAAATTCACAAAATGACATCTTACAAATGAAATTTTCAGAATTTTACCTGTGTTTTCACAATTCTTGTGAAATTTGAAATTTATTTTCTCGGTCTCTCGTGACAAATTGTCTTTGGTGTTATTGCAGATAACTCATTGTATTTGTAGGCCTTGAAAAATGTAAAAAAAAAATGCGATATTGTTTAAATGATTCTGGTAAAAGGTTTTTGTCCACTTAAAATTAAAATTACTCAATTTCCTGATGGATTCCGTCCTAATGTCTAATGAGTGTCTTTACATTTGCTAAGACACAGATAAAATTTACGTCCAATGTTTTACACAAAAGAACCCCAAATCTAAATATTAGAAAGAGTTGATATATATCAGAGCTTTTGAAGGCGTTCAAAAAAACTCACAGGCGTATATTATCAGGTATTAAAACTCTCGGCGAAACTCCTGCTCATTTTTTTCTATCAATGTTTAGTCTAGAGCATTTCATCTCTGCTGATACATGTTTACAAATCTTTAGAATTGTTGATATAAGGTCTCGTTAAAACAGACAGTTGGACTCTACCCTGCTGCTTCTAAAACAGATGTTTAAGGGATCTGTTTAAGGCTTTTTTCATTAGATGACACGTATGCTCAGAGAGGGGCGTTTATTACACAAGAGGCGTTAGAGGGGGGCGTCAATTTAATTATTTACGATACTGTCAGCATTTTGTGACTATGGTAAATAGTAATTAAAATTTCGCATCTTTTAATAACATGAGAATCGGTGGTAACTTCTGACAAAGCTGCGTTTAACATACAGTGGAAAAAGGTTAATCAACGGACACCAACGAGTATGTCATGGTGTCCGTTAAGCAAGCTCTCAGAAAAAATGTCACGGACACACACACAAAAAAAACAATAACGTACTGAAATGACAAATCATTGCTTAGTTTGCCATTAAAATGAACATCTTCGTCCATTCTTGGCAACCAATGGTTAAGGTGGCCCGAACCTATTTATATGCGTGTTGGTTATGTTTTTGATTTGCGTTTTTCAGAATAAAAGATTCAAACGATTTCTATGAGTTTTGGCATCCTTAATAAAGAATAATGGAACGTTAAGAAAAGGTTATTTGTTTTCTTGTAGGTATTAAAACCTTTGAAATATCTGCATATGTTTAAAACCGCATTTTTACGAAAACTGTAAATAACTTCGAAATCCCACGACAGATTTTTCCCTATCTTCAGCAAATAAGCCTCAGAGCTCTCTAGTTTTACATCTGCAAGTTTGAAGGCAATCGTGACCGTAGAACTCGCTGCACAAAATGCTGGTCAAATTTAACCTTAAATGCTACGCTAACACATTTGTGAACAACTTTATGCTGAATGCGGGGCAAGATAAAAGAGTTTCTATTTATCAAACTCACTTTGTATTTGTCCCTCTCTTTTCGAAACCTATCTTAACAAGGCCAATTACATTATCTACGAAAAACTCTCAAGAGTTTTTGGCGTCGCAAGTTTCCGTTTCGAGGAGAAATAAAGCCACCAACTCCAGTACTTCTAACCGTCCATATTTCAGCTGCACTGCAAGTCTTTGTGCTTGGTAATTTATTCAAGGTTTTTAGACTTGACATCACATTCGCACGGGAAGTTTCCCACTTGGGGATAAAGATGAAGAAAATATGACAATCGTCTTATTCTTTTCATTATCCCCAATGGCAAAATGCGCATGCGAATGTGATGGCAAATCTTTCAAACTTGAATAAATTACCTAATACAAGGGTTTTCGTTGCAGCTGAAAATTGATCTGTTGAAACTGGAGTTGGTGGCTTTATTTCTCAGCAAGACAGGAGTCTTTAGTGATGAAAACTGGTAGGAGATTTCCGTGGATGTTACATCGTGCTTTGTTGAGGTTTTTTGCGAAACGAGAAGGGAAAATACACAGCAACTTTGATAAATAGAAGTTATTAATCTTGCCCTGCATTCAGCATAAAGTTGTCCTTCTTATATTGCAAACTGTATTCGCCGTAGGTTTCTGATCACTCAATTTCTTGCAAATGACGCTTTGGGGAAGAATACCCTAGTCTGCTACACAGCCGTTTTTAGTGTCGTCACTCAACGTTCCTTCCCACTAATAGTTAGTGGGCAGGAGCGTTGCGTGACGACACTAAAAACGGCTGTGTAGCAGACTAAGAATACCCTTGCAGATAGCAGATAGTCTGTCGGCAGTTGTCCTCTGGGTTTGTGTGTCAACTTTCACAAATGTGTTAGCGTTGCATTTTAAGGTTAAATTTGACCAGCTATTTGTGCAGCGACTTCTACGGTCACGATTGACTTCAAACTTGCAAATATAAAACTAGAGAGCTCTGAGGCTTATTTGCCGAAGTTAGAGAAAAATCTGTCTTAGGGTTTTGAAATTATTGACATTTTTTGTAAAAGTGCGGTTTTAAACAAATGCCGATATTTCAAACGTTTTTATACCTAGAAGAAAGTCAATAGCATTTTCTTAAAGTTCGACCATACTTTATTAAGGATGCCAAAAATCATAGAAATAGGTCAAATCATTCCTGCCGAAAAACCCGATTCAAAAACATAACCAACGCGCAAATAAATAGGTTCGGGCCACCTTAAAGCGCTTTCATAGAGTCTCTGCATGATTGCGCGTAATATGACAGATCTACGAGATTTGTTGAACTGGATGTTAATGTCCCTAGAACAATAGGCATTCCGCGCGATGTGAAAATATATAGATTTAGCCAGGGCTAAAAGCAAAGCTCTGGTTAATAAACTTGTAAACAAAAAATAAATCGTGCAATGCTAAAGGTGATGTTACACGAGACGATTCGCAACGACGATTTTCAGCGCAACACAGCGTTGCAACATTATTGCGCCGGACATTGTTTCGAATGTTTACAACATTGTTCCAATATTGCAGCACTGTGTTGTGCTAAAAATCACCTTTAGCATTACAGGATTTTATCCAGCATGATTTTCCTTTGCCCATTTCCCCCCTTTTTTTCAAGTTGTACAAAACCGTGTCGAAATCAATAGACTCTTAATAATTAATCTACGACAAACTTTAACATTACACCCTATGTATTATAAACGAAAAAGCGAAACAGGTCATTTAAAACATAAACTTCCACATCAATAAAAAAGCTTCAGTTTTGAAAACCTTTAAAATGATCTAATAGCCGCCAGGGGAGTTTATTTAATTTCTCAACAAAACTAATATGTTTTCGGAGATAATATCAATATAGGGTTTAAAAAGCAAAATAGCGAGGTTATAATTAAGCATCACGTTTACGTCACAACGGCAAAGGCGAATTTGTACCACGTGACCAAGTTTCTCCTTTACTTGTCGTTTACTGTTCATTATTTTTACACATAAATTAGTGGTTTCACGCAATTTTTTTTTTTATCCATAACAACTGTTTTCAGCTGTTTTTATCTGTTAATTTTCTACTTTGAGATATTGTCAACTTGAATCTGACGTTTGCCGTAAACGTGAAACTTAATCTCTCCAATATCTTGTCCAGCCATTGGCACGTCTAGGCCGCTCAGAGATCATATGGCTCTCTCTCAACATCAAGCGAGAAACTGACTGAATTGAATGATTTTGCTCCTTTTCGCTATTTCCTAGAGTAGTGTTTTGAGTAATTGTCATGGGGGCGTCTATAAGACTATTTAGTATTTAACAATTATTCCTCGAGCCCGAATGGGCTCTGAGTCAATAGCCCATGAGGCCGTCCGCTGTGGACAGAATGGTGCCACTTGTCCATACATTACTAACGGCCTCACAAGTTATACCTTTTACGCTACAGGTGAAACACGCTCCATCACTTCACACATTACTTGTAACACTAAAAATGTTATCTACATGGTTCAATGTAACCGTTGTAATTTAATATATAGGTGAAACTAAGCGACGTCTCAAGGACAGATTTAACGAACACAGACGTGCAGTCGCCAAAACTAACATTTAACTTAAACCCACTACTGTTTCTGAACACTTTCTCTCTCACTCTAAACTATTCTCATACTGACATGCAGTTAATCCCATTAGAGAAAATTCATTCTTCACGTCACTTAGTTCGTAAGGCCAGGGAGTCGAATTTGATAGATAAGGCCATGATTCTTGAACCTCATGGCCTAAACCGTCGTGACGAATTATTGTAATCCATATCCTTAGTATTTTTCCTTTCCAGTTTTTGTGTTGTACGTCATTTCCGCCTCTCCCTTTTAAACAATTTTCATTGCGACATTCTCCATCTATATAATATTGTGATTCTTACATAAGTTCAGTAACATCTGTAAACCTGAAGAAGGCTGGTATGGCCAGCCGAAATATTGTTAAGAAAAAACAATATACGTTTTTCTGAATCAGCTTGGCAGTAGTGTTTAGACTTCTCGTTCTTGGTTCATGAGGCCGTAGGCCGAATGGGCTATTGACTCAGAGACCATGAGGGCAAGAGCAATAATTGTTTTAAGTAAAATCCATCTAGTTGGTCAAAAATATCGAGACAAAACTACCTTACCTAGTTAAAGCTCGACTTTAATCCTTTTTTGCCGCCAAAAAAGCCGGCGCTTTTCACTACTAGTGGGCTATAACATATAGCCTAGTAGTAGCTCAGCCAATCATAACGCAGCATTGATAATAGACCACTGGTTGGATTTTACTAATTAGTCTAATGCAAGCTTAAAACGACAAGGGAGGCGTTTGTTAGTCTAGACAAGAGGCGTTAGAGGGGGCGTCAGATTGATTATTTGCAGTATTAGCAATTTGTGACTATAGTAAAAAGTAACTTAAATTTCGCATCTTTTAATAACATGAGAATCGGAGGCAACTTGTGACAAAGCTGCGTTTAATATACAGTGAAAGAGGGTTAATACGGACACCACGGGGCATGCCCCATTGCCATGGTGTCCATTAAGCGAGCTCTCAGAAAGAAAAACATCACGGACACATGTGTTATTGATATAAAGACTAAAGCAGACAAAGAAGAAGAAGGGTGGGAACAGTGACTGCAGCAAAAAAGCCAAAGAAGTGAAACCGGTGTGTAGCGGCTGAAAACTTAAATAAAGGGCTGCAGTTCAAGGGTCAAACACGGTGAGGATGACGGACACATCAAAATCAAACACGTCACGCTATTTTGCTACAATAACTGTTTTTTTTAGTAATAAAATCGTATCTGAACGTATGGAAAACTTTCACTAACTGAACGGGGTACAATGTCTACAATTAGCACATGATTGTTACAAGGAAAATAGACAGCGCGCAGATAATTTTTCCTCAGACTTTAAAAATCTAAAATGGCGGACCGCAAGCGATAAACTCAATGCGCATGTCCGGGACGTGACAGTGGCACTTTGCCCCTATTAAATCTGTGCCCCTTTGATTATCTGGCACAGCCTCACATTAGTTAATAATCCACTCACCATGATTTTTGGTTTGATAAACAGTCTAAAAAGCTTATCCGCATCGTAATGAAGGTCTTCGGGTAACGTGGTCTTGTCTGCTGTGTACTTTGCAAGAGTAGATTTCGACAAGGTCGTAGCAGCCTGGCAGAAAAAAAAATACAACAATAAAAGGCAGTTCAAAAAGGTAAAGGGTCTTCATTTTACGTCGGTAACTCGTAACAGTACCCATTAGACTGACGAAGCAAACGGCACATACACACATACATTTTTTGTGTTTCAAGGTAAAAGTACAATTATAACATGCCTGCGGGAAGTAAAGCTAATCTAGGCGGGTTATGTTTACAGGAAATAAATACAACTATTAAAATACAACTAAAAGTAACAAGAGAACCAAAGAAACTAAAATTGGCAACAATGACCAGAAACTACTGATAAACTAATGGAATACTATTACTATTGGGAGATCAATATAACAGTCTTCTGAAGCTAGGATCTCAAAACGTGTTTGTTTTATTTTCCTATTAAAGGCATTTTTTGAAAGTTTTCTTAAAGTTTCCGGCAATTCATTCCATATTTTAGTTCCAATTCTGGAAAATGAATTCACTTGAATTGAGAGTCTGGTACGCTCATTTACCCTCCTCTCTTCATCAGTGCTCCGTTTCACGGGTCAGTTTAAAACTACTTAAAGCTACACGGAAGGGAAGAAGTCTAGCAAGGATTTAGGGTCACTGAAGGCCGCGCACCAACAGACTCTGTTAACCCTTGTTCCTAAACAATGATATCCTGGATACAACAATGAGAAAAAGACTTTTAAACTCGTTTAAAATCCGTCTCATTATCATCTTAGCATTACTCGACACTCAGACCCCTTTTAAAATTGGGAGCTTAAGCGAAGCAGCAGCCACGACGACGACGGCTACGAAAACGTCACTCAAAAAGTGCAGCATTTGCGTTGTTTCAAACTTCACCGCTCTCAATTTGTCACATGTTGACGAACTTTTCTGGAGTTAAATTCTAAAGGTCTTTTTCTGAGTTTAGAAGAACAAAATGAAAATATTCTTCAGTTCACGTTCTACATAAAACGTGAAATTAGGCAGTCTCACGTCGCGGTCGTGCAACGACAGCAAAGAAATGTGCAAAACAGCGTGATGCACGTGCACAGTTGTTGTTTTGCTAATCTAAACCTATTGCTTTTTTGCCGTTCTCATTGCCTTCGCCGTCGTCTCACTAGTTGCGGAGCATTTGCTGAACAATATTTATCCTGCTGCACACTACTGCATCACTTTGGAAACTTGCTTCCGTAGAACGAAGGTGTACAAAAATGAGGAAAGCCTGCATACTCTGGACTGTTACCATTTAGGTCTATTTTTGCACTTGACACTATTCCTGAAGATCATGGCAGGGAAAAACAGTGGTCAAAAAGCTTCTAACTCCTCCGTGTACGCACGAAGAGTGCTATTATAAAGCCTCTTTCGAAGGTGCAAAAAATCTGGGAACATACCCTTCCTTTTGAAAAGTTGGTCGTGAAGTCTACTTCACTGTCAAACTTGATGGTAAACGGCTCCTTTCTGGCTCGCTTTTTCTTGTTTTGCTGGTCAGCCGTTGATATAGAGTTTGCCAATCCTAAGTTGTGTATTAATGAGAAAAAAAAGCGATAGGTCAATATTTAGACTTGGAAAGGAAAGTTCAGTGTGGTTATTTGCCGTTACACTGATTTTCATAGGTCGAACCTCCCGTAAGGCATTACCTTAATGGTACTTAATTTCGCGGGTATTTAATTTGGCGATTTGGGCGAGAGAGTATTTCGCGGGGTTTTATTTCCGCGATTTCCACACGCAAATATGAGAAAAGGGCATTAAAATTCGCGATTTAAGCTTTCTCAACTTCATTTTGTTTGTAAAAAAAGTTTCAAAGTTTTCAAATTTCTAGTTAAACTGGAAAAGCAACGTGTGAAAGCTTTACAAATTTTACCTACTTCCGTTTTGTATCTTCAAAGTGAAGTAAACCAGTCTAACCAGTTAACAAGTTATATTGTCCATACATATCTTGTATATGATGTTGCTATTTCAACTTAATATTTTTTTTTATATGATTTAAATTTTCTATCTGAGTATTTAATTTCGCGCGCTTAAATCTCGTGAGGATTTATTTTTGCGGGTCTTTATTTTCGCGTTTTGTTTCCAATCGCGAAAAACGCGAAATTAAGTACCAAAAAGGTATCCAAAATGCCAAGTTGGGCTCTGACAGCCGGGAAGACTAGCCTGCGTAGCAGGCGCTAGGAATAAATGGGCGAAATAAAGAAAAAACGCGCCCGAGGAAGGCGCGCGCGTTTCTTCTTTATTTCGCCCACTTATTCCTAGCGCCTGCTACGCAGGCTAGGAAGACTAAAGGTGATGTTACACGAGATGATTCGCAACGACCATTTTTAGCGCAACACAGCGTTGCAACATTGTTGCGACATTTTTTTCGAATGGTTAAAACATTGTTCCAACATTACAACGCTGTGTTGCAGTAAAAATCGTCGTTGCGAATCGTCCAGTGTAACATCACCTTAAGACGCAGATAAAAACGGATTCAAATACGGTTACTTCACCGCCGAACCTCAATATACCGCACACTGGGGTTGGCGACCGTAGTAATGCGTAAGTACCTTTAGAGAACTTGGAGCGGAGTCTCCAGTGTTGAGGTCCGGCCCAAGTTGACATGAAGTCAGATTTGAAGTACGAGTAATCGCTTGGCTGAGAAGACAGCTCCAGGCATAGGCTACCAGCCGTGGTGGCTGCAGAACCTAGAGTAATTCTGCGAGCAAAAAGAAAAATAAAATAAATTGGAGCTGGTAAACTAGTGAACAGAACAGTTCTTCAGCCCTTTGCTTCCAGATGGCGATGGTTGATAGGGCAATCACACGACTTTTGGAGGGCATATAGTTTATTTGTGGCCCGAGTAGCATCATTTGCGCCCGATCGGGGTATCATTATTATAAACACACAAGGCCAAATCATACAAATTTATTTCATAAGGAAAGATTGTTAACATGAAATCATGTTGGGGGCTTCAAATTCCATGTACAGCGTGCACTTTGCCATTTGGCCCGCGAAAAGAAGCGTTTTAGAGAGGGCAGTTTGTCATTTGGCCGCGTGTAGTGATACTAATGATGGTTTTCTTTTCCATATTTCAGACCAATGGTTAATGAAATAAATTTACTGTAGTTTTTTTAAAGATGTAACCGGATTATTACTATCATGTTTAATTCTTATATTTCTTAATTTTAAAGATTAATAATTTGTAAGAGCATTGAATAAGTACGGTATGTACGATGCTCTTAGCAGAATCACATACAACTTTGATTTGTTGCATGCCCTGTGGCACTTAGATCAAAGATGAGATAATAATGTACCGGCGTCCTCTGAGCAGAAGGTGGTTTCTATGAAAAAAACAAACTTAACATATTCAAGTCGCCCGGGAGCAAAACAGGGTTCATACAAAAAATTGCATTCAACTCTTAAGGACTTTTCAAGGAACCACATTAGATTTTCAAGCACCACCTACCAGGAACGTAATTTCACAGATTGTACAAAAAAGCACATTCCCAGTCCATTTGAACAGGACTTTAAACTTTGAACTGTTTGCTCCACCAACTTCTCTACACTTTATAGTACACTTGTCTTAAATTGATAATTAAGGACTTTTCAAGGTCTTCCCCAATGTACAATTCAAGGACTTTTCAAGACTTTGCAAACCCTGCAAAAGTAAGGCACCATGGCCACTGGTCGATCCTATGGTACAGCCCTGCCTGTGATCAGAGCTTATTTACTTAAGAAAGGAGAATTCAAGTAATAACTTAAAACGTCTAATAACTGTTAAAAATATTGACATTTTCATCTAAGGCTTATGCACACCTTGCATCCTGGGAAGGAACCATTCTAGCTTCTTGACCATCTGTAAAAGCAAGTGATGCATGGCATATAGGATTGTGAAAAACATTTTCACAGCCATCTCTTCCATATTCAACATCCTGTAAAACAAAACAAACAAAAAAAATCATGTACTGAAGACATAAGAAAATCTTACAGCAAAAAAGAGAAAAGACAATAGATAGCTATTGGAGAGTGGAAGAGAATCTTTGAGTTACTTTTTCTCGATCAGCTTTAAAAATACAGAAGTATCCTGTTAGCTTGATCACACTCAAAGTTCAAATTCTTTAGATTTGATAATCAGGGCTAATTTTCACACAATAGTATGATATACTGCACAGCCTTCTAGAGCTGTACTTGACCTTCAAACGACAAAACTGCTACTTACTGAAGGTCAACCTCTAAAGTCACAAGGTTTAATTTGCAGGTGTTCTCCTGGAGTGACAAAAGGTCTAGCAATAATTTAAACCCTAATCCTTCAATCACATTTAGATCTATAAATTAAATTCAGCAAATCATACAGGCAGCATAATGATTTCCCTCCAATCTTGTCTACTGATAACAGATGACAATTTGGATACTTACATCTCCCATGTCAGGCAAGTCGTCATCACCATAGTCATCTCCCATTGTTTCTGAGTAATCACATTCTGGCTCAGTAGCTGTAGAATTTGATAGCAAAACAGGGGAGCTAGTTTCCATATTAAAATCAGCTACACTATCATAGCAGTTCAGTCTAAAACTAATATAATTTTAACTCATAACTGTTTTTTTTTTTTTTTCAAAAGTTCTGAGAACCTGTTTTTGTTAACGTCAAGGAAATAAGAGGGCCAAAATCAACATTTTTTAAAGGAAAAAAAGCATTAGCTAGTAATTAACTTTCATGCTTCAGACTCTTTTTTAAAGGGTTTTCCCAGATGGTGCACTACACATGACATCAAGTGCTTCAGAATGAAAGTGCAGGTCCACAAGAAACTTCATATTTTCTGTGTGCTAATCTATAGGCCTATGATAGGTGAGCCTCTGTATGGGTATTCCTGACTAAATCAAAGTCGCGATGATTGCAATGCCATTTCAATCATGTTTGACATCGCCAGTCATGCAATGAGGGCAAAGAAACCTACCAAAAAGTGTGCTGCACTTCAGAGTTTTTATTTTGCTTATTTTCTCATTTCATTGTTATTGTGGTTGCGCTGTGCTCGCTAGTAGTGCTAGCAATTAAAACAATCCTTAAAATATCTGATGATTTTGCCTGAAGACCCAACAATTTGATGGAAAATGCATAACAAAATCGACATCAACAGGTAAACCATACAGAGGCTTATTTGGTGAGGCTTGGTCTGAGAACTTCTTCTCACTCTCCTAACGTAAAGTGATAAAGGGGCAAAGTATCTCACCTGGTGCATTGATGTCAAAAGCATGTTCATTAGTTTCCATTTCTGCCATCATTCTGCTGTAGTTAGTATTGACCTGTAGAGATTTCACAACAGCAGTATATATATATGCAAAAGTTTAATACAATAAATTATCATCACTTCTACCAAGAGATATATAAAGGAAGTTGTCATTAACATGGTGAATAGATCTGCAAAAATCATTGCCTAAAACATATAGACAATTTGCGGCAATTGTTGTCAAAATTACAAAATAAAAACACCTAATTCCTTTCACCCAGGCAGCTATAGGCTTTTTTTATCTCTAAATACAACAAAAATAACCATTAACATGGGCGTTACATTAACTTTGAGATGGAAGGTAGAGTCTCCTAACAATTGCCCCATTCTTTTGCTGGGAATTCTCTGAAATAATAATAATAATAATAATACTCATCATCATCATCATCTTAACTGGCAGTATGGTACCTCGCCATTTCTTGTCCAGTTTGTAAATTCAAAATCAGCAAAATGTGGACAGATCTGCAGTCCTTCAAAGTTTACACGTCTGTAAACATCTGCAAGAAAATAGTTACAAAATACATTTTTCATTTTGCCTGACTGAACAGTCTGTCACACATTCACATTATTTTTGGAATTTCTGCCTCTTTTGATACTAAAAAAGGGTGACTGGTTCATTACTAGGAGATCCAGAAGCCTGTTCCGGGTGTTCAGATGGTGGGGAGCAAGTTAAATTGTACGTGGCAAGCACAAAAAGAAAACCCCTCATTTTTTTTTCTCTTGCAATTTTTCGTCCACGCTCTGCTATCTGAATGCCGGGAACAGGCTAGAGATCCAGAGATCAAAACTAAAGAAAAATAGTTTTTGGCCATATAATGGCTGTCCACCAATGTTTTCCCAGGGATGGAACATTTTGTGGAGCTTCTTATGATAAGAGGGTACAAGTAAAAGAAAACTAGTCATGGTGCAATTCAAAATGTTATAATTATCAATGTGTTTCACCTCGGAGTTCAGACAGGTCCACCATACTGTTATCTTGTGTTGTTTGCCCTTCCGATGACACATCCCTTGTTGCCATGGTAACTGATGCAGAGTCGAGAAGGAGCTCACAGCTGTCATCACGGACAAACAGATGATTCAGGAGGAGACCGCCTGTGCCTCCCTCATCAAAGGCAGCTGATGTCTTGTGGAACAATGGATCAACCTATTATTATGGAGGAATAGAACAGAAAACATCTGGCATAGCCTGAGAAAATACTGATATTTTGTGACGCTACCACTGGTTTCTCTGTGAAATGTAGTCTAAGAAACGACTACAGAAATTCCATGCTGATGACATGTCACTACCAAGATCTGGGTAGTGCTTCTGATTGGTTGAAGCAAATTTCCCTTGCACCAATCATAGGCACCCAGACCTGGGTAGCGAGCGACACATCATCAGTGTGAAAATTAACATTTCTGTACTTGTTCAGAATAAGTTACTGATTCAGTGTATACCCATTGCCCATGGATGATACATGTATGCAATTAAAGGACTCAAAAAAAGTTGTGTCCTGTAGTCAGGGACCAGTAGATTTTCCTGGGGGGCAAGTAACTTTAAAAGCTCACTTGCCCAATGGGCAAAGGTTGAAGCTTGTCATCTTCTCACCAAATCATTAACTATAAAGATGAGCAAGAAGTGGCCCCAAGCAAGCAAAATATGAGAGCTGCTTGCCAAAAGGGCAAGCTGGAATTCAAGTTTCTCTGAGCCCTGAATTAACAACTTAAATGTTTACTGAAGTATTAGGATGTGGAAAACGGCATGGGCCAGGCCAGACTCACAAGACGCAGTGATTGACTAGTTTCTGGAAAAAAAAATTTACTTAAACCAATAATACTCTTGTTGCAGGTTTGAAGGAAAAAATCCTCCAGACTTTTTGCCATTTTTTTCCGTAAATTTCAAGAAATCAAAACCCTTTGTAAACCCTGCTTCCAATAATTAATTCAAAATTTGATAGTCAATATCACAAGCTAACCACTTACCTCAAAAGCCAAGTCAAACTGGTTGACATTAAGGTTCTTAAGATTTGTCTCTATGGTATTTCCTGGCTTATGATTGGCAGCCTTAAAAAAAAACATATCACTTCAATTCAATCCAAACGAGCCTTGAGAACGAGATTAAGTATAAAATGCAGTCATGATTACAAGGCTCGAAAAAAGTTCCTGTCTGATCGTCCAGAATGAGTGGTTTTTTCTTGCTTTGGCGAGTAACTGTTAAAGGTCACTTTCGGTGATGGAGAAGGGTCCAGGAAAGTCACCCTCCAAATAAAATTAATCATCAGCTAAAAGAAGCAAGTTGTTAATGCCCTGGGCAAACAAAACGTGAGAGCTGCTTACCCACAGGATGTGCTGGATTTTTTTTTTGAGTGCTATGATTAAATTGAATATCATAATGAAGCCAAAGTTACCAATAAGAATACTTTCTTGACTTTCAACAAGTATCAGACCAAAAGAAAAAACACAATTTCAACAGTTTCTCTTTAGTTCAGCTTTATTATTATGCTTGTAGAGCCTAACTAACTAACTAAAGTGTGACCTAGAATAAAGCCCTAGGTGATTTCAAATCAACTGCTAGATTCTCCAAGTACAAACTGACTTGTACATAATTGGGAATGAATGGGAAAAATCAAAATAAGAGTAGGAATCACTAGTCTTAATGCCATTGAACACTATTCGAAGCACCCCTGTCAATTACATTTCAAGGAAACTGTAAATAATACACACAATAAGTTTAACTGTCCCATATATAAGAGAATTATTGTATCGTACCTTCTTTGTTTTCTGAGGTCCTTGTTGTTCTTCTCCATTTCCTTCAACGGCATTCTCATCTCCATCTTGAAAGAAAAAAACCTTTCGTATTTGATACCATCTGAGATATCATTGAGATAAAGAATGATATACCAAAGCAAAAAACAAAAAAACAATAACAACCACAACCACAAAACAAGAACACGTTATTTTCTGAAAACTACTGAACATGTATATAACCAAACAAGATTTAAATCAAAAGAAGGAATTTTCCTGCGGTCAATCTTTTTGGGGCTTTTAAAGGTTTTACCAGTCAGGTGCAATTCTTATGAACCTGCTTAAAGCATTATCTTAACTAAGATCTCTCATTTTACCTTTGAGTGGTTAGTTATGTTACTTATGCCATATATTTTACAAAAGAATATATTTCCATGTAATAGAACCTTGATTCTCAGCTCTTCCTAAACCTCCTAACATTTTGTAGGCTTGTGCATGGATGGAATCAACTCGACCAGCATAGATTTTAGCACTTGCATCCAATGTGCAACTTGCAACCTGTGGAAATGGGAACAGAAACGTAACACAATTTTGATAACAGGAAAGTTGCTTAGAGTACTCAATATGCTGCCAACCATGGGCCATTTTTTTCATGATACTTCTTTCATTAGATGCCTCATGAGAGAAAGAAAAATTATAGTAATAATCACTTGATATAACATTGCAACTGAACAACTGAAGAGTTGGTAAATAACTGAAATACAGTTGACTCCCGTTAACTAGAACCCTCTATAACTTGAACCTCCCGCTAACTTGACGCAATTTTCATTTCCCTTCAGATCATCTTCTATATAATTTTACCCTCGATAACTCGAACTCCCCATAACTCAAACTTTTTCTATTCCCTTGAAGGTTCGAATTATCGGGAGTCGACTGTACATGAAAAATTACTGACAGCTTCAGTTGGGTGAATAACAAGTAGAGTTTGATGAATGGGCATTTTTAATTTCAACTTCATTTAAAACAGACATGTAAAGTAAATAAAATGTAAATTAAGTGTTTAAAGAAGTGCTATATTAGTACCTGAAAGTTTGTCATGTCTCCTTCCTTGACAGTCTTGATTAAGTCTTGCATGTAGTCAATCAGGTGTAGGCCAAAAGCATTCTTTGCATTGATTTTCTACAAAGATGAGAGAGTAATTTTTAACAACCTTATTTTTTGAATATTATCATTCTGTTTCAACTTGCACTTTTACTTGCATTTGTTTTTAAAAAATAAACAGCATGGGGGAGGTGCTGGAGAAGCTGGTGGTGCATGGAACTGCAGACAAGTGGAATGGGTAACCATGACAACCCTGTGAGTGTCATCCACCCCAGCACTGTCACACTGCTGACCAGTAGAAACTGACATTCTTAACATGGGGGAGGGCAGGGTAAGGAGAAGAAAAACACTTTATAAGCAGAAGCCATGACAAGCAACAGTTCGGTAATATGCATAAACCCCTATGAAGCAATCAGGGCACCCCTGCATAATTTCTCTCTCTTAACTTAGCCTAAATTTCATAGCCACATTTAAGGTGATTCCCTGGTTTTGCATTGCGCATCTCTTACTGCGCATAACAAGATGGCCTCCGTAAAAAAGAGCATGTGAAGTAACATTATTAAAATGAAGTTGACCGAAGAGAAACGCTATTGCAATTTTTGCTTGCGGTTGTTTCTTGCCGAGGTGAGACTCAATGTGGTGGGAATGTGCATAACGTAAGCAGTACGCGTGTTGCTGAGTTCGACTTCCTCAGGGAGAACCTCGATAGTGGATGTTTAATTTGTGCTTATTCACTTTGATTTTCATTTAAACTCTTTCTTTATCACCTTGTGTCCTAAATGAGATATCTCGATGGAAATTCTGTAAAAACAGATTTTTTAATACTTTCTTCTCCCTTTCACATACATTCTATTTTGAAACTTGCCCCAGTCCTCTCTCAAAAATCAAGGAAAATGCATTTGGTGCGCTCTTTCTGCAGCTCTACCGCAAAAACGAGTACGGTGACCCCCATTTTGTATTTCATGATTTTAATAAGGACAGTGCTTCCTTTCGGTGAGAAAAAAATTGGCACAAATCTATGTTCAGTTTTTTGGCAATTTTACTAAATTGTACGGATTGAGCTATCACGTGTCAAATAGTGCGTGTCCAATTTAATTCTTCTTTGGAGCGTAAAGTAAAGACAAGGGCATTAAAAGGCATTTTTATGGTACGTAAGTGGATAAACAACACATTAAAGTCAAATTCTGTGCGATAACACATGCATCATTGAAAAAATCTTTCCTTTTTGTCTAGTTTTGGGCTGCGCGCGGTTTTTGTCAAAGGGTCCAAAATAGCCGTATTTGTCAGCATTGTGACATCAAAACAAGCACGGTGACCCCCACTTTTTATTACTTTTTTATCATCTTCTTGACTTGTTACATCAGTGTACCAAGTTTCATCTAAAATCTATGTTAGGTTCTTTTACTAGGGAATCACCTTAAAGGATAGCAAACACACTCCAAAGTGCCAGAACTTAACCCACTTTAAGTAGTATGAAGCACCATGGAGTACTGCCACTCTACTCTAGACAGGATGCTATGACTTAACAAGGTTACTCAGCACCCCCTTCCCCAGGAGTAATTTGTCCGGATTTAATTATGCACCATTGTGATCCAGACAAAATGGAGCAAAGTTGTTGAGACAATGTAAAAGCAAGGTTTGAAACCGGATCTATGGAGATGTAGTTCAAGGTGTGAACCACTTGGCTGCCTCACCTCCACGTGCTTTTGATGGAACTGTGCAATATTAATAACAGTGTTTATTTTTATTAACTTACATTTTCAGTTGATAATTTGATACAATTGGAATACAGGTCTTTCAACTGGCCATTTGTTAAACCATTGGTTCCTCCAGTTTGGCTCCTAAAAGCAAATAGTTGCTAAAACTTTACGCGTCTGGTGTATTGAATATTATATATTGTATTTATTTAACCCTTTAATCCCCAAGAGTGATCAGCATCAAATTTCTCCTTGTAATATCAATGCTTTGTCAAACAGAGTGGTCATGAGAATTAGGGACATGATCAAACAAAATGAATTTGTTTGATATTTTACCAACTTCTCCCCACTACTTCTGTAGGAAATGAATAGGGGCAACAAATGAGAATTCAAATTTTGATCTTAGGGTTAAAAGGGTTAAAGCACATATACAGTCATGTGAATTAAGTTAACGCACATTCTAGTTTATTACTAGTGGCTTCCATGGGAAAGGGGAAAATTAACAAAATGTGTCGGTTGACTTTGCGTTGATACATTGGTTGATAGCCTGTCTGTCAATTCAAAACATACATGTCGGGCGCGATCCATTCAACCAAAATTCAGACCGGTCCAACCGGGAAAAGAGGACCACCTCAAAAGGTGGACCAGTTTTTTCAAAACTTTTCCGGTTGGACTGAACCGATCCATTGAGTTTTGGACCAAAATTTCCGGAAATTTTAGTTGAATGGATCGCGCCCTTCAACCAACAGTCTATCAGTATAATGGCTTCTCAGGCACATACTGGTGGGTGTTTGGCTTATATTTATTGGGGAAAATGAAATACACTGGTCAATACCTGAACAAAATTTGGGTCAACATGTCAGTCAATGACAATACTTGATCAGGACATTGACCAAGTTAGTCAACTGGTATTTGACTAATGTAGCTCTGAAGAAATACAGCTGTAGGCCGGAGAGGGCGTTTTAATAGGACAGCTGCGAAATTAACTGGTCTCTATAAACCTCTGTTTTCCCTCGATATAACACAATGTATAAAATAATAATAATAATAATAATAATAATAATAATGATAATAGTAATAATAATAAAGGGTTATCTTTTACCAATTGAGGTGGTACATTATTATGCCACAAATCGAACTTCTACCAACAATCCACAAGGTTTTTCCACTCTGTTTTATCACTTACCGATTAAAACGAATTGAATCTCCACTCTTTCAATTCCCAACTTAAGGGTACCAGTAGTAAAACCTAAAAACCTGAGGATTCCAATATTTGCCTAATAGACTTAACCTTAACCTGTTTATTGCCATAGCTACAGCTTGCCCTAGATTATGATTGGCAATAGATCAGTCATCACGAATTCGAGATTTTCAAAGAAAGAAAAAGAGGGGGTTTAAGCTTTTTTTTTTGGTTCTCTTAGCTTACCGCTCGCTGTCAAGGCGACTTGCACTTCTTGGTGTGGCAGGACTTTGAAGGGTCACGGATGTCGCTTTAGAAAGACGTCTCTGCCTCCTCTCGGCGGCGTCATCGTTCTCTGCTAAATGAGTTGTTGGTGTGTGGGTGCTTGCAAGAACAATCCCGCGTCTTCGTCGTGCATTTGGAGAGATGAAGTCCGGTGTTCGAAATGGAGATGCAACGTCCGCCATTTGCTATTTCATACGATCACCTACAATTCTACACAATTTTGAATCCTGCAATGAATGAAACAAAATATAACGGTGAATAAGGAATGAGGACTGTAAATGTTTCTTACTTGGTCAAATTTTCAGTGTAGAATGGCAACTAATCGATGTGAAACTGACTGTGTACTTTCTTCCAGATTATAAATCTTCGCGCTCAAAACAACCGTCTCTTCATAGCCACGTGACCTTATTTGCACCCCTCCCCACTGGAAATTCACTTTGTCCTCTGTCAAGTCGTACTCAAGCCTCAAGATGGCTGGCTTTGTGACTGCAAACAGATGGGCAACTGGAGTAGAAACTCATAAAACTTCGGAAGGAAGAATATTATGCACAGGGGTTGGATGTGTTGGATGTTTCCCTGAAGTCTTTTTATCAGAAGCTAGTGAACTTGGCGTGTGTGATGTTGACTTGACGAGTGGTATTTTAGGTCTCCGACCTTTCTTGGACGAAGAAAATTCCCGAGAAAGCTTTTACCTGAATTCAAAGAACTTTTCGAGGAGACGAAAGAAATTGAGAACAAGGAGAAAGAAACAGAAAAGAAAAATAGATGATAAGTACGGGTTGCCTGACAAAGGACAAAAGTCACAAGTGGAGAAACAGGAATTTTCTTTGGACACTCCGCAAAAGAGTTCGTCTGTTGCTACTCAAACGGAATTGTCCGAAATGGGAATTGATGCAGAGCCTTTAACATTAGGAGTTGTGAAGACGGGATCCGAACAAAATTTGCCTTCGCTTGAAAACGATAGGAAGGTAGACGAAGAAGGAATCCCAGGTGCTAATGAAAAGCAAAATAAAGTTAATTCCGCCTTTGTCGAGGTTGACGACAACGTAAACAAAACACAGAGGAATTCAGAAACTTTGTTTGACCAGCAATCATCGCGCTCAAGACTTGGGAAAATTTTAGATAAAATGTATATTGTAAGCAAGAAAGAAATTGCCCTAAGCTCATGCGATAATTTAATTAACGAAGGTGACTGCGATAGCGATCCGATATCGCAAGATGCTGCTTCTTTTGGAGAAGACGCCGTGTGCTTCTTTTTTGCACTCGAGTACTACAATAGTCAACGAATTTTACCGCACTTTAGGGTTATGGAGATCATTGATGCGTTAAGTGCAGTTGTTGCTTTGAAGGACATCAAGTGTGTTCAAAGAATTTCTGGGCGATGGCAGATCGTTTTAAAAAGCCGGAAGTACAATAAGCTTCTGAGAAACTGTGGTTTAAAGCTTAGGGGTCGTGTTTATGAACTTGTTGATGATGTCGATTGTTATTTTGATGTTGTTCACTGAAAGATTTTAAAATCTTTGTATTGGTCTTAACTTATTTAATACTCTGAAGAAAAGCTTTCTCCGTTGAGAGTGACATAATGGCAAAGGTATGGAGGAGAAATGGCAACTACTGTAATCAACAAAACTGTTCGAACCAACTGTTCAAACCTGAATGACTTAAGAGTCACAAGATTCAGTTGTTTGAACAGAGTGACCAACATCTATTTTCTCCTAACAATGTCAATACATAATCAAGAGTAAAGGTTTTGAGAATTCTCAAAGTGATCACAAATGGGAAAGTGATTTGAACTGATCTTCTATCAAATTCTCTCAACTAATTCTTTGAGGAAATGTATTGAGATCAGTCTGGAGAATTTTAATGAGGATATTAGGGCTTACAAGTGTTAATACTGTGTGCAAGATGGCCCAGCTAAGCATTATTGCATGTTGCTTCAAAGGATAGCAGTTTATTAGAGCTCCTAGAGAAAAGTTAGCAATCTAATAAAAGGGCCTGAAAAAGCCCCTGTTGAGTTCTGTAAAAGCATGATTTGTTCCATATTGTATCCATACATTGTACAGTCTCACTTCCATGTGGAGCCACCTGTCATAAGCAACCAACCATTCCAAAACACTCTTGTAAGCAACCATGACCACATTTTGCGAGACAGTTTTGTGAATTTCCATTTCTTTTTAATTACCACCTTGAAAGCAACTGTTAGACACATGGACATCTGATTTTGATGTTTGCTGCATGTACTATCTGACTTCGAGTATAAGGAAAATCTTTGAGAATTAACATTGAGCTACACATCACAACTTGAAAAATGCATGTAATAAATTCTCTTCAAGATGTGTCTGGTGCATCCTCGGAGACCCAGGGGCAGATCGTGGGGGCAAGGGAAAGTCTAAACGGGCGGAAAAATAAGGCACGAAGAAAAGAAAAGAACGGCGAGAAGAGCCCCTGGGGACAATGTCTTACCAGACCAGTTCCAAACGGTCGACGCCGTTCTCTCTTCTGATTGGTGCCAGAAAAACACAAGTTTTCTGGCACCAATCAGAAGACAGAACGGCGGCGACCGTTTGGAACTGGTCGGGTAAGACATTGTCCCCAGGGGCTCTTCTCACCGTTCTTTACTTTTCTCTTGTGCCATATTTTCCCGCCTGTTTAGACTTTCCCTCGCCCCCACTATCTGCCCCTGGGTCTCCGAGGATGTGTCTGGTGTGGTCCTCTTCTATGAAGAGACCCCTTTGTTTTGGAATGCTAAATTTTCACATTTTGGATGGTTGCTAATAGGAGGTTTGACTGTATTCCAGCTTTCAATTTAACAGGAAATACAAAGAACTGGTAACAGTTTTCAATAATTGCAGATTTCAAACTGGAGTTATTTTCTAGGCTGCAGGGTTGGTCCTAGGCTCAATTTCTGCCACTCCCTCAGTCCTCCGTGAGAAGAGAGGTTTGCTTGGGAAGGGAGTGCAGGCTTATTTTCCAAAGAGCACATGGTAATTAAGCCTTGGGTGCCTTGTACAATGTGCAAATTTGCTATGAAGTTCTTTTCAAACAATGAAAAAATTACACAATAATCTATTACTTTTTTAATAATACATTTGTATCAGAAATACAAACTATGCCAAGATTATGTACATGGTGTATAAGCATCATAAATCAGCATTTACAAGGAACAAATTTGTTTGATAAGTTTCAAATGAAACCAACACCCCACCCTGCCCCACACCTGAAATGACTTATTATTATACAATTCAGACAACAGTAATAATAATTATTATTAACAATTTCAACAACAACTACACCTAAGTAAACATACAGATTATCTGCATTGTGTCAATCCATACACAGATTGGAGTTATGCCTGAAGGAAACACAAAGCACTACACAGAACACAACGATGAGAATAATTTATGAAACAATGCAAAGTTTGTTTCTGAAAGCACCGTAAAACCAACCCAGAATAAACCTGTACCTAACAAGCACAAAGAATGACTTAAGCCTGCTTAGCTTCAACTGGCCCTAAAAAATAATCAGAGAAGAGCCTTGGAAGCCAGTCTTACTTGCCGGGAAACTTTTCGAGCACGACATCAAATTTTAAAATCTAAACCTGTGGAATAGTAGCAGAGTTCCTAGCTCATAGACCAATCAAATTTGATTCACTGGCTGATAGTTTCATTGCATCATTTAGATAACCTTAGAGACTGATGACAAAGTCTCCCAAGTTTGTGTACACCCTTGCAACAGCAAAGCGGCACACAAAGGAAGCCACAAATTATTTGTGACCACACAAGGATATTTTGATCACTTTCAGGGTAAAACAGCATTGTATACCTAAAAATCACTGCAAGTCTTATCCGTCAGTAATAGGCACAGTACACAAACAACTTGGGTAAAGGCTTATAACTAGCAAATGCATGATAAACTCCAAAGAAAAATATATATTACCGAAGGGAAGGAATCAATTTCATAAAGGGAAACCTTCATTCACTGCAGAACTGTTTTATCAACCAGGGCCGGGTTGTTCAAAGTTGGGTTAAGATAACCCAGGGTTAGTGCAAAATTTGAATTCAAATTTGAAGGTTTAAAAAGCAAATTAAGTTTTATTCTTTGTCTACAATTTGAGGACTGGATGTTCTTAAAAGAATACTAAAAATCCGAGAACTTGCTTTTGAGGAAAAGAAAAGGAAGCCTGGATTAAAATTTACCCCGGGTTAGTGTTAATCGGCCTTTGAACAACTGGGCCCAGGTCATAATTTTGCTTTAAGCAAACATTTGTTTGATGTATAAAGGTTGCTACCAGAGCAAGACAGTCCACGAATTTTAAATTCAAAATCTATGTAATGTTAATTTTTATAACTAGGCAATTAGCATCCCAAGGCAAACATTAAATATTGAGTCCACTACTAAATCATGGATATTAGCAGTAGATTTGTAAAGAGCTACAATTCCTACGAATGGTAAAAACTCTTTACAACCGACTTATTGAATGAAATGAAAGATCAAGTATTGTGGAAGGAAAAGGTTAAATTACAATGAAAAATGAATGAACAACTAGTTGTTTCTGATCGTTCAAGGGGAGAAATGTCCATGACACATTTTCATGTCCTTTGTTATTCCCAACAAAGCAAAACATTAGTTTTTTAACCTCTGCTCCCCTGTAGTAGTAGAAGTATTGTTTTCTCCGACACATTTTCGAATAACCAACCTACTCCAGTTAGCTTAATAAAGAGAAAATACAATACCTAAGTATCTACAAGTAGTACTGCCCTGAAAACACTATGGAATTACATCAGAGAAAGTATTTACAGCTATCTCGACTTTAAGAATATTTTTGTATATACAAAGTTGCAATGCAGTCATGTAAACAGAAAAATCTGCTTCCTAGAAAGTAATTTATAGGCTATTTTAACACCCCTATGGCAGGGCGGTGTGTTGCTGGCTCTTTGGATTCGGGTCGGAATTGAGGAAATCCCACATTAGAATAGTGTCATCATGAGAACTACTGACTATCTGAAAATCATCAAACTGCAGTCTGAAAACTCTGCCTTGATGTTCCTGTTAAATAATTGAAACAAAACTATCAATAATTGTTTAGTGACACATGACAGGTTTGTTAGGAGTAGAAAAAGACAGGACAGATCATCTGCCACATCTTCCAAACCTAGTGTATCAACACATTACCTATTATGGCTTGGATGAAGTACTTACATTCTTGGTGACTCATGGCCAGTACAGGGGGAGGGGCTGAGGGGGCCTGCACCCCCCCCTCCACTTTTTGAAATTACATACAGTGGAACCTCAATATAACAAAGAGTAAAGGAACTGGCAAATACGTTCATTATAACGAGGTTAGATAACTTATATCAAGGTTCTTTTTCATATTGTCTTATATTTTACTATTACTGGAGTCAAAAAAAAAGTTTGTTACACTGAGGACTTTGTTATAAAGAGGTTCCACTGTAATATACATTTTCACATAAATAGTATCTTTGAAAAGGAAAGTCTGAGGTTAAAATAGAATTTCCAGAGGGGTGGGAGCCGTAGGTCCAAACAAAAACTCATCCATGGGAGTAGCAGGGATATTTTCTGAAATCAAGTTTTACAGTGAATGCTTCTGATTTGAGAAAAGTGTCAACTTGGACCTGATGTTTGAGGTAAAATGTGATTCTAAACCATTGAATATAATACCACATACCACAAGTGTTCTCAAACACAATGTTCCTGCGGGGGCTCTTGGGTCTAGTGCAGCTTGAAGGTCCCACACTTTGATTTTCCTTTTGTGAAATTAAACAATAATATTTCTTATTACTTATATTATTATTTTAATAATATTCTGTAAACAATCAAACATCAGCATGTACTAAAAGCATGCATAATGCTTTCTTTTTTACTCCTTTATAATGACAGTATTTTACTACACACCACAAAGGGAAGTGTGGACACTGCAGATGTCTTATAGAGACATTTATAAAATAACTAAGATAGTATGCAGGGTTCTCAATAGAAGGCGGCACCCGGCGATTAATCGCCGCTTACTTTGGGATTTATAGCCGCTTACTTTGTGTTTAAGTCGCTTTTCTTTGCTTTGTTTTGACACCTCTGCCTTTGCCTCCTACTTTATCAGCGATCACCTCCTACTTAAAAATCTATTGAGAACCCTGAGTATGAGCGCTCTGATTGGACAAGAGGTCTGTTTGAATGAGAGTATGTAAACATGGTCGTAACGTCAAGATGTTTTGCTTTTTGCATGTTAATCACACAAGCACAAATTTGAAAACGTTTTTGACTTGAAAACCCAACAAGTTTATATTATTCACCCATTCCCTCATCAGCTGAAACTTGAAAGAAAAATCCATATTTTGGAAAGCATCTTATTTGCTAAAGAAGAGCTGATTATGCCTGCAAGACTTCACGACTGTTAAGAATTTCTCTTCTAATCAGTGCCACAACAAAGAGTTGCATTTTTTCTCGAGAAAGTTGATTTATAAAAGCAATGGAAATCTTTTTTTCCTGTATTTGCATAGCCTGATATAAACACTTGAGGGGTTGGAAGAATTCTCGACAGTTATCCAAACCCTCGACTTCATCCCAGGGTTTACATAACAAACATGGAAAATGTTTGCTATTACTTAAATAGGAGGACACTCCAACAGTTTAACAGCCAGATGAAATTGAATCAAGCTTGAAACCAATTGTAGTACATGGCCTTGTCCACCAAGTATCACCAACATTTTTGAGAGGTCGAAAGGAGTTTTCAAGTTAAAGTCCTGTTTTTGTAATGGTAAGCATCTGATCAATATCACATACTACGTTATTAATTGAAGTTATTTTTCTCTTACATACAAGTCATGACTGTCAAAGCATTTTGTGAAGAGATTTCCAAGGTTATTGCCCCCTCCCCCACGGTTCCAGCCTAGAGGCCGGATCCTGAGGAGGCACCCTAAATTCCCTCGTGTAGAGAAACATCATTTTTTCGTTGTATTCATTTTCGTAATATGTGAAATCTTCTTGATTTGAAGAAACTAGGCAACCAGGCACACAAGGTGGTCCTGGTTAAATTTTCAGCATGTTAGCAGGGCAGTCTTGGGTAATTCTGGTTCAGCAAGCGTGCAGGTGGTATAGGAAAATTCTGGAAACATGTTGTTGACCAGTCAGCATCAGATTCCATCCTCCAGAACTACCTTCCCCTTTTAGCTACACTTACATGAAACTTCTAAGTCTCTTAAAATTCTACTCTTCTAATCTTTTCCTAAGTTTAAGTCCCTTCACTTCAATAGAAAAAAAAGGAGATTGAATGTGGCACAAGCAAGATTTGAGAATCACATACAAACGCAGAGTACCTCACAATGATTTCCACAACAATGTTGCCGAGCAAAAAATTCTTTAAAGCTTTACCACAAAGTTTTGGGACTGCATATACTTCCAGAGTTTACTTATGAAACAATCTGACCACATTTTAAACTCAGTCCCTTTATTACTGAGATAAATAATATTACATGTCTACTAAAAAAGAATACTCTGTACATGCAGTCTTTCTGTGGTCTTAAAATAATGGTAGAAATTCCTTTCAGTTGCCTTACCCGTCGTAAGCACCACTAACTATCCTTCTGTTGTCAAACCGAATACATCTGCAAAACAAGATGGTGACATATAAGAACTCTGCTAACTAGAGTACCCATCACAGGCATTGATATCCCATTCCATTCTTTTATTGGCAATGGAAAGCAAAGCACAATGCTGTAATCAACCCATAACAAAAACAAAGCACTACATTATTACAGTAGTTGGCTGGAAAACTGAACATTTCTGGGCAGAATTTTCTTGAATAAAGTATAGGAAAAACGTTTTCAAAAAATGTTTTCATCATACAATAATATTGATACAGTGAAAGAAGCTGTCACAGAAAAACATAGAATGTGTTTCCAAGATGCTGTGACTGAGGGTAATTTAACCCCCTTAACTGTATACATACTGTATACATGGTAATAATTTTATAATAAAATTACAGAGAGAGAAAGAAGAGTGTTAATTTATGAGAAATAACTTGTGCTTTACAGCGCAACTTCTGATGTAGGATGCCATCCAGCATTCTGGCCTCTTTAATAGTTAACATCCATGTTGTTTTATTGGTACACTGAGGATACAATACATAAAAACAGTCTCCATTTGACAGATAAAGGTACAGAACTTAAAGAAATCCTAAGTTGAGCACACAATTCAAAAACCACTTGTTACCTAAGAAATATTTATTACCTGACTAATTCTTCATGCCCTTCTAAGACTCTGAGACAGGCTCCACATTCAATGTCCCATAATCTATCACAAGATACACTCATTACAATTAGGGAGTGGCTTTACTGTTTGTACCCAGAAAAAAAGGTGTAGAGAAAGATCAAGATATCCTTCTGTTTCCATTAATTTTATGAGCAGCAGAAACAGTAAATTTTATTATGCCTCTGCAGGGGGTTCAATAAGTTTTTGCATAAGTGGGTACTTAAGAGTAACAGGCGGGTATATTTGCCGAAGGCCCCAAGGCCTTCGACCCTAGGGGGGTCCGGGGGCATGTTCCCCCGGAAAATTTTGAAGTTCTAGACACTCGCACATGCATTTTCAGGTATTTTTTTGTTGCTTTGTTTTTACATTTTTTTGCTCCTAAGTCAACTAATTTAAACAAATTTGAAGAGAATTATGTTACAATGAAGTAGTCATAGTCAAAACCTATTTTGCCCAATTTTTGGGCAAGAATTCGAAGCTGAGATGAAATTATCTGGTCTTAGTTGACGTTCATGTGAAGGCTCCAAGCGGGTAATCAGCCCGTTGCAAGCGGTTAGATCTACCCGCTACCCGGCTACTATTGAAACCCCTGCCTCTGAGAAAATGTAACTCAAAAATGGTTAAAAAAAATTAATAGCACCATTCAAAAGAACTGAAAGTGGAAAACGTTTCATTCAAATGGTGCCACTATCACTGAATTCTGTCCATGGATTCAGAAGAGAGAGACATTAAACGACTTCTCCACTACATAGTAATAGTTACTCTACATAACTGACTCTTAGGAAGCAAAAAATATTTTGACTATTCTAAAAACCAGGTGAGTACGTAAAGAAAGTTTATTTTTCATACATAATAAATTGCCATTTTAAAGGGGCTGTGCCATGGCTGTCTGCTTCATTTTCTTTCATAATGCCAATTACACTTCCCTAATCATGGAACTTGAGAAATTACTTGAGAATGACAAAATCACAGTTTTGAGTCCAAAAAATGTCTTCCAAGCATTGTATCAACGTAACAAACAACAAAAATGAAATTTGAAAAACTGTTGGGCTAACAAGTTTTCAAAAAACACAATTCCAATCCAATTCAATTTCCTTCTCATTTGTCCATCTGTGCCTCCATTGGCATTTGCTGCACTATTTATATCTCTTTTTCATGTTTTGTACACTAATTTGTACATGTTGGTAGTTCTCACTGTTTGAACTTTGATAAATTTTGTGACAGAGCTCCTTTAATATTCACAGCTGCTATATATAAGTCTTACCTAATTGTATTATCTGAAGAACCGCTAACTACCAGTCGATCCCTGTACTGTAAGCAGGCTATGCCACGCTTGTGTCCATTGAGGGTTCTGACAAACTCACAAGTGGAAGTACTCCACACCTAAAGATAAACAGAATTCATTATAGTTCCCTTATGATTTGACTAAAGTTTTAGGAGCCTTAGGATGTTTTTACCAAGAGATTGTGTGGATCACACAACATCTAATCAAACATGAAATGTAGTATCATGGTTGTTTCAATAATTCTCATTTTTACAGATTTCACTTTGTCAGATCACCTTGTAGACTAGCTACAAGTTGACGTCAGGAGTTTCTTAGTGAGCAGAGTGAGCTTTTTAGGCCACCAAGCGAAGGTAGACTTTTCTCGCTTGAAGGGTTTCCATTTGCATTTTTGGGAAGAAAATGGGGAGTGGCATGACTTGCTTTTAGGGTTTCAGGTTACATTTGTGAGTCCTTTCCACTCCGACAAAAACAATCAAACATGTCGAGGGGGGGGTGGAAGCCTATAAAATAGCTACATATATGAATTAAGTTCCACATAACATAAATTGCTCAATTTACTCTATGTGACAAGAAGGATCAAATATGTTGTCTATGCAAACCAATGGATGCGTAACTGCTCCGACCTTCATAATTTTAGGTAGTTATCAACAAGGACATAGCACCATCTGCCCTTTGAACAAAATGGAGCCTAGTCTCAAGCTTTTTTTAAAGTGTTAAACAGTGAAGGGCTGGCTTGAAACATGGACTTAAGTAGATTGTACCTTAATTGTTCTATCTCCAGAGGCTGACACAATGTATTTGTCATCAAAGTCGACAACATTGACAGCAGCTCTGTGTCCAACTAGCACTCTTCTGAGGTTGATGTCCGTTGGTGATTGCATATCCCATACAGCTATGGAGCGATCCTGAACAAAAAAAAATTCCAAGGGACATTTTTATTTTATACAAAAATCCACATGAGTGATTTTTATCCAGTTATTTTATCAACTAACTTACTTCCTAAGGAAATGTGGAAGAATCTAAGACCAGCAAAGACAGTGAGTTCTCAAAAACTGAACCAGTGACTTTCTTAGCCCTTTACAACACAGCACTCTACAACAACTGTGCATAATGCTGTAGTCTGTTTTAACATTATTCATTTCAACTTTTTATTCACTACTAATGGAAGAAGTGTGATATAATTTCTTCCTTGGCTCAGTTATTTTTCATTGCTTTTGTTTGGCACTTAATTGAAACCATCATTCTGGTTGGAAATATTATGCATTAACATTAATTACGTAATTAATAAGACTTTGTGGGAGGAGAACCTGCTATATCCAAATCAGCTAAACAGACTAAAATGAGCAGTAGAAAAATTGCATTGCCGAAAATCACAGACCAAAGTTCTTGTTTATAGAAGCTTCTCCCACGTTGGGCCAAAAGTAATTAAGGCTGGTTTTCACTAGCAACGGAGTCGGAGTCAGAGTCAGAGTTGTAATCAGAAGTGTAGAGCTCATAATCTAGTGAAAACAGCGTTCCGATTCTGGTTATGATCTAGTGAAAACCAGATTGTTGGAGTCAAAAGCAGAAATGGAAGAACTTAACCAATCACAAAGCGTGGGAACATGCATTGTGATTGGTTTATCCTTCTGCTTCTGCTTCCGACAATCTGGTTTTCACTAGTAAGCGATCGTAAGCAGAGTTGGAAGAAATGGAAACGTTCTGATTCTTATGACTTCACTTACGACTCCAATTTTTGATTTTCAATAGGTCATAAGTGCTGTTACGACTCCGCTTACGATTCCAAGTATGAATCTGTCACTAGTGAAAACCAGCCTTTACAGCTGAGAACTTATTTACACTTGGGTATAACTGTTAAGATTGGACATTAACATTTGGGTCCATTTATTACACTTGTGCATTTTACAGCTTCCCAACAAATATTACTCAACTGGTTTTCTCATCATCAGTACCAATTGAGTTAGTTACTGCTCTTGGTCCTGGGGTCTGTTTTGTGAAAGCCCCAATACCTTTTCATCCCCAAAAAGCTGTTCCGTGTTTTTTGTGTTTGCATTCAAGATCAAGGTTCCAATAATTTTGAAAATGATAAAATAAATTTATCAGTTAACAAAGCAATATTGACTGGTTTGTGAGCTAGGAACTGAGCTACTATTCAACAGATTTTGATTTTGAAATTTGCCTTTGGGCCTGAAAAGTTTCCGCGCTTTTTGAGAAATGGACCCCTGGTCCCTGGTTCCTGGTCCTGTCCCTCACCTTTATTATAAAGTTGGATACCACTTTACAGTCACGCCAGACTGTCAAGCATACTTCCATAGGTTCCATTAACAAATCAGTTACTTGAAAGATGAATCCGTTAGCCGCAGACATTATCAAATTCAAATCTACTTTCCTGCATCTGTAATGAGCAGTGAATTTTTTACAATAACCTCTTTGCATTCAGTCAATAACAAATTCATTAATGGAACCTTTGGGAGTACACTTGACCTGGCCCGACTGTGAGACACGCCCTACAATGCATGATCCAACAGTGTCCTTCATAGAGAGTGCTGACTGCGTACTATATAAGAAATTATTGGATCAATTTAGGTTCCTGGGAAACTGCCCACCTACCCCTCACCTAAGCCAACATTTTGCCCTAAGTGAGAAGTAAGGGATAATGTTGGCTTAGGGGAGGGGTAGGTTGGTAGGTGAAACCTAAATAGATCAAAATTATTTACCTTTGAACATGTCACCATCATGCCATCTTGAAATCTCAGGTGAAGAACAGCCTCACAGTGATGGATTAAAGTGTTTAACATTTCACCAGTGTGAACATTCCATACCCTGCAAAAGAAATTGTCAACTCATTTAACAGTTAATTCTGAGTCTGACTCCTTTTCTCTGTATATTTTGGTAAAAGGTTAAAAAAGAAGAACTAAAATAGATGGGGTGCATGAAGAAAGTGGCATAAACTTATCTGACCAGCTGCTAGATTCTCCTTTTGAATTGGGTTAAGTTAAAGGAGACTTTAATGTAAAATCACAAGTTATTTTGACTTTTAGGGTCTTTTTTTAATGCATGTTACTCTCTTGATACCAAATTTCAGGACCGCCTGATAGAAATAACAAACAAAAAATTATTAAGTACCCTAGAGCACCTTTTGCTTTTGCAAAACATTACCTAACAGTGGAATCACTTGAACCAGTGACAGTAACATTCTCATCATATTGAAGACAAAGAACGGAGCCAGTATGGCCAGTTAAAACTTTGACACATTCTCTTGTGTTTTTGTCCCATATCTAAAATGAAAACAGAAACAAATTATTGACTTAGTACTGACAGCCGAATTTGTCTATGACAACTACTGGTTAAAAATAACAAAGTTGTTATGACAAGAACACATTTTTAACTTCAAAGTATTATCCATGGTACAGTTAGCCTGCAACTGATCATGCTCTCCCTTCATATCTCTCTACTTTTTTGCCTTTTGTGGGAAGGAAGGCACGATACATGTACATCTATTTACCAGATAACCAGTCAGAAACTGGAAGTATTTCTGACTGGTCGACAGTTTTGTTCTTATTGGCTGAAGATTAGGTTTGACATCCCACAGGATTCTGAGGAGTTTGAATGAAACATAACTGTTTCGAATAGTTAAGATCATCTCTCAGGCTAAAGTTTTGTTTTCTCGTTTCTGTGGCAGAAAAAAAAATATTGAATTCAACTAGATCCAGCTGATACATGTATTACTCCATCACAGAAATACGATTGTGCTAGCTTTTCAAAGAAACTATAATTGAACATAGCCACTGTTTTGATTTCCCCAAGCACAAAAATATTTGGTAGCACATTAAATGTTTTACACATATTAAACATAGGTCAACCAGATGTTAATTTTTTGAAAGCAGGGGGTAGTTGGCAGCTAGTGCAAAATATGTAAAGATCAGGTGTTCTTTTTTCCCTCTCGTCTAACAAAAAACCTGATCGGAGGATATGGAACAGTCAACTCAGTGAGTTACTTCAAAGCCGTATTAAAAAATTATGGAATCAAGGGTAGAGAGCAATGAGGATGGAAGTGTTAGTGTGAACATCACAGTACAACAGCCTTTGCTACTGGTTCAAATGGTCAAGCTGGAGTGGGCACGGCCTTGTAGCCTTATTATATGCACTGATGCAACACATACCTTAATTGTGTTATCTCTAAGACCACTAACTATTTTGTTGTCATCATACTGCAAGCAGTAAACACCTTTGCTATTCTCACTGCGACAGTAGATACGATGAAGAGAATGACGGCCACAACGCCAATTAGTATCAATTGCCTAAAAAACATTAATGAAAAAAATTAGCTGTGGCAATTGTAGTTCAATTATTATTTTTGCCTGCAATTTGATGATTAGATACACTAAAAAGGAGATAAAAAATTATCCAAGAAATTGCTTTTGAACAACAACATCAAAAGAAAAACTGGATTAACACTTAACCCCAGGTTAGCACTAATTGGCCTCCGAACAACTGGTCCCTGTTTTCACTGAAACAATAGTGTGTTTTAAAGTTTCTGTGTTACTGCTTACATTTTTTCAGTTTCCATTCTTATTTGAAACAAAGACAAATGCCATCTAACATATAAGGCCAAATTTCTGAAGAATAAAATAAGCAGCAACCCATCTCAACTCATAAAAATTAAATATGAACCCCAGACACTAATTTGAGCATCAACAGTAACTAACCAGGTAAGAAATAGGGAAAATTAAGAAAAAAAGTTGATGTAAGTAACTAAGGTTTTATCGATTAGGTCATGCTACACAAACAATGATTGTTAGAAATAGGTTAACTGTACCTCAAGGTCCTCATTAATTTTTGGAAAGAGTCTTCTAAAGAAAAGATGTCGAGGAGGGTCTGCAACTTGTGCTTTGAACAAATACTGTCCCCTAACAGAGAGAGAAAAATGGAATTTGTTATTCATGAGTTAACACATGCCAACATAAGCCTGTAGTTGGCATGTGAGCTAAGACATTGCCTATGATTATTCAAAAACAGTCATCAGCAGCATACCGGCATATACATGTAGGACGTTATCGACAAGAAGGGTCAACTACATACTGCATGAAAAATACTTTTTATTGAATCACTGTCACCAGCTGTGAATGTAAATCTATCAAGGATATCTAAACATAATTGTCTAAGGTTTGCAGTGTGTGCCATCATTTTGATTGGCACTGAGGACAATGCTTGTCCTTTGGCCAGTACAGACAGTAACGTACCTAAATTGCCCATTTAGATGAGCAAATTCTCAATTCTTAATTGGTGACAAGAATTCTCCTATCCTTAGTCATTTATAAGAAAGGTATTTTCTTTGTTGAAGTCTCTATTTTATCCAATCCTTTCCCCTTTGAGTGGTTCTGTACATGTCAGATTAAGACGGAATCCATCGGGAAATTAAGTCATTTCAATTTTCAGCGGATAAAAACCTCGTACAGAATAGTTTAAAGTATAGTCCATTCTTTTTTACATTTTTCAAGAACTATAGAAATAATTACATGTACTAATAGTTACCGTATCTGTAATAACACCAAAGGCAATTTCTTATGGGAGCCCAAGAAAATGAATTTCAAATTTCACAGGAATTGGTGTGTAAGGTTTCATTTTGGTCCATTTTGTGAAATTTGAAATTTCAATGGCTCTAAGAAAATGAAGAAAGCCTTTCACAAAATAAATTTATTTTCAATAACAACTATTTAATTTATTTCCATCTTATCCCAATATTATTACCATCCTCTCCTCTCTGACAACCCTCTCCACAAAGGATCCGTTCGGACTTTTCTTTCAATAAGCTTCTTCCATAGCATTCCATCAGAAATTACTCTGTTCCACTCTTTACAAACTACCTCTGCTGCACAAAGAGACTTGGCATCCAAAAAGGATAAGATATTTTCAGCTATATGGTCCAACCCTTTAGCTGTCAAACAACAACAAAAAATAAGTACATTATTTTTTAGTGAACCTACTACACAATGATAAACGAATGAAGTGGTTATAACACAGGGGGAGGGGCGTGCTCCAGATTTCAAGTGAAAGTCAAGTTTTTTGGGATTTGAAATATTCGATTCGAGCACTTTTTGGGGTAGAAAAATTTGGCAAGTATTTTTTGGCTAGCTTGAATTAAGAAGGGATTTGTGAGTACAGTCGACTCCCGATAATTTGAACCTTCAAGGGAAATAGAAAAAAGTTCAAGTTATCGGGAGTTCAAGTTATTGAGAGTATAATTATCTGGAAAATGATATGAAGGGAAATGAAAATTACTTTGAGTTAACGGGAGGTTCGAGTTATAAAGGGTTCGAGTTATCGAGAGTCGACTGTATTCAAAACAATCTGAAAACATTAAATTTCTAATGTTTTTATTGTTCGTGTTATATCATTAATTTTAATGCCTTCTGGAAATTCTTAAGGCTCAGAAATTTGGCATGAGATTTCTATAGGGTTAATTTTTGGTCCAGGGATTTTCTTTGGTTTTGAATTTTGCCCTGATTTGATCATCCCTGACACTTGAAATCTGGAAATATTGGTGTACCAAAACAATGATCAAAGTGGTGGCCATGTTGGTGAACCAAAAAATAACTGTGGGGATAGTAGGATCTCTTTTCTTATGTAAAAACATCTCTTTTGTTCCAAGAAATTGTGTATAGCTGCTGACCACATGAGTGAAAATAGCTATACAATTTGTTTACAATATACCACAGGGGTATCTAACATTTCTGGAAGTCACAGAATGGCAAATCTCAAATGGGCATGTCCACCCTCTCCTCTTCATTCTCATCCCTAGAGCTGCAAGCAACATACAGTGTAGATCAACAGCTCGGCAGTGCTTGACACTAACTTTGTTCAGACACTAGGCAATGGGCTGGTAAGTGAAATAAATCACTAGCCCATGAGAACTGGTCCAAAAATAGCCTGAAAAAATACCCAAGAGACTGGAGCCATTCTTCCTGCGTCAAAAGCGGAGTTTGAAAGATGCTTTCTCAAAGGTGAGTTGTTTAAAAAGCTTGAAATCTGCTGCATTCCTGCAGTGAATGTGTATGAAAAAAATCCAAGATGGCAGACCTATGGTGGCTCTTACCCAGGTCCCTACTTCATTGAGTGACACGAAAGTGAGGAAATAAATTCCATTTCCAACATGGCATCCATTTTGCGGGTCAATCGTACGATACCTCCATGATATGGATAGAAAGTCCTTTGGTTTACATTTAATACTTAAGATATAGAAACTATGATGAACCATTTTAGAAAAAGAACTTCCCAAGTTACAGGATTGTAGAAATTTTATTTTGTCCATTAAACTAACTTGTCACGGGTCTAGGAGGAGCACATTTTTACTAGCCCAACATAAAGTTTCACTAGTCCTGGACAAGTAGACTACTGTTAATGTTGAGCAATGCTCTTGGGTGAAGCAAAAGTAGGATGTCTACAAAACATGGTTTATTTTTGGCTTTCTGTGCAACCCCTACTTCATAGCTTAAAAAGAAGTATAGTAGATTCATAGAGCACTTTTTTTGTCTCGTGGCTTAAAGAATGAGGTACACAACATGTGAAGCTTGGTTTTATTATTATCGAGTTGTATTCACTCTGTTATTTATGTGTGTAAATTGACTAGAATATGGGTACAAATCAGCTGAATACGGGGTATCAATCAATTGAAATCTGAGTATGAATTAACAGGGTACGAATTGACTTGCGCACCACACAACCAGTTTACATGTATTACCCTGTTCCCACCCAGAGTTCTCAGTCTGTGGCTCTGACCACAAGCACTGCAGCTTCGGGGGTGAGAACATCCCCTGAGCTAAGGGCAAGACATATAGGTGCAGTATAAACACCCAAATAATGGAAATTTCACCACCAAGTTATTTTACCCCAGTTACTTAGCCTCCTATTTTAGAATGAGCTTGCATTAGTTTATGGCTTGTAGAACGAGCAATGTTACATTAATTTTGAAGGGTGCTTGTTTTGCTTTGTGGCTTATACATTTGTAGAATGAGGAACAATATATTTGGAGCGTGCTAAATGACTTGAAAACAGGGGGGTAAGTAACCGGGGCAAAATGACTTAGGCGGCGAAATGATCAGTTACCAATGTGGACAGCAGCTTAAATCTCAGCAAAAATAAATTACACACATCTGAATGTATAAACTACTGCTACTACTACATGTACTACAGACTTTCACTGATAAGGACACTAACTTGTAGGGTGTCCACAATAATTAAGGTTGACTGTATTAATAGTAAAATGCAGATTCTCGCTTTTTGAAAGCAAAAAATCTAAATTAATAATTAAATCAGAATTAGTAGTGTTCGCAGCAGTGGTAATCCGCAACAATAATATACTCAAATCTTCGGCTCAGACTACACATATATTTCAGATTAATCAGACAACTTTAGAAGATGCAATACACTGATAATCAATGATGAACGAGGTACCTGTAGCTTATCTTCAATTTAAAAAAATATTAAAAAATGAAAACACTGACTTCTTAGTTAAAGAATGCAACAGCTTACAACGGGTTCAATTGGTGAAAATACTGAGCTTAAATTTCCTATCTGTTGTTAAACGAATCACTTTATAAATGCCTATGTAAACAGCCCCTCCAAAACAAAAATAACTATAAACATAAACGTTGGAAAGCGCAAAAACTTTGATGAAGTATGTACAAGATCTTGGTTTGCGGCATGCGATATAAAACCGATATTGCCTCTGAGGGCAGCTATGTGAAGGAGGGAGAGGTGACTTTGGTCAAAACCAATGGATGAAAACATGAAACAGTGTACATTTCAAATCAACGGTAAAATAAAAACATAAGTGTATTACACGACTGGAACGAACAATGCATCAACACAACAATATCACAACATACATCAACTAGAAACGCGTCTTTGATCGGGCGAATAATAACTCGACTTTCGCCTCGATCTTCTCGGTTGAGCACTCTTTAAAGCCTTATAAAGGAGAAACGTGGCCGTTTATTCGTTTAAGAACAGAATCAACTTACCAGGTAAGGCAGTTATAAAATCTCGCTGCAACATTGGCTTGAGATATGAATTAATGTGTCCATGCTGATAATGACACATTTTCGAGAGTAGATATTCTACAAATTCAACTTGCTGGGTTTCTGACCATTTCTCGAAATGCTTAACACAAGCCTGTCTTTCTTCCATGTAAAGTTCTCGGCTCCTTTCGTTTTCGTTGTTTCTGTCTTTCTCGTCAACTTCGCCATCAATAACCATAACCTAAACGGCAAAAAGAAAGTTTCACGTCACAATTTTAAGCAATTGCACGAGATTTTAAAAAGATCTGGAATAGAGTTGACTTAATATAATCCTTACACTATCCTCTTCGAAGCCGTAGTCGATCATTTCATCCTCCATGGTGCTAATGTACCGAAGTTTTCTGCAAGTGAAAAAATTCTCGCTTCCTTATGTTTGGTGGATCGGAACCTTCTTAAAACTCATCGTGACATCATGGAAAATCATATTACGCATGAGCAGTACAGTATGAAAACTCGTCACCAGATTCCTACTGCAAACTCGGCCGGAAGCTCGCGCCTAACGGAAGAAGGGACGAACCCCGTCTTTTAATACGGAACTGTTAATTGAACTCCCCCCAAAAAACTAAACTGATCCAAAAAATAACAGGATGCCGACTAAAAATTAACCGAACCCCACCCCACACTCTCTTTTTCGAGCGAATCCAATGCTTGTAATGGGAGGGAACAGCCGTAACGCCGTGTTAGCCGCTGAACTAATAAAAAGCATGTCAACGGCAGCGGATAATTACGTGGTAAATGGAATGAATTCGAAAATATTTACAGCGCATTTATACGAAAGCTAAGTTTGATCATTTTTGAACATCGGAGTTTGCTCCACTTGGACTTTGGTGCCGTGAGTCTAGGCTCCTATTCGTGTAAAGACAAGGGTAGGGATGTTCGTGAGCGTCGAAGCGGCGAGAAAAAATAATATTTGACTTGCTTCCGCTCTTTTCGCGCAGTCCGCCGCCGAAATCAACAGTACTGGCCAGTTTTCCGATCTGCTACCAAAGCAAACTCAAACTACGTTTTTTTATACAGATTCTGTTCTCAAACTTCTATTATTAAAAACTCCTGGTTAAAGACAAAGACCGATTGCAAAAACGGAGACTAGAATTAATTTCAAATAAAATGTCGTGCACAAATATTGGCCAGTATTGCTCTTTTTGATGACCATCATTATCATTTGTCCAGCGGATTTGAAGTTCTCATACGGTCATAGAACACTGGAGAGAACCAACAACAAACGTTACCAAATATGCCGTTGCCTCCGGGATTCAAACCCTGGCCCCTTTGTGGAACAGGAAAAAGCCGGGTCCAGGGGCTCCTGCCCCGCCCTCGGTGGTACCTCTAACAACAACAAAATCGTTTGTTTAAACATGGTTAAAATCAAAGCACAACTTATAAGGCACAGGGTATAGGTCTTCCTATCTTAAATACATGTTTGCTAATGTTGCTCACAAACTGTATGAGAACAGAAAGATTAAAAACTGCATGGGAGTACACCTTTTGCAGTGAATAGTGATCCTCAGACGCCCTCATGAGATACTTTCAACCCTTTAACTTTTATTGACCAGCAAAATGATGACTTTAAAACAAGTGATTTGCATGATTAAATTAACTGCAAAAACCGTGAACGAAGATCCTGCTAGTTGTAAAAATAAACTTTGGGTCTCTAGAAAAGAGATCAAATCAGCCAAAATATAAAGAACCAAGAACGAGAAGTCCAAAGACTACTGCAAAGCTGATTTAAAACAACGTGTATTGTTTTTATAACAATATTTCGGCTGGCCATACCAGCCTTCGTGAGGTTTACAGATGTTACTGAGCTTATTTAGCAATCACAATATTATATAGATGGAGAATGTCGCAATAAAAGGGAAAGGCGGAAATGACGTACAACATAAAAACTGGAAAGAAAAAATACTAAGGATGTGCATTACAATAATTCGTCACGGCGGTTTAGCCCATGAGGTTCAAGAGTCATGGCCTTATCTTTTAAATGCGACTCCCTGGCCTTACGAACTGAGTCACGTGAAGAATGAATTTTCTCCAGTCGGATTAGCTTCATGTCAGTATGAGAATGATTAGAGTGAGAGAGAAAGTGTTCAGAAACAGTAGTGGGTTTAGATTTAATGTTAGGTTTGTCGACTGCACGTCTGTGTTCGTTAAATCTGTCCTTGAGACGTCGCTTAGTTTCACCTATACATTGTAAATTACAACGGTTACATTGAACCATGTAGATCACATTTTTAGTGTTTCAAGTGTGAAGTGATGGGGCGTGTTTCGCCTGTAGCGTAAAAGGTATAACTTGTGAGGCCGTTAGTAATGTATGGACAAGTGGTACAATTACATGGTCGGATTTGTACCAAAAAATGCCTGGATAAAAGGTCTTGTATTAGACTACAGTCTCGCGAGTCTTAGACCACGAACTACCAGCAGCAAAAAGGCTGTGTAAGGAGTGCACATATTTATCTAGTTAGTACTTTGCCACTTGTTTCACAGCAAACTTTTTTTCTCCAAAGTTGAAATATTGCTCAAACGCAGAAAAGTAAAAATATCCTGTGCAGTAGGCGGAAAGTAAGAGGCAAAGTCACGCGAAAGCTAAACAGAGGTGAAATGGGGAAAATGGGGAGGGAGGAGGCGAGGGAAAAGGTATTCTTTCTCTAACACTTGTGAAGGCAAAACCATAACGACAAACCAGTGAGGGTCCGCCGGATCTTTAGTAGACATGGATCAGTAAAATCTTCAGTGCCAAATTTTAAATTTAAAACGGTAAACTGATCCTTACGGCAGGAAGAGTGATAGAAAAAATAAAGAAAGAAAACAAAAATAAAATGGTGAATTACATTCGCCCTATATTTCTGTTTGCAACACAAACCTTCAATGGGGGCTATGAAAGAAAAATGAATACAGATAAAAGATGAACGTTACATATATATGCGAGATTTGAATACATAGCGAACAGAAAATGATAGGCTACTAAAAAGCCCTGTACAGTACCGCAAATGATCCCCAACCGCAAATGATCCCGAGACCGCAAATGATCCCCAAAATGGACCGCAAATGATCCTCGAAACAGAAACAACAATAACCGCAGAAAATGCGTGTCATGACCTCTCGGTATGAAACAAGCGGCAAAAATCATATTTGCTCAGTCAAAACGTTTTCCTCAGAGGTATAATCTACCCGCCAGAGCCGGAGAAAAGTCATTGGAACAAGCAGCATTTTAGCATGAGGTAAAAGTCGTGTGTTGCCTACCGACTTCGTTTTTACTCTTGAATGATTTTTTTCATTTAGTTTTTATTCATATATTTATTTGAGAAGTAAAATTTAGCTTTTAACCTGACTTATTGTAATAATAATAAAATCGACATGATGATCCGCTAACTTGAGTCCAAGTCATTCCCATTTTTCTTTCGGGATCATTTGCGGTCGACTTTGGGGATCATTTGCGGTCGAGGATCATTTGCGGTCCATTTTGGGGATCATTTGCGGTCTCGGGATCATTTGCGGTTGGGGATCATTTGCGGTACTGTACAGCCCCCTTCCTTATCGTTTTCTCGTTTGACCTCTTACTTTACGAAACACGAACACGGAAACAAGACGTTTTGAAAGCGTTCATTTGGGCGGAGTGTACATGCATCAAAGACAGATAAACTTCAAAGTCAACAGGGCAAACACCAGCTATTAAGGTGAGTCCTTTGCCAGTCACATAAAAGAATTTTTTCGACAGGGGCAGGGGCCCATCAAAATTTGATGGGCTCCTGACAGGGGTCAATTCGGATAAAACTTTAAAAGTGTAATTTACAAGTTACGCGTGCCCATTGTTTTAATTAGAGTCTAAAAACAATAGCGGAGTCTCAATTGGCAAAGAAAATGGAAACCTATCGATGAGAGAAATTTTGGTCATGACGTCAGTGTACGCCTGTTATCCTGTCCACCAAGCCCATACAGACTGTGGGGGTAGGTGAGGGGAGATTCAGCAGCGGAGGGAGCAGGGAAGTCCAGGACATACAGCTTGCGTATATCTTGACAAAAGTTCCTGCCAGCTCACCTAGCTAGAGGCAACCAGTGGAGTTGTTCCAGTAAAATCTTCAAGTCTTTTTTTGTTTGACTTACGATAAAATACTTTAAAAATATATATTTTTACCTGGGTCACGCTTTTGATCACGCTCTCGCAACAATCCAGTCTCAGATTGGTCAAATTTTTGACAGGTGAATTCACAAAATAGTTTTTATCTATGGATTTGTAATTAACTTTCATCTATGATTGTATGCTGTGATCCCTTATCGTATGATGTTTTTAATCTAGTTTTATTATCTTTTATTCATGCGTAAAAACTGATGCAGCATCTTGAAGTTTGTTTACCGACAACTGGACGTTTTAAAAAGTTTTAAATGCTTTGTGTTCTTTCTGTGCTGTCTCAGCAAAGTGGCGTTTCTAACCTCATTTACTGCCCTTCTGGAGCTGCCTCTAAAGTGAGGTTGATTACTTATTGTTTTTCTATCCGGTTTAACTTTGTTTATGATGTCGGGTGTAATTATTTCCGATGCATGTTGTCAAGATCTGAGCCCCGCGATGTGTGGCCTCTTTTATCAGGATAAAAATGCGCATCATCACACTGTAGCTTTAGCTTATCACTGGCTCACTCGCACAAGAAAGCACTCAGCCCTGCGATACAACATTGACAAAACACTGTTGGATTACCTAATTAATCAACTGAGCATGATTCTATATTCAAAATATGGATGATCGTCGTTCATGGCTTTAAATTTGCGAAAGAATCGCCCTATTTCTCGGTAAAAATCCAGCGCCAGCTTCCTCTAAATTTAAAATCAATTTTTGTTTTAGATGTTTCAAAGATTATAAATTTGTCTGCTAGCGCGGATGTATTCAGACCCAAAGAAACACAACTCACAAAATCACCTAGTGTTTATTACCGTTGAGAAAAGACTTTCTTAATTTCATGCTCATACCACCTAAAATACAAGTAGTGGAAGTAGTGGGCACAGGAAAAAACGGGCGCGTGTCTCCCTCACGCGCGCCCATTTTTCTTGTGCCAACTAGACTACTTCCAGGCGCCTGCCACGCAGGCTACCCACGCGCGCCAGGGCAGCACAGAAACGAGGCCGAGATAAACAAACTATGTAACCATGACAGCTGACCAAGCTGACAAGACGCCAAGTTAACATGGCGGTGGGAGATGCTGTCGATGGAGCGGTAGAACAGCTGATAAATACAGCTTCTGCTTTGGCAAGTACAACAATCGACCTTAGTAAGAAAAGGCTTACCCAAGTTCCACCTGACGTGCTAAATTTACAACAGTTAGAGGTAAATTTGATTGCCATTTTTATAATCTTCATTTGTCATCTCTGACAGCCCGTTTGCTGCTTTCATAAATGTTTATCGAAGTAGAAGAAAGAGACATATTCGTCCTTGTAAATTCATTTTGCTTTGCTTTGCCATTTCCAGTTTTTGTACTTGGAAGGAAATTCTATTTCGTCGTTACCCGAGGAGCTATTCGATTGCCTACCAAACTTACGTTGGCTTGATCTACGGAACAACCGCATAGCGGAGATTCCTTCGGTTATTGGAAAACACAGGTTTGTTATGAACAGGCCTAGCCAGTTAGAAATATCAACGAGCCGCCAAACATTAATGAGTCTATAAATCGTCAGGTACACGCAGCATCGCCTTCTAAGGTGCTAATTGAATATATATTAGCACTTCACTGACGCAAATTCTGTTTCTTTCCGGAGCAGAAGCGACACTACATAATTATGAATATCTGTGGCAAATATGACTTTGCCGTATTAAAATTATAGACATAATGAAAAATACATTATGTACGAATAGGGCTTCAAAGTACGGTGAACCTCTTACAAGGCCGGGTCACCTCTCCCAAAAGGCAACGAACACAGTCCATACATTCACCCTCATTTTAAACTGCAGACTCTCTACAGTGGCAATACGCATTCTGTTTGCTAAAGTTGTTGCTTCACAATGGTCATTTAAAAAACGAATGATGTACAAACTTGGCATGATGTAACAGCTGATTGTATCTTACTTGCTGTGTTTTGTTTATGATTTCGTTTTGAGCAATTGCTTTTCGGCTTTTGATAATTATTTTTGTCTGTCGTTTGTAATGATTATTGATATGCTATTACTCAAAAGAGTTATTTTTATCTCCCCCGCCCAAAAAAAAATGAAAATAAATAAATAAAAAATAAAAATAGTGTCATATACTAGAAGTACATGTATTAGTGAATGCCAGTAATCTCTGTGGTCCAAAGACAGACATTTCTGTTTGTTTTTTGTTTTTCTAAATAGAAATTTGAGAAATCTGTTACTTGAAGGGAACACAATAGAGACACTTCCTTTGGAGTTAGGTAAGTTAACTAATAATAATTATTTTATTTATCATACTTGCATTAATCTTACTGGAAAGCATGTCAATAATTGTCATGTCCAGTTAGTTATTTAGACAGTAAAGGGATTAATGTAGCAGTTAACTTCAAAATCTGAAATAACCAGCTAAATAAAATATTGAAAACCTAACGTAGTCTAGTAAAAACCATTTGGTGATAGTGAGCTACATTAAATTTTTTTTGTTACATTTTCATCTTTTCCAGGTCTGCTTAAAAGTTTATCTGGACTGAATCTATCAAACAATCCTCTTGAGTTTCCCCCATCGCCTATAGTGGAAAAAGGCACACAGGTATGATTGCAGTTGTATGTTGCGAATATGCATAAGTTATTGTTAGTGGTTAAAGTGTAAGATACATTACTATCTATCACCCAAGAGGCTTACAGTGAAACGCGGTCAAGTGTTCTTTGAGAAAGAATAAAATATGAAGTTGATAATTTCATTTTCAAGTTCAAAAATTGAGTTAATTTGATTGGATTAGTGAGACAATCAATCATTAAAGCAGCAAAGTTCTAGATTTTGATCTCTGGTGAGAATTTTACTAAATATTTGGACAAAATGTTACTCATAGTAAAAGTTACTAGTTCAAAAGAATAATAATTATGTAATTAATTTTTCTGTGTATAATGAAGTTATTTGTCCTTAGTTTTGACTTTCACAGTTTTTTGAAGAAAGATATTCCAGATGTCATTCCAATCTCAACCTTTGTTCATTTCAGTCTTGTGGTCATAAGCTTAAAGCATCGTGCAAACAGCTGCAGCATTGCTAGTTGTTGCATCTGTTTTTGCGTAGCTAAAAGTCTGACGGGTTTCAAACTTTGCACAACATCTCCCAACAACATGCAAATATGAAGGTGTGCAAACAGACGCAACATGTCCAGGGGGGAACTCTGCATATGAAAGGGGTGGGGATGCTTGTCTCGCTTAGGGGTATAAATTTTGGATTTTGGTCTCAATTAGAGTGTTCTGGGCAAAATGCCATCATATTTAGCCATGAAGGTCTCGTTTAGGGTTGCACGTGAAAAAAATATAAAAATATGTGTATTGTCTGTGTTTTAACATGGTCTCTTTTATGGGTCGAAAAAAGCTCTTTTAGGAGTTTAATTCCAATTTTCCAATGAGCGTCCCCACCCCTTTCATATGCGGAGTCCCCCCTGGGGCAACATGTAGCATTGGCCAACAATGTCCGTCTTTTTGCAGGGGCTTAACAGTAAACATGGCTGTAAAGGTCATGGTAGCCATTATATAGAGAGACTATCTTTATAAATGCTTCCCAACTGGTGTCTCTTTTCGTTACATGTTAAATTGATTTCTCCTCAAAGATCAATAATTTTCTTATTTTTTTAAAAATCAAAACTGAATTTTTTGTTTTGAATGTTCAATTATTCAACTGCAGATCAAAAGAAGTATAGAAACTAATAGATATGAAGTCAAGTTCAAATTATTTTCGGCTTAGGGATGCTTAGACTGGGTTTCACTGTAATCAAAAACAGAGGTCAACAAAAACAAATGGACAAACCTAATCTAAAGAAAACAACAGTCGCACAATAATGGTATGGTAACTTGCAAGTTTTTGAAAACTGTCTAACCTATGAAAATATATAGAAACATCAGTTATTATATAATACTGAGTTGATAACATTATGACCTTTCTTGCAGGAAATTCTCAAGTTTCTTAGAGAACAGTATTATTTACAGCTTCAAGAGAGAGGAGGAAGAGTGCTTGTGGAGGGTCTGTACAAGTTTATATTCTGCTTCTAATGAACAGGCTGTAAGCCCAGGTGGAAATCTTATTAAGATCTTGTAAGATCTTGTAAGATCTTGTAAGATCTTGTAAGAATCTTGTAAGATGCTTATTAAGATTAAGATCTTATTAAGTTCTTGTAAGATCTTATTAAGATATCATATCTTAAAAGATTTCTTAATAAGATCTTGTCAATATCTTAATGTCTTTGTCATCCTTAAGATCTTACTAGATCTTATTAAGATCTTAATAAGATCTTAGAGTTTCTTACTAGGAAATTTTTACTAAGATTTTTACAGTAACTTAATAAGATCTTAATAAGATCTTAGAGTTTCTTACTAGGAAATTTTTACTAAGATTTTTTACAGTAACTTAATAAGATCTTAATAAGATCTTGATTGGAACCAGGCTTAGCGTAAACTACCTGTTAAAATTATCTTGCAAATCACAATTTTTGGGCTTTCATTGAAAAGAGAGAGACAACAGTGTCAATTCCAGTTTAATTCCCTCAATAAACAGATCAGAGAGGGTTTAGGATACTAGCCCCATTAAGCTTAACCCAAGAGTTGTATAGTTAAACACAGATTTAAAAAATATTATTGTTTCCTTCATAAAAGCAGCTGCCCTCTGAATTTAGCTTATTGCAACTCCTGAGTGCAAATTAAAAAACCTATTGAATTTCATTTGAATCTTGTGTGTTCCAACTTCTGTGTCTGTTTTTCATTTTTTAAAACCTGGTTTATAAATTACATGTTTACAACCCTTGCATCAGGAGCGCAGTCAAAAGCATAGCAAGCCTGGCCAAGCTAGGATTGCCAAGGTCCTGGCTGGGCTTGCCAGGAAAGCGTGGCGTGGAAAAGCCTGGTAAGCCCGGTCAAGGCCAGGGTTTTGAGGTAAGCCTGGCCATAGAAGCGTGGCTTTTTTGGCCATGCTAAAAAATAGGCCGGCATTTCATGGCTTTCCCGGCCAGAAAACCAGAAGCCGGGAAAGCCAAGAATTCGTGGCCATGTTCTACAAGTGACAACAATAAGAACTAGAAACAACAATAAGGAAGGTATTTTTTTACAGGATCAATACCAAAAATAGAAAATACAGAGTTTTAAGAAATTAGTGCAAGCAAAGGAAAAACATAGATCACAAGGCTACAACAAGTCCACTACTCTCTTTCCACAAAGTTTGGCATTCTAGCAAAACACAAATCTTGCTTGTTTCCACTCAGATAAAAAAACTTTTTTTTCAATAGCAGTAACATTGAATTACTTATATATAGATACATGAAGTAATATAAAGTTACTTTTCAATATTTGACGACAAAGCGATTCTGCAAAGCTTATATAAAAACCATTTAAGCAATAGAAAACGTTTTCTGTGTTTGCATAGCCTGATATAAACACAAGAGGGGTTGTGAGAATTCGAGACAGTTATGCAAACTCAAGACGCAGTCGAGGGTTTGCTTAATGGTCAAGAATTCTCCCAGCCCTGCGAGTGCAAACACAGGAAAAACATTTTGTAGTGCTTTTATGAAATAACTTTCCCAAGAAAATAGCAAAACTCTGTTGTTTAGAGCACTGATTAAAAGAGAAATTGTTACCAGTCGTGAAGTCTTGTACTCGAAGCTTGTACACTTAATCAGTCCTTTTTTTCCAAACAAGATGCTTTTCTCACTTAAAATGTCAGCTCTAGCAAAAAAAACTTGACACAGCATGTTTCTAAAGATTTTTCAAGTTTCAGCCGACGAGGAAATAGGTAAATAAAGTAAACTTGTCAACTAATTTTTCAACTCAAAACCTTTTTCAAATTCATGCTTGCACGATTAAGCGCAAAAAAGCAAAACATATTGATGACACAACCATGCTTACATACTCTCATGTAAACACGCCTCTCGGCTAATCAGAGCTATCAGAGTTTATTTTATAAACTGAAATATATACAAGTACCTCCTATTCTGAATTTTCTGTATGGTTCTTTTTTCATCTGCATGGGTAATTTATTTAACTGCGAGGATCATTTCTACTTTCATATCTATATCCACATGTCCAAAAAAAATTGTCATTTCATGAAAGCTCAATTATTTCCATTCATGTCATTTCCACCATTGGGTACACTAGCTCACCATGGCTAGCTCTCCAGCTGGCTTGATAAGTTTAATGGTTAAACGATTGCATCCGATCAATCGCATAGCTAGGTCAGGATTCGATTCCCAATCAAGCCTTTAATTTTTTCAGGTACTTGTTCAGCCTTTTAGATAATGTCCATTTTACTGCAAGGATCATTTCCATTTTTAAGACTGTTTCTTACTGTAATGTGTTCCTCGGATTTACCGTTCCTCGTAGGTCGAAAGTCCACTTGAACATGCGAACAGTTCCTTGCTTTGCATGCTTTTTGAGCTTCCTTTCGGTAGAGTTCGTTCAACTAATGAATGACGTGATCAAGGTGTCTTTGGTTAGATCAGATTTCCATACACTATTTAAAAACCTGTGAGCTTTGTCCAACATGGATCCGTCCAACATGAACAACAGCCACAACACGTTTTTCGTCGCAGTTCTTTGATTGATAATGTGGTCCAACATTTTCTTTCCCAACTTAAAAGAACAACGTTAAGTTTACCTCTTGCTCTCAACACTTCAAATGCGTTGGTTCATCTTAATCAACGCTGAAAATAACTGCTATTTAGACCCAAACGGGAGCACATCGCATTAGTCGCCATGTTTTCTTGTTTCCCAGGCCTCAACGTGTGCCTTTGGCACATGCGCGATTTGATTTACTTTGTCACGTGTAGCTTTTGAACCAATAGAAAAGTGTGAAATGAACTTCCGTTGAATAGTTCAAATTCACGCGGACTTCACAAGCAACAAAGTATTTTCGTAAGACCGTCTTTCTATTATCCATGTTATTTTCGAGACAAAGTGATCAATTGCGAAGTTTCTGTTCACATAAAGCATGTTTGCAAGTGAGTTTACTCAGCTGGATTAATGTGGAAAGGTATGTTTTCCAATATCTTTGCGTAAATAACCTTATAAAGTTCAAAGTTCATGCAAAGATATGCCATTGATCAGATCCCTTTTTGCTGCTTTTTGTTTATTGCAGATCGAAATAACTGTACTCTTTGTTGCAAATAGTCAATGGAATACTCTGAAAACTGTATGTTCTGGCGCTACAAGGTTATAGCAGACTTGTCAAGACCAATGTTAGACAATTGCAAAATAGGACTAGGAGAAGAAATAGCATAATAAGTAAAGTTTCCAATGGCTACTTACAGGTTAGAAGCAATAAAGTTTTCAGTTAATTTATAAGGACTTGAGACTTGAACTTACATATAAAATATTAGAATACAGCCTGTAGGTTTGTTTATTTGAACTTTAATTCATAGTATAAGTTGCATAAGGTTGTAAAGCTTCTGGTACATGTAATCTTAATATCATTGCTGCAATAGTAAGGTCGCAAAACAACTAGCAATGATTAGAGTCCATTTTATAAAAAGGTGTGATAATCTACATAGTAATTCACAATTTTCTTTCATAGTATTTACAAACTAACAAAACTTATAATGTTTTGTTTTTTCTCTTATTTTCCTTGATTTTTGTGGAGGAAATACATGTAGATGGACAAATCCAATGAATAGGCCACTTGCACTAAGATGTCACGTGACCAATGCTTCCTTTAAACAATGAGTTGGAATCTTGCTGATGCCAAAAATTGACAGAGCACATAAAAATTATCGTACAACAGCCTGAACTGAAATTTGAGAGGAAACGCATTCAAGGGAGATATTTATGGCACTCTGATTTTTCAACAAAGTAGTATGATTTGTATTGGCTGGCATGTTGGAGGGCAAGTATGCCCTCCAACATGGCCGCCAAAACTACTTTTAGCTTATATCTTGTTAAATGTGTGATAGTTATGCTCAGATGTGCTGTAAACGTTGGCACATATTTTCAATATTTTCCTTGAAGTTTAAGTGCACAATTTGTGTTCAGAAAGAGATACTTCATAATTTTAAAAATCACATTTTGGTCATGTAATCATTTTAAGAAAATGGTGCGGCTTTGAAAAACCAAGTAACTATTATTTTATATAAGATATGACCCACTAATCGTTTTTTTCAAGGCAAAATCATATAACTTTCACTTTCATAAAAACGATGTCACATGACCTCTTGGTGCAAATGGCAGTTTTGGCCTATTGAACATTGTTTAAGTAACTGGTAAAATAGCATGATTTAAAAAGATAATTAAAACTACGCGATGCCAATTCATTAAAAGATACAAATGACATTATGGTGTTTTTTTGCTACAGGGGTGTACTTTGTCGTACTGGACTTGAACTAACAGTCTGCCCTTTCTGTTTTGTTTCTGAACTAGAGTATATTAAAAATGTGTACATTTGAATTAAAAATAGCTTGTTTTGTGGAAGGATTTTTTGTCAGGCATACCTTTTAATGAGTAAAATGTTAAATTAAGAAACTATTCTTTTTTTTTTTCAAAATCCAGTATCTTGACTTAATAATTTTTTAAAAAAAATATATATATATATATGTTTCAGTAGTGCAATGTTACTTTTTCTTGAATTCACTATTTTTAATTAATGAGGCAAATAAATGTAACACCAAACATGGAGATTGACTGAGAAAGTCGTTGCAATTGACGTGGGGAACTCCTTTTTAAAGAATCAGGTCTTGATCTATTGTCAAGGAAACATTCCTGAATCCTGACCAAGAAAGTTGAAAGCTCTCTCAACAATACCTTTTCTCCATCTTGCAAGATTGTGTTAGAATCTTGACTAAGCTCTTGAAAAATCTAGAACTTCAGAGACAAAATCTTGAAAACATTGCAAAAGAAGTTGTTAAGATTCTAGTTACAGTTCAAACCAGGATCTCTACAAGTTTATTATTAATCAAGATTCTTACAAGATCTTGTAAGGTTTTGGTCAGATTCTTGTAGGATCTTAAAAGGTCTTACAAGAGTCTTGATTAAGGTCTTACAAGATCTTTGTTAAGATTCTTGTAAGATCTTACAAATTGGGTAGGCCAGAAGTTAGGCTCTAAGAATGGTTCACAGGATTGTTCCGGAAAACAAAAGATAGCCCTAACCCAAACAAAACTAACAATGAACCGCAACTCTGAAACAATAGAGCTTCGGGCCAACAAGAACCTATCAAATTAGAGGTTCTAAAGAGGTTCTGGCCAACAGCTTAAATTGGCCTCACAGCTTCCATGTTTCACAGTGTTTTAGTAGAAAATTTATGAATTTCGTATGAAAAAGGAGCCAGAACCTCACCCCTGGGGCAGATCATGGGCACAAGATAAGATGCAGCTGGGCTGCTAGGTCAGAGGTTTTTTTGAACAAAATTCAAGATGGCGGACGACGATTCACACTCAACTGCCTCAGGTGAAAAAGGTCATTCAACAATTTTAATGGCTCATTACTAGAAATTTTACCAGATTAATATTAATATTGATGTGTAGTCTTTACTGATACATTTTTGGGTTTTAATTGTGGTTTATGGGCTCCTGATTGCGGACAGAGTTATCTAGCAATGCTAATTATGCCGCAAAATTGCACAAAAATGGTTAGAAATCTCACTTTTCTTGTACAATTTGCAGATATATTTTTGCATCAGACTAAAGGAAGAGAGCAACAAAAAAGAAAGTTTTGTTTTTTTGAGAAACCTTTGTTAGAAAAAGCAACTTTTGACTCTTTTTTAGCAAGTTTTGAGCAACATTTTGAGAATAAACGGGGATATTTTTAGGAACTCTCAAGCAACTTTAAGAAAGCCCTACCAACGATAATCCATGTAAGCTGAAGCAAACTATTAGGTGCACCTGTGTCGCAGTATCATCAATAATTTTACAAGAAATTTACTCCTAGTAAACAGATGTAGTATTTTTTCATTGACAAACTAAAATGTTCAGAACAATACTGAAAATAAATAAATGCATGGTGACTATCAATAATGTTTGTTCCTTTCCCGTGCTCCGGTCATAATTGAAAATTAGGGAAAAACTCAAAAAGTCAACAAAGAACTAAGCATGCGGAAAATTTACACAAACATGCACATGCCGCAATTCTTCCAAACAATGCTTTACTGGCTCCAATGCAAATTTCTGCACAAAAAAGGAGTGTCGCCTTGCATTGTGCCGGTAAACATTCTTGGACCATTCTTGTAGCAGCTCAGATCAAAGAAGAACGTTTTAAAAGCTTTTTTTGATATCACATTATATTGAAAACAAGCCTGTATTAAACTGCCAATTATGTTTATTAAAGGAAAGCAAAAATGTTATTCAACTTATTTTGTATGAAGGTTTTTACAACCATTGGACCCATGTGCGTACTTGTTGAAATGGTCTCACGTAGCTACGCCCCTGGTGAAGTAATTTTGAAGCACCAGATTTGTAGCGAGGAAACAGTAAGGTTTGATCAGGGCACATTTCTAGGGGTGTATAACAGAACTGCCAATCTCATGATTCAAGCTGGATCAGTCTCACAATTCTGTAACTTTTCTCACGGCCCCACGACAAGACTCCCAATCTCACATTTTTTTTGGAAACTGATCATTTTGAAATGAAATTACCTTGTTGAATAAAAACAGAAATTTCATGGTAATGCTAGTGCCTGTTTAAGCCTTTTGCCACAAATCAAAGATGGCTTATTGGGAAGAAACAATTCATCATTGGTCAAAGAAAAAGAGACATCTAATTTGTTACAAGAGGGACCCCACTGAAGCAGGGAAATTTTTGAATAAACAAATCTTGGTTATAAGATTCTTATAAGATCTTGCAAGATTCTTCTAAGATCTTGCAAGATTCTTATAAGATCTTGCAAATTCTTACAAGATCTTGTAAGGTTTTGGTAAGATTCTTGTAAGATCTTAAAAGGTCTTACAAGAATCTTGATTAAGATCTTTCAAGATCTTACAAGATCTTTGTTAAGATTCTTGTAAGATCTTGAAACTTATCTTGTAAGATCTTGGTTAAGATTCTTACAAGATCTTGCAAGATTCTTACAAGATCTTGTAAGATTCTTACAAGAATCTTACAAGATCTTACAAGAATCTTAATAAGATACTTGTTAAGATGTTGGTAAGAATCTTAATAAGAATCTTGTTAAGATCTTAATAAGATTTCCACCTGGGAGGTGCCACTCCAGAGTTCAGCCCCCTTTAATCTATCCCTCCTCCCCACAGGAGTCTTGGGCTGTCCCAGTATGAAGCAGTGGTATCATCTCAGTATAATTCACCATCTCTCCCATATCTCCCCTTTTCTAAATGCTCCTAAAATTTTTTGGTACCTTCATCTTGGATGGGATACACACATTTGAATTAACACTTGGTTGCAAAATGTCAATTTTCATTCTGAAGTTAGAAGTTTCAGGTAGTATATAATCATTTACTGAGAGGCATTATTTTTGCCAGGAGGTGTTTTACATTCTGTGACACATGAAAACCTGGGGAGGGGGCCATGATCCTTTTGATAAGATTAAGTTTCTCAGGGTCGCCTAAGGTCACCAAGCATGATAAGCAGTAGACATCGTCGAGAGTATTGCAAGGCTGTTTAAATTCTACCCAACATCCTATGTTTTTTTTTTACAGAGCATCCAGAATCTTCATCAAGTGAGGAGCTGTTGATGGGTCCAGCACCATATGGTGCTGAACAGACTTGTAAGTTAATAATTGAAGTCATTTACTTGAACGAGTTCCTTGTACGGGTAGTGATTTAAGCTACGTAAAACAGGCAACAAAAATGTGCAACTTGTTTTACAACATTGCTGCAAAATGATTTGAAAAGCAATGATGCACGTAAAACCCACAAAAGGGTTCTGTCTAGGGTATTTGAGGGGTAGAAGCTTCCCCCCCCCCCTCCAAAAAAAAATATTGTTATCGTTACAGTATATAAGCAACTATATCAAAAAAATCATGCAGACACGACGAGATCAGTGCGCACACTGTGACATTTCTCAAAATTGTGCCTCAAAATGCACCAGACTGCATCTCAGGGCATATTCATTTCTAAAAATTTTCAGGCGGGGGGGACTTGCCCCTGGACCCCCTAGGAAGATTGTAGCCTTCGGCCAGTCATGACTTCTCCTCCAAACTATAAATTCTAGATAGAACCCTGCACAAATCAAACCTGCCTTAAAAGAAATCAGGTTATTTGAGGTTGAAAAGGTCTTCTAGAAAGTAGAGAGGAGTTGTAATTTTTTTTGCTACAAAATCTGTATTAAAATGATTCCCTTTAACCGGCCCAAGGCAAACTTATTTTATAACATGTGATGTCACTCCTAATAGTATGGCATGATTTTTGCGTTTTCATACAACCTGTTTTGTTGCAATTTAAACAAGTTTTCTTTGGTAGTGGAAAAAACTCACAACATCACTTTCCAACTAGTTTTACAGCAGTGTTGCAAAACAAGTTGCACATATTTGTTGCTCTTTTTACTGCAACTTCAGGGAGACTATTTTTCTGTTATTTCTCTATGAGGAGCGTTACTGCTGTGTTTTATGTCTTCGCTTTTACAAACGTTGAATGGAAGTCCTAGACAAAAACACAGCCCTATGACATGCCGTTGATAATCACCGTTTTTACTTTTTGTTCTTTTGGTAATAATTTTCTTTTAGGTGTGTTATGTAATTCTTTACAAACATTTTGCTCAGTCCTATTGTTTAACACCACTAATCTGAGCATGACTTATAACATTACTTGTCTGCATTAACATCTTACAAGCGGATCTATTCTGCCCTTCTTCGGAACTTACTAAGTAATGTAATAGTAAATCAGGGTAGAAAAAGATACGCAAATTTAAAGGTGGATATCGCTCCAACTTGTCCGTCCTCAACTTTTATACACTATCAGGATTACGCCTGTAGCTTCCCACTATTTTTGCAGTGAAATAAACGAGTTACTAAAACAGCAAAGACCGTAGTTTCTTTGATAGTGAGGTAACTTTAGAACAACAAAAAGAGAGATAAAGTATTCCGCAAGTCCTTGGGTTTTGTTAAAAATCTCTGAAATCTTGGGAAACTCGAAACAAAAGTTTGGAGAAATACTGATATCCACATTTAAATTTGCGTTTCAGGGGTACAAGATGAAGAAGAAGTTCAAAATGAAAATGAGAAAAGTAAGAGAGCTGAGAGGTTCAAACTGCCGCCAATTTTCCAAGCGGCTGCAAGACACAAAAATCGTCCTGTTGACGAATCAGAGGGGCTTTTAAGAGGTCAAAAAGCTCGGACATTTGAACAGGAAAAACCATCTAGGAATGTTGTGGGTAGGGAGCAGAAGTCCCCCGCGAGAGTGGTGAAACACGAAGCAAATTCGCCGAGAAAAGACGCGGTATTTTATGGTTTTGGGACGAATGAAGGCAAAATTCAACTGGAACCTTTAGACAGAAGTCGGCGAAAAAGCGAACGAACAGGGAAGAGCTTGGAGGGTTTGGACAAAAGTTTAGAGTTAGATAAACAGTTATACATTGTGGATACTACTAAAAAAGACGCAAGAAATCCGAAGAGCGAGAAAACAAAAAGAAGAAGGCGAACAAAGACTGAAAGTCCTCAAAGAAATTTGCCACTAAGAGAAAGTTCCAGGAGTAATGGAAATGTAGCTGTGGCTTCCAATGAGGAAAAAGCTGAAAATGTAAAGGAAAATAAAACCCTTCAATCTCAAGAAACTGCGCCGTTTGTAAATGTGGAGGAGAATTCTCTTAGCGGCAAGAAACAACAGAAGCCTCAACATTCTGAGGTCAAAAACAAGAGTTCAGGCGTGTTGTCCCTGACTGAAGGAGACATGGTCGCCGTTAAAGTGCCTGAGAAACTTTACATCAAAGGACAGCCCTGCCTTGGTAAAATAACAGCGCTGGCAGATCACCAAGGTCTCCTTACTGTTCATTACTACACGGGTAGTTATCAAGGCCGTTGGAGACCGATGATGAGTAGGACTAGTCCTTATCTTAGAAAGGTAGCTGCGGATGATGTGTTGTGCAAGTTTAAGTTGAGTTCTGATGGAAGAATGTCGCCTGTCACTCAAAGAAAGTTAAAAACAGTTGTTGATGATGAACGGAAAGAAGAAGGCAACACATGAGGAGAAGAGAATCGAGTACACGGTTAGAAATGAGAATTTCAGTCCTGATGGACATTCCACTCAAAAAAAGTCGGGAACAGTTACACTGTACTTTTTAAACTAACAAATATGACAATCAGCTTTTTCATAGCCATGAACGCACAAATTCTGCTAAATGAAAAGCTAATTTTTAAAATGAACACATGAGCGGAAAAAATAACCCCAGATATTTCGAAACTGTGGGTACAAATGTTTTAAAATTGATTGAAATAGATGACCACACCGATGGAATTTTTTCCCGAAAACGGAACTAAGGGGAAAATGATACATTCGTCTCGTATAGTGACCTAAAGGTAAAAAACGTATCAATGTATTTGAGATACGAAGAATATTGTTTTTGTTGTAGTAATAGTATAAATACGTTTTCAATGAACTACAGGCGATCAACACAACAACTACCACTTCTTATGATAGGTGATTGTCAGAATACGAATACATCTATAACCTGAAGGAGTATGTATATTTTGAACAAGTACAGCATATATTTAAATACGAATCTATTACGCTTCATACAAGATGAAAAATCAAAAGTAATTAGAATTGATGGGATAAATTAGTACCTCAAAGTAATAACGTATAATGAACAAGACATAGTTTTTTAGAAAAATACAATATGACAAATAGGCTATGCGTACTTGTGAATGAATTTTAAATTTAGTAAGTATTTTACATGTAATAAAGTACGTACCCCCCAATATTCAAGTGAAATAAATCTTAGTCTACGATCTTGTTAACAAAGCGTGTTTGTCTGTTGTTATTGTTGTTGTTCTTTATTATTCCAAATTAACCCATGGAGAGTAATTAAAGAGTTGCAATTAAGGACTTCAGAAAACTTTTTTGTTATATGCAAAGGCACTGTCCCAACAAACTCAGATAGAAATATACTTAGGGCCTTAGGGCCTGTGGGGGACCCCCGACAGGTGAGGTAACCTGTAAACGTGATCAAATTAAAATGAGAGATTATATAGACAGGCGGGTTACCTCGTCTAACCTCCACGTAAACGGGCCGTAAACCATTTTCTCCCCTTAAAGGGTCACAATTAATTCCATGCCAACAGGTGGCAAACCAGTTGACTATCTCACACGCATGGTTAAGGATATGTCGGGTTTACCGAGAATAAACCCGGCAAGCGGTTAGGGCAGGACTTGAATTTGGGGCCTCCGGATTACAAGTCCAGCGGTCTTACCACTCTGTCACGCTATCTCCCACTGAACCTCCAACAGCGAGAAGTCGTTATGTCACGTTGCCATGGTAGCAAAATGTCAAAAAAACCGTAGTCCTGCAAATACGACAGAAAAAAAAGGAAAAAATCGACATGTATGACTTTTCCGTGCATGATCGCACTCGTAAACAAAACGGTAGCCCATACTTTTCTTCCATCGTTCGACAATGCAAATGGCCGTCTCTGTCAAGAAAGATTATTGAGATCCGGAAATGTTCCTACCATGGTAACGTGACGTCACAGGTCTCCTCTTTATCTAACAAAGCTCTTTATACAGAAATCCACAGCTATGGTAAAAACAAGGTTACGGGACAAGGCCCCGATATAATGAACACGTTTTCCAAATTCCCGGGTGCTTCATTACAAAAAGGTCGTAACAGTGTTTCCACTGTTTTGATTATCGTTACTCGAAATTCATCAAAGATGTAATAAATTTTAATTGCAGATGCAAGGAATTCTACTTCTACGCGTCGTAGAAGAAGTAAACACGATGAAAAGCAACTCCCAGGTCCAATTAACGCGCCGGTGACATTCCACCCCCCTCCCTCTCGATCAGATGTGCTAAGGCGGGAATATGACAGACAGAGAATGGAGCTGCAGTCAAGTAGCGGGCTGTCAGCGGATACACGAAACAGGGAGTTTGTGGGACCTGGTAGGTCGGCACCCAGACAGAAGAAAACCAGCCCAAAATCAGAAACGAGGTAGAGAAGTCTTTTTCTCTCGTAGCTTTGTTAACAGTTCGGCGCTGAAGCTCCTAGGTCGATCATGTTGGTTTAGAATGATTTGCAAATATGGGCCCGTTTCCTCAAACGATTTTTCGTACGATTTCGTGGCGACGTCTTTACAAGCGTAGAGTGCATCTGATTTAAACACTAAGGTTTTTAGGTAACAATTACGCGAAATTTGAGCAGGTTCGAAACAACAGCGGCTGGCAACAATCGCCTCTACTCATACGCTGTTTGAAATGGCACCCAAAAGTCGCGGCAAAATTTGCACGGTGAAAAAATCGTCTGCTTAAGCGAACCTTTAACAAGTTTTTCTGTCATAATTTATTAGATTTGAAGTATTTCGCCTCTCGAAAATAACAGTTTTCATTATTACCTACGTCGCCTTTACGGTTGCGTCAATTTTAACACGTTTTATTATTTTTATTTTTTTCAGTTCCAGGTCTGCGCGGTTTCAGTACGACGCCAACGCGACTCCAAGATTCCCGGATTATGAAGCTCGATTGGCAGATCAGCAACAACTGGCAGTTTTAGCTGTGATGAACGAGAAAGAAGCCATGATATTACAGAAAAGAAAGTTAGTAACTCCATCATATTGATCTCCCTTTAATGTTTGATTTAGGAAATGACTTCAAAAGTGTATGTCTTTTCGCGAGTTTTTTAGTGTGTCCGTATCTAAGGATTATACTCAGCTGGATCTATGGAAAGAAGGGGAGAAGTCTATACAGCACTAGCCTACTTAGCTGGCGATTTTTTGGGAAAGGTGCAACGGAGGGGAGACCGAGCAAGCGGTGAAGCTGCGAGGGCGGAAACAACACAGCACTATACATGTAGACTTAATCCAAGATAGATTGTGAGATAATTGTTAGCCTATTGCTCTTGGGTTATATTTGAATTCGACTACGCGCAGTCACTCATTTCCCCGGGTAATACAGCTTCCTGGAAAATCGCCACACGCGATAACCGCTAACCAGAGACACTCTGTCCCCGGTTGTTCAACTACTACGAGCGGTCCCTCATTTTCCTCAGGGATAGTAGAGCGAGCGGGAAAATCGCCACCCGCGATAATCGGGGACGCCCTGTGCCCAGTTGTTCAACTACTACGAGCAGTCCCTCATTTTCCTCAAATCACCACCCGCGAGAAAGGTGACACGCGGAGGTAAGCGTTTCGCTTTTCCCGCGCGTGGCAATTTTCACGCGCGCTTTCGTATTTTGTGCACTCAAATATCCCTCGACTTGCAGTCTACATTTGGGTGGACGCACTGTTTAAACAACCATTGCAACATGAGGCATATCACCCTTAGTTTAGAGACCCAGTTTTAATCAAACTCACGAAAAAGCCATCTCGAATAACCGTTTAACCCTTAATACCCTGAGATAAAAATTTGAATTGTCAGTTTTTTGCCCCTGTTCATTTCCATTAGAAGTAGTGGGGAGAAGTTGATAAAATATCAAGCAAATTCATTTTGTGTGATCATGTCCGTAATTCTCACGACCACTCTGTTTTACAAAGCATTGATATTACAAGGAGAAATTTGATGCTGATCACTCTTAGGGTTTAAAGGGTTAATGCTGGTGCACAAGTACGGCACAAAAACCCCATTATGGGCCCCCTCGAATAAGCTCTGCGCCTCTAAGCTCGGGCTCCATTTCTAGGACTTGGTGTTACCATTACGTAATCGTTTTGAGAGCCAATCAAATTCAAAATCAGGCTGAAACTATTATATACTTCACCAAATGACATTATAGTAAGAAAATCATTATTTTCTTCAGGGACAAACAGGCGCTTGACGACTGGAGAGAACAAACCAAAATGATGCGGCAGCAAAAACAGCGACTTGCAGCCATAAAGGGTTCTACACCTGGTGAGTTAACAGTGCACTTTTCGGAGCTGGGATGGCTTTGGTTGGACAAGATGACTTTTATCCTGGCTTTAGATACGAATAGCCATCCTGAAGTCCCCAGCCCAAACTCGGCGAGTGGGACTGTTTTTGAAATGGCGCCTGCATATCCAAATGACTTTCCTTTCTTACCTCTAGCTTTGCAGGGGCGGATCTAGGGGGAGGGTGCAGGGATGAGATGACCTGCGGTTTTCTAATACAACTGGTATTCTGCAAAAAAAAAACTATATGGTTTATTGGTGTTGAGGTAGAGGAAGAGACGAGTGCACCCCCTCCTAAAAAAAATCCTGGATCCGCCCCTGCTTTGGGCATTTGAATTCACCTGCCATGAGGAGACTAACCATGAGCAAAGTCTTTAAAATCTAAAATAAGCACGTGATGAATGGCGATTTTCGGAGCAGTTTTCTCAGTTCAGATAGTTGATCCTTATAATATATCGTGTAACTATTCCGGTTTTGTTTTGCAGTTGAGGTGAAGGCGCCTTATGGAACCGAAAAATCTGCCAAGGAGGAAGAAAAGGTGTGATTTTTGAACTTTTATAGAATTTATCTTGAAACTAAAAGCCACTCCTTTCCATTCCTTTAAAATTAAATGTTTCGCAAGTACCTTATGAAGGTGACTGATATTCATTCACACAATGCGGACCAACCCTTGCAGTGGCGGATCCGGGGGGACGGGCGCGGGAAGCCCGGCCTCCCGCTTATTTTTAGACCAAACTGAGGCCCGAAGGGCTGAAAAAATTTTTTTGAGACCTGGCCCCTCCCCCATCTCAGGGTATGGATGACACCCCTCCCCCCTTATCTGAAGGTCTGGATCCGTCACTACGGTGTAAGATTAGTCTGCTACACAGCCGTTTTTAGTGTCGTCACGCAATGCCCCTCCCCTCCCCTCAAGGGCCGTTTATCAGACTAGTGTAAGATCAAATTATGGTAACGTGATTGTACTACATAATCCTCCATAGCTGCCATGGCAGCTAGCGCACATATTCAGTATTTTGATTCATAATGTAGCGGTGAAACAATTCACTTCTTCTATTCATATGAAAAACTGAAACTGGACTGAACTGAAACTGTTCTTTAGACTCCCCAAGGCTACGCCAAGCGACTCAAGGAATTGTTGGAAGAAAAAGACGGGAAAGTGGCAGCGAAAAAGTAAGTACTTCAAAGAAGCTCTGTCATGAGTCAGTTTTTAACAACGTACAAAAATATTCTGAAAAGGGAAATCTGAAAATATAGTTTAGCCAAACAATGATAGTAAAAAAACTGAAGAAGAAATATAGTCATTCCGACTCGTTCCAGGAATGTGATAAAAGGTGATCGAACGCACTGAATCCTGATTATCCCATGTATTCCTATTCCAAAATAACGTTAATCGAACACTCCCGAAATGATAGCCTGCGTAGCAAGCGTTTCCGTTTGGTTTCGAAGCAAGGAAAGACTGAGGAACGGAATTTTCGGTTAATTTTTTGGCCTCGCGAGAAATGAAACTAGAACCTCCTCGCTCTTTTACTTGCGCCATTTTTCGCGCGGTCTTTGACTCTTTGTTCCTCGTTTTTTGCTCCTAAACCTGACGAAAACGCTTGCTTCGCAGGCTACCTAAATGAGTAACAATAAAATCGACCGCAACTCGCCCAAACTCGCCTTTACTCTTGAGGACAAACGTCCTTGCTAGTTTAATGTGGATGAGTGATCTCACTTTTTATTGTCATGACAGGGCCTTAGAAGATCGCGAGTTGGAAGCTAGAATAAAACAACACATGGAAAAGTTACAACAGCACCGTAGTAAGACGTACGGATCGATACACGATGAGCTGGAGTCTGCGAGAGAGAACCTAGAAATGGTAAGTGCCTGTTAGAAATCCGCACTAACTCGCCACGGTTATGTACATCCCTCCAGAGAATAAAGATCGGCTCTCTTATCCACGCGATTTTATTACTTCTTCTAGGTGTTTAGGTTGCTCGTCGATGGGTAAGTGCGAATGTGGCGAAATAATTTTCTACGGGTGTCTATTAGGGAAAAGACTCCTCAAAAAGTCCAACGGCCCGGACGAAATGCAAAGAACTCCATGTGGTGGAACTACGGATTCTACCCACAATCCTTCCCAATTCCAACCTTCTCTTAGGCTTAGAATATAAAGACTACATGTACGTTGTCGAAATTAAGAAATGCTACATTCGTTTACGATGATGCCTGAAATCGTCCTAAAGGAGGTTGCGTGATTGATAGTATTCCGCAATAAGAATAAACAAACTTAACTCTAGAAATCGCCACCTCATTGTTACAGCTGCAACCCTGGCTAAATACACCATTCTGTAGTAAATCAAAATTTCAATAGAAGACATTTGTAAGCGTCTTCCGCGCATTTCTCCGATTCCCAAATGCGGTCAATCGATTCGCCATTTGCACATCTCTCATTATATAATACCCCTCGGTTTCCCCTCAAAATTGTGCACAACCATTGTCTTCAATATCTCTTTGGGGCGGGGAGGGGGGAGGGGGGACGTAAACAAGGTGTATTATGGGAGATATGCAAATGGCGAAATGCACCCCTGTTTACTTCACGTAGGCTATGCCTGTTGGTTCGCTTTTGTGTTGCGGTGTGGGTAATATTGTTCAGTGTCTTTTCAATCTTCTGTATTACGCGACATTTGGTGATTGTATCCGTCCTCAACACCAAGAAACCTCCGTAAAATGACAAAGTTGTACGACGTAAAATCAAGAAGTCTAAGGCTTGCGCAGATTCCCACCTCCCCCCTGACGCCTATTGGTTCTTTTATTCATTGCAGGCGCGTCAGATACAGCGCGAAGTGCGTGATAGGAAGGAGTTGGAGTACCGCCTGAGGGCCTTCACTGGTGATGATGTGACGTCATTTTACTGGGGGTCAAAGTCCAAGACTAAGAATGCTCCTAAATGAAAACGTTCAGTGATTAAGATAGTTGTGTAAATACGGATATTGCAAATACCTATACAGAGTGAACACTTACCAGTGCAAAGATTAATATATGAAGATTTAGATGTTGGTCATCAGAGAAAATATGATTGATTTGTATTCAGGTTTCTTGAAAAAGTTGATTTATTTATTAATTCATTTACAAAAAAAAACTGCGAGCTAAAAGTGGCTTTTCATGAACTCTTTTCTACGTGTAATGATCGTGATGCTGTTTTTTACAAAGATTTTACTTATGGTTCAAAGAGATGTCAAAGTTTAAGAGACATTTCTTTTAATAAATAATTCTCACTTGTAGATATAAAAGACCATAAAAATTTTGGGTCTGGTTGTTGAGTGAATACTTTTCCACTATAATAAAATTTACAAGCTCAATCTTTAACACCACTACGACTGTACGTTACACTGTGGAAACCTCATTTTTCAGATCGACAACCGTACATAAAACATACTTGTCGTAAGACGAAATGTACAAGGGGTACCGTTATTATTTACATAGGAACTATTTTCTAGATAAAGTTCCTCCCATTATTAGAAACCTTTAGATTCGAGGACGAGAACGACTTCACTACGACTGCAAGATTTGATTTAAAGTTTCTTCGCGTACTGGAAAAAAATAGACACTCCGGAAAGCGTCATTGTATTTTTTTTCAGCAGATTAGTTAGCACTGTTATCTTTATTACGAGAGGTTTAGCCCTCTTCCGATCGCAAAGTAATGAAACTTCTAACATTTGATAACTTGTTTCCGCCACTACGATTCTCGCTAAACTTGTAGTAGATCTGACGACGTGGGCTATCACGTTGTCCCGCCAAAATTACGCTCGCTCACGCGCGAGCACTACTTAGTATTGAGAAACTCTTGTACTCTTAGTCATCCTCGCCTTAGAATCTGAAAGGTCTCTATTAACACTTCCACTCCCAGACTCTCAGAATTAAGGTTGCAGTGGAATGCGTTTTATGACAATGAGAAAGGTTAATCTTAAAGCCTTCTGTTCCAACAACAAATTTGTATTATCCTTTTAGATGAAAGATTGGCCATATTTGGGAAACCTAGATTGAGTAAATATATCCTTCTATTTTTCTTCATCTCCCCCATCTTCCCCCTGTACGACATTTATGACGGGAAACACGTGCTGCTCACGTGAGGCTAGGATGCCCCTCTGTTCCAGTTCCTCCTCGATCTGTTGTAATCTTCGGTATTTACTGACGTGCTCCGCGCGGACCGGACCGCCTAGTCTTATGAAACGCGCACCAAAGGCCACAGCCTGGTCAAAGGAATAAAATAAGAAGAAAAAGAAAATCAGCGATGTCAACAAACAAACCAAAAATTGTAAAATTTCTGGAGGCCCCATTTGAGGTGATTAGTTTCGCAAGGGGCAGATTATAACAGGGAAGTTTTGAAGTTTAACAGGATCTCGTGGGTTTATAATTAGAGGGAAATCACGATATTGGTGCACTGCCAAAAAATTCGTGATGATGGACGGTTTATTTTTTATGGATGCGCTTATTATAGACGTTTTGGCTACTTAAATTGGCGGAGGGATAACTAAAGGGGCTTATAATACAATACTACTAACAACGAAAAATCAGATAAATGAGTCTGACAGGTAGCGATTTCACTGTATGATCATTCGCGTGGTTTTTGAGTACACGAGACTAAAACTTTAAATAGAGGCACAAAAGACATACATGTTCCCGACTGAGTGAAAGACCCTAAAAAAAATTGCGCAGGGCTGCAAAACCGGCGACGAAAACAGACGAAAGTTCGTCCAACAATAGGTAGATTTACAAAAAACAACGCAACTTCGAACAAGAAAGCGAAAGCGCTCGGAAAGGACTGAACGCAACTTCTGGTGCTCAATTTGCCACTTTGCCCTTGGTCACGTCGATTTGTTTGAGCGCGCCGTCGTGACTGTTGCCACATTGCCTTTCATAAATCTACCTAACCTGAATACAACGCGACGAATCAACAGAGCGCACGCATACGCGCCTTTTGTTGACGTCACAAAGCAAACAAAAGAAGCCAGTCAGCTGGAAAACTATGCGAAAAAAAATTTCGCGGGAAACTTATTTCGCCCTGACTTGAAAACTGAAGCGCTTGTTTCTGTAGCGGTTTAGAGACCAAAGATCTTCAGTTCGGCGTATCCTGTGATTGCCAGAATTTTTAAGATGAATTGATTTGTGGTGTAAAGCCATCATACTTGAGGTAATGAAGTTTTTGTCCGAGAAATATGACAATAAATCTTTCGCGCTGGGCTCTCAGGATTTAACGAAAGATATATGGTATGTGAGACTCATTTTAATTGCCCTTTATCACCATGGTTATATAATAATTTTTAGACGCCTTTCCCTTGTTTCAGGTTAGCGCATTACGTCTTGCTGTGCTCCAAACATGTTCATTTTGAACTCGCAGCCACGTCTTCTGCTGTTGTGGGAGTTTGAATTGCTATCAGTGTGTAAACGAATAAAACGGCACAACATACCGAGCCCGGCTAAAATTTTACCAGTAGCTGTCACAATGAAAAACTGTAAACAACATCCGCACTTCAAGTAAACAAACGGAACAAATAAAAAGGTCAGACTCTCGACATATGAGTAAGGAGTAAAAATAACTGTTTCATGATTCGTATACGAACACCAGCAACATGACAAAAACAGCTCGGCAAAGGACAGTCAGAGTTTAAGCTGGAAAATTACAAGGAAGAGATTCATCAAAACTCTTGCGAAAATGGACATACATCAACTTCTTGTGGTTACTTTGTGCACATGTCATTTAGCGAGCTTTTGTGTGTGTCTGAGAACAACAGGTGAGAGACAATATTTTATAAACTGGTTTGGTCCGTTATAAACGTCGATTTGATCACACTTCCAGGGAAAACTCTTACATGCGAAATACAGATTGGTCCTGTTTAGATTTTTTTAAGCGCTCGTAAAACGAAAAAAAAATATGATTAGATGGATGAAGTTGCTCTTGGTTGGCGATGTAAGAATAAACTTAGTCAAGCCCGTTAGTTATATTAACATGCATATTCTCTTCACACTTCTTCATATATTTCTTTAGAAACTATCAGGAGAATTTGTTTCACTATCATTTCTTTTATTCTCACGTCTTTCTTGCTTGATCAACCAATGAAATAATAAGGAGAAATTCGATGTTGGTCACTTTTGAGACCGAAAGGGTAACTGATGAAGAACTGCAATTAGTGGACACAGGAATAACCAAGGAAAATGAGCGTTTTTTGTCATTGGTTAATGAACCAAAGCTTTTCCAATTGTTCACGAAATACTACGAGTTCTCCCTGCGACCTGCTTTCATGAATGATTAAACAAATTCAATTAACTACTGGTGCCTCGACATCTTTCGCAAATAACATTTGTTCCGTAAATGCATACCTGATCTTTTATTTTACGTGAAAATATCGAATTCCTGTGTCTTATATGTACCAGTTCAACGAGAACGTAGATTAATTCACCAATTTCAAACTAATGCTTTATCTGTAGAGTTCCTGCAGAGCACACTCCATTCGTTGAGAACTTTAGATATGATTAGTTATCTCATTCTGTAATAACACAATAAAGACAATTTCTTCTGGGAGCCCGAAAAAAATAGATTTTAAATTTCACAGGAATTTTGACAACAGATAAAATTCATTTTCTTTGGTGTTACTACAAATCACTAATTACATCTATGGCTTAAAGGAATGTAATATGCTTTAAATTATTCTGGTAGAGTCGGAGCTCTCTTTGCGACCACTCTAGTAAGCGACCAGCTCTAGTTACGACCACCCTAAACTTGTAAAGAAAAGCTCTCTTAAGTAACCGCGAACCCTTTTGGGATTACCCAACTGGATTTTTTCTTTGTTTTGAAGCTCTCGCAAGCGACCACTTAGACGCGATAAGACAGGAGCTGTAATAAACGGCTTCAAAATCTTCTGGTGTAGATAATCTCATTTTGCACTAATATTTAGAATATTTAGGATTATTTTGGTCTAAATAATTGGGCGTAAAGTTTAGCCGTGTCTATATCAAATATAAAGACACTCATTAAACTTATGAAATTTCTTTTGTTTTCCTTATAAATTATTTATGAGTTTCTGAAGCTCTTGTTAGCGACCACCCTCTATTAGGGACCTTAAGCAAAGACGACGACGACGGCAGTGAAAATGTCGCTGAAAAAATGAATTTGCGCTCTTTCAAACTTAATCGCGTCTATTTGGCCCCGCTCAATATGTCAAATGCAGGCGACTTTTCCTGGAGTTGAATTCTTAAGGATCTTATTCAAGTTCGAAAAGAGGAAGGAAAATCCGTCGTCGTATGTCCACGTCCTCCATAAAACGTCAAATTATGAGGTTTCACGTCGTAGTCGTGCAGTGGACGTCAAAGAAATGTACTAAAAAGTGTGATGCACGTGCAGAGCTGTTGTTTTGATCATTAAACATATTGTTTTTTGAAGTCGTCGTCGTCGTAGTAGTTGTTTAAGCTCCCTATTGTTTCACCATGCAGTAGCTTACGAGAGCTCATTCTCGTAAGCTCTAGTTACGACCATTTTCTCGAATTTCCGAGGTGGTCGCTTACGAGAGCTTCGACTGTACAAGGTTTCTGTCTTCTGAAAACTAAAAAACTGTTTGATGGGTTTAGTCTTAATTTAGTTTTTTAATTGATCTTTCAATTTTTTATTTTTCAGTTTCATGTTTTATTTTCTTCCATATTTAGCTACGTGTGGTAGGAGACCAAAGTGGGCCGAAGAAGACAACAGCAAGAGGATCACAGGCGGCCAAGAAGCCAAACCCGGCAGCTGGCCCTGGATGACAAACATCTTTATAACGGGGCTTGGAGAGTATTTCAAATGTGGTGCCGCTCTTATTTCGGACCGCTGGGTCCTCACAGCCGCCCACTGTACCATCGCCAATGTTGGGCCAATGATTGCACCTGCTAGTAAATACCCAGAAATGTTGAAGGTAACATCTCAGCGTCTTATTTTCTCCGCTTTCGAATCAAAGCAGTAGACCACCTAGATCGTTCAACTGCTATAAGAGATTTAGGCCTGGTTCAGACGCCGTACTCTTCATGTGCCGAACCTAATTGAATAAGCTCGACTTTGGAGCGACACTGGCACGACATCTGATTCAGACAACGCACCGTGTGTCGAGCCTAAGTTAAGTTCGACAAAAGTTCGACAGACTCTGTCGAACTTTACGCTTTTGCCGCACCAAACTAAAACTGCCATACCAAATTGATTCAGACGCCGCTCTTTGCCGTACTTAATTCATCAGTTAGGTTCGGCACATGAGTGAAGCGGCGTCTGAACCGGGCCTTAGACTCGTGTTTACGGCAAACGGCAAACGTCAGATTCAAGTTGAAAATTTCTCAAAATAGAAAATGAGCGGATTAAAACAGTGCGTCCAATGCAGTTCTAGTGGATAAAACTAGCATGCCAAACTGCAAGTATTTGTGTAGAAGAAATGAACAGTAAACGACAAGAAAAGAAAAAAACTTGGTCACGTGGTACAAATCGAAGTTTGCCGTTTGCCGTAAACGCGATTCTAAATCTAAAGAAGCTGCAGCTTTACTGTTTTTCAAAGTTCAATTTTGGCATTTGAAACGCTTGATATAATGCTTTGGGAGAGGTATTTGTTTGATATATGAAGCTGTGATTTTGTTACTTACAAGTAAATTCCTTGCTAACGTAACGTTTCTTCAGTGATTTTGTTACAAATTGTTATGGTGAGTCCTAGGACTCATCTTGTGGAAAATCATGAGTCCCAGTCCAGAACCGCTGAGTCCCAGTTCAAAAAACAGTAAGTCCTAAACTGAAAATGCTTGGGCCTTTATGTGACCAGACAGATAAAAGATATTCTTTTGTAAAGCACAACGAAGAATAAAAGAAATTAATATGCGTCGTTAAACAACAGCCACAAGAACAGCCACAGAAATCACACGCACAGGATATTCTACAAAAACTTCTTCAGATCGATCGATCGATCGATCGATCGATGTTTGCGTCCTACGGGACGCGTGCGATGAACTTTTGTGCATCTTTGGGGATTTTATGCGTCAGGGACGCAAAACAAGGAGGTAACAAAATCACTGTTCCTTAGCGAATAAAAACGCGTTCAGTTGCGCGGCAATATTAACCCAGTGGACTAGACAGCCCTGACATAGCTCCTTCGAAACTTAAACGGGAAGCCGAAGTAGTGTAGCCTGTGTACAGCCGCCTGCACGTACAGAATGTCTGCCCATTTTCTTCCGCAATGATCTTTCCTGTTGGTTGACTTTTAGCTAATGTTTTACTTTACAATGAAAATAAAAAAAGATCTGTTACGGCCCTAAAGTGCCTTTTCAGCCTTTTTCATCACAATACACACCAAAACAGCCCCAGCAAAAGCCTATTCCAGCTCACGTTGAGACTCATTTCAGCCCTTGGGTCCAAATTAGCCCTAGGTATATTGGACTGTATAGGCCCTGGTTAAGGGAGCCACGTAAGACCCCAAAAATAGGACTATATTTAACTAAGAGATTCTCTCTTGATTTTTCTCACCCATGCAGCCCAATTTATAGGGCTAAAATAGATCTCTCTAATTAACAGTGTATTTGTTTGAAATAAGCGCTAGATACGTCTTTTAGATTGTAAATATGCTCTCCGTCTTTGTACAACAGCTGGGTTTGTTGACTAGTAATTCCAGTAAAACCGTTTAAGGTCAAACGGAATGATGTTCGGTATTAGAACATGAAAATGATTTTTAAAAATACAAGGCGACTTAAGCTAAAGATAAGCTAGAAATCATTCAGATTGCTGAACATTAATAATGTTCTGCAATCTGAATGAATGTTACCTCATCCCTAGTGAATACGTCAAACAACAACCAAAACAGTCGCAAACTAAGATTATTAGGTAGCAGGAATTTAAACACCGTTTTGTTTAAAGTAACAGAATCCTAGTTACTCGCGGTAATGTACAAAGATGAGCTAGAAATTATTCAGATTGCTGAACATTAATAATGTTCTGCAAACTGAATGATTTTAAGCTCACTTATAATGATTAAAACAAAAATCAAAACAGTCGCAAAACTAATATTATTAGGTTAACCAGAATCCTACAGTTATTCAAGGAAATGTACGCAGTGCTTTTTATTTTAAGATACGCGTTGGCGAGCATAACATGGACCAGGAGGAAGGAGAGGAGCAAGATATAACAGTGAAAAAGGTGTTTTTACACCCCAAATGGGATATACGGAATGAAACCACGCCAAATGGACAAAAGATTCTAACCACACACGACATTGCCTTGATAGAACTTAGCAGACCAGTTCAGTTTACCTCTAAAGTGCGGAGCATGTGTCTGGACAATGGACAACCATTCAAGGCTGGTAAGGCTTACTTTGCTTTTGCAAAGATCCTTTGACAATGATACACTGTAGTAACGTTACGTTGGCGAAACCACTCATCACCAGAATCATGAAGACTTTCATTATAGCGACATTATTTAAACACTGTTAAAGGGTCCCTCTATTTTTTTGGAACGAAATACTAACAGGCTACTCCCCGCCGTTATAAAAGCTCCACGCATTCTAAAGCTACATTAAAAACTTGCTAAGACAACCATGAATGAGGGGAAAGGTGGTGGTAATGGGAGGAGAGAGAAGAATCTCTTTATTTGAAAGATTTCCTTCACTTGAGGGACAATGAAGTTAGGGCATCAATTATTCTGCAACTTGTAGCAGTCTACAAAAATTGAAATTTGTTTTCCTACGAAATGTGTCCGTGCGTTCCGGATGGAATTTGAATTAGGACGTGGTGGTTTTTGAGGAGAGGGGAAAACCGGAGTGCACGGAGAAAAACCTCTTGGAGCAAGCAAGAAAACCAACAACAACTCCATCCACATATGGTGTCGACCCTGCGATTTGAACCCAGGCCACAATGGTAGTTGGCGAGTGCTCTCACCACTGCGCCACCCTTGCTCTCCAAACAGCTAACAAGTTCTGTTTTCCTGTAGGTCAACTGTGTTACATCGCGGGTTGGGGAACAGAGAAGATCAAAGGACCTCCCACAAGAATACTGCATGAAGCTGCTTTACCACTGGTATCACACCAGCAATGCAACGAGCCTAAGTCATACAGTGGTATCATTCCTGAGGACATGATATGTGCAGGCTACAAACAAGGGGGTGTGGACACTTGTGAGGGTGACAGTGGGGGTAAGTACAGATCACAAGAGGCAGATACCAACGAGGGGTGTGGTCACTATTGAAAGGCACAGCACGGGCAGGGGGAAACGAATAGTTGAAAAAGGCACATAAATGATTTCTTTCCTTCTCGTCGATCTTGAGCTTTTAAGACATACGAGAACGAGATTTTCTCAAACTAAGTAGTGCTCGTGCGTGAATTGGTGGGAAAACGTGATAGCCGCCGTCATTCTATTACGAGTTTTAGCGAAAAAGTCGTAGTGACGGAAACAAGTTACAAAATGTTAGAAGTTTTATGATTTTGCGATCAGACGAGGGCTTAACCACCTTCAATAAAAATAACCGTGTTAACTTTCCTAGCGAAAAAAGGTAAAAATGAAGCTTTCTGGGGTGTCTAAGAATTCTCAAAAAAAACTTTAAGTCATTAAATCTCGTCCTAGTAGTGGTCCTCGTCTTAAAAGGTCTCTTTTGAGATGGAAGACCATGGAAATTACTTAACGATCGACTGCCCACTTTGTTTTTCTCTGTCTCTCTTGAGCGATTTTAATTTCCAGCCTGAAGTGGTTGTTTATGTTGTTATTTAAAAAAATAGACTGCAAATTTTGTGTTTACTCTTATGGATCATAGTTTTTGCCAAATAGTGACCTCATATGTGATCCATTACTGAACGAACACACAGCAAGACTGAATCTATTGATTAAATAACCAGTTGAAAACTGCTGTCTATTTGTTGAAAATGCAAAGTTGAGAGAGGCGGCTCAAAGATCAACCAACTCCCCTGTTACACGATTGAACAACAAACCGTAAAGTAGCTTCGGATTGAAAGTGACTGGTAAAAAAGAGGCCTTACAATAACACACGACTGACTGACTCTTCACAGGACCTTTGATGTGCCAAGGAACAGGGGAAAGATGGTATCTTACTGGAGTGGCGTCTTTTGGTCAAACAGGGTGTGGTGTGCCATACAAGTATGGAGTGTACACAAGAATAGTGAATCAGCTGCAGTGGATTAGGGAGGTTACTGGAATGAATATACCACAAGCACCGCCAAATGACCCCATGCCTTTCATGACAGAACAGAACACTTGGTGGGACCGATAATTTCACGCCAGAGTTCAGGGTCGGGAAAGGGAGTTCCTCATCCCGCAATCCCGCTCCTCTTTCACGAGAATCCCGCATCCCGAACTTCGGTCATCGACATCTCACATTCCGTTTTCTTTCCCAATGCCGCATTCCGTCCCAAATTTTGGCGAATCCCGCTACTCGGGTAGCAGTCAACTAACACATCTCGCCAACGTTTTCTCAAATCACGCACTCTGTTTTGGTCAAATCCCGTATCCCACCAACGTTTTTATTTTGGTCCAATACCGTACCTGAGAATAACCCCTGCCCTAGACCCTGATTTTGTAATCACCTTATTACAAAGATCTCTTCAGGGAGGGAAGAGGAGCGACCTTGGAGATGAGGTTCGATCAGACTTGTTCTCAGTATCTACCTGCTTGCTACTTAAAATAGTAAAAGTCTGGGGAGGGTAACAACATTTTCACGACTTGCCGGGAAAAACCTGATGAAGTGTTTTCCCATCAAACTGTCCCAGGTGCGAGCAACTACGAGGTTGGACTGTGATTTGCAAGGGAACTTCAACAAACCTTTTCCTGTAAAAGCTACCTCTTACGCGGGAAATTTCGTACTTTCCTTCACGTGAAGACAGGGCTAAACACTGACAGACGAGTGGCCCAATACCTAAATTAAATTCTCCATAGGCTTTTTGAGCCACAAAGAAAGGTAAAAGTCACTACTAGGGAATAACGGCTCGGCATCTATCGTTTGAATGGTAACACTCAGCAGTAATTTTGGCTACTTTCCGCCTGCTGGGCAGGCTAAAATCACAACAAAATAAATTATTTGTCATTGACAACGTGTAATGAAATACTTAAAGTGGTCTTAAACTAGTTGCGCATTGCACGTATAATAGATTAAGTAATGGTCCAGATAAGAAGGAAAGGACCAAAACGCAGTGAACACGTCGGAATGCAAAAAGGTGCTAACTTTACTATTGTCTCTACTAAGGTTCTGATTGGTTTAAACATCAAATTTTACGAAATCTTCGCAAAGCAGCATGTACATCAATCCTTTTTTTTCTATCCAACTTCCTTATAACAAAATCTCGTCTGAGTCTAAGTAACACAGAAATCGTATGTGCGGATCATGTAAAATTGTGAACATTTCTTGGCCATTGTTTGCAACTCTTGTGATTGGTCGAAATGTTTTAACACAAAAATACACCCTTTAAAAGTGGAGTTTAAATACATTTTCTTTCGTAAACAGCCTTTTTGTAGATTTATGCACTCTCTGCGTAAAAATGAAAACATTTCTATGTGAGGAAAGCGTATTGCGCCACAACAATAGAAATTGCTTTCCTTCTTACCTGGATCATTACTTAATCATCACGCTTAAGGCAAAGGGCTATTTGTTCGCAAGTTAACCCCAAATTGCTCTTTGTCATTGGGATCAAAAAGAAAGAAAAACTTACCAGATCCACAAGAATGGAAGAAGGATCCGAACATGGACCATCTTTCAGCGCAAGTAGCCCTCCCTGATCTATAGAACAACAAAAAAACCTGTTACTTCATCAAAGCTACTGGAAAAAAGGCAGCTGGCAGCCCCATATAAGCGACATTGTAGGTTGTAAAGGAGAAAAGGCAGTTCACTTCGAAATGAGTTAAAGTCTAGAAAATTGGAGGAAAATTATGAAGTGAGTTTTGCTGCTTGCGTTTGTAATAAACACGATTTAGGATAATGAAAACTGGGCACTGAAATGAACACGGTGAAAGGTTTGAAGCCAGGGGTCATTTCATAAGTAGGTTGAGTATGATCGTCTGCGTTGAACGTAGTGCTGAGTAGGACTGTTGTTGACAGCGACTGACATTTCGACAACCTTTGCGGTAGTCATCTTCGGATTCAATGTGAGTTGTCCAGTTGATGGTATCAAACTCTGGTTATTGACCTGATTGCTCGATTAAGTCGCGATGTTATTGATCGTCATGTTGTTAGTTATGAAGATATATGATATTCACCACATCTCAAGCGGACACTAGTCCGGAGTTCTCGTCACTGCGCTACGAAGAGACGGTCCGATCAGGCCATATATGAGGCGCAAATACGAAACGCGTCTGAATACCGTAGGAAGGAACAACAATGTCGAAACGGGCGAGCAACAGAAAGGATAAGAATTATAAATCAAAACCATGTGGTGTACAGTTTTGCGTTTCGTGCAGTTTGATTGACTGACAGGGTATTAGGCTGATTTAGCAACAGAACGGAAACGTCAGTTGCCGAGGGGAAAGCGCGCGGACAGGACTGAACTCGACTTCCGGTACCCAATTTGCTGCTCTGCCATTGGTCAAGCCTGTAGTTTGGTTTGCGCGCACCGTCGTCAACTGACGTTCTCGTTCTGTTACTAAATCAGCCTATTAATTAACCAATCACAAGCGCATTTTACGGTTGGTCGTCATGGAATCGTTCGTGGCAATGGTTTTGCTCCCTAGCTCGTGTACATCCACCTCCTCCCCTCACAAAAATGAGATGTGCAGGTTCCTGAACTCAGGCTACATTTTCGCTCAACTGATTAGGATTACACAGTCAACCCGAAGGGGAACTCAACAAAGTTGGGCGAGACTCCGTCCCGAGCTCCAAACCCTTACCCTTTTATACACCTTTGTTGACAGAAAGAAACGGCCTGTGCCCTTTTCGTTTACCCTCTACTGACTAATGGTAGGTAGGTAGGCAGGTAGTATAGGTAGGTAATGAGGGTATTTAATGAGGGTAACACATGACAGTAAACACTGATGAACTAGTGGCCCTCAAAAATGGTACCCCTATAACATAACTAGTTCAGAACACTGCATCCCTTTTAACTGCTCTAAATGCACCTTCTTTTCAATATGAATAAATTGCTGAACCAGGATGTTTTAGTGTCTTTTTCACATCCACAAGATGTGTCTGTGAGCCTTTTAAGTTTCCCTACCCTTTCATATGCATAGAGTCTCCGCCCTTTTGGGGCAGAGCCTCCCCGTATAGGCCATTATAGAGAGTACCTCGTCCGGAGAGTTTACAAGGAAAAATTCGCTGACGGTGTAACTTGCGACATGATGAATACTGACCACATTTGTCTCACGATTTTAATACATCAAATAAATAATCTTACACGAAATTTCAGATTCGAACAAACCTGCGACGGTCTTCGCCATTTTTGCGAGGCCTGTGATGGTATTGGTTTGGTCCGAACTGAGAACAGCAACACTGCTAAGCTTCTCTGTCATTGCATACTCTAACACGCTGGCGTGTTTCCTGAACAAGTCGTTGCCAACTATAAAACACTTTTCTCCAATTCGCTGATTGAGCTTTTTCCAGCCTTCTTTGTCCTATCAGTGAAAATTTCATGAACGTATATTGAGAATTGCGAAAATATTTAATAGAGAGGCCAAGGGGAACAGAAACATAACAGGGAGGGTAGAAATAAGGATTTTCATTTATCTCCTTTACGTGTACCCTATCGAATGAATCCTGTTCAATAGCAAGCTTTAAATGTAGGTTATAGCATTTATGTCATATATATTTATACTGCAACATATATGCAATTCTCAAAAGTCCATTTCACGTATGGTTACGTTTTTCTAACCTTGTTTAAAAACTCTAAAGCGCTAATACGTTAAACCATCCAATGAAACGTACTGGAAAAATAAATCAAAGTTGCTTTTACATCGGATTGACATAGCGAATTGTTGATCTCCACGCACGTACATCCACACACACAAAAAGGTGGCGGAGTACCCTCTCTACCTGGGATTCCGCCCCCGAAAGGGAGAGACGAGAAGCCGCACAGGTTCCAAACTAGAGACTGAGGTGGTTTGCAGGCTACTTACCGGACTGCGGACTCCGTCCACAATGGCAATAATACCAGGATATCTGTCATGGAGCTCACAGAACAAGTTAATAACGTCATCGAGACTCTTGAAAGTATTAGCCATTATCTCATATTTCTGCTTCTCCTGTAAAACCAAGAGAGTTCATATATAACAGGATGCTAAATTCGGCCGTCGAAACTTCCTACGAACGTACATTTACTTAACTTTTCCAGCAGAAGGACCCAAATCTTGAAATCCCGATAGCAATTCAAGACAAAGAAACCCTTACAATTAGGCTCAACACCAGAAAGCCTATGTATTGCGCGGTGTTTGTTGCACGACTTATAAATAATGAACGGAAACTGAATTGGCATGGGGTCTAACTTTACTAGCTTGATGAATTTTTTCATGAACTAGGGTCTGGTTGGTGGGTTATGACCTACACCTCCCCTCTTTAAATCTCGTCTTTTACGCTGAAGTGTTGGTCGGAAAAGTTATCGGAACCAAACGGTCGTTTCTTTTTTTTTGGTCTTAGGAGGTTAGTAATGCCTGAACACTCAAGTTCAGGCAGTTTGTAAAGGCTAAAACAAACAGCCACTCATGTCGAAACATTTCATTTTTTAATTACAGCTTTGGTCCAAATAGCCTTTCATTAAGTCCTTTGTGTGTCGCACGGCTTTGTTTTGACACAAAGAAGGGCTCTTTTTCTCGCTTGCAGCCGTTATCAACCAAAAACGGATCGCTGAATAAATTATAGCTGCAGCCAATCACAGTCAACGACGCAAATGAAAATGTCACATGACCGACAAAGCATCGCCTCCTGACCTTGATTTGGTGGGAAACTTAATTTAAATTCGGCAAACGGGACAAAACGAGCACACGCGACTACGTCGCTCGCTCGGTCGCGACCACATAAAAGCTTTCTTCTAATGCTTTAGGATCACTGGCGAATCTTGAACCGTCTTACTGATAAAAAAAGAGGTCAACTTGGTGCAAGTGATACGTTCGTCAAGCGACCTAAAGGGTATCAAGAGTTATGGAAGATGCAGGTCCATAAGGACGAAAAGGTTAGGAAGCTTACCTGGTCATAGAATTCTGAGGCTGCGCAGTTAAGGGCGATGTGAATGTCAGTACCAAGGCTGTAACCACAGCTTGACACAGCGTCTTGTACAAAGTCTAGTGCCTGCTCTGGTTTGTCCATCGAAGGATAATAACTACCATCATCTGTTATACATCGAGCAGATTGCTGAAATTACACAATTCATAGTTACAAAGGGTATCCCTAGCCTTCTTAGGTTAAGAACTGAATAAATTACGAAGGATCCTAATAGATCTCATTCAAGATATCCGCCATCGTTGCACTCTCTTAAGGACTGATGTGATAGGATAAAAGCAATATCAGGTGTTTTTTCAGGGAGCAAACAAGTGTAAGCGGTCAACCTCGAATAACTGGTGCTAAACCTTTGGATAGGAAAAAGGATTAAGAGCCCAGACTCAAATAAGCACTAATAGAGAGAAAGAGAAAGGGGGGGAGGAGGGGGGGGGGTTGTAGTAAAGTGAGCGCACTGTCCGCCTCAGGTTTGTCAGTTTTAGTACGGTTACGGCTTTCCGGCGTAAGATGAGTATCTTTAACTTTACACAATTCTTAACCTAAGAAATGGACCTCAATCGAAGGCCGCTTTACGCTTCAACACAGTAACAACTAAAAGAAAGAACTTACCCCATATTTCTGCATAAGAATTTCGGCCATCTGCTGATGAATGTTTGTAAGCTGACGTACTGCCTACAGCAAAATAACAATAAGTAAGGCATAATCAGTATTCCTATTTCCCTCTCTTATCCAAACCGGAGGAAACTCATTAGCACGATGCACATGCAGATTTGTAGTTATGCTCAGTAAAGCTATTGTTTTCTGACGTCCCCGTTGCCCGTCGACGTCGTACTTTGTCTAATTATACAAGGTACCTCGATACTACGAACAACCAAGGAACTGACAAAATTTGTTCGCTTTAACGAGCTTTTGTTATATCGAAGTTCTTTTTCGTATATTTAGTACTATAACTGGGGTAAAGGAAATCGTTCTTTATACAGAGGACTTCGTTAAATAGAGGTTCGTTACATCGAGGTTCCACTTTAGCTTCATATATCCACGAACATGTAAGACTTTCCTGCATTCTGATTGACTGTATGTTCTATTACAAGGAATACAACAGAACAATTTATGTCTGTACACCTTCAAGACGAACGGAAAGCTGGATAAGACATTAATTTTGCCAGAACAAGCCCACGAATACAGATTTAACCATCAGAAGCACCATAGAATACAGTAAAAGTAATTCTAATGAAAATTCAAATTGCTTGAGGAATTTTTAAAGTCATCGATTGATATTATTTGTCTCATGTCGTCTTTAAGTGAGTTGCAGAGCTTTGCAGCTTCGTACTTGATGGGCTCGAGTTCATAAGTGGTTGTCCTATTCAGGTAAGCTTAGTACATTGTTCCTTCTTAAAAAATATTTGGAGCTGCGAAGAGAGAACGCTTTCTTAAGATATTTAGGATACGCAGAGAAAAATAAGCTGTTAGATACTACAATAAGCATTTTGTGATTTCTTCCACTGTACAAAGATGCTGTCTTAGCCTTCTTTAGCAACTCGTCATAACTAGAATTTGCATAATTAAAGATAAATCTCAAAATGCGTTTATCAAAAGCTCTAGTTTATCACGATTTCTCTCGCCACGGAAGTGCCATGTAAGTGAACCATAATGAAAGTGCGCGAGAGAACGCGCCCCTCGCACTCGCGTCTCCTTCCGCGTGAGACTCTCGCGTAACCTCTCATGACTCCCCCCTAATGGACTAGCAGGCAAGAAATCTCATTTGCGTTGCAATGACAGTTGATAATTTACAATCCGCGACATTAATCAGGGGCACCCAACGACTGTTTTCTAAAAAATATCTGTTCGGAGAAGTAAAAATTGCCTAGAATTTTCGATAACTTGAGGAAGGCTAAAAATTTCTAGATGACCGTTCCATTGATGTACAATTTTCGAAGCTTGTTTAACAAATTCCCTAAGATTTTTTTTAAGTTTAATTTTTCCTATTTCACTCCCAAGGTTAAGCTATTTTTCGTAGAGAAAGGAAACATAAAATTTTAGGAATCGAAAATGCGATGTAGAGAGGAATCAGAAAAATTCTCACTTTCGTAAAACTTTAAATTGCAGCTAAAATTTTCGGGAAAAAATACTAAAGCCCTTGTAATTTCGAAAAGACTCAAGTTGCCCTAGAGTGACCGATGAAAAATTTTTAGCGCCACTTAGAACACATGTCTGAGAGATCTTAAAGTGTTCAGGATAAAAAGTGTTTTTAATCCATTTATGAGGAAACCGTTGTTGGGCGCGGTACACAGAGCTTAAAAAATACTACGAGTTTAAGACGGAATCCATCAGCAAATTGAGAAGTTTTAATTTTCAGTGGACAAAAACCTTATACCAGAATAATTTAAACAATATCGCATTCTTTTTTACATTTTTCAAGGGCTAGGGAGGTAATTAGTTATCTGCAATAACACCAAAGACAAATCCTTATGACATTCCGAGCAAATAAATGTCAAATTTCACAAAATGAACCTTACAAATGAAATTTGCAGAATTTTACCTGTGCTTTCACAATTCTTGTGAAATTTGACATTTATTTTTTCGGGCTCCCATGAGAAATAGTCTTTGGTGTTATTACAGATAACTATATAGCCATTGAAAAATGTAAAAAAAGAATGCAAAATTGTTTAACTTATATTGGTACAAGGTTTTTGTCCATTGATAATTGAAATTACTCAATTTCCTGATGGATTCCGTCTTAATGTCATTTTGCTCAAGTGCAATTACCCGCTCCTTTTCATCCTATCCTTTTCAGGCCTTCGAGCGAAAAAAATGACTAAAAAAAATCAGTTTTCGGTGGCGGTAACGGAAGTCTACATTAAATAGCAATTTTAAGATTTAAGAAAGAAAACATAGTGATCTGCCTCCTTTTCAGTGAAGAACTCAGTGAAAACATCGCCTTCACACCAAGGTTTTAATTTCGTTTTCACAGACTTTTCAAATTAAAAGCAAACAACTGTAATTTGGTAGAAGAAGAAGAACTCTAAGCCCAGAAAGCTCAGAAAAAATTTCGAGCTTCAGGTGAGAATCGAGCTCACGACAATACGAGTTCTAGTTCGGATGCTCTGACCACTGAGCTACTGACCAGTGAGCTACTGGAGGATCTATGGCGAGCAGAGTCGAAATTCAATATAACTACACCAGTTTAATGATAAACTTTATTAAAGGAAATGTTCAAGTAGGGGCAGCTGGACATGGAGAGGCGGGCCCTTTTAGGCGCAACAAGACAGTTAAAACAAGCAAACACACCAAGTTTGTGACATAATTGGCTTGATGTCCATCGGACCTGACAGCTTTTAATCTGTAGATGTACACAGAAAAGCAACTATTTGACTCTTCGTAACAGCTTTCTCGTCATCATTCAAGAAAAAGCTATTCAAACGAGCCAAAAGTAAAAACGAGAAAAAAACAAAGTGGCGCAAGGAAAAAAACAAGTCTTATTTAAGGCAGGATATACGTTGCAAATTTTTATTTTGTTACAACCAAGGCGGACTGTTTTTCTCTCAGCGTTCTACATCTTTAACAAGGTAACCAGCATCGTTAAAGAAACAATGAACAGCCGGTCGATATTTTAATGACTTTTCTCAAACTTTTTACCCTTTCTCGACCGTTGTTTCAGCAAAGATCGGCATGTCGAATCTCTTCCTAAAAGCTTGACTACCTTCAGAGATTCGTCAATACATCAGTTCATTATAAAAACGTTCTTTCTTGCTAGTTTTCTGGATAATGGAAGAAGATAAAATACTCCATTCATCATTTATTGCAAATATAGTCTTAAACGCTTTTTTATCATGTACCGCCATTGCGCTGAATAGCATCACAATTCAAGCACTGATAAAAACGACGTTCCCAACACAACCGTCCAAAACATTGCTTCTGAGTCTCGCTGTATCTGATCTTTGCGTTGGTATATTAATCCACCCAATGTTTATTGCACTCATCATCATTAGGGTGCAAGAAAACTCTGAGAATAGTTCTACTTTCAACAGCATGTATACCGCGTTTGTTACGGCCGTCAATATTATTGGTAGTACTTCAGTCTTTGGAGTGATGGCTCTAAGCGCAGACAGATTCTTGGCGATTCATCTTCACCTCAGATACCAGGAACTCGTGACACGCAAGCGCGCTTTAATTGTGGTTTCTTTGATGTGGGTCTTCAGCGTTTTTTCATCGTTACTTAGACTAGCGATCCAACAACACGTTTATTACTCGTTTTTTGTTGTTATCGCTATTTCTGGGTTCTTGATCACAACTTGGTTTCACTACAAAATATATAAAGCCGTGCAGTACCATACAAACCAAATTCAAGCGGTCCATCTTCAACACACAGCTCAGAATGCGAACATCGATAGTGCAAGAGTAAAAAATTTCGCAATTGCAACTTGCTTCATATATCTCGCTTTCTTGGTTTGTTATTTTCCAAGAATATGTACCTATGTCGTCTTTGCCATCTTGGGAACAACCACAACGACCACGGGTTTAAGACTCTACTCTATGACTCTTGCTTTTCTAAGTTCAACGATTAATCCGCTGATTTACTGCTGGAAGATGAGGCATATTAGACAAGCTGTGGTGGAAATGCTGAGGAAGATATGGCAAGGTTTCAAGTAGGGGATCACAGAAACAAAAAAGGAGCTACATCTAGGTAACAACTGAGATAATCGCTCAAGAAAGACGGGGATACTTATGAAGCGTTTTCACATGGCCATGTTGGTGTCTCAAAACATTAAAAAAGGGGACCATGTTGGTGTCCCAAACCCGTCCCGTGACAGTTAAACTCTCTTGTTTAAACGCTTTCTTTTGTCGTAATAAATATGCACAGCTGCTGGTCACGTGGGCGAAAACGCGCTATAGGCAAATACGATCGATTTTGACATTACAGCCTCGTCATCTGAGTATTGATGTCATCTGTCCTTTTGCAAATACGTTTCTCTGTTAAGGTTGATTTCCACTGACGCATTTTTGGCTACGCACGTAAACGCACGTAAATTCTAATCACCTAAATAACATAGAGGCAAGATAAAAAGTGCTGACCTCAAACAAGAGGTTGAGCGAGGTTCAACTGTTACATTTTCGAGCGACCTTTCATGCATTGCCTCTATTTTATTTGCGAACGTAAATTTTACGCACGTACGTACGTAAAAATTACGCGACACTGGAAATCAACCCTAAGAGATAGAGTTCATATGAATTTGATATCATCTTGTGGACAAAGCTAAGCAAAGCAAACACGGAGTTTGAGCATTGAATGACGATTTCAACCAGATAGAAGAATAATCTTGACGCTTCACTAACCTTCAGTAAGCCCGCGGTCCACGAATTCCTACTAGAATTGAGACTTGGATGTGTTCCCCGGTTTACAAAACATAAAAAGGAAAAACCGGATTCCTAGGGGACAATCCGTCGGATCAAGAACGCAAACTACAATAAATCCAGCCTACGTGTTAATATTGAAAGTCGATGCTCTGTTTATGGCAAGGGAAGTGCACTTAGCTACTCCAGCTAGTTTACAGACACTCCACTCGGATAATTTGAAACAAACAATATAAATAAAACATATCAGGATTAAAAACCCTAACTGGCAGTAGGTAACCAGTTGGCTGTTTAGAAGCGTGGCAGAGGATTAAACTCGGTGTTCTGTTGAAACCAATCGAACATGTGGTCAAATTCGAAAATATGCCCGGGGTTCGCCGGATTTTTTTCAACGTGCGGCTTATATGTGAATAAAAGTCCGGTGTTCTGTTGCAAACCATAGATAAACATACGTTTCAAAATCGAAAATATGCCTGTTTTTGCTTTGTTTTTACTGTTTTTGCTTTTTTACTTTGTATTTGAGGGCAATTTTCCAGGTACAAGCCCCGGGAGGGGGCTTATATTTGGAGGGGCGATTTAACGGAGGGTTTTTTTGTTACCGGTTTGGGGGCTTTTTTGGAGGGGCTTATTTTCGGAATTGTACGGTATATTAATAAGTAAAGCAACCACTGCACATGCAGCACACTTTTTGAAACATTACAGGCAGGACAGTTTACTGCACGACTACCACGTGAAATTTCCTATTTCACGCACGTGCGGTGCCCAAGAATTCAATCCCAGGGAAATTCACCTACATTTGACATTTTAAGCGCGTTGAAAAGAATTCATTTTTATAGTCGCTTTTTCGATTTTTTCCTCAGGGATAGTAAAGCGAGCAAAACGCGAGCGCCCGTGAAAATCACCCCACGCGAGAAAGGCCTTTTCTCGCGTGGGGTGATTTCACGCGCGCTCGCGTTTCGCTCGCTCTACTATCCCTGAGGAAAAAGGGGGACTACTCGTAGTTTATTGTTGCACCTGCCAACTTCACTAACTACAACGTACGTCAAAAGAGCAATAACAACAACAATAACTTTTGGTACCTCTGTCATCGGCGTTCCAGGTTGTGGCAAAATAAAAATCTCTTTGATGAGATTCTGCTTTCCTGCCGCAAACTTTCCACTTGACAATAAAGTCATCATTGGAATCGGCAGAGAAAATTTGCTATCAGGCTGTCATGTTGAACAAAAAAGTAAAACATTTAGATTTGTAATCCGTTGTTTACATCCTTTAAAAAAAATGAGGGCTCAATTTAATTAAACTTTCTTAAATGTAGCTATGATAGTTTCAGTGGTAAATTACCCTGTTTGAGCTTGAATTAAATTGGCTCCAGGATAAAAAGTTGCGATCTTTTTTTTTCTTACGGTCGAAACCAAGTTCATTTTCTTTCGAGTTCCATAGTAACAGACCTTATGCGAGCTTACGAATGCAGGTATATTTCCAGCTGCTGCTCCTTCTTGGCGGAGAGGAGGAGTCTCCAGAAATGAGTCTGCCTTCACAGGCTTAAGGTGTGCTCAAAAAAGCAAAATTGTTAATTTTTTTGGTATAACTGATCACAAAAAAGATAAGTACTGCAAACAAAAAAATACCTTTTTCCCAGAGAGAAAAGCCAGATGTTCATACAAAGGAGCTCCCTTAATTTTTGCACCCGTAATAGCTGTTGCCATGGAAACGCCAATCATAGCACAATCTGTACAGAGTACCTCTTCATCCAAGTCAGGTATAACTTGTGTCACTGATTCTTTGGTACTTTGTTTTTTACTGTCTGTTTTCTTGCTTGTCTCCTGTGAAAACGAGTGACTGTTGAAGTCATCTTGACTATTGTAATCAAGTATTGGTGAAGTTAGAAAATTCTTTGAAATTCTTAATTCTGTGACAACGAGTGACTGTTGACCAGAAGGCAATCAAGTATGGGTGAAGTTAAAAAATTCTTTGAAATTCTTAATTCTGTGACAACGAGTGACTGTTGACCAGAAGGTGATCAAGTATGGGTGAAGTTAAAAAATTCTTTGAAATTCTTAATTCTGTGACAACGAGTGACTGTTGACCAGAAGGCAATCAAGTATGGGTGAAGTTAAAAAATTCTTTGAAATTCTTAATTCTGTGACAACGAGTGACTGTTGACCGTTGACCAGAAATTCTTAATTCTGTGATCAAAGGTATGGGTGAAGTTAAAAATTCTTTTTGAAATTAAAATTCTTTGACAATGAGACAACGAGACTGTTTTAGACCAGAAGGTGATCAAAAATTCTTTGAAATTCTTAATTCTGTATGGGTGAACCAGAAGTTAAAAAAAATTCTTAATTCTTTGAAATTGACCAGAAGGCAATTAATTCTTTTGAGAACAGGCAACTGTTGAGGTCTTTTTGACTATTGCAATCAAGTATTGGTAAATACTTGAATTAACTGAAGTTAAAGAATTCATGCAGTTATACTATTGTAATACTAACATACTAGTTAACTGAGTCAACAGTTATTCCACCTATAATATTATTCACAAATTACCTATTTTCAACTAAAAATGAAGTCTTATTTTCATTTTCATGAAACTAATACATGTATTTTTCTTATGCACACAAAAAACAAGACCAGACAGTGAAGGAGAGAAAAAGATGGTCATTTTAGGCAAAGAAAGATCGGAACTACAAGAGATAACCAACTGGACTAAGGCAGTAATTATTGTTAGTTGGGTTTAATACCTGTGAAGAATGAGACTGTTTACTCTCTCCTCTGGGCATGCTGGGCTTCTTAGATGTATCGGCTCTGCTATCAATCTGACTCCCTTCTCCTTTATCTGCATCTACATCTTCCTCTGTTTCATTCTCAATGTTTTCACTGCTGTCAACTTTAGAAGCAGCCTTCTCTTGTTCTTCTAATTTTCTAATGGCAATGATAGTCATAAGTGGCAGTTAAATTTTTTGCATTTAACTCAATCAGCACCATTTAACACCTTTTTTGAAGCCTGAAAACCTTCCAATGGCCGTTTTGTCCATCAAGAAGAACAGTGTTTACTTTTCACGAATAATCTGTCTGATTTTATTCATCTGTTTAGGCAGATTTTGAAGATGGAAAATCCATCTTCAGTGTGGAAAGGCCAATGACATCAATTACTACATACTGAAGTCATATTCCTTTAATCATCTAGGCACACTATTCATATGGAACTTTTATATGGCCCTGTGTATGTCATTGTTAATGGGTAACACTCATGATTATCCATTAACTATGTAATAATAATAATAATAATAATAACGTCTTTATTAAAAAGCATCCGATAAAATTACATATCTGATGTTACAGTAAAAATATATATCGATAGAAAAAATTACAATGACAAGATGAATAAAAAAAAGATTAAATTGATTAAAAATACATATGGGGTATTTACACAGCTATACACATGTATTGATTAAATTGAAGCCTTTGATGTCACTGATTAGCTATGTCTAGATGAACTGACGAGATCATTCTTCCTGTGGGAAACTGTTAATGCGCTGTCTTTGGAGTATGAACAAATCACAAAACCATAACCTTTTCTAGACTCTTTGTTAGCCCTTTGGAGCCTTTTTACTGACCAAAACAATGGATTTCCCTACGGTGGGACCCTCCCTGTACCCAGGGTCATTTTACAGAGTGCCTCCCGCCAAGGATCATTCTAGACTGAAAAAGACCTTACTTATGGAAGATCAGTGGCAATTCCAGGGTTGGAGGCTGGAAAAGTATCAATGAAACAGTGCTTTGAATCAGAACATCTTGGGGAATGAGAAGATCTTTAAATAAAAAAGACTTTTAAGAAGAAGATTTGGTTGCAACTTTAATATTAAACCTTGCCCACATAACCATTAAGATATTTTGAGCCTTTATTCTAGGTGATGACATAAACAAGCTTACTTACTGTAATGTTTCATCCACTGTAGTCTGGTCAGTGGCATCCAGCCCAGTGATAATTGGACCAATAATGACATCAATTCTCTCTATCATTTCCTCCACATCAAGCCCTTTATTATCATTACTCAACTCTCCGTCATTACTTGTAGTGGTAACATCTGCTCCCTTTTGTTGTTTAGCTAGATCAGGTGTCTTTGTTTTAGCGTCTGGAGTTTTGACCTTGGCAGGTAAAGCATTTAGAAGAGGACTAGCATCCACAGAGGAGACCACACTTGCAACATGCTAAAATATATATAAAAATGAGATAAATAATCAAGAAATGAAGAATAATTTTATTACCTATTTAATTTGTAATAATTACATTTGCTATTTGCACATCCCCCATAATACACCTTGCTTGACCCCCAAAATGTCTTTTGGGAAGACTGTAATACCCAGGGGAAATTAAAAAGAAAGTTTAGGCAAAATTTGGGGGGGGGGGGGGCAAACAAAGTGTATTTTGGGAAATGTGGAAATGGCGAATACAGGCATTTAGGTGACCACACCCAGTATCCAAAATACCAAAATTTTTCCCAGTCTGTCAAAGCTCTGTGGGCAGAACCCCTTGTAAATAACCACCTCCCTTAATTAAGTGACCACAACCACTTTTTGGGTTGACAGTTTTATAATTTTCTATTGGTAACCTTGTGTAAGCCTTGGTTGTGGAACAGTTGGTTTGAGAGTTGAGGTGGATGCTCACTTACAGTCTCTTGGTTGTAAAGTTGTAATTTATGGTTAGTGAACACATACATATGTTATGGTTCAATTTTATCCTTGGTTTAAATTTTATTTTCCTTTGTTTCAAACTCATTATCATACATTACCATACCCCAAAACAAAGGAAAATAAAATTTAAACCAAGGATAAAATTGAACTCGTCTCCAACACATACATTGTAGTATATGACTTTTTGACTAAACATACATCAGGACAGGTCAAAACTAAATTCAGGTTAAAATTTTTTAACCTAGCTTGATTCTCTATTTCCTTAACGTGCCTCTTAGCCCTTATTCATGAATAATAATAGGGCTAGGAGACAAAGGAAATTGAATTTACCACAATCAGGGACTAACGTAGTTGATGCACTTGTCTGAAATGCATGCTTTTATCATAACAATTTTGTTCATTTATCATACATCTCTGTTCAAAGGCCGTAAATCCCACCACACCCAAATCAATGTTGTTTGTTAATGTAGTTGAAGAAGACTTGGGGGTTTAAAATACAACATTGATTTTGGGGGGAGGAGTCGGGGTACAAAGGGGGAGGGGACAGAGATGTCTACGATGCAAAAAGGTTGCCATTTTAAGGAAGTAAGTGTCTTTTAGCAACACTTTATATTTGTTCCTTATTGCACTGTAGGTAAACAAATATTGGCCTGAATTTTGACCTGTAACACACACGCATTTTTCAAAACATAATGTTGACAAAAACTAAAGTGTGTGAACAATGAAAAGGGGTATACATTGTATGATAGATCATACTTACCTTGGAAAGTCCATTTATTGTGCAGTTAAGGCTAACTTGAAAACTTGGGAACCCTCGACAGCTAAGAACGTTTTCTGCAGAAACCTAAGCGATACAAGAAGGCACTAAACTAGGTAAACAAGGTTTGTCAAACAAGTGGTGACATCAGTTCTAAATCAAAAGTAAAATAAAATTTGCCAGGAAAAAAGTTAGGAAACTCTGGACTGAGTTGTTCAAGGGATGATCAGGGTTAGTTGCCATGACAAATCATTAAGCATTATTCCTCGAGCCTGAATGGGCTATTGACTCAGCAGCCATGAGGAGAAGAGGAATAATGTTTTAGTAAAATCCAACTAGTTGGTCAAATATATCGAAACAAAACAGCTTTAGCTAGCAAAATGCGATTCAGCTGCCATTGTTTTGGTCTCCAAAGCCGGCACTTTTTGCTACTAGTGGGCTATAACATAGCCTAGTAGTGGCTCAACCAATCAGAATGCAGAATTGATAATAGACCACTAGTTGAGTTTACTAGTATGCTATATTTCCAGTTACTCATTGATTGTTAGAACTAGAAGTGCTTTGTACAACCCTGCCTTGGTGAAAAGAAAAATTGTAACAGTGAGTGAAACTGCTTTCTGTCAAAAGTCTCTGAATGGAAATGATAAAAATCTGCTGCATCAGGTGAATGAGTGTTGGTGTACTGGCCGAGAATTGAACCTGGGGCTATCAATTTTCGATCTACAACTGTGTAAATGGTTGAGTACTAGACTGAAGAGTGCTACAAGCAAGCTAGCAAGTCAGTGGTTAGATGTAAACCTGTGAAGTAATCCTATAACAACGAAACCCTATACCAGTTAAAGTTTGATACATGTCTGTACTATGAATGCATACATCTTTACTGACAGTGTTCTCCTTATCAGGTAGTAACAAAATGACTGCCTGAAGCAACACTTGCTACCACCTGCGACCGCTTGAAGGATTACTAAAATATAATAATTTGTTTTAAAAAATACGCAAGCTGTGATCCAATCCGATTCTCACAAGAAAATGAATGAATATTTGGAAAAGTAAAAAAAAGTATACAAAGTGTTTATTTTTATGGGCCATGCATTTTGGACAGAGGACGTTGAGGACAGAGTAAAATTATTGGAATCGAACGCTTTAAATTGTTGTCTAAAGATAACAACGTTTTGATAAAATGGTCAAAATGATCAGTGATCATTTTTGTTAATTCCACCAGGGGCTCATTTTTTTGCCTTACTGGCCATGAATGGTCCCTTACCTGCTGAGCTAAAATTTATATGGATATTGTTAGGACAAAAAACTGTGTTTTGGCTGAATGTATTAAGACCAATAAAGGGTTAAGTACTAGACTGTGGAGTGGTAGCTGTAGGTTCAGCTAACCAGCTGGTGGTTAGACTTAGATGTAAACCTGTGAAGCAACCCTTGGAGTAGAAATAAATATTGTAAATTTTGCTCTCACTTAGGATGTTTAGGATGGAATACAAATATTTTTTACCCACAAGGGTACAAATAATTTATTTCCCAGTATTGATTTCCAATTATATGAAAGAAGATCATGGCAGTTATAGATGCAACTTTTGCAGTTGTGAAAAGAAAGGCCGAAAAAATTCAGGCTTGTACAGGATTCGAACCCTTGACCTCTGCAATACCGGTGCAGTACTTTATCGATTGAGGTAACAAGCCAACTGGGAGCAGGTCGTGGGAGCCCGGATGATGAAGTTAAGAATATATGAACATCAAATGAAACTTGGTTTATATGAAATAAGAATTTAAACCTGATTAAATACATTTTGGATGAATGAGGTAAGCTGATGAACAAAAAGACCAAATAAAGTCATCCATATATAACAATGGTCCTAATACAAATATTTAAAATACATTAAGAATAAAAGGAAGTTTTAAGAAGCTTTAAAGGTTCATAGATGAGACTGTACATTTCTTGAATAACAGTTACTTAAGCTAAGGCCTAAGGATAAATATAATAATCATTATGTTATAGAGCTGGGAATGTTTTCCCAGCAGGGTGCACTCTAATTGGTCACTTCAACATCACATGACATCTAACAATGAAACTGTTTCCTGCCAAAATCTCTGAGCAAGCAACATTGCAAAATCTAAGACATCAAAGGGTAACAGTGCACTGTTACCAGGGCTCGACAAAAGCGCTGTCTAGTGAAGCGACCCGTCAGGCTTTTTACTGCAGTTTGCTCAACAGGCAAGCAAGATTTGTTGTAAATTAAGAAAGAAATACGAAGTGTGTAACAAACAGTTCCCTAGTGAAAATCAATGTTAATAACATTTTAAAAATGTAACAAAATATCAAAGGCAAACAAAAGAAATTAAATTGAATTGTGTGTTTTAGTAAGCTTAAATATATATAAAGTCCTAGAGGCTGTAATTGTGCTCTCACTCCCCTACTTATAAATTTATATTAAACATCATTAAACAAATACCTTGGATATTGTTGGTGCTTGTGAGTGACTTCCAAAGTACTCAGCCTAAAAAAAAATCATATTACCAATATTCACACGCAAAAAATCGTTTACCAGTGCAAGTATCATCAAAATGGGCAAGAATTCCGGATTCTCAACGGTGTGATCACTAATCGTATCCAGTGTCAGGCTGGATTTAAGTCCTCTCTGCAATGCGCACTTTGGACTGTATTTGTACGCAGCCTGCAGCCTGCAGTCTCAACGTTTTGTCCTGGTCGTTTAACAACGAGTCACTGTACAAGCATCATTTTCGCGCTCGCCCACTGTAAACAGCTGAAACAGGCAAAAACCAGAGAAAAATCCCTTTACGCACCATATAGCCGAAGACGTCACTTGGCTTTTCCTTGAACATCTTATTAAGAAGCTGTTCGATTCGTTTTGGAACTTCATTCTTGTTAAAATAAGCCACAGCTTCGCGTTTTTCCTCCAGACTGTAAGCACCATTTTTTACCGCCATCTTGAATCGCCACGGCAACTGAAATCGTTTACAGCAGCCTCGCTTTGATGCACCCGCAGTATCATCCCAGTCCCTTCGCAATTTTCTGTGGCTTTTCAATGAAAAGGAGGACGTTTACTTCAAGGTCTTTCCAAATACATACTAATTTGTGATTTACTTTGTGTTGCCCTATGATTGCTTTTGTCCTTTGCATATTTATGCGGTTTATGTCTTTTTATTGCAATTAAAAAAATGCATAATAACTTAGTTCTCTTACAAAAATCTTTTAAACCTCTGTTTTCATAGGTCTCCTAGGGTTTAATAACATAGATGTATGAACCAAAAGATCTTTTTGAACTGGAACTGTATAAATCTGTCAAACGTTCTATCAACGTTTCTAAAACATTTGCACAATAACGCTTTGGCTGGTCCCATTCAGTCCACTTACTATAGATATTTAATATAGCTGTCATTGGCCTTCTAGATTCCTTAGGTTCTTAAACTTTTCGGATGGAGAGAAGAAACTATACAAGTCCGTGTTCCGACGAAGCTGAAAAATAACACTGATCTTAATACAACACTAAAGAATGACAACAACTGTTGAGGAATGTGTTCCTTTGGGGTTTTTTCATTCTAGGCGAGTGGGCAATCACTTAAAGACAAAGTTCCTTTTGACAACAAAAAAACATGAAAAAGAAAATGGCTAATGTGCAATAAAATTTTTACAGCTGTTTATACACTTGTGTTAACGCATTCGAAGAGTGACAATTAAATTGGGTGATGCGGTTGACTGAGTCCTATTTTAGACTGAATTTATAATTTGGACTGACTTCAGCTCTCGTGTCCTATGGAGGAAGTGCTGATTATCTATATCAGTTTTGCCGTAATTTTTGTCTGTACAGCAAATTAAATTTTTTTCGAAAGACAATTGTAAAAAGCAGTACATAGTGTCCGTTCATTAAAAACTGTCTTCACCTTAATTATAGAGCCCGATGAATTTCAAAATTGAGAGATTTTAGAAAAACATCGCTTATGTTGCGATATTGAAGAGGACGATGCAGCCCAAAATATCGTTTAAAAGTGCTGATGGATAATTCCTCAATACCCTTGCACACTTCCGAGTACTGCAGTGTGTTGATGACCATGAAGATATTACTACATATACTAGGGCAGAGAGTTCTTTTTTGCTAACACAAGGCCTTGATTTATTTAAATTTATTGATCGGCCCTGAGCTTAGACAATTTGAGATATTTTAAACCCAGACGGAATTCTTGTCGAAAAAACTTTGAAATTCAGGATGTACAGAACCGTCACAACTACATTGTACTGAATTTAAGGACATCACTGCTCAGGAGATAGTTTAGATGCCTAATTTACAATGTACGATAATATATAAAAAATAACCTGTTTTACAGAAAGTCACGGCAACCAATTTTAGAAGTGAAACTAACTGATTGAAGAAAGGTACATGAGTGGTGATGCTTTTTTAATAGAAAAAGAGATACAGTTTAAACCCCCGACTAAAAACCTGCATTTTCCTAAGTTAGCCTAAACACAGGTTCTTACATAACTGGTAATTGGTCCAAATTTAGGCTATTTAAGTTGTTATAGGGGTTCATATTTTCTGAAGAAAAAAATACACTGTAGCTAAAAGTACTATTGGTGGTATTTAGCTTATTCCTTGCATAACATCTGCATACCATTGCATTGCAGTTGGACCGTGACGCACCTATGTCTTCAGAGAGGATCCTGAATACTGACTTATCTTATTTGCCCAAGTGTACTTTGTACAATTTTTTTTTATAGATTTTAGAAGATAAGAACCTGTTTTAGGCTTAGCAGGTTCTTGTATAGAGGGGGCCTAACTGGCAAATTTTAGCCTAACGCGTTCTTAAAAACTAGGTTCCTATTCGTGGGTTTTACTGTATGACACATTTTTTCTGGACGTCATTGTAGTCCATTAGATCCGCCATAAACATTGGCGATAATTATCCTGTAGACTTATTATTGGTAGACTGTATTACTTTTTCTTTCTAAAGAATTCTCATATGTTTAGTGTTCTATAAGAACTCCTCTTTATCCTTTATACCACTTAAGGGAACGGAAATAGCCAGACACAACTTGATTTTCTATTTGCTATGAAAAACGTTACCAGCATTTGTCTCTCCTTGAGGAATTCGCTTCGTATCCAGAACAAAACTCAGTGAGTGCTTAAAGACTTGTTATCCCTTCAGGTCATATACTTCTTTATGTCTTAAGAATCTTTGGCATGATGCCTGCTGCTAAAAACCAGATTGGTCTTCATGAAATTTGTTTGTTGGATTCCTCTACTAACCAGAAAAATACTCGGAAAGCAGCCTTTCGGCAACCAGGATGGATTTTTAAATGTCTAGTAGAGCTTTTAAGTCCTTGAACTGGAATTTAAAGAGCATCCTGTTAATTTTCAGAGTTCGAACAACACTGCTGAACGAAGAGGCAACATTGTTTACTAATCTAACAACATCCAACTCTTCCAAAAACAAGTGTATCAGGCCACTCTACTTTCTCTTTTAAGACAGGTGTTTGTTTACTTTATCTAACACACGAATTTTGGATTTCCAACGCTTTAAAATTTTGTTTGCAACATGTATATAATTAAAGAATGATGATTTAGAAATCTGTGAGGTTAATGTGGTCCCAAAAGGAATGCTTAAAACTTTACCGCCTAAGGAGTGGTTACACAGTAAGGTAGTCTTGGCTGAAACAGGCAGCACTATCTCAATACGCAATTTATTTGTAAGTACACTTTTTTGGAATCAAATCATTCTGTGTAAATTTTGTAACCTTATTTTCTGTAATTCAAAACGTGAGGTAGAGAAGTAATTTATAGTTCTATTTTTCTAGCTTCAGAAAGTTTTGAAAACAAGTAAAACGAAAGTAGCAAAGAAACATCGAAGGAGAACGAAAACTCGCTTTGGTAAAAGTATGGCTGCCCAAAGTTTCCTGATAACTACTGCTGGTAAGAGCATAAAGTTTCACTGGCATTGCCAGGAGTTCTATAGGATCTTGATGCTCATTCCAGTTAACCAGTTGTAAGGAGCTAGCTACAAAGGGAAGGTAGTCGTTACTTTTAGTTAGGTTGCTACTCTCCTTTAGCCCACGCGTTTTGATCATAAAGAGGGGTAAATGCAGATACAATTAGAACGCTATGAAGATAAGGTGTCTATAAAGATTTAAAAAAACTATGTGGGTGTTAACTTGTAAAAACAAGTCTATCTGTTTTGATTTGTTAGCTCTCTAAAGGGAAAGCCCCTCTATTTTGTGCTTAACCTGCTTCGCGGGAAACAAACAGCCCTCCAATTTGAAGAGGTCACGTAGCACTAATCTGTCTCTTCAGTTTATTTGCAAACATTTAGCCAGCAAACGTTTTTTCTCAAAGAATTAATGGGCAAAGACAAATCGCCTTTTGAAACACATCATCGTATCACACGTGAACGCCTCCTTTAAGATGCAAAGAAACTCAGAAATTAAACATGTGTAATATATTTTGATACCTAGTTTTCCAGGAATTGGACATGTTGAATGCGTCACTCTCTTATCGCTTACACTAGCGTTTTTCGTTATGCATCAATCGACGAAGAGGACTATTTTTTCTCTCTTCTCTATTTGTCTTTTTCCCCATACCTGTTCGCTAAAGCTCTGACATTAAAGGTTAGTTCATTGAACTTATAACCTAACTGAATTAGTCGCAAGCATCAAACTAAGAAGCAGTTCCCCGAAACTTTTCGATAATAATCTTACAACTATTCCTCTCGTTAAGGGCCCAAGAAACTAGCTTAAAAACAAACACGTGTCTTGTGCAACCCACACCGAGCAAGAACTCCTCATTTACACCTGATGGAAAATCAAATATACAACCACTATCAAATAAATGAGCCGAGAGTTAATAAACGTTCAACTACATATATATAACCCTACCGAAACGCGGACTCAGGGTAATGAAACTGAAGGGCAATGAAGATGACTCAGAGTAATGAAACATCTAAAGGAAAAGACCCCTCCTCCTTTAAACACCAACAAAGACAACTAAAGAACACCCCTACCCCTTCATACATGCTGATCATCATCGCCAAGAATCAAGAAATGATCCATTCATCTTTTAGCTTTGCAAACAATTAAGGTGCTTACCAACCCTATTCAACTCAAACTTTTGTTTAATCGACCAATATAATAAATTAAAATTTCAACCTTAAAAAGATTAAAAATATAACGTTTCCAAATCTTTCGTCAGAGCAAACCAACCAGCCAACACACCCGCCTACCGACCAAGGTTGATATCTACCTACTTAGGCCAGCAGGTCTTGCAAGTAATCTGCCCATCAACGTACCTATCAGGAACTTTACCAAAGTATAACCTACCTGCTTATCAGTCAACCTCCTTACCACTTAACCTAATGTCACACCACCAGGTTAGAGGTTCAATAAACAACCACTTCAGCAGTTCAATATCGTCCTAGCAACCAACTTTACACACTTAGCAGACCATCTACGACCAATCAACCAACCTAGCTATCTAATCTAACTGTCAAGTAACCAAGACACCTTGAAGTCAAAATATTAACTTTCGTTTTTTAATTTCTTATATGTGTTATATACTACTTATATGTTATATAATTATATATGTTACATATTTTTCTTTCTTATTGTTAACCAACATGAGTTTACCATCCTAAAAATCACTCATTTATCTACCTACCAGCCTGTCAATCAAACTGTCTAAAACTATTTACTTTTTTGAATCTGCTAACCATAAAAAGAACCCAGCTCACAGTAATTTACTACTCAGTAAAGCAGACCGCGTAAGAGCCATCAGCCAATTCTTCTACCCGCAACTAAGAGCCATTCCATTTAATATACATCCCCCCCAGTTGACGAAGGACTTTGGAATTTTCTTAACCATTAAGAAAAGGTCTTTCCCCCAAAAACCCGACGAAAAATTTATTGATGAACATATATCCCCTAAGAAAATTTTCCCTACGATTCTAATATCTTTAAGACATATTTCCTTTTCCACGACTTACCCACAGAAAATCTGGCTTTCAATCTTTTTTGCTGCTTCCCCTCGGAAAATCTGTCTTCATTCCTGCAACCTTCAACAAATTCCATGTTTTTGCACACAACTTCGGGAAATTTCGTCGAAGGGGGTGAGGTGTATATTAAACAGGAATGGCCCCAACCAGCGCACCTTGCGACCAACCTATCAACCTACACTACCTACCAGCCACAAGCAAAACATGACGTGACTGTGTACATACCAGTACCAATCATATTGCTTACCAGCCTGAAAAATGAACATTTATCCCAGACTTACGGACTTATCGATCACAATTTCTACCACAACTAACCATTTAATTCTACCAACCATACACTTCACCAATTAACCAGTTCAACTAACCCTTGTACCTAAAAACTACCCACCACCCAAGTACCAGCTACAAGCAAATTATAGCCTAACTGTGTACATCCTGGTACCTACCATATTGCTTACCATATTCATTGATACACCATGATGTACATACTACATTGCTTACCAACCTGAAAAATGTTCATATTTCTAACTACAAACTTATCAATCAACCTCTCTATCACCACTTACCTTTTAAATCTACCAACCATACAATTCAACTACCAATCGATTCATCAATCTACTGCCTACCTAAAAAACTAACCTTACGACCGTAGCAGACCATTTACGACTAACCAGCTAATCCGCTACCTAAACCACCAATGCCATTACTTGCAGCCTGCTTACCAGCTTACCTACCAGCCTCCTCATCAAAATATACCCTACCTCTCATATTTCCAGTAATTTCCTTATTACTAACAATAAGCTGATCTAAACTACTAACCTAAAAATACTTATTTAGCTCATCCCACAATTAAATTAATCAATCAACCCAAGCTGACCGGTCGGCATCACTTACCTTTTATATTTACCAATCGTACAATTCACAAACTAACCTGCTCACTACGACCTACCAACTTACTGGCCAAAGATTTGACCAACCAACCAGTTCAATGATCTACCATCTACTCTGCATCCAGCCTACACAAATAGCTTATCATTAACGTATCAAAAAATGAACTGTCACAGGAGACCAATTTGCCTTTCCATCTCCGAGCCATTACAACTCTTCATCTAACCAAACTGCACGTAATTACCCGACAAAGAACCAACCAACCCTCGTACCAAATGATCCACTTACTTCCTAGTTTTGTAGCCTTGATTTTCAAACAAAATAACCAATTTACAAACGAACCCAGCAGTTAATATGAACCAGCCCAACCAATTAATAAACTTACCAAAAAATAGCCAATGAACAGAAGCCTCCCACCATCCATTTAAACAACTATGACTGAATTACTCTCGTTATACTACTACATGAGAAATTTCTGCAATTTGATTGGCTTAGAGCAGTGGTATTTCAGCTTAATTTGAAATACCGACATGTGAAAATTTCAAACCTTTTGTCGGTAGTAGTATAAACAAATAATAGCATGATTTGTACATGATATTTGGCATAAATACCACTTGTGATATTTCAAAATTGTTTAATTACGTATAACAATTTTGAAATATCACTCGTGGTATTTATGCCAAATATCACTACAAATCATGCTATTACCTATACTATTATTTAGGAAAATCATTGAATTACCGTCCGGATCATTTAGAGCGTGTAATAGAACAAGAGCAAGATCTGTTATATGATTCAAATTTATGAGCAAACTATTGTCCCTCTAAAAATCTAACTAACCACACTAAGACTGCTTTTTAGACTTGTCAGATAGTAGTGATTCTTCTGTCAATTCTTGAAAAAAAAATTGTCAGTTGTGCTGTTTTCTCTTCATTAAGCCAGCTAAACATCTGAGCACTGAGAGTAATGGTGTGCATGCTAAGCTATTGCAAAATTGAAAGAAGCAATGTCTCTTGTGGTGCCAATAGGTCAGTGAAATGTCTGACTTAATAGTAGAGACAATTTGCCTAAATGTTTGTATTTTCAACTTCAACTTTTAACGGATTCTTTTAGCACTTCCAAGGCTTAAAATAGATCTAAAGGTATCAATCCAGGTAACCGTGTAAACTTCAAAGAAACTCTTTATACAGCATCGCTAATCTAAAGAGTTTTTCAAAAACGCCAACTAATTCAAATAAAAAAACAACATTGTTAATTAATAATTCATCATCTAAAATACAAACCCACTTGCTAACATAACTATAAAAACTTTCCAGCAGCTGAATAGCCTGGATATACATGAAACAATAAATAAAGAAAGCATAATGAAATAACTAAAAGTAATGAAAAGTCAACATGGGTTTGGAATTTATTTTAACCTATCACTTAAGAACCAGTTGCAATCAATCATCACCTTGCTGTGCTACAAACAAAATTACTGACTCTATCCCACGTCACTAAACAGACTAAATAGCCATTTTATCTAAAAAGTCAACCATTAGAGATAGACCACACTACAATTACTCACTAACTAGGAAGTGAGAAATAGTGGTACTAAAATGAATTATTCAAACCAACCAACCAACTGAACATTTAACGAATTAACCATCGATAACCAGTTAGCGTATGTATGCATTTTATCTCTAGCACTACAGTACAAAACTTTCACAGCATCGTACCCTTCCTATCTTTCTTGGAATTGAAAATTCCTGGAGTGTTTAAGCTTGCTGTCCTTCTATTGCTGATCAAAAACTACTTTGCTCCATACAAATCGACTCTTTCTCTTGTTAGCACTTATCACCTAAATATGACCAATCTTTCCACTAAGCCAAACAATATAAAAAAGACATTTAGCAAGTTGCACATCACCCTCCCACAGAAAACATATCAGTTAACAATAAATGTTGAATTTGCACTAAAAAGTTGCTTTTCTTTTCACATCTTTTATGCAGATAGCTTCCTTCCCCAGATGTACTATGCCTCTGTGTCCCAGTACTTCTTAACGTAGTATGACTAAAACTGACTACTGACATTGAGTGCTTACATCGATGTAGCCGGCCCTGAGTTCAGTGACTACGTGATTGGTGGATAAAGAATGATAACTGAAAGACCGACAGAGTGAATGAATAAGAGCAGCTGATTAATAAAGTATAATCATTGCTACAAGACTCAAGATTCTCTGATAAGATTTTTTCAAACAAAATTAAACTATTTTATACGTTACGCGGAAATCCCGAATGACTAATATTCCTATTTTCATAAACATTTTTTCATTTAAGGCTGTTGAAATGTCTTCTTTTTCAACTTTTTTTATGCTTTTTTCTTCTGCAGCTATTCATTCTTCACATTCTAACCTATCCCCTGTTTTCACTTAGAAATATACTCTTTCACCGGCACCAAATCGAATGGAAAGTAAGGGGAAATCGGACGCAATTCAAGAAACCTTTTTTAAATATTAGGAAGATATATTAGAACTTACTAATAACCTCTTTGTCTCTGGACCTTTCACACTGCCGCTGCCTTCAAAAGAGCTTAGACAAATTTTCAAGATCTAAGATTTGATTCTGCTGGACGAAGATGAGGTGAAATACGAGGAACTGTTTTATTTCCATTTTACATATGCGGTCATAAAATTGTATCGCACGTAATGAAGCCTGAATTCCGAGAAATGTAACTGAAAAATCACGCATGCGCAAGCTATAACATCGCAACGTGCAAAGTACAGTGTACCGAACCAATGGGAGGGAAAAGGACATTTTTGGAAAAAAAAGATAACGTTTTTGTCATCTTTTAAGTTCTACAAGCGGTTAAATAAAGATTGTAAGCTAAGTTACGTTAAGTGAATGTTCATTGTATTAAGGTTTGTGAAGCGGTGCCTGAATTCTTGGAAAGTCTTACGCCTCAGTGACTGCCCACTATTGAGATCGCTTTTGCTATCTTTCGGGGCTGCTGCTGCCATAATCTACGATATTTAAACCATGCACCCAGATCTTTCGTCAGAAACAAAATTAAAAGGATGCAAACGGTTTGCTACCTAATTACCAAATTTCCCTTATACTTCTGATGTCTCAAAATGAGATGCAATTTTAATTGGTTGACGTTGATAAGAGGAAAAAAACAAAAGATATGAAATGAAACCACCAAACCCACAAGGGAGAGTGGAAAACTGGTGCTATTTTATAGAAAGCTGTACGTGTTAGTAGCACTCAACATTCTTATGTCACGGAAACTTTTCAAGAGCCTATGAACACCAACACTGCTTTCTTTGTCTATGAAAACCGCGCGAGCCAGGTTACAAAGAACTGGAATTTCTCTTAACTTTGTTAAAACACTTATCGGTTAACGGGGAATGCTATTCATTTTGCGACTAATAGATTTCAGAAAATTGCAGCTGCTGCATCATGCATCTTAGCTAGACTTTAGGAAGTTCCCAGATATTTCAATTTTTTTTTGCCACCAAACCTTTTTGCAGGGGGATAATAAGATGCCTTGGTATCCTTAAAATGCAGAGGGGAAATTGTTACTCACCATTAAACAGGACAGGCGATGAAAAGCAACAGGACGTCTGAATTTTGTAACATCCTTTAGTACTTTTTAGCTGTAATATGCAAGAGTCGTACAAGTGCTCGCTGTTTAAAAACGTCAACGACCAGGGAGACGAAGGTGCGGACCTGCGTCGTAACGTCATTAGGGCCGTCATGCTCAAGATGATTCAGGCATGGGCAAAAACTTTTAAATAAATTCAGATGTTATAGATACAAACCACTCCACATAGTCAACCTGTCCTCGAAGGTTGCATTAATTCCCACGGAATTTACCCTCAGGGTTCCAAAAGCATGTCGTTAAAAATACTAGCTTTAGTAACACAGTGGCACGGTGCAGTGCAAATGAAGCGTTAATTCCAAGAAAATCTCACGCTTGAATCCTCTCGAATAGTTGTACTAAAAATTCAACGCCGTCTTAATTTTTCTATTTCCTAGGGGAAAATTAATCTTTTGTGAAGAAAGGATCAAGGAAGAAGAGTTTTTGTTCAATTTTGAAAGGAGAAAAGGCCCATGGAAAGTTCGTTATAAACTCGCTGTCCTAGCAGTAAGCTAGAACGCATGCGCACAACGACAGGTTTTCTTTCGAAGCCTGCGGAATTCGAAAGCACGTTGAGTGTTTCGGTTAGATTTCAGGAAACATATTGTTAAAATCATCAACCTCATTTCGGACTTTTTTAACACCCCACAGAATAGGGTCGGTTCATGGTTTCCTCGTGCTTTGAACTTTGGCTTCAAAATTCTTTTTCGTAATTATGATTTAATAGTTGTGTTATATAGCAGCTTTTTATTGTCTTTGGGCAATGAAAATAATCATTTTCTGTTGATTTCAATTCTTTGGTATGACCGGCTTGATTGTTAATATTTTACGCTCTTCGCCGTGTACGTATCTGATGAGACCAGATTCGGTGCAAAACTTAAAGAAAGCGTTGTATCATCTTAGGTCATCCTCGCCAAGAGATTATTGCAAGGACACGACCATGCTGTATCGGAGACTTGCTTGTTAAGAAGTTTAACTGTTAAAGCTCATGCAGTGATCGCCAGCCATTTGTACTAAAACAGGTAACTTAAAGAGAGAAATGAATAAAGTGTGACAATCCCTAACTCAAATTCTATAACTTTGGCAATAGCTGACCATGGGTTTCGAATGTTCGAAGCACAGAAGTAAGCATTTCAATCGTCTGTTGAAAGTATAACTTTAATAATCTAGCTTCTTCCTAACTCTCTCTTAAACACGCACAAAATGGCATCCAGCAAATGTGGTGAAACCAACAGGAACTGTTTCTTTTATCAAAGGGGGGCCCAAATGGATTTTTCAGGGGCTGTTGGATTGCGATCGACTGTTATTGAACAAAATGAAATGACATTTATTTTAGATGCATTGTCTAAAGATTCCCATTTGTCATAAGCTAAAGTTAGTTTTGTACAAAATTATTTTCCTCTCTTTGTATGCCCAAGGCAGCAGTGAGGTTAGTTCTACCTCAACTGTACTCGTTATTCTTAATGCGAAAGACAGTAGTACTCCATATGTCTTTAAAAAAACTAAGCTGTAAAAAGGTTTATCTTCATTGAAACTCCATATAAAGAGTGCCCTTTTTCTTTGTCGATTAATGGTAAGAGAAGGCATGATTAGCTAGGCTAAGGCTCGGGTATTGCATCGAAATATCGATGGGGTATATCATATCACTTAAATCGTTTTCAACAAATTCCCTAGCCGCTAGTTTTTCTGTCGGGCACTAACTGACGCACTCTATGATTGCCGCAAAATGTCATCAATGGACGACTGCGCGTATACTTAAAACGAATTAGCTAGATACATCTTATAAATGTAATCCGGCCGTACAAGTCACAAAATTTTTCGTTTTCATCTTATTGCCCAAAGAGAACGAAAAAATTAGTTGAAAATAAACTCAACAGTTGCTTTAATTAACGAGATACGTTATTTTTGTCCCGTGTATATGACAAATTCTGAACTCTGCTATTTCTTTAGAATAAGAGTGCTTTAAGGATTGCGTTATCTCTATGTACGCACCGACGGCCTCTGATACAGAACTTCCTCCAAAATTTATGTGCCTGGTAAGTCGACGTCATTGAGGGGAAATATGCTTTTTTGGAAGAGAAATTTAGACTTCTATGTCTCAAGACTGTTTTCGAAATTTTCATATTTTGGTTTAATTTCTTACTGCAAGGATACATTTTAGATAGGTTTTAACTAAAATTAGTTTAGTTTCCATAAAAAGTGTCAAAACCTTAAATTCAGAGCTATAACTTTAGATATATTTCATACTAGCATGATCAGCGAATTAAACAGCAACTCTTCCCATTCACACAGAGCTGAGATGACAGCACGTGGAGTTAAATTTAGTTGCAGGACGACGTTATTTCCTTAATAATTAAATGAGAGTCCTTGCTCGGGCGAGGCAAGTAGTTTTCAAGCCTAATTTCGTGCATGACAAGGATGTGTAAAGCCCGCGTTCAAGAAAGGGTTTCGAAAAGGATAACGAGCACAAGTACGGTGAACAAAGCAGGAAATAAAAGGACCACGTCTAACGATATTTCTTGCATACGATTGCAAAAAATTAAAAAGATACAAATAAACTACATGTAAAATTGCAAAAGAGAGTACTATTCACTCACCATAGAAAGAGGGGTTGAATTTTAGCTTTATATTCTGAAACTAATCTCCCAGCAGTATCCAAAAATCGGGGTGTGTAAGCAAACCATTGTTTCGAAAAGCTCTCCGATTTTACGGTTTCGAATCATGTTTCCGGATTCATTGTATCATTTAAGAGTTGCACCCATTAAGTTCTTACGTGTTAAAGAAAACTGTAACAATTAATTACAACTAAACTTTCTATCTGCGAGTTTCAGATCATAAATAAAATTTAAGTGACTCTTGAAGTCATAAGAAAGGATATCGACATTCATAGCCTGAGCATGCGCAGTGACTATACTCTTGGAACTATTTTATATAACGAGAGCTTTGTAATTGACTCACAAACATTATAAAGGAAATTGTGTTAGACATTTCCCAAAGGTATTTTCAATTCATTTGCGGACAGCTGCCAATGGGAAAGTTAAACTAATTTATCGCATGGTTGCATTTGAGTTATAAAAAGTCACTTAGGAACAGGAAAAAAATACAAGATATTAATTCCCCCACTGGCAATCGATTTAACAAGGAAGAAAATATGTAGTACAAAGCCCTAAGAACGGTTCTTTTAGAAGATGACAATCGAAATAAGACTCGATGATGAAATCAAGTCTAGATACTAATGGAAAAAATCCTTTAACATCCGCTGTTCTAAAGTATAAAAGAGAATTCTTGACCATGGTTAAGCTCAAATCGTCGACCCACACCTTTCTGAGGAACAACGAAGAAGTTGAATTTGAGGGAGATAAATATTATTCGACAAGAGAATCAAGAATATTTAAAGCATCATGGGTAAGTGAAAGCGCTTTAAAATTTATAGATTATACTTTGACTATGACTCCCTTAGATAAATGTTTATGTCTCCTGAAAATAAAGTCTTTGAAATGATGGTTAACTGAAAAATGCTTTTAAAAAGCAGAAAATATGGCAATTTTTTAAATCAAATGATTGGTATAGGAGATCGAGGCAAATGCTTAATGTCTCTTCTTCCTGACTTCCATGAGTTAAAACGAAGTCTGTGCCACTCGTGACATTCACCAGAAGACAATTTCGATCATTGATGATTTGTAAACTTTGCACTTTCTTCTCAGTTATCATCTACTTTTCATAATTTGGTGATTTTTTTTCACGTTTAATTCTGAAGTGTCACTGAACCCGTCTAGTCAGAGTTCTTAAACGAAGAACGACGTCACCCTAGCTTTATGTTTGAAGTAACAAAGTACAGAGACTGAGAACTTTGAAACCTCATTTAGGCCCTTTCTTTAAAACCACCGAGTTGCAATGGCAATCCATTTTTAATCCTTCTTTAATTTTGCCCTTCTTTGCTTTCTTTTGTAGTTGCTATGTTAAAAAAACCTTGCTTGAAAGTTCTACGCGAATATTCCTATGCTTCGCTCAATTTGGTGGTCAATTGCCACTGACTAAATTTGCCTGCTAAATGTTGTGACGCACTTAGCTCCTTTCAGTGAATCCTGCATGTTGTACAAAACTCGAATAGTATTAAAAGCAAAAGAGTATGATTTAAATTGAACGTTTTGTCCAATTGACATGTTATCAATTCTAAACTCTGACAACGTTAGTCAAACGAACCATGTTGTTTGACCAGTCTAGTCTTGTAACTAAAATGGAAAGACGTGTGCACAACTTTGGAGAAAAAGTAATAGGAAATATTTACACAATATACGTCTTCTTTATAGCGGTAAATTAACAGTATACATCGGACAAGCTACATGCCATACTCCTAACTGACAAGGGATCAACTGAATAAAACATATAAATAATTTTGGTTGTTGTTATAGAGTCTGAAAATAATAAACACCCTGGTAATTTACACTTGTAAAAGTTATATTATATTCACAGCAGCGTTAACTTTCTTTACTAGAGGCCGTTGAAATGGAACTTGGGAAACTTCATTCCAATTTTATCATAAATTATTTGTTGTGATTTGAATGCCAATGTAAAAATTATATCATTGCACTTTCTACTGCTAAAATGTACGTCAGAATTGCCCGAGGCAATGAATCAGAGAACCACGAAAAGAAATGAACGCTCGGTTTTGATGACCCATTTCCGCCCTACAGCATAAAGATGTGACGCTTGTTTCACGATAGCGTCAGTTTACTCAGTCTACCCCCTAATGCACTCGTTAGACCGGAGAAATTTTATTAATTTAATGACTATTTATTTATTACCACTGAAGAATTGCATATAAGGATCTTTGTAGTTAAGGCCACTACAACATAATTTGTAGCTGCGAAGAAAGCTGGAAAAGAGTGGCTGTTGTGACGCGGAAATCAAGCTTGGACCCCTCCACCTAAGATGAAACCCGGAACCGCTCTTGAGAGTCCTCCATTTTATGTTATTGTGAAGTAACTAATGTTATCATGACCTGGTATTATAACTTACTGGAATTACAATATCCTATCTATCAATTTCAGTGACGTGACGTCATCATTCTACTGTTTGTATCAATGGCAGCCGTGACACTTTGTTTACATACGGCTCATTAGCATACAGTTTTATCCCATAGCACATATACGGAAGATAAGAGTTTAACTCTTAATTGGAATGGATTCTTTAATTTCAGAAATCCATGCAATTTTTATACTTTTAAGCAATATTTAAAGAAATATCAGCCGTCAAAACTTCAAAATTGCTTGCGACAAAAAAGACCAAATAGCAAGCTCAAGCTTTTGAAACATAATTTCTCCACATGTACCTGATATATCGTACTAAGATTTTGGAAAATAGCTAATTTTGCTATAATCTTTCAATATTCTGATTTCTATTTTTATATCATGAACATAATCATGAATACATGCTTGAGTTAGAGAATTCATCCATTGAGATTCCGGTGCTCTCATATATTATTGGAAGTTAGCTTTGGCATGAAGTATTCCTATTCTGATTGTTTTATATTTAATATTTCTTTAGACAAAAGAGTTCTTTTAACGTTGGCAATTGTCTTTGCGGTGAATATGGCTGTTAAAGGAGGAACATCTCAAAAAACAGTGTTCGACTGTCTCACTAGTTTGTCATGGGACACACGTAATTGCTACGTAAGTACAGACATTGTCTGATGTGATTATGATACATTGTATGTGATACAGTCGACTTATGATACATTGTATGTGACACCTCTGTAAAACTGACACCTAGAGTTGGTCCCCGCCTTTCTTTACTCCTTTTATTTAGCTTTCTATAAGATGAAAGTCTCTGTAAGACAAACATGTACACTTAGTGCCGGTCCCAAAGAGGTCTTAGAAGACAGTTGACTGTATTGCTGGTTTGCACGTGACGTCAGGGCGGCCATGTTAGTGATCAAGGACAAAAGCATTTCTCTCCTTTGGGAACTAAACTCTATTTTCAAGTTAATTCTTCGAGAAAAAATTCTATTGTTTTGACCCCCAACATGGCCGCCTCGTCACGTGGTTAAAAACCAAGAATTTGCTTCGTTTGGTATCCCTGGATCTCCAAGGATTGACCTTAAAAAATACATCAAATTTCAGTTGCTGGACAAACTGGATAAGGTTTCATAGGTGTGAGGCTATATATATGTGCTCGTTGTGCTTCCACTTTATCCTAGATATAACTCTAAATAGTTTGAGTAAATGATAATGAACTTGAAGCAAAGAGAAAAAAAAAGAGAAATTCAAACCAAGGGTATGTGAAAATCACAATATCCTCGCTGGGGTTAAGCTAAACCAGTGTTGTTGTTTCGATGAGACACATGTCTGTACAGACACCTCCCCTCTGCACCGGCTTTCTGTTAATTAGACTGCCACCTTCATAAAATGGACACCAAATGAATTTGAGAGTTGATTTCTACCTTCCTTCAGGCCCCAGTTGTTCAAAAGGTGGATAGCGCTATCCATCGCATCATTCTCTAGCCACTGGATAGCGCAATTGGTTTTCACAATACTTATCCACTGGATAGTGATTTATCAGGTGCATGGATAGCGCTGTCCAACTTTTAGACAACCGGGGCCAGATAATTTTCTCTGATTTTTTGAGGCGGAAACATAGTATTGGTCGTTATGATGTCCATTGTAGAGATAGTCCACTGTCTTTGATCCCAATCGCAATGAGTCTGATTTAACGAAATACTGAAATAACGAATTACTGTACTTGATATTTACGTGCAGCTGTAGCGAAAACTTCCAGTGTTTCGTTCTGCTTGTAATTGAATTTCTTTTCTTTTCGTTATAATTTTGGGAAAAGCAACAGGCAAGCAACCAACCAATCAAACAAACAAACAAAACATGAAATAAGTAGTTACTACTGTTCAAGATATGTATTTAAATGGTGCACACTGGGGCTGCAGAGGAGGCTCTATTTAAAGGGCAAAATTGAAGGTTTTACTAATAATGTTGATGATGTTTTCCAATCTTTACAGAAACAAGCGTATGGATTCAGGAATACGTTTGGCGATTTTTTTAGTAGTTTCCAGCAAAGACTTGTTCCAGACGAATTGGCCGATTCTCACTCCACTGTAAGAACACTGAATTTCTTTGGCTATAGTTAGTTTATCTTAATTTCTGTCATAACTTCATGTCAAGAATATTAAGATTAAGTATACTGTTCTTAGTTAGTTCCACTGTCTAGAAAGCTAATCCACTTAAAATTAATGAAGTATAAGGACTTTCAGCCATTTAATTGAGTGGGATATTACGAATTACATAGTTATTATATATTTCAGTGTAAGTGAGTGGCTATCAGACCGTGATAACTAAAATATCGTAGAACCTACAGCGAAGTTGCACGTTTCATTAGGTAGACCATGTTTTCTACATACTTACAAAATTTATATTAACTTTCAGCTAACCAATAAAAAGCGGGCAAAGCTGTGCATCAAGTCGTTGAAGAATTTTGTAAAACCTCTTGAATCCGTACTGGAGAGTGAACGTAACAGCCATCATAACTGCCCAAAACTGAAGAGCAATCTGAACGAAACAATAAATGGATTATTAACAGTTTTGAAAAAAAGCCTTTCCCTTGTTGACATCTATGTAAGTTGACAACAATGTTAAAACGTTGTTCATTGGAATCACTTAGGAAACTATGGCCCAAATAATTTAAGACATGCACGTGGCAAAACAATTAAGTAGCAAGTCGTGGCTAAGAAAGTTACATCAATTATTTGCATTCTGTTATTCTAACAAGAATAATTCACAAAGATTATGATATGAGATCATTAATATAACACAGTTCCATCATTGATATGGTTATCATTGTTATTTCAAATGGTGCGATATTGCAGTTGACTATATGTCTATTAAGACAGTTAGTTTTTTTAAATAGTGAAATACATTAAAATGTATTTTCAATATCCTAAGCAGAAAATCTCTTTTGTGCATCATTTCGTGAAAAGTCTATTAAGGTGGCTGAACACAGTTTTGGCAGTTTGTGAGTATATATTATTTGCCAAATCATGGCAAGAGAAAGGTTGCAGCTCACAAGCTGAAACTTGGCAAGTGAAAAATACGTTGATGAAAGGTTTTGATTGACAGGTAAAATATGACGTTTTCGTAGTCTCCATGGCAACATGAACGATTGAATACAACCTTAAAATTTCACTTTTGCTCAGTTTACATAAAGTTCGCTCATTAGATTTTCCTATAAACTTGCACACAGCTTACAATTATTAATCATTACCATTTGAAACTTATTTGACCAAATCTTAACAGACAAGTTTATAGATAATCAATAATACAATTGTACTGTAATTATTAAATGTGTCATAAAATTCGTCTGCTCAACTTCCATTGTAAAGTTCTCATTATTTAAAATACGATAAAAGGAAAAATTCTGCCAAATATCACAAAATTTTAATGAGTAGATTTTGAGAAATCGTCTTCTCTGTACCACTGCTTTTTTCGCCGCCATGTTTGCTTGTCTAATTTAAAACACGCGCCGCCACGCGAGTTACCGCTGACCGCGCGCAAAACTGTGTTCAGCCACCTTAAGAGGATTTGTTTAAGGAAATGTTAGTATTAAAGTGAAAACGAATAAATGAGGGATGCAACATTAACAAAAGCGTAACAAGTGGCTAAAGAGATAAAAAAAAAATGTGTTTAAATTTTCTTAAATTTTTCTCTTGCTATTTGTTATATATTTGGAAGAGGCTTAGCAGATAATTCGTTGTATTCTGTAAATGTACTTACTTAATAGTTTCGTTGCTATTGGTTATCGAGACTTAAGTTGATAACTCGTCGTATTTTCGCTTCTTTAGGTGCAACGCAGTCAAATAATGACTCACAACAACTTGACAAATTTGCATGTGCATCCGGTGAATATGACAAGGATGACCTCTCTTGTCATTAAAAAAATGACGGTAAGTAATGTTTGATCCAAAAATATTTAAAGAGATTTAGGATGCCTTCATTAGCGTGTAGAACTATGAAAGCTGCTGTACGGACAAAATTGATTACCCTTTTACTAAGTACTTTCGATTTTTAAACCGTCATTCACTCACTAGTATATGACTTTACTCAGAGGTAAAGCAAATTGAAAAGATATAAGATAAAAAATGATAGATCATTGTTCATAAGCAGGCTCCGAGAAACCAAAAACCAAGCATTTGACTGTCGATAATTCTTTATCGATTCTGCTGTGATTTAACGCTATTTTTGAAACAAGAAGGGAATGGAGCCGAAATGCGTCCCGCAAGTGTTTCTGGGATCGCCACTGAGGAAATGCTGATCAGTAATTGGCTAATTTACCATTTGCACATTTCCCACAATACACCTTGTTTGCCCTCGGTAAATTTTGCATAAGCATTGCCTTCAGTTTCTCATGGGACAACTGTCATACTCAAGAGAAGGGAAAACAGAGGTTACACAATGAAACTTTTGGGGGTAAACAAGGTGTATTATGGGAGATGTGCAAATGGTGAATAATTTCTCAGGGCGGATCTAGGATAATTACTGATCGATTTCCTAATAATACCTTTTATTAAAAACTGAATCAGTGGATAATGCAATTCCAGAGCTCTGATTGGCTTAGCCATTATACTATGCTCTCCAAATATGGCAACTGTACGCGTCAAAATTAAAAACAAGCTAAAAATCGATTGTTTTTACAAATAAAGTGGGAAGAATTATCGATATTTTGTCGGCGTTTTTAATAAAACAATTATTCTGCACGCGTTTGTTGCCAAAAAACATGATTATAGTCAATTCATATCCAACGGGCACTCGTGGAATAATCGTTAATTACTCAGAGCGTTTGTCAGATACTATCAACATTATGATATAATGTCTCGTTTTTTTCACTTAGAGTCTTCCATCTAGAGCCAGAGCTGTACGCGTAAGGAACTTCGTCTTGCTGGATTACCTCAACGAGCTCAGTAGAGGCATATCTGGTTTTGACAACTGCTTTAACACTAAGCTTATTACACCCGTTATTGACCAATGCAAGGCCACTTAGCCGAAGTGTGACTACAGTACGAGAAAAAATTGTAAACGGATTAATTGAACGTTTTTCTTTCTTTATTATTTTCTATAAAGAAAGCATTTTATTTCGGAAGCAGGTTCTTCTTTTTAATAGCCATAGCTTTAATTCCAAAAGTTTGCTACAGCCTCAAAAGTTACCACTATATCTGCCTTTAGATTAAGAAAAAAATTTCCCATGAATTTAACTAAGTTGATCAGTATTTTTGAGAACTGGAGTATTATAATATTAATACTAAATACTTAGCTGATAAAAAAACTTCTTATAGAAACTCAGGATTCAAAGTTGTTAACTTTACTTCTTTGAAAGAACCATTGGTTATTATTCATATTGAATACAAACGGTAATTTTCTGAGATTGCTCTGGTGTACTTTGGTTACACAAGGTAGCCTTAATATTTAAAATCTCTATTTAATATTTTGTATTGTAGTTGCATAGAGTTTTTATTTATAATAAAATTGCTTTGCTGAGCTGAATGAATTGCTTGTGTCCTTATTTCCAGAAAAGTGAGAGGTGCGACCAAACTTGGTACTGAGTTTCAAAATAAGTTGCATAACCGTAGCTCGCTCTAAAATTGTCTTCTTTTGAAACGGGGTTGCAGTCAAACGGGGAACGGTGGGAATTTCCCTGTCTCATTGAATGCTGCAAATTTTTCCCAGCGTTGAAAGAACCTCGAAAATCATGACATATAATGTTAGAAGCATTGTAACTGATTTCAGTTACTTCTAAGTGCAGGACAATTAGCGAACTAACATTAATCCGAATTGGGGAAACAGAGGGGCGCAGTGGTGAGAGTCCTCACCTCGTACCAAATGCCGGCCGGTATTCAAGGCCCGGCGACGACGCTTGGCGGGTTGAGTTATTGTTGTTACCTGTCTCTGTTCTAAGAGCCTTTTTCCAGGTAATCTGTCTTCCCATGAACTGGTTTTCTCCCTCGCTTAAATTTGGAAAGTGTCTCCAGTTAGTTCGGGGCACTAGAGGCAACATGTTTGTCGGTTCTTGGAACTTTCAATTGTCACCCTTTTTAAACAAAGTTAGCTCATACTTACTTTTTACCCTTAGCCATTATAAAGAAATGGACCACTAGAATCACATCCACGCATCGCGTACCAATTTATATAAAAATCGGTGTTTGCCTCCTTGCAGAGTTTGAAAGCAGAGGCACGGTGGCAAATCTCATTTTTGGATTCTGAAATTTGTCAGTGGAATCTAAAAGTGGTCATCCTTCCCCTGTCTGCTATCTGTCTACTAAGGCCCAGTTTAAAGGACGTTTCATCTACCGAACCTAATCCCTTCACTTGAATCCAAGAAAAGAACGTTGTCTAAATCAATTAAGTCCGACATGTCGTCGACCCATGAATTATGTTCTAGTGGTCCTCAGGAGAATTTTGACTGCGGAATGACTTCGTTTCAAAAGTCGAACTTTCTATGTGCCGAATCTAATGCACAAATTACTGTAATTTACTTTGTCTAGTAAGCATTGCGGATCATTGTATATCGTGAAATTGAGTCCGAATAATAAAGTTCAAGTCTCGCCCTCATGGCCTCTGAGTCAATAGCCCTATTGACTCAGAGCCCATTCGGGCTCGACGAATAATTGTTAAATAGTTAGACAACTAATAAACTTGTGGTCCTCTTAATTAGTTCTATATTACAAGACAAAAGGAAGACTTAAGTGATTAAGATATACAAGCTGTATCGCACGTAATGAATCATAAATTCCGAGAAATGAACTGGACAACCACGCATGCGCATGCTACAACATCGCAACGTGCATAGTACAATGTACCGAACTAATGAAAGGGAAAAAGACTTTTTTGGAAAAAAAGATAACGTTTTTGTCATGTTTTAAGTTGTGCAAGCAGTTAAATAAAGATTGTTAGCTAAGTTAAGTTAAGTGAATGTTTGTATTAAGGTTTGTGAAGCGGTACCTGAATTCTTGGAAAGTCTCGTGCCTCAGTGACTGCCCACTATTGAGATCGCTTTTGCTATCTTTCGGGGCTGCTGCTGCCATAATCTACGATATTTAAGCCATGCACCCAGATCTTTCGTCAGAAACAAAATTAAAAGGACGCAAACGGTTTCGTACCTAATTACCAACTTTCCCTTATACTTCTGATGTCTCAAAATGAGATGCAATTTTAATTGGTTGACGTTGATAAAAGGAAAAAAACAAAAGATATGAAATGAAACCACCAAACCCACAAGGGAGAGTGGGAAACTGGTGCTGTTTTGTAGAAAGCTGTACGTGTTAGTAGCACTCAACATTTTTATGTCACGGAAACTTTTCAAGAGCCTATGAACACCAACACTGCTTTCTTTGTCTATGAAAACCGCGCGAGCCAGGTTACAAAGAACTGGAATTTCTCTTAACTTTGTTAAAACACTTATCGGTTAACGGGGAATGCTATTCATTTTGCTACTAATAGATTTCAGAAAATTGCAGCTGCTGCATCATGCATCTTAGCTAGACTTTAGGAAGTTCCCAGATATTTCAATTTTTTTTTGCCACCAAACCTTTTTGCAGGGGGATAATAAGATGCCTTTGTATCCTTAAAATGTAGAGGGGAAATTGTTACTCACCATTAATCAGGACAGGCGATGAAAAGCGACAGGACGTCTGAATTTTTTAACATCCTTTAGTACTTTTTAGCTGTAATATGCAAGCCTCTTGCAAGTGCTCGCTGTTTAAAAACGTCAACGACCAGGGAGACGATGGTGTGGACCTGCGTCGTAACGTCATTAGGGCCGTCATGCTCAAGATGATTCAGGCATGGGCAAAAGCATTTAAAGAAATTCAGATGTTATAGATACAAACCACTCCACATAGTCAACCTGTCCTCGAAGGTTGCATTAATTCCCACGGAATTTACCCTCAGGGTTCCAAAAGCATGTGCAGTGCAAATGAAGCGTTAATTCCAAGAAAATCTCACGCTTGAATCCTCTCGAATAGTTGTACTAAAAATTCAAAGCCGTCTTAATTTTTCTATTTCCTAGGGGAAAATTAATCTTTTGTAAGGAAAGGATCAAGGAAGAAGAGTTTTTGTTCAATTTTGAAAGGAGAAAAGGCCCATGGAAAGTTCGTTATAAACTCGCTGTCCTAGCAGTAAGCTAGAACGCATGCGCACAACGACAGGTTTTCTTTCGAAGCCTGCGGAATTCGAAAGCACGTTGAGTGTTTCGGTTAGATTTCAGGAAACATATTGTTAAAATCATCAACCTCATTTCGGACTTTTTTAACACCCCACAGAATAGTGTCGGTTCATGGTTTCCTCGTGCTTTGAACTTTGGCTTTAAAATTCATTTTCGTAATTATGTTTTAATAGTTGTGTTATATAGCAGCTTTATTTTGTCTTTGGGCAATGAAAATAATCATCTTCTGTTGATTTCAATTCTTTGGTATGTCCGGCTTGATTCTTAATATCTTGTCCTCTTCGCCGTGTACGTATCTGATGAGACCAGATTCGGTGAAAAACGTAAAGAAAGCGTTGTATCATCTTAGGTCACCCTCGCCAAGAGATTATTGCAACGACACGACCATGCTGTATCGGAGACTTGCTTGTTAAGAAATTAATTGTTAAAGCTCCTGCAGTGATCGCCAGCCATTTGTACTAAAACATGTAACTTAAAGGGAGAAATGAATAAAGTGTGACAATCCCTAACTCAAATTCTATAACTTTGGCAATAGCTGACCATGGGTTTCGAATTTTCAAAGCACAGAAGTAAGCATTTCAATCGTCTGTTGAAAGTATAACTTTAGTAATTTAGCTTCTTCCTAACTCTCTCTTAAACTCGCACAAAATGGCACCCAGCAAATGTGGTGAAACCAACAGGAACTGTTTCTTTGATCGAAGGGGGGCCCAAATGGATTTTCCAGGAGCTGTTGGATTGCGATCGACTATTATTGAACAAAATGAAATGACATTTATTTTAGATGTATTGTCTAAAGATTCCCATTTGTCATAAGCTAAAGTTAGTTTTGCACAAAATTATTTTCCTCTCTTTGTATGCCCAAGGCAGCAGTGAGGTTAGTTCTACCTCAACTGTACTCGTTATTCTTAATGCGAAAGACAGTAGTACTCCATATGTCTTCAAAAAAAACTAAGCTGTAAAAAGGTTTATCTTCGTTGAAACTCCATATAAAGTGTGCTCTTTTTCTTTGTCGATTAATGATAAGAGAAGTTATGCTTAGCTAGGCTAAGGCTCGGGTATTGCATCGAAATACCGATGGGGTTTACCATATCACTTAAAGCGTTTTCAACAAATTCCCTAGCCGCTAGTTTTTCTGTCGGGCACTAACTGACGCACTCTATGATTGCCGCAAAATGTCATCAATGGACGACTTCGCGTATACTTAAAACGAATTAGCTAGATACATCTTATAAATGTAATCCGGCCGTACAAGTCACAAAATTTTTCGTTTTCATCTTATTGCCCAAAGAGAACGAAAATATTAGTTGAAAATAAACTCAACAGTTGCTTTAATTAACGAGATACGTTATTTTTGTCCCGTGTATATGACAAATTCTGAACTCTGCTATTTCTTTAGAATAAGAGTGCTTTAAGGATTGCGTTATCTCTATGTACGCACCGACGGTCTCTGATACAGAACTTCCTCCAAAATTTATGTGCCTGGTAAGTCGACGTCATTGAGGGGAAATATGCTTTTTTGGCAGAGAAATTTAGACTTCTATGTCTCAAGACTGTTTTCAAAATTTTCATATTTTGGTTTAATTTCTTACTGCAAGGATACATTTTAGATAAGTTTTAACTAAAATTAGTTTAGTTTCCACAAAAAGTATCAAAACCTTAAATTCAGAGCTATAACTCTAGATATATTTCATACTAGCATGATCAGAGAATTAAACAGCAACTCTTCCCATTCACACAGAGCTGAGATGACAGCACGTGGAGTTAAATTTAGTTGCAGGACGATATTATTTCCTTAATAATTAAATGTGAGTCCTTGTTCGGGCGAGGCAAGTAGTTTTCAAGCCTAATTTCGTGTATGACAAGGATGTATAAAGCCCGCGTTCAAGAAAGGGTTTCGAAAAGGATAACGAGCACGAGTACGGCGGACAAAGCAGGAAATAAAAGGACAACGTCTAACGATATTTCTTGCATACGATTGCAAAAAATTAAAGATACAAATAAACTACATGTAAAATTGAAAAAAAGAGTGCTATTCGCTTACCTTAAAAATAGGGGTTGAATTTTAGCTTTATATTTTGAAACTAATCTCCCAGCAGTATCCAAAAAATCGGGGTGTGTAAGCAGACCATTGTTTCGAAAAGTTATCCGATTTTACGGTTTCGAATCATGTTTCCGGATTCATTGTATCATTTAAGAGTTGCACCCATTAAGTTCTTACGTGTTAAAGAAAACTGTAACAATTAATTACAACCAAACTTTCTATCTGTGAGTTTCACATCATAAATAAAATTTGAGTGACTCTTGAAGTCATAAGAAAGGATATCGACATTCATAGCCTGAGCATGCGCAGTGACTATACTCTTGGAACTATGTTATATAACGAGAGCTTTGTAATTGACTCAAAAACATTATAAAGGAAATTGTGTTAGACATTTCCCAAAGGTATTTTCAATTCATTTACGGACAGCTGCCAATGGGAAAGTTAAACTAATTTATCGCATGGTTGCATTTGAGTTATAAAAAGTCACTTAGGAACAGGAAAAAAATACAAGATATTAATTCCCCCACTGGCAATCGATTTAACAAGGAAGAAAATATCTAGTACAAAGCCCTAAGAACGGTTCTTTTAGAAGATGACAATCGAAATAAGACTCGATGATGAAATCAAGTCTAGATACTAATGGAAAAAATCCTTTAACATCCGCTGTTCTAAAGTATAAAAGAGAATTCTTGACCATGGTTAAGCTCAAATCGTCGACCCACACCTTTCTGAGGAACAACAAAGAAGTTGAATTTGAGAGAGATAAATATTATTCGACAAGAGAATCAAGAATATTTAAAGTATCATGGGTAAGTGAAAGCGTTTTATAGTTTATAGATTATGCTTTGACTATGATTCCCTTAGATAAATGTTTATGTCTCCTGAAAATAAAAGTCTTTGAAATGATGGTTAACTGAAAAATACTTTTAAAAAGCAGAAAATATAGCAATTTTTTAAATCAAATGATTGGTATGGGAGATCGAGACAAATGCCTAATGTCTCTTCTTCCTGACTTCCATGAGTTAAAATGAAGTCTGTGCCACTCGTCATATTTACCAGAAGACAATTTCGATCATTGCATTCGGTTTGTAAACGATTTGTAAACTTTGCACTTTCTTCTCAGTTATCATCTACTTTTCATAATTTGGTGATTTTTTTCCACCTTTAATTCTGAAGTGTCACTGAACCAGTCTAGTCAGAGTTATTAAACGAAGAACGATGTCACCCTAGCTTTATGTTTAAAGTAACAAAGTACAAAGACTAAGAACTTTGAAACCTCATTTAGGCCGTTTCTTTAAAACCAACGAGTTGCAATCGCAATCCATTTTTAGTCCTTCTTTAATTTTCCCCTTCTTTGCCTTCTTTTTTAGTTGCTATGTTACAAAAACCTTGCTTGAATGTTCTAAGCGAATATTTCTATGCTTCGCTCAATTTGGTGATCAATTGCCGCTGACTAAATTTGCCGGCTAAATGTTGTGACGCACTTAGCTCCTTTCAGTGAATCCTGTTGTACAAAATGATTTAAATTGAACTTTTTGCCCAATTGACATGTTATCAATTCTAAACTCTGACAATGTTAGTTAAACGAACCATGTTGTTTCACCAGTCTAGTCTTGTAACTAAAATGAAAAGACGTGTGCACAACTTTGGAGAAAAAAAAAAAAAAAGGAAATACTTACACAATATACGTCTTCTTGATAGCGGTAAATTAACAGTGTACATCGAAAAAGCTCCATGTCATGCTCCTAACTGACAAGGGATCAACTGAATAAAACATATAAATAATTTTGGTTGTTGTTATAGAGTCTGAAAATAATAACCACCCTGGCAATTTACACTTGTAAAAGTTATATTATATTCACAGCAGGATTAACTTACTAGAGGCCGGTGAAATGGAACTTGGGACACTTCATTTCAATTTTATCACAAATTATTTGTTGTGATTTGAATGCCAATGTAAAAATTATATCATTGCACTTTCTACTGCTAAAATGTACGTCAGAATTGCCCGAGGCAATGAATCAGCGAACCACGAAAAGAAATGAACGCTCGGTTTTGATGACCCATTTCCGCCCTACAGCATAAAGATGTGACGCTTGTTTCACGATAGCGTCAGTTTACTTAGTCTACCCCCTAATGCACCCGTTAGACCGGACAAATTTTTATTAATTTAATGACTATTTATTTATTACCACTGAAGAATTGCATATAAGGATCTTTGTAGTTAAGACCACTGCAACATAATTTGTAGCTGCGAAGAAAGCTGGAAATGAGTGGCTGTTGTGAAGCGGAAACCAAGCTTGGACCCCTCCACCTAAGATGAAACCCGGAACCGCTCTTGAGAGTCCTCCATTTTATGTCATTGTGAAGTAACTAATGTTATCATGACCTGGTATTATAACTTACTGGAATTACAATATCCTATCTATCAATTTTAGTGACGTGACGTCATCATTCTACTGTTTGTATCAATGGCAGCCGTGACACTTTGTTTACATATGGCACATTAGCATACAATTTTATCCATAGCACATATACGGAAGATAAGAGTTAAACTCTTAATTTGAATGGACTATTTAATTTCAGAAATTCGTGCAATTTTTTATACTTTTAAGCAATATTTAAAGAAATATCAGCCGTCAAAACTTCAAAATTGCTTGCGGCAAAAAAGAGCAAATAGCAAGCTCAAGCTTTTGAAACATAATTTCTCCACATGTACCTGATATATCGTAGTAAAATTTTGAGAAATAGCTAATTTTGCTATAATCTTTCAATACTCTGATTTCTATTTTTATATCATGAACATAATACTGAATGCATGCTTAAGTTAGAGGATTCATCCATTGAGATTCCGGCGCTCTCTTATATATTATGGGAAGTTAGCTTTGGCATGAAGTATTCTTATTCTGATTGTTTTATATTTAATATTTTTTTAGACAAAAGAGTTCTTTTAACGTTGGCAATTGTCTTCGTGGTGAATATGGCTGTTAAGGGAGGAGCATCTCAAAAAACAGTGTTCGACTGTCTCACTAGTTTGTCATGGGACACACGTCATTGCTACGTAAGTACAGACATTGTCTGATGTGATTATGATACATTGTATGTGATACAGTCGACTCTCTCATAACGGACACTTCTACAAGACGGACACCTCTGTAAAACTGACACCTAGCGTTGGTCCCTGCCTTTCTTTACTGCCTTTATTTAGCTCTCTATAAGACGGAAATCTCTCTAAGACAAACACTTAGTGGCGGTCCCAAAGAAGGTCTTAGAAGACAGTTGACTGTATTGGTGGTTTGCACGTGGCGTCAGGGCGGCCATGTTGGTGATCAAGGACAAAAGCATTTCTCTCCTTTGGGAACTAAACTCTATTTTCAAGTTAATTCTTCGAGAAAAAATTTTATTGTTTTGACCCCCAACATGTCCGCCTTGTCACGTGGTTGTAAACCAAGAATTTGCTTCGTTTGGTATCCCTGGATCTCCAAGGACTGAACTCCAAAAGGACATCAAATTTCAGTTGCTGGACAAACTGGATAAGGTTTCATAGGTGTGAGGTTATATATATGTGCTCTTTGTGCTTCCACTTTATCCTTGACACAACTCTAATTAGTTTTGAGTAAATGATAATGAACTTGAAACAAAGAGAAAAAAAGAGAAATTCAAACCAAGGATATGTGAAAATCACAATATCCTCGCTGGGGTTAAGCTAAACTAGTGTTGTTGTTTTGATGAGACACATGTCTGTACAGACTCCTCCCCTCTGCACAGGATTTCTGTTAATTAGACTGCCACCTTCATAAAATGGACACCAACTGAATTTGAGAGTTGATTTCTACCTTCCTTCAGGCCCCAGTTGTTCAAAAGGTGGATAGCGCTATCCATCGTATAATTCTCTAGCCACTGGATGGCGCAATTGGTTTTCCTAATACTTCTCCACTGGATAGTGATTTATCAGGTGCATGGATAGCGCTATCCATCTTTTAAACAACCGGGGCCAGATCATTTTCTCTGATTTTTTGAGGCGGAAACATAGTATTGGTCGTTATGATGTCCGTTGTAGAGATAGTCCACTGTATTTCATCCCAACCACAATGAGTCTGATGTGAAAAATGAAGGTCATGTGACCACCGCTGGTTGTAATTTTAGAGTAGTCTAGTTCAAATAACGAATTACTGTACATGATATTTAAGTACAGCTGTAGCGAAAACTTCCAGTGTTTCGTTCTGCTTGTTATTGATTTTCTCTTTTTTTGTCATAATTTTGGCAAAAGCAACCAACCAATCAAACAGACAAACAAAACATGAAATAAGTAGTTAGTACTGTTCAAGGTATGTATTTGAATGGTGCACACTGGTGCTGCAGAGGAGGCTCTATTTAAAGGGCAAAATTGAAGGTTTTACTAATAATGTTGATGATGTTTTCCAATCTTTACAGGAACAAGCGTATGGATTCGGGAATACGTTTGGCGATTTTTTTAGTAGTTTCCAGCAAAGACTTGTTCCAGACAAATTGGCCGATTCTCACTCCGCTGTAAGAACACTGAATTTCTTTGGCTATAGTTAGTTTATCTTAATTTCTGTTATAACTTCATGTCAAGAATATTAAGACTAAGTATACTGTTCTTAGTTAGTTCCACTGTCTAGAAAGCTAATCCACTTAAAATTAATGAAGTATAAGGACTTTCAGCCATTTAATTGGGTGGGATATTACGAATTACATAGTTATTATATATTTCAGTGTAAGTGAGTGGCTATCAGACCGTGATAATTAAAATATCGTAGAACCTACAGCGAAGTTGCACGTTTCATTAGGTAGACCATGTTTTCTACATACTTACAAAATTTATATTAACTTTCAGCTAACCAATAAAAAGCGGGCAAAGCTGTGCATCAAGTCGTTGAAGAATTTTGTAAAACCTCTTGAATCCGTACTGGAGAGTGAACGTAACAGCCATCATAACTGCCCAGAACTGAAGAGCAATCTGAACGAAACAATAAATGGATTATTAACAGTTTTGAAAAAAAGCATTTCCCTTGTTGACATCTATGTAAGTTGACAACAATGTTAAAACGTTGTTCATTGGAATCACTTAGGAAACTATGGCCCAAATATTTTAAGACATGCACGTGGCAAAACAATTAAGTAGCAAGTCGTGGCTAAGAAAGTTACATCAATTATTTGCATTCTGTTATTCTAACAAGAATAATTCACAAAGATTATGATATTAGATCATTAATATAACACAGTTCCATCATTGACATGGTTATTATTGTTATTTCAGATGGTGAGATATTGCAGTTGACTATATGTCTATTAAGACAGTTAGTTTTTTTAAATAGTGAAATACATTAAATTGTATTTTCAATATCCTAAGCAGAAAATCTCTTTTGTGCATCATTTCGTGAAAAGTCTATTAAGAGGATTTGTTTAAGGGAATGTTAGTATTAAAGTGAAAACGAATAAATGAGGGATGCAACATTAACAAAAGCGGAACAAGTGGCTAAAGAGAAAAAAAAATGTGTTTAAATTTTCTTAAATTTTTCTTTTGCTATTTGTTATATATTTTGAAGAGGCTTCGCTGATAATTCGTTGTATTCTGTAAATGTACTTAGTTAATAGTTTCGTTGCTATTGGTTATCGAGACTTAAATTAATAACTCGTCGTATCTTCGTTTCTTTAGGTGCAACGCAGTCAAATAATGACTCACAACAACTTGACAAATTTGCATGTACATCCGGTGAATATGACAAGGATGACCTCTGTTGTCCTTAAAAAAATGCCGGTAAGTAATGTTTGATCCCAAAATATTCAAAGAGATTTAGGATGCCTCCATTTGCGTGTAGAACTATGAAAGCTGCTGTACGGACAAAATTGTTTACCCTCTTACTAAGTACCTAAGTACTTTCGATTTTTAAACCGTTATTCACTCACTAGTATATGACTTTATTCAGAGGTAAAGCAAATTGAAAAGATATAACATAAAAAATGATAGATCATTGTTCATAAGCAGGGTACGAGAAACCAGATATCAAGCGTTTGACTATCGATAATTCTTTATCGATTCTGCTGTGATTTAACGCTATTTTTGAAACAAGAAGGGAATGGAGCCGAAATGCGTCTCGCAAGTGTTTCTGGGATCGCTACTGGGGAAATGCTGATCAGTAATTGGCTAATTTACCATTTGCACATCTCCCACAATACACCTTGTTTGCCCTCCGTAAATTTTGCATAAGCATTGTCTTCAATTTCTTATGGGACAACTGTCATACTCAAGAGAAAGGGAAAACAGAGGTTATACAATGAAACTTTTGGAGGCAAACAAGGTTTATTATGAGAGATGTGCAAATGGTGAATAACTTCTCAGGGCGGATCTAGGATAATTACTGATCGATTTCCTAATAATACTTTTTATTAAAAACTGAATCAGTGGATAATACAATTCCAGAGCTCTTATTGGCTTAGCCATTATACTATGCTCTCCAAATATGGTAACTGTACGCGTCGAAATTAAAAACAAGCTGAAAATTGGTTGTCTTTACAAATAAAGTGGGAAGAATTATCGATATTTTGTCGTCGTTTTTAATAAAACGATTATTCTGCACACGTTTGTTGCCAACAAACATGTTTATAATCAACTCATATCCAACGGGCACTCGTGGAATAATCGTTAATTACTCAGAGCGTTTGTAGATACTATCAACATTATAATATAATGAGGTGTTTTGTCTCGTTTTTTTCACTTAGAGCCTTCCATCTAAAGCAAGAGCTGTACGCGTAAGGAACTTCGTCTTGTTGGATTACCTCAACGAGCTCAGTACAGGAATATCTGCTTTTGACAACTGTTTTAACACTAAGCTTATTACACCCGTTATTGACCAATGCAAGGCCACTTAGCCGAAGTGTCACTACAGTACGAGGAAAATTGTAAACGGATTAATTGAACGTTTTTCTTTCTTTAAGAAAGCATTTTATTTCGGAAGCAGGTTCTTCTTTTTAATAGCCATAGCTTTAATTCCAAAAGTTTGCTACAGCCTCAAAAGTTACAACTGTATCTGCCTTTAGATTAAGAAAAAAACTTCCCATGAATTTAACTAAGTTGATCAGTATTTTTGGGAACTGGAGTATTATAATATTAATACTAAATAGTTAGCTGATAAAAAAACTTCTTATAGAAACTCAGGATTCAAAGTTGTTAACTTTACTTCTTTGAAAGAACCATTGGTTATTATTCATATTGAATACAAACGGTAATTTTCTGAGATTGCTCTGGTGTACTTTGGTTACACAGCAAGGTAGCCTTAATATTTAAAATCTCTATTTAATATTTTGTATTGTAGTTGCATAGAGTTTTTATATATAATAAAATTGCTTTGCTGAGGTGAATGAATTGCTTGTGTCCTTATTTCAAAACTTTCCTCCAGAAAAGTGAGAGGTGCGACCAAACTTGGTACTGAGTTTCAAAATAAGTTACATAACCATAGCTCGCTTTAAAATTGTCTTCTTTTGAAACGGGGTTACAGTCAAACGGGGAACGGTGAGAATTTCCCTGTCTCATTGAATGCTGCAAATTTTTCCCAGCGTTGAAAGAACCTCGAAAATCATGACATATAATGTTAGAAGCATTGTAACTGATTTCAGTTACTTCTAAGTGCAGGACAATTAGCGAACTAACATTAATCCGAATTGGGGAAACAGAGGGGCGCAGTGGTGAGAGTCCTCACCTCGTACCAAATGCCGGCCGGTATTCAAGGCCCGGCGACGACGCTTGGCGGGTTGAGTTATTGTTGTTACCTGTCTCTGCTCTAAGAGCCTTTTTCCAGGTAATCTGTCTTCCCATGAACTGGTTTTCTCCCTCTCTTAAATTTGGAAAGTGTCTCCAGTTAGTTCGGGGCACTAGAGGCAACATGTTTGTCGGTTCTTGGAACTTTCAATTGTCACCCTTTTTAAACAAAGTTAGCTCATACTTACTTTTTACCCTTAGCCATTAATAAAGAAATGGACCCTTTAGAATCACATCCACGCATCGCGTACCAATTTATATAAAAATCGGTGTTTGCCTCCTTGCAGAGTTTGAAAGCAGAGGCGGTGGCAAATCTCATTTTTGGATTCTGAAATTTGTCAGTGGAATCTAAAAGTGGTCATCCTTCCCCTGTCTACTATCTGTCTACTAAGGCCCAGTTTAAAGGACTTTTCATCTACCGAACCTAATCCCTTCACTTGAATCCAAGAAAAGAACGTTGTCTAAATCAATTAAGTCGGACATATCGTCAACCCATCCATTATGTTCTAGTGGTCCTCAGAAGAATTTTGACTGCGGAATGACTTCGTTTCAAAAGTCGAACTTCTATGTGCCGAATCTAATGCACAAATTACTGTAATTTACTTTGTCTGGGAAGCATTGCGGATCATTGTACATCGTGAAATTGACTCCTAATAATAAAGTTCAAGTCTCGCCCTCATGGCCTCTGAGTCAATAGCCCTATTGACTCAGAGCCCATTCGGGCTCGACGAATAATTGTTAAATAGTTAGACAACTAATAAACTTGTGGTCCTCTTAATTAGTTATATATTACAAGACAAAAGGAATACTTAAGTGATTAAGATATAAAAGCTGTATCGCACGTAATGAATCATAAATTCCGAGAAATGTAACTGAACAACCACGCATGCGCATGCTACAACATCGCAATGTGCATAGTACAATGTACCGAACTAATGAAAGGGAAAAGGACTTTTCTGGAAAAAAAGATAACGTTTTTGTCATGTTTTAAGTTGTACAAGCGGTTAAATAAAGATTGTTAGCTAAGTTAAGTTAAGTGAATGTTTGTATTAAGGCCTTGTGAAGCGGTGCCTGAATTCTTGGAAAGTCTCATGCCTCAGTGACTGCCCACTATTGAGATCGCTTTTGCTATCTTTCGGGGCTGCTGCTGCCATAATATACGATATGTAAGCTATGCACTCAGATCTTTCGTCAGAAACAAAATTAAAAGGACGCAAACGGTTTGCTACCTAATTACCAACTTTCCCTTATACTTCTGATGTCTCAAAATGAGATGCAATTTTAATTGGTTGACGTTGATAAAAGGAAAAAAACCAAAAGATATGAAATGAAACCACCAAACCCACAAGGGAGAGTGGAAAACTGGTGCTGTTTTATAGAAAGCTGTACGTGTTAGTAGCACTCAACATTTTTATGTCACGGAAACTTTTCAAGAGCCTATGAACACGAACACTGCTTTCTTTGTCTATGAAAACCGCGCGAGCCAGGTTACAAAGAACTGGAATTTCTCTTACCTTTGTTAAAACACTTATAGGTTAACGGGGAATGCTATTCATTTTGCGATTAATAGATTTCAGAAAATTGCAGCTGCTGCATCATGCATCTTAGCTAGACTTTAGGAAGTTCCCAGATATTTCAATTTTTTTTGCCACCAAACCTTTTTGCAGGGGAATAATAAGATACCTTTGTATCCTTAAAATGCAGAGGGGAAATTGTTACTCACCATTAAACAGGACAGGCGATGAAAAGCGACAGGACGTCTGAATTTTTTAACATCCTTTAGTACTTTTTAGCTGTAATATGCAAGCCTCTTGCAAGTGCTCGCTGTTTAAAAACGTCAACGACCAGGGAGACGATGGTGTGGACCTGCGTCGTAACGTCATTAGGGCCGTCATGTTCAAGATGATTCAGACATGGGCAAAAGCATTTAAAGAAACTCAGGTGTTATAGATACAAACCACTCCACATAGTCAACCTGTCCTCGAAGGTTGCATTAATTCCCACGGAATTTACCCTCAGGGTTCCAAGAGCATGTCGTTAAAAATACTAGCTTTAGTAACACAGTGGCACGGAGCAGTGCAAATGAAGCGTTAATTCCAAGAAAATCTCACGCTTGAATCCTCTCGAATAGTCCTACTAAAAATTCAAAGCCGTCTTAATTTTTCTATTTCCTAGGGGAAAATTAATCTTTTGTAAAGAAAGGATCAAGGAAGGAGAGGTTTTGTTCAATTTTGAAGGGAGAAAAGGCCCATGGAAAGTTCGTTATAAACTCGCTGTCCTAGCAGTAAGCTAGAACGCATGCGCACAGCGACATGTTTTCTTTCGAAGCCTGCGGAATTCGAAAGCACGTTTAGTGTTTCGGTTAGATTTCAGGAAACATATTGTTAAAATCATCAACCTCATTTTGGACTTTTTTAACACCCCACAGAATAGGGTCGGTTCATGGTTTCCTCGTGCTTTGAACTTTGGCTTCAAAATTCTTTTTCGTATTTATGATTTAATAGTTTTGTTATATAGAAGCTTTTTTTTGTCTTTGGGCAATGAAAATAATCATTTTCTGTTGATTTCAATTCTTTGGTATGATCGGCTTGATTGTTAATATTTTACGCTCTTCGCCGTGTACGTATCTGATGAGACCAGATTCGGTGCAAAACTTAAAGAAAGCGTTGTATCATCTTAGGTCATCCTCGCCAAGAGATTATTGCAAGGACACGACCCTGCTGTATCGGGGACTTGCTTGTTAAGAAGTTTAACTGTTAAAGCTCATGCAGTGATCGCCAGCCATTTGTACTAAACAGGTAACTTAAAGAGAGAAATGAATAAAGTGTGACAATCCCTAACTCAAATTCTGTAACCTTGGCAATAGCTGACCATGGGTTTCGAATGTTCGAAGCACAGAAGTAAGCATTTCAATCGTCTGTTGAAAGTATAAGTTAATAATCTAGCCTCTTCCTAACTCTCTCTTGAACACGCACAAAATGGCATTCAGCAAATGTGGTGAAACCAACAGGAACTGTTTCTTTTATCAAAGGGGGGCCCAAATGGATTTTTCAGGGGCTGTTGGATTGCGATCGACTATTATTGAACAAAATGAAATGACATTTATTTTAGATGCATTGTCTAAAGATTCCCATTTGTCATAAGCTAAAGTTAGTTTTGCACAAAATTATTTTCCTCTCTTTGTATGCCCAAGGCAGCAGTGAGGTTAGTTCTACCTCAACTGTACTCGTTATTCTTAATGCGAAAGACAGTAGTACTCCATATGTCTTTAAAAAAACTAAGCTGTAAAAAGGTTTATCTTCATTGAAACTCCATATAAAGAGGGCTCTTTTTCTTTGTCGATTAATGGTAAGAGAAGTTATGCTTAGCTAGGCTAAGGCTAGGGTATTGCATCGAAATATCGATGGGGTTTACCATATCACTTAAAGCGTTTTCAACAAATTCCCTAGCCGCTAGTTTTTCTGTCCGGCACTAACTGACGCACTCTATGATTGCCGCAAAATGTCATCAATGGACGACTGCGCGTATACGTAAAACGAATTAGCTAGATATATCTTATAAATGTAATCCGGCCGTACAAGTCACAAAATTTTTCGTTCTCATCTTATTGCCCAAAGAGAACGAAAAAATTGGTTGAAAATAAACTCAACAGTTGCTTTAATTAACGAGATACGTTATTTTTGTCC